CATTTGATCCGCTTTATTTAGTATGCCTATCAATTTCACTATCGATTACCGCGATAACAGCACCATTGCGCTAAATCACGACGTATCAATGCCCCCCCCCTGATATCCCCCAGCTGCAATGTGACTTACTAGAATGCTATCTACTGGTTGAAGGGGTGCATTAGGCAGCTGACCACCCCGTCTTTAATATTCCAATACATGTCCTAAATAAACTCGTCATTTGTACCGTGCCTGTATCGTCTGTTTCGCCTTGCTTTAGTCTTAAACTTCAAACTACCTAAGGCATCAATGACTTACACAATCCATAAGATACCGAATTACTCATTGTCCAACTATGATTCCGTAAAATAGGTACTTATAACTATACAGATTTTGTGTATTTTAATATGGGAATGAGCTACAGCAATAACAGCTATGTGTATATACTTAGACTAATTGCCTTTGTCTTTGGTAGCTAACGTTGAAGATAAGCTGAATAGAGCTGAGCCTTAAGAGTCCTCTTGGCAATTAAGTAGCTCAAGCCTCCCCATTTAAAAGGTAAGTTGAGGAATCTACGGGTTCCCATCAATATAGAATGCGCAGTGGCTACGAGATCATCCGAAATTTTAGTCTAAAACGCAGCACAGTGATCGCATAAACGTTATCTAGGTATTCGTTCGTTTCATTTCGGTCTAGAGCCTTTAACTTTTGAGGATTCCCTATCGAATCCCATAATTTACACACACTAGGCGGGCAGATTCATAATGCATGGTAATGGTCATCTCCTTTTCTGTCAGACTGAGTCAACAACCCCTGCTCATTCTTCATAGGTGTTGTTGCGTGGACCTTCACATGAATGGTGGAAGCTTGATGGGGTAACCGCCATTCTTAACCCGAAAGACAGAGAGCAGGAAGCTGTACATGAGGACCAAAATAACACCCCAGACAACAACCGTAAGTTGCTGGATCTTCGGGTCTCGAGTCCTCGGTGCTTTGACAGCTAGGGAGATTGTAGCAAAAGACAATACACCATCTGGTTACGTTAGCAAGTCGACAGCAATGCCAAGTCAATATATTCGGTAATACTTACATATGAAAGCGACAATTTGTGTCTCGAGTCCATATTGGCTTTGGAATCCGGCAGCGAAGTAGTTGATGCCGCCACGTCCATCACCGGCGACGTATGGTACCTTTCGAATCTGGTTGAACATGTGACCACTGGTGAACATAAGAATGCCAATCAAGCTCAGGCCTGCCCAAACGTTTCGATTCTGAATGACGGGCAATATATACGGCCAAGCTTTGAAAACAACGCCAATAATGCCTAGGCTACTGACGATTGTTACGATCCACCCGATGTAATTAATTGGCCGGCTCACCGGCGGGTGAGGGCGATCAGGGAGATGGCGAGCAAGCCATTCATGAACTTTCTCGGCAGTTTGAGGTCTGTAAACATCTTAGAACGGAGTGGTCATATATCAGCAAAGTTACCTACCCAGTGAAATCATAGCGAATAGCTTCGACAGTAGGAACAGCATGTGGACCAGTCGTGGGCTGGAAAAGGAGAAGCACGGGTGCTGATTGAAGGCCAAGCTATATGTGTAATGATTAGCCCCCGGAATTACATATGGTCATTGCAAGGTCACATACAGATATGAAAGTATCCCTTCCGTTGGAGAAGTCAAGGGTACCAAAAATCAAACGAGATTCGCCATCTTTATCACCCTTGGTCCAACTCTTTGCTAGCACCTCCCACTCGGGTTGGAAGTCTGTGCAGAGCTGACAACCAAAGCGCGCATCTAAAGCAGTCAAGAGTACGGCAACCGAATAGTCCCGCGGAACTGATGTGAGCTTTTTGTAGGACGAGTCAGCAAGCTTCAATGGGGAGGAAGCTTGAGCTTTAGCATGGAATTCACTGAATCGATCGGCTGAGGATGATTGCTTGGCAGCGAGCGACCCGAAAGGAAGGGTGACCGAGAGGAGGAGAGATAGCCAGCGCATGTTGACGATATTCTGAACAAGACCTCATAAATGAGAGACGGTCTAATTTTGAGAATGTCGTGCTTACGCACACTTGACGATGAGGAATAATAGCGACGTTACCAGATGCGCTAAGTCGCCAACAGCTTTGGAGTTCAAAAAGGTGTCCTCAATTGGAGTTTGGAGCTGGATACGTACCTACCTAATGTACATGCGCTGGGCTGTTTCTAACAACTGCAAATCGATAAGGACAAGTTAGGTAATTGAATGCAGGGGCCGCGTATGTCAATGACTCGGCTAAGGTTCAATGGTGCTCTTTTAGCTACCTAATGTATCTATGTACATGAGCTCCACAACTCACACGGGCCGACATAGACCCATACGGATTACACCAAGCCTATTTCAGCACTTTGTTGACTTCCGAAACTTTCAAGGTTGCCTACCTACCAAACACGTTCGTTGCTCCTCTGCTCCTCCACTACGTAGTGCCGTCACCTCACCTCCTCTTTCGTATGCAAGATAGAACACCCCTCATCAGTGCTACATATATCCTCTAGGATATTAATGATTAGATCTTGCTAGAACATTGACTTAATCTACTCTTCAAATTTGATTTTCTTTAAAGACCAAAACGCGTCTACCTGAATGGGTAGGCTCACCAAAGCTACAATGGGCCGCGAGGCAAAAATAAACATGGACGCCGACAAGGTATTCTACCACCCCAGCTTCAAATATATCTCAGTCTTCAACCCTATTAATTATCCGACTTTTGTTCTGACTGTTGCTGACTTTGATTGTTTCAATTAGGAGCGAGAACAACTTCATGACCTTGAGTTGAAGCACCAAATAAACAATGGCAATGCCGAACTCTTAGTCAAAGACGAGGATGTTCGTCGGTTGAGGGTCCGAATACTACTGCTACGAGACGAAAACACGACATTGCGTGATCAAATAGCTCATAACAACGATACAAACACCAAACTCTCGGCCCAATGCGATGACCTGAGTGCTCAGATTGAAGCTAAAATGGACGTAATTCGCTCGCAGGAAAAGCAATTACGGAAGCAAGAACGAGAGTACTCGAACTTGAAGGTAAAGAAATACACAAATTCTGATAATGAATTGATCCAGTACTAATCTTGCGATGTAGGCCGAGCTTCAAGCAATGAATAATGCAACCCAAGATTCCGCCAATGTGCTCGCTGAGAAATTATCTCTAAGTCGCGAGTTAGCTGTTTTAAAACCCGAGATTGAACACCTCCGATCACAAGTAAATCACCAGCAAGCAACGCTGGCTGAGAAGTTGACTTTGGAGCGGCAAGTTACTACTCTTGAGGTTGAACTTGCGAATGAAAAGAAGGCAACCAAGAGAGTACTGCAGAAACGTGAAAGCAACGACCGGGTTGAGGATGAGCTCCGCCAAAAGCTACGCGAAACAGAAAAAAAATTAACTGCTGAGAAGGCGGAGCGCGAGCGACTTGAAGATCAGCTTGAGCAAGAAAAACGGACGCATCAAATTTCCTTGCAGGAGCAAGACAGTACTCGAGAGCTGGAAGCTGACCTTCGAAAGAAACTCCAGGAAGTCCAGAGACAACTAAGGCAGGAGAAAGACGATCGGGAAAGGCTGGAAGAAGAGCTGCAGACTACTAAACTTGCGGCAAAAAGGACACAGAAGAACAACTCGAAGAGCGATGTAGAGGATGAATTACGCTCCCAAGTTGAGGAACTTGAGGCGAATCTCGAGTCTCAACGGAAAGAGAGCGCTAGGATTCGCCGAGAGAGTCAGGAATTAGTGTCTGAAGCTAGTGCGCGAAGCGACCAGCTGGAAAAGAAAGTTGAAAAATTCAAGACGAAACTACGCGAGACTCAGGAACAGCTCAAGCAATGTCAAGCGGACCTACGAAAGGCACAACAACCACGCCCTACCCCTACAATCTCAGATGACACCACCAAAATTAACGGGCGATCACAGGCTTTCCGTAAAAGAAAAGCCCAGGACATGGCTGCGGATGAATTCACCCAGATTGAAATCCAAACACCAGGAGCTGATGATACCACGAAAGGACGACGCGCGTTCAAGAAGCGAGGCATAGAGCCCACTCTGGTAGGCGAGAAATCAATGTTCTCCATTACTCCCTTCTTAAACCGTACCAAGAGTATCATCGAAGATACTCCTAAGACTGACGAAGGAACGCCAAATGCTTCAGTTGCCGTTACAACTGAACCCGAAGCTGCCGAACCCACAACAGTAGTGTCTGAAGGTACAGCGGCAGAGGTGGCTCGGGAAGAAACGACCTCTCCAGCTCCTGCCGAAAGCGAGAAGCCAAAACCAAGTACTAAGTCTCGTGGTAGACCTAAAAAGGTTCTCGGTGAAGCCCCATCCGCGAAGAAAAATGCACAGCCTATTTCGAAGAAGTCTGTCAAGACCAAGAGCAGCCTTGAGAAAGTAGTGGAAGAACCTAATGAGAAGGCTCAAGAGAACCAGCGCGATGCCGTAGAGCCTGCAGAGAAGACAACAACTGTTAAGTTCAATTTTAGTTTCCCGCAGGACGAGAGCACGTCATCCAGCATGAATGGCGATCTACCGAAGAAGAAGAAGCGCAAGGTCCTGGGCTCAACCAAGACGCTATTTGATGAGGAGGAGGGAGAGGCACCGCCGGCTAGGAAGCCGAGCAAAGTCCAGCTGGGTGGAAAGAGGGCACTAAACAAAGCAGTTCTCGGTGTGCAGAAAAGTGCATTTGCCAGTGCAACTTCATTCTCACCGTTGAAGAGGGATCGTAGAGGTGTCGGTGCTAGTTTCCTAGCATAACGTACGGACCCCAGGTTTAGGGTAACGGAATTTCAAACTGGCAACGGGAGGGAATCAAGTCTGCATTTTCCGGCGTTATAAATTGTTCGCATCATGGCTTGGCGTTTGGGAAAGACTAGGGATAGGTTTACGGTTGCATCATTAGGTCAATATGAACATACCTGTTCTAAGAATAGGTATTCTACACTTCTCTGTGAGAAACATTATATCGAGAGTAGTGACATCTATTTTCGTGAATCTCGATTACACAGCGACATAAATCGTATAATTAGGAAGCTACTTGATTTACAAATCCGACACCATGGTCGATATATTTTTCAGAAGACATAAATAGGTATAACCCCATATCTACGCGGCCTTCGGCTTCTTCCAAGTTCCCTTAACGCCGCTCTCGATCATGACGAGTCTATCCTCCCTCCAGTTCCAAACTGCAATAATGGCAGTACCCGGGCCAGCTGCAATCGTAACAAATCCAATACCTAGTACTGTCTTGATTAAGTCTATCGTAGTAGGTTTGCCGAGTATCCGCAGAACATCGTAAACAGCAAGCCAGCACCAGAACAGCGTGGTGCCGAACGCACCCAAGCAGTCGATCTGGAAGATGTAGTGCAGTCCCAAGGCCATGCTGTCTTTCCAGGTAGTTCTATTCGGCAGGAACACATAGCTGAGCGAAAGCCTCGGGTCGTCCGACGTGAGACAGGCGTAAAGCGTGCCAACGTGCGCAATTGTTGTTACAAGCCCGACGATCAGGTACACCCGCTTGAGGTGCTTGACATCACTATTTTTGGCGACTGAGGCTGGCGATGAAGGTATCAGAAAAGAGAAAACCGAGACTAGCACGCTGGCGAAAATAGGGGAAAGCTGCCAGAGTGCCGTCAGATACTGCACCGTCTTGACGTCGCCCCACGGGTAGTACGTGACGATCGTCGGGATAAGGTAGCCAATGATCATAGCCGGGAGCAGCGACGCCGCATGGCCAGCGGACAACTCTCTGCCCTGGAAGTAGTATCTATCTTGTCGAGACGTCACCACGTATCCTAAGTAATACAGAGACGGGATTATGGCGGCGCCAAGGAGCTGGTATATAAACGCAGTAAACCCAACACTAACCCCGGTCTCCGTTAGTAAAAGTCCGATACATCACTTACATCAACAGCAGTAAACAGCAAAGGGGAATGAGCAGAAGAAACCATAGGTAGCAACTCACAAACTAATAGGCTTCCAAGCATTCCGTCTACGACTAGCCTCCACACTCCAAACACACACGACGGCAAACCATTCTAGTAAGAAATACACTTGCTGGGCATACACACCGACATCCCAGCGGGCGGTGCCCTCGAGGAACGCAATGACGAGGTACTTGGCGATCTCGTCGACAACCTTGATGCCCGTGTAGCGGGTCTCGACGGGGGTGCCATTGTCAAAACGGCCCTTCTCTAGGACGACCTGGAAGTTTAGAGGCACGCCATTTAGGAGGGTCTCCGTGCGCATCAGCCATGTGAATAGGACGGATAGGCCCGCGAAGGCGAGCACAAAGAGCCCGTTGAATGGGCGCCGAGTTTTGGGGACGGCGGACTTGGAAGGCCCGCGGGGAGACAGGTTTGTTCGCATCATGATGAGGTTATGCTAGAGAGACGAAGAGTATAATGATAAAGAAGCTATGGATGTAGGCTTGCAATTATATAACTACCCAGGAAGTCCGAAGTTTCGAAACTTCGGGGTTACTTAGAGGTAGACAAGCAGCCAACTGCATATATTTGTGGATAACCCTACTATATACAGGAGTTCGGGTCCTTTTCGGAATCCTTCTTATTGCCCAGTGTGTTTTTTTTTGTAAGCTGAAATGTTAGTGGTTCTCATCACTGGAGAATTCGGGATAGCGAGCTGAAAGTCGCGGGTTAATCTACGAATGTCCATACGTTAGGTACTCACTTAGCTCAGTCCAAATCGGATGGCTTGGATTATATACAATTATTTAGGTGCCTAGATAAAATCTGTAAAACTTCATATGTAATGAAGGTTTGAAATATCTGCTTTCACCATTCAGTACATGCAAAAAGAGGTATATATCTGTTAAGAGAATACATCTGTTAACTAGGTAACTGATGTCACACCAACCCGTATCCGCGTTTTTGGTTTCGTATAATTGAATACCGTAGATCGCGAATTTTCCAAATTAGCACCGTTAAATCCTGGCCCACGTTAAATCCAAGCCCAGCATCCATCCATCCTTCGAGGTTATCCCCGGAGTACGGAATAATTATCGTCGCCAACCAGACATGGGATAGCGCATTATCGCTATTCCTTGAAACCCATAGAGTTAATGCAGGTGTTGGCAAGAATAGCGACGCCTCGCAATGGAAGGCTCCTAGCAGCTGTAGCTGTTCAATCTTCTGGGGTATCAAGTCTCTTTGCGCAACCCGTGTCCAAGTGCATACGATGGTCCTCGTCAAACTCAAGATGGTTACAGCGACAGGGGAAGGACTTTTACGTACGCCAGGCCAAAGTTCAGGAGTATAAGAGCCGTGCCGCGTTCAAACTACTTAGTGTGAGTTGGTGGCTCAACCTCAAGGTTTATTGATCAAAGCTCACATGAGTTTCCCTAGATGGACTCAAAGTATAAATTGTTCAAAAGAGGACAGACAGTAATCGACCTAGTAAGTATACCCAGTTTAGTGCCCGGTAGCTTAGGATACTAAACAATATAGGGATATGCACCAGGTAGCTGGTCTCAGGTATGAAAGCTATAAAAAAATCTTTATACTACTCTTCGTTGCTCATTGAGTCTAGGTCGCCGTGGAGCGCACAAAGCCAAAGGGGCGTGTGATTGGAATCGATATCATCCCGGCGCAGCCGCCTAAAGGCGTGTCAACCATACAAGGCAATTTCCTCTCTCCAAGTATTCAACAGCTTGTAAAGGACTACCTCGTCGAGTATGCACACCAGGCGAGACCATCCAAACCCGACGAGGAAGATGTAGATGACGATGGTGTTTTTATGGATAGGCCGAGCTATATCGATGTCGAACGTGCCGAATCATTTGGATCAGATCACGAACTATCCTCCGAGGATGGCAAGAGACTTGTTGATGTACGCATTACTCCGTTTGCTCGGAGCGTACTTACTACTCTGTATTTGAATCCGTAAGACTGACTCTGCAATCAATAGGTAGTTCTAAGCGACATGTCAGAACCTTGGGCACAAACCACCGGATTTTCGAACAAAACGTTAACCCACGCGTACAGGATGATGAACACGAGTGGTAATCGCTTCCGAGACCAAGCAGGTAGCATGGTGAGTTTAGATTATTCCCTGCATTATATACCATGTGCCTTTCGTGAGCGAGTATTCACCGAGATCCCTAGGACCTCTGCCACGCAGCTCTACAATTCGCAAGCGATACGCTCAAAGCTGGCGGTCATTTCGTCTGTAAATTTTACCAGGGTTCTGAAGACAAGGAGCTGGAGAAGAAGCTCAGGAAAATGTTCGACAAGGTCTATCGCGAGAAGCCGGACTCGTCAAGAAATGTATGTTCTCTAAGGTCAAGATATCCTTGCTCTTTATGCTGACAAGTCGCTTAGGACTCGCCTGAGTTGTATTTTGTTGCTCTGCGCAGGAAAGGTGACGTCACGCTCTCTGATATCGAAGGTCCTTAGACGGCCGAAACTAGGATTGCTGTGTATAATACATGTATTATATGTGTATGAATTTTAAGTTACTCACATATAGGCAATATTCTAAGGACTTTCGCGTGAACACTATTTTCTCGGTGTTTATCATTCACGGTGTTGTCTTTGAAGCCTCTTGTAGTGTTGTCGTAAAGGGGGTGCTTAAATATGGTATTTTAGCTAACTAAATAACAGTGATTCCAAGAAGAGTGAGAGGTCCTAATCTAGGATGGCGAGTAACCTTTATCGATCCTTTTCCGAGAATGACATCCTCACATTACAGCATTTACTATTTGTTCCTCGAACCATGCCAGAGCTTACCCCTGTCTAGCAGCAGAACCCGGGGATATTTCCCATATCCTGTCCATAAGTTACATTTCCCGGGGGCAAGCAGAGCGAAGAGCTTGCATTGGTTTGTATCACATTCACGCCGAAGAATGTTCCTTCTGACGTTAGTTAAGAAGTCAACTTCGTAGCGGCTTCGAAACATACCGTTAATGCACTGGCAGACTGCCCTGTCGACGCAGCAATGCGGATCTTCGAATGGAAAGCACTCAATACCGGCCGCGAAGGCGGCTGTGATATTAGGGAATGGCGACCTCGGGAATTTGACAGGTGGTCTCGCAAGCGCGACGCCAAAAGCTGAAGCTGTAACGATGCTCAAGAGAGTGAATGGAACCATTTTTGATTCCTTGTGACTTTTGAATCGGACGAATTGTCGAAACGAGAGTTTTTTTTCTTCTTGCTGAACTATGCGAGTGGCAGGTCACTGCAGGTGGTCCAAGGAATTTGGATATACATATAACTACCTGGGGAAATACTAGACAGGTAGTCTTTCTAAGTCTAGGAATATTTCTATGAGAAGCGAAAGTCTGTTAGTGTCATACGTCACACAGCTGCGTCCCCTCGGTCTTTCCAGGACAAGATTGCGAAACCATAGGGAAGCGGCTGTAACTAGGGAAGCTGCTTTATACATAGATCTCATCCCACTCTCGCTTATCAAAGTATTTACGGAAAGAGAGAAAGGTGCAATTGCTCTTGAAGTCTATTTTCTTGAAGTCTATTTTCTTAAAGTCTATTGAGGGCGGAAGTCATATCCAGGCTTCGACGTCTTACTTGCAAACATCTATTCTCATACGATTTCTATCAGACGTCTTCTATCAATGACCACTCTACTCCATACTACTCTGTACAATCTCCCCAACTTCAATTCTTTCGTTTTAAGCGTTTTCTTTCGTTGCCACTCTCTTTGGTTTAATTTCTTGCTCTCGCTGGCCTTTTGTTGGTTATACCCTCACGCTATTGGAAATGTCTCTCGAAAAACACGTCTGGGGTTTTGATCCCGAATCCCAGGCGGCATCCCCTGATGACCTACACGAGATCTGTCTGGATGATGACAACAAAGAAGCTCAGACCCCTTTACCGGCGGGAAGTCGGCCTGAGTGTCTAAAGAATGCCGTCCACGAATGTGTGTTTGTTGCCCTTGTCGCCTTTGCTGCAGCTACACCCGTCTTCCTCCAACGTTCTGTCGTTGTTGTAGCAGGTCCTATATCCGGAGCCCTGCAAATGACACCTGCTCAGATCGCGTGGGCTACAGCAAGTTCGGGGTATTTCAATTCCTAACCAGTATTTCTTACGGCATTTGACTTACTGACTCGCAGTTTAACAACGGGCGCATTCTTGCTTCCATTCGGCTACATCGCCGATACTTGCCCTATTTTACCCCGGAAGACTCTTCTAATACTCAGCTTGGTGGTGTTCTGTCTGCTTGTCTCATGTACATCCTTCTCGCGAACTGGGGTTGTGCTTGATATCATATCTGGCTTGACTGGTATCGCTTGTGCGGCGAACGTTCCTATTGCCGTTGGCATATTAAGTCTTGTCTACCCAACGCCATCACGCCGCAAGAATATAGTATTTTCTTCTTTCTTGATGGGCACACCTGCTGCGACGATCATCGGTGGTCTCGGCTCCGGCGCCTTGGCTCTTGAAATAAGTTGGAAGGCCCCGTTCATAGCCTTGGCTGCTCTGTATGCGGTAGTCTCAGGTCTTGCTTGCGTATTCGTCCCGAATGTCTCGGAACCCGAAACCGAAAAGGAGACCGAGGTTCGTATCATTGCTGAGCCGGAAGCTTTTCCTATCTTGTCGATCGAAGCACCCAAAGAGAAATCCAAACTCTGGCAATTTGATTGGCTAGGGTTGTTTCTACTTGTCACAGGTCTTCTCCTTTTCACTATCGCGTTGTCCATTGGCCCGCAAGGCCCGGAGCCATGGAAGACGCCGACAGTTATCCTACTTCTAACTTTGGGTGTGCTGTCTCTTGGATGTTTCCTCCTTTGGGAAAATATTACAAAAACACCTATGATACCCCCGTCAATTTGGGAAAACTTGACGGTAACTTTGGTAAAGTCAGCCTAAAACTAGAGGTAGCTATAAGACATTACTAATGTGGCGTGAAGGTGATCATCTGCACTTTGGCTGCCGCTATGTCTTTCTACTCTCAGCTGTTTTGGGTTTCTTTATTCATGCAAGATCTCGGGGGTCTGAAGCCATTCGAGGTTGCCGTACGGTTGGTACCTCAGGCTCTTGTGGGCTTGGTACTCAGTCCTCTCGTTGGTCTGATTATGCATAGAGTCCCTGGGACCGTGTTGTTAGCAGTAGCCGCTACTTCCCTCGTCGTTAGCAATGTACTTCTCATATTTTTACGACAGGGAAGCAATTACTTGACCTGGATATTCCCGTCGGTTATGTTAAGTACTGTTGGGATGGATTGGATTATGAATGTTGGGTCGGTAAGTAGCTCCGTATGCAGTTCCAAGACTACCTAGACATCATATCTAACAGCAGTACAGCTTTATATCTTATCGTCTCTCCCACTAAAACATCACTCCGTTGGTGCTTCTCTACTACAAACGACGAGCCGCCTCGGAGTTCCTCTTGGTATGGGAGTTACTACTGCAATATGGTCGTCGTATGATGGAGAATGGCAGGATGCCTACCCGGAACTGGCATATACCAATACTTTCATGGCCACCACGGCGTTTGCGGGAATCTCTCTCATCTTAGTACCATTCATCCGTATCGGAAGGCAGGGTCGTTCAGAACACGAACTATTAGAGGATAATAGTAATGAGTCGAAACCGAGCATTTCAGTTCCTCCCCAATCACCACCTACCCCACCTCGAAACCCCCGAAATGAGAACGGAAATCGTCCAAGCAAACGGTGGTCCCCCGTTGATACATTAGCTGCATCGGTCACTAGCGAAAGACAACACACAGCAGCTCCATCAGTGTCATCGCAGTCGTCACGTAAAAGCGAGGACACCTCGAACACCAACAAGACGACTAGGACAACCATTCGACGCGGGTGTAGCCCATCCGAAAGAGTTGTTTGGGTTGTCTGTGAGGAATGTGGCACAACCAAGCGTCACAATCAACCACGTACCACCGTGGGCGACCCAGCTCGTTACTTCAACGATCCTGCATTTGGCAGCACGACTAAGGATACCAATCAAACGAATCCCTACGGCGCCAACAGCAGTAACAATAGCCAGAATCATCATCATCATCCTCCCCAGCTTCAGCTTCCGAGGCCGTATGGCGGACGTCGTCGTCAACCACTTATGAACCGCCAGATCTTAACACATCAGATGCTGACTCAGGGCTTCCAGCCTTGATAGCGTTAGGATGGAAAAGAATAACTGTGTGGGGGCGGTTTTTGAATTTACTCCTGGAAATGGCTAAAGTGTCTGCTAGAATAGAAGGGGCATTTTACTTTTCTAACTAATGGACCGGGGGTGTTTGAGGATGACATTCATAGCAGCATTTTGGTTGGGTTTAAGGACCTCTTTGGACCTTTCTTGGGAGCCACCATTATACTCGGGGACTTATCCTTCACGTAGGTGAAGTGACTAACACGCGGTATGAAAAAGGATATGTAGCCCTTTCTTAAATCCCTTGTGTGTACAATCAGAACACATATATATGTAGTCTAGTGCCTCGCCATACTACCATAATAATTAATGCATTCTGAGGCTAGTAAGATACGTCCTAGTTGTCTTCAAAATTAAATTCACTACCTAATTTAAATTTACCCTAACGCCGCGGCTTATGCTACAGCACTATCCTATGTCTTTTCCATAATAACATCACATGCGTGCCTAGCTGGTTATATATACAATTGTAGAATGCCGATGTTCAATGACACGAAATCAGAACTTAGATCTCCTGAACAAATCCACATATGCTCGTTAGCCTATAATTTGGCATTGGGCATCTGGCGCATAGCTTGGCGAACACCCAGGTCAGCAAGGACCTCCTCGGCGCCACCTAGAATAGCGTCGAACTTGTAGGTGCGGTGGAACATCTCGACGACGCGACCCATGCCGGATTGAGTTAGACCGCGGCCACCGAAGATCTGGACGGACTCGTCGGCGATCTCGTGCGCGGCGCGGGTGATGCTCATCTTTAGCAGGCCAATAGGGCCGCCGAGGTACTGCGATTGCTGCTTGTAGGGCATGTTGCACATTTGGTAGGTAATGGTTTCGAGCCAGGCCTCTGGAAAGGGGTTAGTGAGGTGAGATATGAGAGAGGAAGAGAGCAGGGTACGTACGGTTCGACTCGATGAGGGCAATCATCTTGGCGAGCTTTTGTCGGATCACGGGTTGCTCGATCAGCCGCTTGCCGAAGACGATGCGCTGGTGCGACCACTTGAGACACTCCTCTACGATGGTTCTGCACATTCGGATTCCGGCGCCTAGATGGGACTTGTTAGTACAGTTTGAGACGGCACAGGAATTTAGGGGCGAACTCACAGGCCATGGTCCATCGCTCGTGGTTGAAGTTGCTGAGGATAACGTAGATACCCTTGTTCTCCTCGCCGAGGAGGTTCTCGGCGGGAACCTTGACGTTGTCGAAGGTGATATAGGCAGTGCCGGCAGCAGGCGAGTACGAAGTCTTGATAGGCTTGGTCTCGACGCCCTCGCCGCGCTCGATCAGCAGCACGCTCAGGCCCTTGTCGGTCTTGACGCCGACGACGAAGTAGTCGCAGAAAACACCGTTGGTGATCCACTTCTTGGTGCCGTTGACAATGTAGTGCTTGCCGTCGGGGGTCTTGGTGGCGGTGGTGCGCAGGCCGGCGACGTCGGACCCGGCGAAGGCTTCGGTGATGGCTAGACACATATACTTCTTGCCGCTGAGCACCTCGTCCATAATAGCCTTGCGCCGCTGCGCGTCTGGCATGAAGTTCATGATGCAGGGGAGCCCGATGACCATGCCGGCTAGCTGTCCGTCTTGGAACCCGCGCGCGTTGGACCGGACGCCTTCTTGCGACATGATTAGGTCGTGGAAGTAGTCGAATTCTTCGCCCTTGACAGCTCCGTCCATCAGGTTTACGCCGTGCAGGTGCTTCCCCGGCCCCAGCCGCATGTGCAGGATGCCCTTCTCCGCCATGCGGTCGACTAGCTCCTGGCTAATGTACTTGCCGTCGGCCTCGCGGGCCTGGGCCTCGGGGGTGATGTAAGTGTCGTTGAAGATGCGCATGGCCTTGCGCAGGCGGTGGTGGCTCTCGTTGTAGTACGGGCTCTTGAACTGGGGCGTGAGCCATAGGGGCTCGGCGTAGGGGACGGTGCTGATGTCGCCGGGCTTGGGGGTGACGACCTGGGGCTTCTCGCCCTCGAGGGTGCCGATACATAGGTCCTCGTACTTGGTGAGGACCTCATGACGGTGAAGGTTGTAAAAGGCGACGGTGGCGTCTTGGCCAGCAACCTGTCGGAGGACGGACTCGCCGCCGGGGTGGGCGTCGACGAAGTCGGATACGTCGTAGACTTTGCTGTCGATTACGAACCACACCGAGTCTTCGGTGTTATGCTTAGCCACCTCATCGCGGGTGAACGTCTTGGACATGGTGGCGGCGGATATAGAAAGGTCGTTTTTTTTACGAAGGAAGGGAGAATAGAAAGAAACTTCCACTTGAAAAGGAACGAAGCTTAATTGACGATGCTATTCTTCCAAGACACGATGTTCTAGCTTCCAACGACAATACAACCTCAAACAAGAATGAATTAGCATTTTGAAAAAAGGAAAAAGAATGGCTTCTTTGTCCCTTGTTTTGACGTCAGCTTGGGGAACAGGCGTGGTGGATCCGGGGAAAGCGAAGCCTCGGCTCGGACTCAGGTGAAGAACATGGGGTGCATAAGCGTATCCGTCGTAATACAGATTTAATCGTGTCTGATTGGTCACTTCGGCCGTGCCCCCTACCGTTTACGGCTGCTGGACCGCGGGTAGCCCTCCGATAAGGCTCAGGTGTTGCATGTGCCTGGAGCGATAACGAAGTTTGTTTGAGGGGGGACTTCGGTTCATTGCGTACGAATAGTAGCGATGCGATTAGTAACCACCATATGTAGATGGAGAGTGTAGGATTTATTTTTAGGGACTTGGCTATATCATGTGAACTTTGCTATATTCCCAATACAACTAAGGTATCTATAAGAGTATTCAGAGAAGAAAAAGGCAAATCATACCTGTATTAGATCGGATTTAAGGGGACTTTTCATATATGCTTGAAAATTGAAGCTGTTAAACTATGCGAGTATTCTTAACCCAGCTTCCCCTTTCTTTTTTACTTAAATCCAAACCTAAACCTAATTGTAGCCCTTAGAAGAGTATAAACCAACTATATTTCCTCACATGTAACATCTTTCTCAAAGGTTATCAATTAGAGCAAATTATAGGTAGAAGATTCTCAACTTTATAAGAGAGACCCCCCTCTCCACTTAAACCAATCAGATACTCTACCTACCTGTTATAGTTAATTGAATATTAACCCGTGTCTAGCTCGCACTTTAGGAGATAGCAGAAGCCGAACCCATACTATCGGCTCATTCTGAATAGGCGAGGTTTCGCCGTGTTGTCGACTATAAATGGCCTTTAAGTCCGGCATGTTGGTTTAGTTGATGCGAATACATATAGTCGTGCTCGGCTTTAGATAAACGTATAGTAGTTAAACCCGCCGCAGAGAAGAGTTCGAAGTGACGAAACCGCTCAACGAGACCGAATAGTTTTCCCGCTAACTCCAGTAATCCAAATTCTCTAAAGAGAGGCACGCAGCTTTTACATCATGGGGAGCGGAGATTACAACACGCGAGACGCGGAGAATGTTCGATACGCAATATATTTCATCGGATTGAAGAAGCAGAACGAGAGTCGCGGTGTATATATACTTGATGTAGGAAGAGAAAGATTATACTATTGCATCTACAACTACATTGAAAGCATAGTAACAGGTACCTACTTAAGACACCAAGACAATGGCAACCCTGAAATTTCCCGAGCTTTCTGTCTACCGCTACTCAAGCAATGATCCAAGCAGGCGCTTTACGGTTACGAATCCTGCCACAGGCAAGGTACTCACCACAGTCCAAGGCGGAGACCCCGCCACCATCGACGCAGCCGTGCGCGCCTCGCAGGTAGCTTTCGAAAAGCGCTGGCGACCCTTAACTCACGCCCAGCGGTCGGCATATCTCCTCCGCTGTGCCGACGAGCTCGAGAAGCATCTCGACGAACTCTCCACCATGATATGCATGGAGAACGGGAAGCCCTTCCTAGATGCCAAGCAATTCGACTGCGGCGTCCTCGTGCGAGCGTTCCGATTTTACGGGAGCTTGGCGGACAAGTTGCCTTCCGCGTTCTACGATAGGGGCCCCCTATATACGACTGTGATCCACGAGCCATACGGCGTGTGCGTTGGCATTCTGCCCTTCAATTGGCCGCCCATCTTCGCGGGCAGCAAGCCGGCGCCTGCGCTTGCGGCGGGCAATACGTTTATCCTAAAGCCAGGCGAGCAGGCGCCGCTGACGGTGCTTCGGATCGTTGAGATCCTAGAGCCTATCTTGCCGAAAGACGTACTGCTAGCCGTACCAGGGTTCGGGCCCGAGATTCCGCAGACCTTAGTGGCGCACCCACTCGTCAAGAGGGTTACCTTCACAGGGTCGACAGCCGCTGGAGCAGCGGTAGCACGAACTGCTGCTGATTCCATCACGCCAGTAGCGCTTGAGCTAGGGGGTAAGAACGCGATGACAGTTTTCGAAGACGCAGATTTCGATGCTGCGGTACGCACGGCGCTCGAAGGAGCCTTCTTTAATAAGGGCGAGGCATGCACTGCCAGCTCGCGCATCCTCGTGCAACGTGGCATCTACGACAAGTTTGTCGAGAAGTTGGCCGTCGGTGTGAAGAAGATCAAGATGGGCAATGGTCTCGATCCCACAACGCACGTTGGGCCGCAGATATCCAAGGTCGCACAGCAGCGCCTGCTGGATTATATCGCCCTCGGAGTGAAAGAGGGTGCTAGGATCGTCGCGCAGGCTGAGCTGCCTTCTGATCCCGAGTGCAAAGACGGCTTCTTCATCCCTGCGACTCTCTTCGCAGATGTAACTGAGGATATGCGGATCGCTAACGACGAGATGTTCGGTGCCATTGGTAAGGTTAATACTCAACCAGGTGCTCGGTAGGAATTTCCTAGTTGGCTAACTAACATGCGTCAAATAGTGACCGTTACACCATTCGACACTTTCGACGATGCGGTTCGCATCGCAAACTCGGTAGAGTACGGCCTAACGGCTGTCGTCTTTACCAAGGATCAGGTGAAGGCGAATCGCTACGTCCGTGCGGTCGAAACCGGAATGGTAAGTTGCGGATAGCGCGACGCATTCTTATAATACACACCGGCGAGGAGACTAACCACTTCATAGGTTTGGGTAAACAACTATAATAGAAACGTGGTGGGCACACCGTTTGGTGGTGTGAAGCATTCCGGCTACGGCAGAGAGCATTGCATAGAGACGTTGTACGAATTCACTCAACCCAAGGCCGTACATTCGCCTTCTGGCATGGTTGATATTCCGGAGTGGCGTGGTGTGGTTGACATTTTTGGACACAGTGGAAGTGAAGTTGTCTAATATTGTTTGGAAATTGGAAGATTGTTAATAAGGTGAAGTACATAGTAGGTAAATGTTATCATTGGTTAGAGTGATGGCTGGTGTAACGGATAAAGCTGACCTATGATAATAATAAAACTTCCGATTGGCTCTTATGAATACTCCGATAAGTCCGGCCTCGCTTTGGTCAACTATGTGAGATAAATGCTTATCTTCATTATGAGGTAATGTCCCGAGACTAGTAGCTTGAATTAACCTAAACTTACATGTGCTTGCAATTTATTTTACATCACTCACTTGTATCTACAAACCCACACTCTCCATACTAGATTCGCAGAATCTCACGAGCTTTAAGCATTTTTCATTCGTCTCATACTAACTAGGTGACTGGATGATAGCTACTAAGGCTTCTCTTCCAATCCTGTCGCGGTATGTCGATTTTCATATCTCTTTCCAACCGGAGAATAACATCCTAAGGCTGTAACCTCCTTCATCCCCACCCTACAAACTTCCATTACCCATCTTTTTGCACCCTTTTTTCCGCTGTCCCGACAGTCCCGGCAGCGGCAGAGAAACAGTTAAATCGGAGCCTGAATGGTCCCCTGATGGGAATCATCTAGCCAATCAGATACATCAGTCTATCAGCGTGGCATTCTTAGCATTCTGCTACGTTAGTAACGTCTGCCAATCGATGATATCTGGGCTGATACCATTAGACCGCAATACATTGTCCTACTTATAAGTTATAAGTACCTACCTTAATTAGCCATCACGGTCTCAATGGATGCGGCGCTAAGCTACATATACTTGAGCGTCTATTGCGTCTACTAACTCAAACTAAGTGGTAGGAGCTTACATGATAGTTGTGGTATAATCTTCGCATTTGTTCCCTCCTCTATACATTATCCTATCGTGCCAAGCAGGTCTAGGTTTATTTAGTTCTATCGCTGTACCACCCGTATAATTTCATACAAAGATATCAAAGGCTAGGCAATTGCCGGCTCATGCAAGGCACCTCCCTACCTACTACCTTAGCTATCCTCACCCAGTGGTAGCTTCAGCTTTGCTTAGCTTTATCCACAACTCCACTACATTCGTGTTTCTGACCCATTCTTCTATTTTAACTGTAGTGCTCGCTCACATCTTTCAGCCCCTTTTTTTTATCCTTCCATGGTAGACTTTACCCAAACACTTTACCTATACATATTAACTTACCCTACTTTTTTACTTTGATATTCTAAAGAGATTCTCAAGCGATCAAATAAGCCAGGACCTAAACAAGTATGGATGCTTACTCGATCTCTTTCACTAGCGTTTCCCAACGAAGCTTCTCACGAGTCTGGAGAGACCTCAAGTCCTGCCGCCAGTACAGCATCGTAGAGATGACCGAAGACGTCTCGGAGACACCAAGCTTGGGGCAGAGGATAGGAGAGGTATAATCCGACCCTAGTGAAGCTCTTGGGTTTATCATGTGAGCGAGGCACCCATCGGTGATAATGATGTATCAAATTGGCTAGATGCGGCTCAGTCTCCTCATAGTGCTAGTACTCAGATGAGTGTTCCCTAATCGCCTGATACTAGACTCACACGTTTAATAGCGTCGAGCGCGGAGTTCCGGTCGCAAGCCTCGTGTCGCGGTTATTGGTGCGGGTTTGGCTGGGCTACGTTGCACTGATATCCTCCTTCAGCATGGGTTCGAAGTAACTTTGATCGAAGGCCGAAATCGACTAGGGGGTCGTGTACACCAGTCAACCTTGCCATCGGGACACAAAGTGGATGCCGGACCCAATTGGATCCATGGCAGTAACGAAAATCCCATCTTGGACCTTGCCAAAGAAACCAAGACTGTGGTTGGAAAGTGGGAAGAGAAAAGCTCCGTCTTTGATGAGGATGGCAAACAGGTCCCTCTGTCCGACGCCATGGTCTACTCGACGATTATGTGGGACATTGTGGGAGATGCGTTTGCGTATAGCAATAAGAATTCTGCCACGATAAGTCCCGATGAGAGTCTCTGGGACTTCTTCCAGAGGGAGGTCCCCAAAAGGATACCAGACAGCGATGCAAACTTCGAGAAGAAGAGAAATATTGTGTATCAGCTCGCAGGCCAGTGGGGAGCATTTGTGGGAAGCCACATTCTCACGCAAAGCTTGAAGTTCTTCTGGTTGGAAGAGTGTATAGATGGCGGTGAGCTGACAAAAGAAATCCGACTTTACTACAGCCCTTTGCAAGTGCTGACAAGTTGCAGAGAATCTGTTCGTCGCAGGTACCTATGAGAAGATTCTCCAGCTTGTCGCAAAGCCAGCTGTCGAAGGAGCAAAGATCAAATACGAGACGATCGTCAATAAAATACAGACTACCAACGACGACGGTGGGATGTTAAAAGTCCACACCGAGAGCGGGGAAATTCTGGAATTTGATGAAGTCGTTCTTACTGCACCGCTCGGCTGGTTAAAACAGCATTCGGATGCTTTTGAGCCAGCTCTTCCGTCAAGATTGGCTAAAGCTATCAAAAGTATAGGATATGGCTGTCTTGAGAAGGTAATTCCTCATTGTATACACGATGTATTTATCCGATTTTGACATTTGTGCAGACCTATATCAGCTTCCCGAAAGCATTCTGGGTCTCCGCTCAGCCCAAGGATAGTACAGTTCAGGGATTCTGCCAAATGCTTGCCCCAAGCTATGCGACCGAGTCGAATCCACACAAGTGGAATCAGGAATTCGTCGAATTGGCTTCTCTAGATCCCTCTGCGGCCCATCCGACACTTCTTTATTATTTCTACGGTGATCAGTCAAAATTCATCACTAGCGAGCTGGCAAAACTTCCCTCGAAGGAGAAGCAGGACGCGTTCCTAATTGATTGGTTCAAGCCGTATTATTCACGTCTCCCGTATTATGACGAGAACTCTCCGGACTGCCAGCCGGTAGGCTGCTACGCAACTGAGTGGCTCAACGACGACCTTGCAGGCAACGGCAGTTACAGCAATTTTCAGGTAGGTCTCGAGGAAGGTGATGTGGATATCAAAACCATGAGACAGGGCATTCCAAACCGAGGTCTCTGGCTGGCCGGTGAACACACGGCACCTTTCGTAGCCCTGGGAACAGCTACTGGTGCATATTGGAGTGGCGAATCGGTTGGGAAGAGGATCGCCCAGGCTTACTCTAGAGGAGAAGGCGGTGTTATGGTTTTGAACTAATCTAATGGGGGACTTCATGCCACGGGAAACGGCAGGGGAACAGTAGAGCGGTATTGGTTATAAGGGTTAGCGTTGAGAGGCATAGAAATCACCACTGGATTTAACTTGGTGGATTTGGCCTTTGCGGGGAGCATATAGATGCGTAGCCTAGGCAAGTAGAAGCGTATTGATAGAGGACTTAACAAATGGTGTTACTAGCAATATCGCACCACTTAGCAAATCTTGATGATATTCTGTTCGTCATTTTTATCTGCTGGCGAATATGTAACTCCTAAAAACTATTAGGCATAGCTATCCCGAGGATGATATGTAGTAGTAAGGGTACTAAATGAATGTCATACATAGAGTGAAAGTCAGGATAGATATAATTGAACTATTAACGCCTGCCTTCTACCCTCTTACGAGGGCGCTGCGCGCCTCTTATGTATATACCCAATCCTAGTAGATCTACCCCTAATCCACTTATATGTACTCTGATAACCATGCTTTATAATAGTACGGTTCCCTTCCTAGAGAGATATATTAAGTATGTAGGCAGAATCCGACTCTTAATTAGTATCACGATCTAGCTGTCAGGGTATAAGTGGGTAGAGGTAGCTAACAGGGGTCTATCTACTATATAAGAGGCGCGCAGCGCCCTCGTAAGAGGATAGAAGGCCAGGCGTTACAAGTTCAATACTATCTATTACTTGGTCTACCTACCCTAGACATTCACTCTGTGTATGACATCAATCGACGGGTATAAATCCTGACACTAGCTTCCAAATATGTGTTTACGAGTGTATGGGGGGTTTCACTAACATATTGTTGATTAGGTAGGTACTTAAGCCTATTGCTTTCAGGGGCTCTATTAGTATTCGTGTCGTGTTATACTTCTTTACTACTATCGCTCAAATTTGTAGACTTTTACTGCTAGATATGCCGCTATAGTTGGTTGTCGCTTTTTTCTTCCTTTTTTATATGGCTCTTGTCTTTTGTATCGCGAACTTGGAGTTTATATACTTGTGTCACTATTAAAAACTCAGGTCGACTTCATCGTATCATATAATTATCGGTCTAAACTTGTATATATAGTCGAGTAGTCTTTAGTGTACGAGGTAGCTATAGTCATTAGCTCTGCGTAAGTGAAATGCCATTGAAATTATTCCCTTGTCCCTAGAATTATTTATGCTGTGGCTTGATCTAGATAGTATTAACGACACAGAATAAAACAGCGTCGTATAAGTATAAGATATACGTCCCCTAAGCAGTTATTGGTATTTTTCTAATTAATACATTTATGTCTGCTTCGTAAAACTGAAGAAAGTGAAGATATTGGGATCCGAAGTACCTATCGTCCACTTTGTCGGTCACACGTTGGACGGTACTATTTCGCCTCAGAATTTAGGCCACGTTATCCTCTAGACCCCTTATAACTTAACCAATCACGGCCTCTTCCTATATTGCCTTACCTGTGCATAATTCCCTTTGCCCCAGCATCTAAGACCCTTCAGATTGCAATGTATCTAGTATATACCGATCGCCTCTTTGGACTCGGCTAGATCCCTTGATGTTCCAATAGAGCACACGAAATAGTGCGAGAGCGAACTTGGGGTAACTATATAACCTATTTAAACCGTGCATATAAATACTGTAGGCTTTAGTTTCCGTTTGTAATAAGCTGGCGGCTCAATTTCTGGGCAATATAGCTATTTCGTGCTTTTATAACTCCGGCTCAAAGTTCAATTCTAGAACTTATTGGCATTGTCTCATGACTACCGCGCCGGTATAAGAAACTGAAGAGGATTGGATAAGTAGAAATAAATTGATGGCATCGTTGTTGAGGAGTATATTCCAAAGACCTCTAGGAGTTCATAGTTCCGGTTGTTATTTAGACTATGTTGGGATATTTAGATGCTGGCCGAACGCCGAACTATAGGTTTGAAGGCTTTTGCTGCGAGAATAACGCTTTAGATAGACAAATGGGCTCAAACCGCCTCGGATCGCGTCATATCTTAGGTCGTACTCGTGAGGCTACTTAGGCATAGTAAGAAGACTAGCCGGTTGTTAGGTTTACATAGAAAAGTACCTACACTGGTAGGTTAGCCGCGAAATCGTCGTCTATCTTCAACGTATACGGAGTTTTGGATATGACAAAATCTCGCGCGCGGTTGAGTGAACCGCGAGGACCGACACCTAGGGTTCTCCCATCGGGCAGATCCTACCAGGTGGCAAGCTTAGTGGGTTGATTATGATATGTGCTCGACAACAAGTCTAGTCACATTTCCTGGTTACGGAATCCCATCGGAATCACGTTCCGGGACAGCTTACCGGATCAAAAATGCCTTTCACGCGGCAACACGCCGCCACCTTCGCATTTTCTAATTCCGTCGACGCAGCCAAGACCCTCGTCAATTGGATGCCGAGATGTGACGTCTGTTCCCGGAGTTGGAGCAGATCTGGGATGTTTAGCCGGGGCCTCTGATTCGCCGGATGGAAAACCGTTACCTCCTTTGCGGCTAAATGGGGAGAGGACCCTATTCTGTTTCGCAGGGCAGACCTATCATAGCGTGTGTTTCACCTAAGAAGGGACTTTAGCCAAACAGAGAGGCTTCTGCCTCTGTCGCTAGTAGGACGGTACCTTGCTTCTCTTGGCTTAACTTCCTAGGCATTGCCCGTTGCATATTATCTCCCATGGGGAAGCAATCTATCCTGCTGCAGATCGCTCCATATGGGGAAATCTTGGCATTCTCCGTTTATACATGTCGCCGTGAACGAAGTTACTATAAGCCGCTAGGCTTGGTTCACTGTGACTTTGTGCACTACCTATCCCGGCGAGCTCTCTTGTAATGCTTGTAGTTTACCAATTTCGAGCAGTAAATGGCTCCATACACCGGCCCCCACGGATCTCGAGGTTGCTATGTAAAGTTGAATGAGCTGGAAAATAGTTGAGGGTAGCCAGCTGGGAACTAACCAAGGCTGCATGAACAAGAACCTATAGCATAGATTGAGGCTTCCAAATCCCTTTCCCCACACAACCTCAATAGGCCCGAACGGGTAGTTATACAGATGGTAAATTAAGATCACCGTAGGGAAAAAAATACCAGAGGCATCCAGTCTGGCCATGTGGTATTCACGGTGGCCAACAGGACCCCGCAATTTTCCCCCGCGACGAAGGAGCTTACCGATAGAGTCTATATTCGGAGTAGACAGACCGAGATCTTTCGCGTTTGACGGGCCTAGTTCCTGATTGCCACTCCATGCACATCGAGTAAAGATGCATATGGATCTAAGGTCCTGGGGTAGCCACCTCCGCCATAACGGCCAGTATAAGAAGCTCAAGGTTCCCGTCCCGAATATGTTCTTGATTCCCTTCTTACCGCACTCGCTCATTACAATCTAAAAGGCTATATCCGGGTCGAATCGAATATGAAGGTCACCACTGCCAGTGTTGCGGCTTTAGCCGCCGGTGCTATTGCCGCGCCCTCAAACACCACCCCTCGCTCAGCTAGCAAGGCTGCTGCTGCTTGCTCCTCGGCTGTCACCCTTGACGCCAGCACCAACGTGTTCAAGAAGTACAAGTTGCACGCCAACACCTTCTACCGTGAGGAGGTCAAGAAGGCCGTTGAGCAGATGACCGATGCGTCCTTGAAGTCTTCGGCCGAAAAGGTTGCCGACGTCGGTAGCTTCTTGTGGCTGTAAGTCTGAGAAAACGCTGGTGAGAGTGGCATTAGCAGCTAACAAGGATTATAGCGACAGCATCGCCAACATTGCCAAGTTCGACCCCGCCGTCGCGGACCTTCCTTGCGAGAACATCCTTGGTCTTGTCATCTACGACTTGCCCGGCCGTGACTGTGCTGCCAAGGCTTCCAACGGTGAGCTCAAGTACAACGAGCTCGACCGATACAAGACTGAATACATCGACCGTGAGTTGATACTAGCACCGATTTGGAGTGAGGACCCCAAACTAACCTTACTGTAGCCATCGTCGCTAAGATCAAGGCCAACCCCAACTCGGCTTTCGTTCTTCTGATTGAGCCCGACTCTCTCCCCAACTTGGTCACCAACGCCGACCTCAGCACTTGCCAGGAGAGCAAGACCTCCTACGAGGAGGGTGTCGCTTACGCTCTTAAGAGCCTCAACCTTCCCAACGTCGTTATGTACATCGACGCTGGTCACGGTGGCTGGCTCGGCTGGGACGCCAACCTCAAGCCCGGTGCTGAGGGTCTTGCCAAGGTTTACAAGGCCGCCGGCAGCCCTAAGCAGGTTCGTGGTTACTCCACAAACATTGCTGGCTGGAACTCTTGGGACCAGGAGCCCGGTGAGTTCTCGGGTGCGTCCGACGCGAAGTACAACTCGTGCCAAAACGAGAAGACGTACGTCACCAAGTTCTCGGCTGCCCTTAAGACGGCTGGCTTCCCCGAGCACGCCATCGTCGACACTGGCCGTAACGCCGTTACTGGCCTCCGTGAGGAGTGGGGTGACTGGTGCAACGTTAAGGGTGCCGGTTTCGGTGTCCGCCCGACTGCTGACACTGGCCTCGAGCTGGCTGATGCCTTCGTCTGGGGTAAGCCCGGTGGTGAGTCTGACGGTACCAGCGACTCGAGTGCTACCCGTTACGACTCTTTCTGCGGAAAGCCCGATGCCTACAAGCCCTCTCCCGAAGCCGGTGACTGGAACCAGCCCTACTTCGAGGAGCTTCTCAAGAACGCCAAGCCCCAGTTCTAAGCGGTTGGCATGGACAATCGTGGCATATGCGTCCGACCTGGTGGTGCAGCTGGTGGGACGACGCTCAGCTCAGCTCAGCTCAGCTCTGTTTGTCTATCTACCTCCTAGGTGGGCTAAGCGAGCTAAGTGATACGGGCCGATTGTAAATAAAGGAACCTGGCTGTTCAGACCGTAGACGCTCTTTTTTCCTCCATGAAAAACTCTTGTACTGAAGTCTGAAGATTCAAACTGTATATAGCTTTTGTGCAGTACATACACAACTTTTCCCGCTTTTCCCTCAAAAAGGTCAAACTATTCGTTAGTGATGCTGACTAAATGATGCGATGCATTAAACCATGAGACTCTAAACCATATGCGGGTTGGTGAAAGGGGTGAAGGCTTTTAGTACGACGGATATACCCGTACAGAACCCACAATTATTAGTGCGTCGCTGTTACTCGCTCCTAATGAAAACGCAAATGGACAGGAAATTGCAAGGAAAAGCAACCACTTCGGCGCTCTTTCTCGAAAGATTAGGTACCTGTAGGAGGTACCTAACGAGTGAATTATATTCAAATTTTGTAAGTACATAACTGGTTTTGCAAACGTAAGACCATAATGACTAATCTCGCCTGTACAACCACTCCACGTATCCGCCTTGAAGCCCAACTTGCACACCCCCCAAATCCTAAACTCGTAAGTCCAAACTTGTTCTTCCTTACTTTTATTAGCACCTACTAATCACACCACCTCGCAATCTCACCGCCATACTTTGTAAAGTCCAAGTCCGTTGCGATAACCTCAATTCGCTCAAGGGGAGAACCCTTTTAGGCGAAATGATGGAGGAGCAGGGAAATTCCTCATCTAGCAGCTATGAAGATGCCCAGGACAACGGATACTCGCGAAAGGGTCGACGTTATGGCCTTGTGAGCGATTTCCTCGCCAGGCTTGAGCACTTCACCTGGGCTAATTACACATTCCCCATGTCCACCGGAGGCCTTGCTTTACTATTAGCAGAACAAACTCAGGGCTTTACGTTCCCGGGCCTTCAGACAATCGGAAAAGTAGTTTATATATTTGACCTTATTGCTTTCACGCTTGTCACGGCCGCCATTACTTATCGCTTCGTCAAGTTCCCTGGTACTCTAAAGGCCTCAATTACCCATCCAACCGAAGCGCTGTTCCTCGGAACATCGACCCTTAGCGTAGCATCTATCATTGCCGGCATTGCTCGCTATGGAATTCCCTCCTGTGGACCGTGGCTTGTCACGGCGTATAGAGTCTTATTCTGGATATACTTCGTGACCACATTTGCAATCGCGGTTGGCCAGTATTCTCTACTCTTCACCTCACCTCTCCTGAAAATTCAAGATATGACTCCAGCTTGGGACCTTCCTATATTTCCCTTCATGTTATCTGGTACCGTTGCCTCGTCAGGCGCCGCTTTACAACCGCCAAATGAGGCCGTCCCTATGATAGTTGCCGGCCTAACTGCCCAAGGTCTTGGGATGTGCGTATCAATCATGATGTATGGTGCGTATTGTCTCTAACCTTATATTCCTCATTATGCGCGGATACTAATCGGTTTACAGTACGTATTGACATCTCATTCTTTTAATGCAAGGTTCTCTTCGTTCGGTTTAATTACAGAACGTTCACAAGGGATTTGGGATTTTTAGGGGAATTATTAACGCAGAATAGGCCAGCTATGTACGACGGATGATACAGTGGGGATTTCCATCACCTAATTCACGACCCGGCATGTTCATAGCGGTTGGGCCACCTTCATTCACCGGCCTCGCTATCATCGGCCTTGCGAATGACTTCCCACAGCACTATAATTACTTCGGCGCCGACTCTATTACTGTCCAGATTCTACGAGTGCTAGCAACTACCACGAGCATATTCCTCTGGTCGCTTAGTTTATGGTTCTTCTGTATCTCCGTAGTGGCTAACCTTGCCATCAGAAAGCAGCTAACGTTCCACCTAAATTGGTACGCCTATGTGTTCCCAAACGTTGGGTTTACGATTTCAATCATTGCTATCGGCAAGAACCTGCAAAGTCGAGGGATTATGGGGGTTGGCAGCGCAATGACTCTAATGCTGGTTGCGATGTGGATCTTCGTGTTTATCCACCACGTAAAAGCTATCATCAACCAAGAAGTGCTGTTTGAAGGTAAAGACGAGGACGTCTATGTTAATGAGAAAAACCACGCCCACGTCAAGCCTACGAAAAGCGGCAGCGACATAGAGAAGGAGGCATGATTGAGATTCTAGTTAGGTAGGTATCTAGGTACCTATCCTACCTAATGTCGTTCCGTTCTCACAACGAGGCCGGATCTTAGGGATATTATGCCGAGGCATATATCTTCACGGTTGTTACGAAACGAAACGAGCTTATGATTACTCAGACTCTGATATATTTAGAGGAGTTGGATGCTACTCAATGAGGTATAAGTAGAATGGTTTGTTCGCTGATTATAATAATAATAATGACAATAGACACTTTAACAACGGATATTAGGAACTAGATGGATTCTAATGTGACACGTCAATTTAAGTATTTGTACTTAAGCAGCGTATATCAACATGTGTGAGCCCCATGCTCATGGTATATACGACTAACCTAAGCTACTTCAAATACCAAACTTTTTATGGCGGTCTACTAAGTCTACCTATGTAGGTAGTTTGTACTACTACCTAATCCGCTAATAGTAACAACATGCGAGTATAAGCCGACGTGGGCAGGCCTCTCGTCATACTCCTCTGTGCCCCTCAACGGCCAGTCACACACATACCACAATTGAACAAGTGCGCAGAATTTTTGCAATTGGATTTTAATATCCGCTTATGAAGTCCTCGAGCGCTAGATGATCGGGTGATAAATACGAGAGCAAAAATAGCTTTCCCTTTTCAGGCTGCTCAGCCGTATAGCCTCATACAAGGTTCTGGCCCGACTCAGCTAATCGGGGAGAAGATTTGTTCGCGACAGTCGAGCTCGTGATGCTAGGATTTACATAGTGTACCAAAGATGAAATGCGGAAATATCACGATGTTACGAGGCGAACTCATGCTAGAAATATCGTGGCGTGGGGGTTATGATATATATAAAGAGGGAATTATTGATCGATAGAAACTGTTAGACATTCTCGCCGCTAGTATTATCTACAAGCAAGTCTCAAGGTCAAATTCTATCAGGTCTTACCTTTGCAATTATATTAGTTATCACTAAATTTTTTATTATTATACCATTTAAAAACACCTATTCAAGATGCTCTTCACCACGTACCTCACCGCCTTCATTGCAGCGGCAGTGAAATCCGTCTCCAGCACCTGTCTCCAGCACCTGTCTCCAGCAGCCCCCGTCCCCCATCTAGTCGCCCGGCGGCAACTACCCGATGCCCATCGACATCACGGAGACGCGGCCGAACCAGATGACCTTCACCATCCCTGCCAACGAGACGGGGCCGTGCTAGCTCGTCGTCGACTTTCCCTACGGCTACCCGATGACGAGCACGGAGTCCGACCTCGTGTACGTGGCTGCGCTCAACGGGCCGGTAGAGGTCGAGTTTGAGCAGACGCTGGATGCGGGAATGTTCTATGTGAATGAATGGGGCGTTTGGAGTATGGTATTATATGAGTTAGGTGATTAACTTCATATTGTGTTTTCGTCGTTGATGGGTTAAAGTTGAATGAACGGTAGCTTGTCACTCTTTGGGTATCATTTAATGAATTATAAATTGCGGTAACTCTTACACTTAATTACATCATAGAAAAAATTGCATCGAATATAATTATAAGTACTATAATTTGAGTCCAACCCGTGAGTGAATGCGTATATAGAAAAGGGGGGAGGAGGGAGTAAAGGGGGCTAGTATCACTTAAATTCTATTAGGTACCTCCTATCGTGATATCATCCAACCTCAACTCTATATTACTACTGAAGGATATTCTAGGATAGTTTCCATGGCGATTTACTTGGTGGGTCTATCATTCACTGTTTCTATATATTGTGAATTAGAGACTATTAGTCTACCACGAGTTAAAGACCCCAATCACCGCATCGCTACTAGTGGTCTAATATACCTGCCAGTCATAAGAATGGTAGCAAGTGATTCCTTACTCCATAGCGTAATGTATAAGTATATAACATCTCCCAATTTTACTTACAGATTCCTCCTTTTCCCGTCCATCATCGAGTTCTCCTTACCCTCCAGCAACACCAACAAGAGACATATCCATACCCTAGCAAAAACACAGCCAACCAATATGCCTTCCGTCTCCACAGCAGGATATACACCTACGGAGAAGGATCTTCACGAGCAATGGCTCTACACCAAGCCTCAATTTACTAGCATGCTCCCTAGCTGCTACTGTACCTGCGAGCAACGCCTCATCAGCATCTGGCCCCAAGAATACGTAGCCTACGCAGACACTCCCCAAGAAATAGACCGTCTTGATACCCTGGACCTAGTTCTCACCGTTCTCAAGGTCGTCGTATACCCAAATCAGTACAAGAATGCCGCACATCTCGACGAAAGCGTCTTAGCCGCTGCCCAGACATTGGGCGCCTGGAAGAAATACTTCCACTGCGAAATGTACCGGGAGGACGGCACGCTGATAAACAAGGCCCTCTGGAAGCCGACTATTCGGCTTTCACATCCGGGCATGGTTAAGGGATCAAATATCCGGTTTCAGTTCAAGCCCTTCGAGGAGCTAGTTGAGATTATCGAAAGCAAGATGCAACAGTGCAGGTTTCTCCAGTGGCGTTAGGTCCCCCCTCCCCTTTAGGGCAGTTGGTTAGACCACTACTGTCGATGCCCGTAGCCTGGATTACCAACATATCAACTCACCTTAGACACTAGATGTTCATAGTGTATTTCAACTTCAACTGCGATAAGTCATCTACATAGTATTCCTTAATACACTATCCACATTTTATCAAACCTCACGACCCAAATTTACTACCCTTCGTGAATATATATACGTATTAGCTATAAACGTGTCTATGCTCTCTAATATTATTTCGTATGCCAGTATTCTACCAGCACTCAAGCTCTTTGTATCCTGATAGTTCTATATAGCAATATCCACTAACTACTAGAAAAAGAAAAGTCCGAAACTTTCGAATTCTCTCCACTACGGCAGCCATACAGAGTATATATAGTATGACTTACTTCCAATCCAATTATGAACGACCTGCCTTGGTGGTATCAATACCGCGCCTCTCCTCTCGATTCCAGAATAGAAAAATCGTTCTTACGATAAAAGGGGGAAAATCGCTCCCCTCCTTTCACCCATCCTAACCCCCGCGAGCACGCTCGCACCTGCATTTTGGCCCTTTCCCGCGAATTCGAAAACCCTGAGGGTATAATCTAAGTAGTACAGAGTTCTCTGTCTGGCGATACGACAGAGGGTATTCTAAAACAAAAGGAAAAAACAACGCCGCTTGTTTTCAACTATCCCAACCAATATATGCTTTCATTATGCTAATCGAAGGCAGTCGTAACTCATAGCTTCCTAAACGGGCCAGACTGACTAGCCGGTTTGGTTTATGATAGGGTATTAGATGTCTCAATCGGCGCCGATGGTGTAGCTTCTCGGTTGCGGGCTCACCGCACCACTACCGCTCATGCTGACGCTCGCGCTACCAGAGAAGTAGCTCTGATCAATTCGAGAGATCCAGTCAAGCTTCTCGCGCTCATTGCGAGCCGCAAACAGCCACGTGTTGTCTGTCCCATAAACAGCAAAAACGCCCGCCTGCAGACGTTCGCTTAAGCCGCCAAGACTAGGACCTGAAGACCTGAAATTTCCAGACCAAACGGTTGAAATGGTCCGACCTGACGGTGTCCGATGATGGCCTGGTTGGAAGTTCTCGCGAGCATTACCATTTGTTGGAGTTAACCCATCTGGTTCGTCATCGTGGCCATTGAACAGTGATAGAATCTCTGGCTGGCTATCAACCCTAGAATTGCGAAGACTAACGATCGCCACCTCGTCGCCGTCACTAACGTCATGGATATGGAGATAAGGTCTTCGGAGCTCCACAAATCTCTTGATCCATTTGTTGTAATCATTATTGGGGACAAAAAGATAGCCTCCTTTTAGGACTTTCGGGTTTTTCGGAACTCGGATGATGGTAGAGATCAACCTGGGCGGTGTCACAGACTCAGGTGCGACGCCATCTGAGGGAGGTGCTGTATTTGCTGGGCCAAGGATCCGGGCTGTAGGATCCGGATGTCGCGACCAGAGCTTTATGCATTTGTTGAGGATAAGGATTTCGTGCTCGTTATACTCTGGCTCTTGGGGCTGTACAGGTGGCTGCTCAGAAGATTGCTCGGGCTGTTCAGACGGCTGATCTACCTTGTCGCCCTCGATCGACTCTGGCTGCTTCGGCGTGGACGGCCGCGATGTCTCTGGGGTATCGTTAAGGAGTGCATTGATCGAATCTTGATCATCATCACGGGTCTGAAGCTCCGGGGAAATATCATCATCGGAGTTATCCTCATCTTCAGCAGGCTTTTTCTTTGGCTCAGGTAGGCCAATCTTCTTGAGGAATAACTGGGCTGCCGCGATCTCAGTAATGCGTCTCTTTTTCTTCCGTGCAGTAATGTAATCGCCTATTAATGAAACTCCCCTTGGGCCCCAGTTGCTCAAATTCTCTTCGCCCTTTACATAGCTATGCAAACTATTCATCCTCCATAAATCGCCGACCCGCTTAATAGGCGCCGGTCGCATGCCTAAGGTGAAGATAGCTGTAGAAGAATGCACGATCCTAACATGCTGAAATAGAGCCGATAGCATTGACGTCTGCCGGACAAACGTCCTGCCCAAAATCTGGCAGTAAACGTTCGTCGAGAACTTCATTGGCTCAGCAAGATTGTCAGCAGTTATATCCCAGGACAGGGTCATCTGCACTTTGTATTTGTCTGCTGTCGTGCGATCAAGCAAAAGAGAATTGTGTAAGCTGGAATCCCATTGCCCTGTAATAGCCATGCTTCGCGTGCCGTTTGCGTTTTGGCGGCAATAGGGTTTCGCGCTCAGTCTTAAGGGGATATCGGGCGCAGGTGATCCCATATCAGGATTTTTGCCGGCGTGGTCGACAAGCTGGATCTTGCCAATGCGAACCGAAATGATATCCTCCCATGGCAACGTATCTCCCGAGCTATGTGCGAGGTTGATCGCCACCCGTCTCTGAAGTCCTTGGTGCAATTGAAAAGTACCAGTATCGAGCTCACTTGTTTGCGTGACCTCCACAGGAACATACTCTCCGTTCTCGTTAAGTTCGAGGATCTGGAGCCGGGCAAGTATATCGTGCTTCTCCTCGGTGTAGAACTGTGTTTCATTTATTCGTGCGCCCGGAGAATTGTGCTCGGGGTTGGGAGTGGCGTCACGCATCTCATCCCAACTCAACAATTTGTCGAGATGCATCGTAGAAACCTTGGCGAAAATAGCAATCCTAAGATCGACGTCTCGAGACCCAAACAATGGAACGCTCATGCTATGGACACTGTCGAATCGTATAGGGCCTTCGTCGAAATCCTTGATCATTTGAGTTGTAGTGACGCTATCTGAGACACCGGGGATGAACAACTGCGCATGTACGTCAGTTCCCTCTCGCTCAGCAAAGCCAATCATGTCGTGCATAACAACATTGTATTTTAAAGTACTCGAAGGAGCTCGGGCGCTAGAAGGTTCCAAGGATACTTTAATGATACCAATGGCATGGGAAGTATGAGGCGATAGGACGTCCAAGGTGAAATCCTGGACTCGGCTATCGAAGACAGCTCGGAGAGGGACATCAACCTCACCGACGAGAGAATACTCGGGCATGCAATTCTCAACAAAGGGATTGTCTAGCTTGAAATGTTGAGAGTACTCCGGCTGGTCAAGATATTGATGCATCTGCCGCATCTGCCGCACGCGGTCATGGAGCTTTTCTAAGCTCCAAAGATGGACGACGGTGTTCTTGTAGTCGACAACGCGGACTCCTACACACGGCTTTTGAGCTTCGTCAAGAGCCGGGTCTTCACCCTCGCTTGGTACGTCGTTTAGCACCATATCGTAGGAAGAACAGCGCGCGTGACCGATATCCACAACCGTGAATTGGAACACAACGTTCTCTCCCAATTCCTCACTCATAATCTGTGCCTCCTTGAGGATAGTCGCATGTTGTAGGACGGCTTCGGCCATCTGTACGTAATGCCGGCCTCTCCAGTGCCCGATTGTCGTTTTAGCCCTCTCAATCTCCTCTTCAGTTAGTTTTGGTTTTGCCTTGGGTCTCTTCAAGGGGTCGAGCTTTTCAATCTTAGCCTCGAACTGTTGCTTTTGGGTTTCCAATTGCTTTTGCATGTCGGCTTTTAGCTGGACTAGAGTCTCTTCCATCCTAGCTTTCTCCTTTTTAATCTCCTCCACTTCAACGTTAGCCACGCCGGCGCTCTTGAGCTGCCCTTGGTATTCTTCTTTTTGCTTCTCCAGCTGATCTTGCATACTATCTCGCATTTCCTTAAGTCGATCGTCCCCTTCGCCGGCCTTCGGAGTAGACGGCATCGTAAGGGCCGTATCCAACGAGAGATTATCAATTGTGCCAGTCGACATATACTTTTCCCTAATGGGATAGGAAGTGTTAGATTCCGAATCGTCATCGCCTTCGCGATCATTGACGCGCTCAGCTCTAGCTCGCTGCACATCTTCGAACAACGCATTAAGCTCCTCGTCTGTCAAACTTTGAAGGTTCTTATCTGTTCCGAGGATGGCACCCGCGGCTTCTCGTCGTGCAAAGGACCAATCTGTATCACGTTCGCTTCGATACGGAGCGGGTGACTCTGGGCGACTGTCAGGAAACTCGGAACCAGCTTTACTGAAGGATCGATCGTGGCCTGGCCGCGGGGACGGAGATGTACGTTCCAGATCTCGCAACTGGCTTGCAGTAACGGACTGCCGAAGTAGACTTTGCCGGTTCTCGTCCCTTTCTGCACGAGCCTCCATAGGATGATTGAATCTGAATATATGAAAGTCACCCAAAATGACACGGAAGCCAGAATGCAATCTTGTCGTCTCTGCGATGCGCTTTCCGTTAACCATGATAGACGCGCCTTCGCTTGGTGTTATTGTAACAATGCCGTCTGAAGAATTGTCAAAGCAACAGTGCTCATGAAGAATTCGAGTGCCGTTGAGACGGATATTTGCCTGATGCTCCGAATTCGATTCCACATTTCCTACCGTCGTTCTGCCCGGCTTGAGGTTATAGACCAAACATTCCGCGAGAAGAGGGTCATCAGACAAGTTGACCAAGTGAGGCATCTTCTTGGGAGTATGTAATCCCACGAACCCCTTTTCAATGCTAATACCGAGTTCTTCAAGAGCAGCTTCTCGCTCCTTGTGGATCTCTTCCGTCTTCTGGAGTTTCTCTTCCCAGGTTTGGTTGAGATCGGTCAACAACTTCTCGCTTTGACTTAGCTGTTCAGCAATTTCTGCCTTTGATACCTTCTTGACAGAACCATCGGATTGCGTAATGCTGACGATCTGTTTCTCTAGAGGCGTACCTTCAGCATAGACTTCTTCTGGGGGGACAGCAGAGCCGCCGGAGCCACCGCCACCACCTCCCAATTTGCTTCGCAGTACTGATAACTCTTCCTTCAGTTCTCTAATCATGCGAGCATTCGCATCTTCATTAACAACAGCATGGTTCTTGATTCGCTTAGCGGAGTCAGCATATCGTAGAGTACTTAAAGTTTCGTCGTAGTTGATATCAGCCGGGCTGATTGCCGCAATCATAGCGGTCATACTGTTTCCACCGAGTGAGTCCTTTAGAAGCCACGTTAAAACACTATCTCGATATGGAACGGTTCCTCCCGGTCCTTTCTTCTTTTTCCCCGTTGAGAGGTCGGCTAATGCTGCTATCACACGGCCAAGCGTCGAGAGGGACCTATTGATCTCAGCACCTTCCTTTAGTCGAGCACCAGTAGCACCAGTTGACGTTGCTCTCTCCGAACCAGCTAAATCGACCAAGCTAATTTTCGCTTGCTTCTCCATCTCCATTTTCGTCTCGGTATCGTACTTCTTTTGTGTGAGCATAAGCGTGAACACGGCGTGACTCCTACTGGATGTTTCATTCATGTTTGTCGCAGCAACTGTTCTTGCCTTGTTGCCTTCGTCCATAAGGTGCTCGATCTCCTGAAAGCTGCTGACCACCAACTTGGCGAGATCCTCTACGTAAGGACCAGTTGAGGGGTGTTCTCGGACCTTCAGGTTCCCTTTTGTGGATGGGTTTAACAAATCCCGTACCCTTTCATTATAAATCTCGAGATACGACACTTCTACAGTACACCGTGTCGTCTTGTCTTTCTGCAGTTCTTCGATTCTCCTAAACATATCCTGGCAGATGTGGGGTATAATACCGGCCTCTTTGCCATATCCCATCATGGAATATGACTTACCAGAACCCGTCTGTCCGTAAGCAAAGATACAGTTGTTGTATCCTTGAAACGCATTGTCCAAAAGTGGTTTTCCAAGATCGCCATGTAAGTTTTCTTGGCCGGCGTAGTTTGGGTCGCTTTTGTTAAAGGACCAATATGACTTGTCAAAGGCGAACGCCTTCGGTGAGTTATCTTTTGATCCTTTGGGGCCATGAGCAGCTTCAGCGGGTGGTGTCAGAACCGTTTGGTTGCCTTTCATCTCAACAATACATTTTGCCCCACGGTCGATTTCTATACTGAGTTAGCATCCAGCCAGTCCAAGCGTAAAAGCCCGACAGAGTTATCTAAGTCTTATCAACCTAGCAAATAGTCACAACCGTACCTCTACTGTTAAAGGGCCGACATCTCACCACCACCTTAATATTTCCTCCACCGGCGGGCGCCATGGTAGCTAGTTGAAGGAGATACCCTCCTGTCCACTACAGCTATTCACCAAGTATGAAGTAGAGTCGAGGCATCCGACAGACAGGGCGCGCAACGATGGCTTTTAGTGGAGACGTTTGGTGTAGACCTCGCGTCACAACGACTCTCACGCCCCTCACTAATTTTTGAAAGATCGCAGTCGGATAACTAATTTGTCCAGCCTTATAATTTTTGACAGATCCTAGCTTAATAACAATCCTAACTATTCATTCTCCCTTTTATTACACGGGAACGGCCGCGAAACTCAATCCGTAGCTCCCGTAAAAGCACTTAGTACCGGATGGCGACGGTGGAGTCGTGAATGCAGGGAGCAGATCGCCAAAAGCAGCCAAGCGGCTGCAGGTTGCCGTAGAATGTGTATAGTGGGACGGCCAGATCGTGAGATGCAGAGGTGTGGGTGTAGTATGTAAGGCTTTCTTCTTCGCAGCAGGAGTCTATCGCAGAATGTCGGGCGTTGTCGTTGGTGGGATCAGTCAACAATTTGTTAACAAGTAAATGGTTGTAAATGGTTAATCGGGAACGCGATTCGCGACCGCCGGCTTCTCATTCGTCCCAGAAAGAGATAACTATGGGGCAAATGCCAAGAGATTCACGTGTCGGTATGATTAAACTCATTAGCTAAGATTAGGTGCTGACCTAGTTACAAAAGTTTGCGGTACTTGTCAGCTGTCTCGCCCCCGAACCAGTTGTAGTCAACTGATACCTGAGGATTAAATTTAGTACTCTTCCCCCCTAGTCTACCTTGTTGCATCAAGCCTCCAATAGGTAAACCTCAATTAATTAGGTACTCAATCAATAAGCCCCAATCAAGAATAGGCAAATAGTGATACTGTATACTAAACCAGACCCTATGGAAATAGGTGGGTCTACCATATCATCAAAGTCCGAGAGAATTTGAGAATGCATGCGACTTTTTTATTATGCAGATGATCCAGCTTCAAAGACCGCATAAAACTATCGAGTTTATCTATTTCAAACCTAAATCCTTCTCTAATTGACCCTTTGTAGTGGACGGGTAGAAGTCTTTGTTCTCCTTAAACGTCTTAACAGCCAGGTCCCTATCTAGCTCGTTCAACTTCCTGTACAAAGGTCTCACGAACTTCATGCGTCCGACGGAGCCGAGGAGGTCAACTATGCCAGGTAGCTCTTGTTTATCTCCAGCCTGGAGAGCGATTAGGTAATACGCCGATTTTAACTCGACGTTCTTTGAGGAACTAATATTATAAGTAGTTCCCAAGAGATGCGACTTCTCCACATTCAGAGGCTTCGAGAAGCTTTGTACCGCTTGCAAGAAGACAAGTGTCTGATTAGCCGTAAATGATTCGATGTCTTTACTGGTTGGTTGGTAATCCTGTAGATTGTGAGCTCCTAAGCAACAAGATTGTAGATTAAGTGTTAGGCAAGGCAAAGTCACTTACCTCATTTTCCCATTTCTTAGCTAGCGCAAGGCAGCTATCAACATAAGCCGTGTTGAAGACAGGCTTTGGCGGCAAGCCCGGCTCGTAGAACTTCTCGTCCCAAGGGATACTGGCAATCTTTTCCTTAATCTCCGAATTGCCATAGCTCTCGAAGAAATCCAGGAAAGTCTTCTTGAACTCAAAAGAATCCAGGGACTTATTAGCCCACGTCTTGAAGTAATGAGGGATGAACTTGTCGAAATGTTCCCTTCCGACCAATCGGTCAAGGTAGTAGAGGAAGTGAAAGCCTTTCTCGTATGGAATCGTACTGAAAGCATCCTCAGGATCCACCCCTTTATGGTTGATAATGAGTTTGGTAAACTCATGGTCAGACCCGAACAACGCGACAGAGTCCTCTATAAACCCGTTAGCGCTGAACAGAGAAACATACGTCGAATCACATACCAAGTGCCTTCCAGCCGATAATAGCTGAGAAGTCGAATTGAGGTTCGCCGTGAACGGCTGCGCCAATACGTCGCTCGAGGTAGGTTGTCCATCCCTCATTCAGCCAACTACAACCGTTTTAGCAGCATATCACGAAACAGTCATCGACGGGGAAACCTACAAGTGTTCCCAGGACGCACAGCCTACGAGATTACCACTCCAACTATGACTCAACTCATGTGCGATTACATCAACATTCTGGCGGTCTCCACTGATGATAGTGGGCGTAGCAAAAGTGAAGATGGGATTCTCCATCCCTACAGGTGTAAGTTAGCGAGATTCCAAGACTACCTCCTAAGAAGTCACTAGGAACCTTACCTCCGTAAGCGAAGCTCGGGGGCAGCACTAATACGTTATACTCTCCCCATTGGTATTCGAATATCAGCTTCTCTGCTACTTCGAGGAACTTGTCCATATCCGCTTCGAGTTCCCATTTTGCGCCCTCGAGTGCCTCGGGGCCGGTCGTAACGACAGATCGTTTCCCAATGCGTGCGGTTGCAAGGTCTCCCGAGGCTAGGGCAAATAAATACGAGGGGATAGGCACCTTTTGCTCAAAGCGGAACAGCTTGTCGCCATCTCCCTTGTTATCTGAAGGCACGGGCACTCCGCTAGCAACTACCGGTAGTGGCGAGGTGATGTTGAAAGTAAATGTTGACTTGACATCCGGAGTATCTTGACAAGGAAAAATAGATCGGGCTAGAATAGCTTGGCACTGGGAGTATACATATGGGTGCTTCTTGTTACCAGTCTGAGCTGGGGTCATCCATTGCAAACCAACGCAACTCTTGGTGGTCTCTAGAGCAATATCTAGCTTTATAACGTCACCCTGAGACACACCATTCGGTACAGAGACATGAAGCGGTGCGCCATAAGGCTCGACTCGATCTTTGACAGCCCATTCTGAGTCGGCCGAGTCAAGCTTGACCGATGAAATAGATAGGTGATTTGTATCGAGGATGATCTCACGGCTTGCTTTGTTGGTTAGAGACTCAAGCTCTAGGAGAACAGAGCCTTCTAGACGCTGCTTCTCAAAATTGACCTTGAAGTTTACGGTCGTGTGCTTGATGCCCCATTCGCCATAATTGGCCAGTGTGTTAGGGTCACGAGGTGCCATGGTTCTCTTCGAGGCAAGGCTAAAATGTCGTAAATGGATGTGTACTGATAATTTGCTGTTTGTGAGCCGGATACTTCTGAATAGAAGACGCCCCCTCACAAAGCTGTTCAGCTCTCGCATCGAACTGGAATATCAGCCACCTACCAGATTAAGCCAAGTACCTACGGATAGCCTATAGGTACAGGGAGTTTTGCTTGTTGGTTCGTTCGGATAGAAGCCGTTGAACGCCAACGTTGAGTTAGGTAGCTAACCTTAGGTAGGTACCTAAGGTATGGAAAATAACCTATGATACCTAAGCGGGGCAATGATGCTTGTGGTTCCCGAAGCAAGCCGTCTCAAGCCTAAAAAGAATCTTCGGAATTCATCTAAGAGAACGGAGTTAAGCCCCTCATTTATATATGCCTATTAACTAAATGTTTCATACCTGATAACTTCATATAAGACAGTTATTCAACATGCAGCTCTAAAACCTCATAGTCGTCCTCTTAGACGCGATCCTTCTTAGGCCACTTACATCATCATGGCAAATATAGAAATCAAAGTAGAGAAAAAGTTGGCTTAAATATGAAAGTTGAATAACTGGATTGGTAACCTGAAACGATGCTCCCCGATGGCTTACTTACTAAGTTGTGACTAGCCTGTCACGAACTGCACTAGATCCTTCTACCCTGAAACAATCTTGCTTGATAGCATGGATGCTTGTTTTTTTCTTGTTATCTATTGCCGGAAGCAGAGCTGAGGATACCCGTCTCCACATCTAGGGTAAGATGGGACGAAAATATTCCTAGAGGTCCAGAACGATTTACGTAACATGAAGAAAAACATCTAAACGTCACTGACTTGGGTAACTATGTGGAAATAAGTTGTCTAAACCTAACAACAACAACAACAACTACATATCCAATCCACCCACGTATAAGCCCCGAGGCCGTGACAGTTGGTTTAAACTCGCAGTATCAGGATTCTCTGGGAAAAGGGGGAAAGAGTAACAGAGTAAAGATGTTTTTGCTACTTCATCCGTCAGCCTTGGGGTAGCATCCAAGTATTTCTCACCACATCGTGCTATGTAGCCGCTCTATTGAAGGATGACAGACAGCAAGGTTGGTGAGAATGACTACATACGGCCCTGCTTCGGCGATTGTGACTGCTTATCACTATGTAGTCGGCTAGCACTGTGACATGAGTGCTCCCACCCCGTTGGGTAAAGACTTGGTTATCCTATGTAAAGTCTTCACAGAGCCCGTGCTCAGATCTTGGCATGCAGCTCGACTGCTTAAGCACTTCTCTTCGCGATAGCTTCTTGGCGGAAGAACGCGCTGCACAGCACTGACCGTAAACAAACAGGCGCTCCCGGACCTCATGGTGATATTTCTGCATGTCTGCAAGCTATGCCTTTTACATTTTCATATGTACATAGTTGCCGTTACTCGGAGCACAGAGATATTCAGGAAATTTGCTGTGATTGTTTGAATGATAGGTATGATTTCACGCTTGATGTTGCATTAGTCTTGAGTAACTCTCCTTCCTACATTGGCAAGTTATCACTTGTAACTCGCGACTCTATTGAACACTGGGGTCCGAGAAACAGGATTCTTAAAACTGCATAATGCTAGATTAAAGCCTTTCCAGTATCTCAAGTGTATTGTGCATTATGCATTAGGCGTAAAGGTTGCTTCTTCCCCAACCCAGCATAAATCCATATCAGATATTTCATCATGAAGGTCATGTAGGTAAAATCTTAGGATAAGTATTTCGAATAAAAGGGGTTGCAAACCCTTCAGATCATGGGTACGCGGGGAAGTCTAGGATCTACCCGGCACAGAGTACCAATTACCACTTAACCTAAACTTATCGTATCATTCATTATCGCCTCTACCTACCCAGGTACCTACCTGCTACTGTGACCTGTCAAAGCGAACGCTTTCTCCATCGATATTTTAGTATTTCGGTGGAACTGCTAGGCTTAGCAACGGCCTTCTAGCTTCAGAAAACCCATTATACCCGTTCTGGCCTCATTTTTGACGGCGCGGGAGCCTGGCCGAGAAAGCCCGGCACTGCTAAGGTTGGTACTGAAGTCGGAAATGAGGTCTGACTAACAGCCCTGCCAAATTGCCATGTGCTGGCCTAGGCCGTGCAGTGGATCTTGCGGAGCTTCATGCGTGCGGAATAAGACCACCTAAAAATTACTCTACCTGTCTACGGTAAATTTATGAGAACCCTGTTGCTCAAAACTACTTTGATACGGACTAAGTCCTTGATTCGGCTAAGGCCATTCTTTAATAAGCTAGTAGACTGGAAAGTTCCGTTAAATGTAGTACATATTGGGAGGTGGTAGTATCGTGATATTGCGTAGGAGTTCGAAATTTGAAATCGTTTCTTGTAGCAATAGAACCTGTTGGAGATGTATTAATGTCTAAGTAGTCTAGAAACTACATCTTTAGTATCCTTTAAGAGTCAATATGTATAAAATCCGGATTGGCATAATACCGATTTGATATGACTGACGACAAAGTTCGTGATAATTACGAGCATTGGCCCCATTTTAAATAAGTGTTTACATAGCGCTCGGGCGCGTTAGATGAACCAAAGATCAGTTTTCATGCTATTTTAGTTTCCGCTATTTGACTTCACCCTGCCTATGCGCTACTACCTCTAGAAATGAGCATTATATATTTATGGCTGTCTTAAAGGATCAAGTTGCGTATCTGTGTTAAGGCTTAGGGAACACGGCGTGCCAAAGGACGAGCGTTATTTGCGGGTGACATAATTGAGAATTTGAGGCTGGGTTAGAAATGATAACGGTTGTAGTCCAAGTTCTTCCCACTATAAATCTAGCATTAAATTGACTTGTAAATACTTACCTATTACAGTGGTGGCGGCGGATATGGAAGACCTCCTAGAATTCCTTCGTGTTCCACAGCAGAGCGTGGACTTTATGCCGATAGGTTCTGTACCTGAAAACCCCGCAGGACCCTGTCTCGTTGCCAGGAACAGGTAAGAAACTAATCCGGGGGGCCTTGTCGATATCGTAATATTTTATCGGTAAGATTCCTTGGGGTGCTGATCGTTAGATCCCTGGCTTACTCCCAGTTCCATGGCAGACGGGAAGGGTGATCATAAATTCTGCGTTAAGTTGATACAAACATATTTCATTGCGTAGAAGCCAAGTCTTGAAATTCTAGAGCGTTTGGTAGTTCATCGTGTTTTACTATTCGGCAATTGATTGTTTCGGGTTTGCCCATGACATGAGACTCCTGATTTGAAACGCCAGTGATAAAATAATCATCCCGATCTTTAAACCTCGGGGCTAGTTCGGATGACGTTATGAATTGGTTTGAGCCGGAGTACGGATTGTCTCAGCCTTGTTCATTCCGTAGGCTCCGACAGTCTGGTCGAAATCTACAACATCTACCGCGTAAATCCGAAGTGCAAATATCGAGCTATGGCTATGTACTCTCTTAGCTTCTATCACAGATAACACTAAGGAATAATTTCCCGATCATGCAGTTGTACTACCTATGTAAGTAAGTCACCTACATGCCCAGCTCTGCCCCACGTCATTCGGTGACAGCGGTATTATGTCTGAAAAGGGGGTGAAACGCAAGAGATCTACACATTGTACTTGCATCCATACCTGTCTTGGTCCCACTAACTACCTACGATATCAGAATGTGTAAACAAGCATTAGAATTCTCACGGATGGCAAATCTTTTAACTTCAGGTTGACTCTACATAGTTGGCTCTACCATAGCTGCATAGGAATCAGTAGAGGTACCAGTCAGAAAGATTTGAAACGGCCAACCCTTCCTACTTGCCACATTAGAACTCGCGTAGACCACCCAGGTAGATAGGTACATTATGTTAGACAGAATACGAAAAAATTTAACCTAGTCACAACCAGTTACGCCGCCACTACGCCACCACTATGCACTAACATCGAGCACAGACGGCCCCGATTAGAACCTTGAGAATATCTCGGAAGTTGAATTATTCATATTTCGGGGGCAATTCTCATTTATCCAACTTTGAAGCAAAGGCGTAAATATTGATATCAAGAACTTTTCACTTGTTTCCTCTAAAAATTGACCACTAGGTATGTTAGTGATATGTAAATATAGTCCCTATATTTTATAATGTCTTCGGTAAGTTTAATAACCAATGTACATTAGGGCGTTGTTTCTATCAGACCACACATTGATATCAAAGTTTTCATACATCAGTCAACCTCTTGGCCCGAAACAAATTTCCAACTCTAGGTAGTCGCTCATCCTATGAGCGAATAAGGGGGAAAATAGATATCTTGAAAGCTCCTTATTGTAAAGAATGTACACTATAGTCGTGCCATACCTTCCAAGGTTTTGAGTTTAAAGACCAGCGGTTAACGGGGCAGCTTTTGTGGTCACGCATATCTACCTCATCGGCAAAGGCGCGCGGTAATCATCACTTTCACTTTCATCATATACAACTTTAAGATCATGACTACCTACCTACCCACTTCTTCAACGATCACGGGGCTAGCATGCACGTAGGGCGCTATAATCCCACAATTCCTGCCAGTAAAAGTGGCAAAAGATAGTAACCCAAGATAAAGTCATTGCTACCTGGTCTAGGTACTCGCTATGGGGTAGATGCTTTGAGTCCCGCTATGACTATCGTGATTAAATTAAATATGATCTATCTATGTTCGTCTGGATGAGGCATATCGAGGATGATCAGGTCTGAGGGTAAGTTGGATTCCATGGTGATTGGGAAGGATATGTTGCCCAGATGAAGGTCCAGTCGAGCAAATTCGTCCCATGGTATAGCTATTTCCCGTGCTCGGATCTTTCAGTCGACGCCCGGTCATAAGCCTTGCATCCGACTAACATTGTATTAGTATAAGATACTCGCCGAGAACCGTCACAGCGACAATAAAAGCTGCATACGCGCGGGCACAGATATCCAGTAGCAGTCAAGCTAGCCAGAAAACATCAGAGCATCTCCTCCGGCTTTTGCGTTGCGATGTCACCATCTCCGCAGATCAGTATCCAGGCATACATATGCACGTAGTGCCTGCGCGCGCTCGGGTATGTGATGAGAATCAAGGACTTAAAGCACACTAGTTGGTTATTAAGTGTATGTATGCACTTAATGATGTTTCTCCATCTTTTCTAAGCTCGTTTGTTGCTCCGACGTTATCTCACTTCGGAAGTTTTAAGAGATTGAGTTACTCGTATTTACTACACAAATCTTACTGACCGCCAGCATTACGACTCTCACATGTATGTACGACCTAGGTAAGGAGAATATCCTCGGTTAATGGCTAAACTTATCTTTATGTGTTCCCAAGGTCCAACCAGTCGGATCTATGTACGAAGTACACTACCTCTCTCTACCTAGAAAGATGTAGTGTATCGGTGCATGCAGAAACTTAGGTACCCAACCCGGCAGGCAACTCAGTAACATCATGGTAGAAGTCGAGAACTGTTCGACGTAGGTATTCTGCAGCATGCGTCACAGAACAGTTCCCTCTGTTTCAATTAAGCAATGTTGAAAAGCTTCGGCTAACTACACTATTACAAGCATATCTATTATAACACCACCCATACCCATGTTCCCGGCCATAGGCTACCCCTATGCGGCCAGGGTCAAAGCTCTACCAACCTAGCCCTATCCAGTAACCCTGTCCAGGGCTTGAGCGGTTTCAGTACCCTGTCCAAGGGTAGCATTTTTGGACCTCGACCAAACTGTTTCCCGATGTACCTAAACCCTTTTTCGTATCTTGCCCCGATCCTGAGTTCAACCAGCGTTGAAACGCAGCCTGGCCATCTTGGTGAGGGTGTAATCCGTATGTAGTAGTCTACACTGCATACAGCTGCGAGTATGTATAGTCTCATCGAGCCGAGTCGTACCTATTATCCAACATCGTAATGCATTCGGTACGGTATCATGTCTCGCTCCTAAGTGGAGGTTGCATCCCAAGTTCCCCTGATGCATTTGGCTTTACCAATCCCCTTATTCGCTTCGCTATAGGATCCAAAATCAGACAGCATGGTACCGACTATACTTTGCGTATTAAGGACATGCATATCCTGTTTCCCTTGCCTCTCCGTTTTCTCCATACGCCTATTACACCCGTCTATCACCATGAAAGCTGGACCTTGAGTGTGTGCATGTTTTTAGTAATTTTATTGCTCGTTCGCCGCGCACATATATGACTTCGACCCGCCACTTTTTCCGCCTGTCGTCCGCATGAGAAAACCTTATTGGATTTCCTTGCTTATAATAATTCTTTAGCGTAATCCTCTAGGGACCCCGGTCACAGGTTCTTATGGCTCATATAGCTGCCTGTATGTTCGATGGCGATGGAGAGTTCAGTAGCCTCAGAAGTTATATAGCAAATGCTTTCTCAGCTCAAGCTTCTACTGAATCGGTATAATCTTTGTCCCTTTCTAATTCTGGATGACTGGTTCCAACTAACTGTCGTTACCTTATAGCTATCATCTACAAGTTCGTGCGAGGAGAAGAAGCCATTTGTCTGGAGGATGCAGAACCCGGAGACTCGGAAATATCAGCTGTTCCCAAGAGAAAAACAGCTTCCATCAGCTACTAGTGGAAAGCAATTAGATCCGGAGCAGGCCTTCGCGATGGCTATGGGACAGACGGACAAGGCCTCCGTGGGCAACGGCCTCCGGATGCGTATCAAGGAACACAACTTGAATCGGAGGAGGAAGATCAGCGTACCCGAGTTAGGCCCTATGACGACGGTACAGGAGGTTGCGATGGATTCACGTAAGTAAATAACTCTCAGGATGTATATCTAATATTAACTGGCAGTAGCAACGATTCCGGGCCGGCCTGCTTTGCATGAACGATCCATTAGTACTCCTGTCAACACTTGGCGCCAGCGTCACGTCTTAGAGTTTACGACGACCTCCGTGAAAGAGTGTCCGGAGGAGAGCCTAGAGGATTTTAAAATCAGAAATGTACAGAAGTCTACTTCAGCTCTAAAGCAACCGCTTTCTCCAAAAGACCTGGCACCCTTAACGATACCGACGCAGAGCGGTCCGATTCCAAGACTAGCCCGGCAGCTTTCGTTAAGCCGACTTAGATCTAGGGATACGCAACAGGAGCCGACAATTCGATTAACACGAACTGAGGAATCACCGAAGATACGTACTCCATTCACACCTGCTTCGAGCTCGGTCTCAGCCACGACCCCTATGTCGGCGACTACCGTTATGACCAACTCGACGCTCCCGACACCGCTATCGGCGCCTGCAGAATACCGAGGTTCTCCAAAGCCGTGGGACAGGCTAGGTTCAACCACGCCTATAGCCACTATGCAGCAAACCATTGATCCCATGGCGACACCAAGGGTAGAGCCTGAAACACAATCACGAGCTAACCCGAGTCCGTCTCATAGACGTGGTCGATCCGACTCTGGGAGCATCATGGATCGCGGACGTCCACGAAAGCGAAGTGATGGCACACCAATTGGTAGTTTTGGTAATGGTAATGGCAATGGCAATGGTGGTGGTTTAAAGCGAAGCAACTCTAAGAGGAGCGTCAGCGCTGAACGCCGTGCTTTCGAGAACCTACCTCAGGGATGGAAACCCAGCGAAGCGGTAAACAACATCGACTCATCCGAAATTGCTTATTTGCAAAAGCAAGCCTTAGGCCAAACCTTGAGGTTTGAAGTACTTAAGAAGGATGATGTCGAAAACCTCTCCAAGGTAGGTCTCAAATATCATAGCATTATTGTCTTTAATCTAATCATTCATAGGAACTACGCCACCTCGATGAGCGAACAGAGTATCTTCGTCGCACGTATACATCTCTTCGTGCCGGGCGCCGAAACCTTCACAGCCGCATTTGCCAGTACTTGCGGTCACCTCGTGTCGCTAAATTTAGCTACGAGTCCATGTTAAAGCAGGAGGAAACTCTTGCCGAGCTTGACGCTTCAATTGATGATTGGGTTACGAAACTCGAACAGGCTGAAAACCGACGGACTCGTGTTAGACAAAAACTCCTTGAGCATGTTGCCGCCGCCTCCACGCTTTCGGTAGTTAAAGACATCGGCGTCACAAGCGACGTTCTTCAACAGGTCATGGGTGTTCGGCTAGCTAATGGGACTTCGGATATCTCAACGCCACCTCGGAGCCCAACTAAGAATAATGCTTCTACTCAGTCTCAGTCCCCATCCCCATCGTCGTCACCACAGCGCGTCGTCGCCCGAGTACCTTCGATGATCCCCGAACTACCATGTGAAGAGGCGGAAGACGATGTAGCGAACGGCAACCGAAAGAGTTCGATGGAATCCACTCTACAGCGAATGGAAAGCATTCGCATTTATGCCGACAGCGATGTCTACGCTCTCCTAGCGGATGTCGAGAGTGAATTTACCAAATTGAACGTCGGTATTGCAGACTCGGAACTTACTGGATCACCACGATCAGAGGAGCAGCGTATATTTTTGCATCGCGCCCACAGCCATGATATTATCAGCAACCAGCATTCGAAATGTCTTAACAAGACGCCGCCTACCTCGCCCCCTGCACCTGCGCCACCGATGAAGAACTCGCCCACCAGAGAGCGAGCTGATATTTTCTTATCCGCCGCCGTTTTCCAGCCGGATCGAACCCCTTCGCCCAATTAAGCTATATTACTTTCTTCGATGCTTAGGCATGCTCGTTATTCGTATTACTTAGACTTACGAAGTTCATTCCTTGCTTTGCCTAACGACTTATTACGTTCTTTTTTTTTACATCATGACGATCGACGATTTACGGCCGGCCACAGCGATCATTTGCATTCTTACATTACATTTCTAGTCATTCCTTTAGACATTGGCATTTACGACCTTAGACAACCAGGCGTTCTCACATTTTAACACTTATTTTCCTCTATTACTTATCAGGAACTTGTTCTTTCACTATTCTCTATCTACTAGGCTTTCTTTAATACTCTCATCTCTCAAGGCGTCAGGGTTATCCCCGGAATTTGTTGTTACATGCCTCTGATATCGACGGGCACCTCTATACCCAGTGCGTTAGGTACCGTTCAGTGCGTCATCAAGGCTGAAAAGGATTACTATTCAAGAGTCTGTATTTTTTCACCGTCTTATTTTGGCATAAAGGGGTCGTTGGTTTGAGGTTGCATAGGCTAGTGTGTAGGATTCGTTGTATGGGAAAGGAAGGGGGGGAGGTATCATGGTACTAAAAGGGTGTAACATGGTCCCAGAGACTGAACTACCAACACGATCTAGGCCGCTTAGGAGCTCGAGAGCCCAAGACGAGATAGATCCTCCGCCTACAAAGCGGTTCAACGTTTTAGCATAGATTTACACTATTGCTGTAAGACTATTGGTCAATCAAAAAGACTTCTGCCACAACCCTCATGTTCTACTTCATCAAGATGCATATCTCGTAACCATCAGTGATACCTCAAGAGACTCGTTTAAGGCCTTCTCGTTTCATTTTTCCCGATCTACATCCTAAAGATCATCACTAATCGAATCGAGCAGCTGTCGAGACCTCGTGCTGATATCCAGCATCTCGTTGCGCTGAAGAGATATCGAATCCCTCCCACCTACCGATCAAACAAAACTCCGCCGAGAACCAAGATCCTTCGAGGAGACGTTGGTTGGAATCCCATGATGCAGCGTTCTCAGGATTCGTTTCTGCTGCGCCGCCACGAGTTGCCAACCTACTTATTACGCTTTATTACTTGCAGACGCCCTCGGTACATACATCGCGGATCCTCCAAACATATGTAGTATTCGTCCCATCTCGACCTATCTGCTCATCGCCCAGCTGCCCTAACCCGGACGCCCTCCTATGCCCCTCCGAGGAATCCTTTTCGGCGATACGGGTGCGCTGTGCTTGGATAGGTAGGTAGGTACGTGGAGAATTATCGGCGATGCCTTATACAGCAAGAGTCACAGGAAAGAGGAATATATGTAGGTACATATGTAGTAAGCTACTGTTTTGGGAGATGTTTTCTATAATGACTATTTTGACGTTATCCCGCCGACGAAGCTCTGTAAGTCCGATGGCTACCTATTTTCATACGGTATCTGTAGGGGCGGCCGTGTCAGAAGCCGTCGGGCCCAGACTAGCCTATTACACTTTTTCGATTTGGCTGGCTACCTAGGCTAGGCGAACTCAGCTCGCACAAGAAACGCAACTTCTTTCAACGGGGCAGAGTTTGTTTGGGATGTCTGCCTGGTGTGGTGTCTTTCGGAAGAGTGTAAGTTAGGTTGGAGGACAAAGGGTCCAACATCCATTTACTAGGCAATCTACAGGAGACACGCCCCCAGTTCATCACGATGTCTATCGTTGCTTCTACTAAAGCTAGAATAACCGTAAGCAATGATGTATTCACTGATATCGTCCCTGTGGAGTGTGGGGGCTACTACACGGGTTACACGTGCGAGTAGATTGCCTACATCTATACACCATCAACCTTCATAAAAATCAATTACCTAGGTAGTCACGCCGTAGGATATACTTAGAGCAAAGTGAATACGACATACCAGAGACTAGGCCATTAATATCAGTAACTCAATATAATCAAATCCCACTACCACATCCCCTCCTACCTCAACCCCACGCCGCCACCAATCACCAAGCTTCTACAGCTATAAGCCAACTGCGTCATTATCCCGAGAGGGTTACTTACGGCCGCATACACCGGCCGCCAGGAAGAGGCCACACCCGGTTCGAGGCCGAGGTATCTTTTCGTTTCCGCTGTAGCGTCATCAATGTAAACGTAGATCCAACTGCGGTGCAACGTACAAAAGACCCGCCATGCTGCGGGAGGGTGCGGTGTGCCCTATGTACCTACATATGTAATGTCAAGCTTGGCTTGGCTCGATGCAGATGTAGATGCAGAGTTAATTTTAGATGCTACCAACTTACAGCTTATGGTTACGAGATAAGCTTCAAGTACGGCAGGGCGGGTAAAGTAGATGTAGACCTATGTTGCATAGGGTGGTATTATGTAGGTGGGTATTGAAGTTATATATGTAGGTATCTATGATGTATGTATGTTGGCAGGGAAGATATATCTACATCTACATCTACATCTACATCTACATCTACATCTACATCTACATCTACATAGTGCAAAGTCCCGACAGGCGTAAGGCGGTCTAAACCCCTGATGCAGGAGCGCGGCAAAGGGGGGAAAACCCAACTGCGGCTGCTATTGGACACCGACGTTATACAGGATGCACCTCGTGGGTGGTGAAATATTCGTTTCGTTTCGTGTGGTGGGCCATCTTCTATCTAAGGTACCTGGATAATTTAATGTCGGTACGGCACGTGTCGTACTCCTCCGGTTTTGGAGTTTGAGGTTTTGGGTTGCAGCTTTAACCTACATTGCAGAAGTGCAAGGATGAAAGCAAGATATACCGAATATTATGATCTGATTATCGTCAGTGATGCATACAATATGAGGGGTAGATACCTAAGGTAGGTATATATATCTATGATTATAAGACACTTATAAGAATATCTAGGTCAATACAATTGTCTATCAATTTATTTATTAACTATACGTAAAGAATATGTGGGTATTCGCCTATTAACGGATGGTAGCATCGCAGGATTTGTTGGTCTTACAGTGGCTGGAGTAGAAATCGGCCTTGAGTTACATACTTACTATAACAGTACTACACTATTCTTGGTACTAACCTGCGCAAGATCACGAACCTGCAACGTGACTAGTCACTTAGCGATCACTGCAGATTTCTTCAATAAACCTGTTGGCGTTTTGTTACGTACATCGCATGCGGGTCGGTAGAATTATGCGTATGTACATGCAGATAGCACGCGGGGGATTTGCTTAAGACTTCTGATAATTCAGGATACTTCAGGATGTGTGCGCAGGGATTAATTATGCAATAATCGAGGGCATTGTGTATTAAACAGAGCTATCCTCGACATGATCAAAGTGAGGTCTCAGGGTGTAAAGTACCAGAGTCTACCAGACTCGCCCAGTAACCACTCATCTCTGCTGCAAGCGTCTCGGCCGTCCGACCTTGATTATCTGCCAGTGCTCGGATATCTTCCGAGGCCAACGTGCTCGGCCGCTGGATCCCCATTGCTTGCGCTATTTGCACGGCCTCCCCCGGGAATGATCCCGTCGGAAGGGTTGATGCTATCCATAAAAGCAACCAGACAACTTCCTCTTGCCCCTTTTCCACCGCGATATGCAGGCCAGTCTGCAAGTCTGCTAACGGGTCTTGATAGCGAATAATGCTTGCAGCATTCATTGTAGGCTCGTCTCCTTGCGCTTGCTCCGCATCGCGAAGGAGCTCTACTATTCCGCCTACATCGCCCTCGCTGCACATGATGTGAAAGGCACGGGCAGGACGAGCCTCGGGGTTTGCTTCTAGATAAGCTTCCTCGGTGACTGCAGGGAGGATATCGTAGTTCTCCTGAATGCCACCTTCGTTGGTATATCTTGTTAGGATAGCCGCGCCGGGCGCGGATTGCACAAACGAGCTACCAGAGGAAGGCCCTGCTGTGTTCGTGGCGAGCCCTGCATCACATGAAGGACACCTCAGCGATGCGGCCAACCCTGCAGCTTGGTCGAGAAGGCATTGCCAATGATAATGGCACCCGCAAATGAGTTCTAGATCGTCAGGCACCAACTGCGGCTCATCGTTGCCATCATCACCACCCAGTTCTAGCGTCAGGCCCTGCTCGCAAACCTTACAAGCAGTCATCTTTGCAATGCGTTGTTTGATATCAATATGAATGTGGTCCACACCCAAATGTCTGTATCCATCACGTGTGAGAGATGGTCCAGAAAAATGATTGGGTCGGAGGACGACATCTGTTCATCTCTGCCATCCGAGTGAATCCACGCACTATGTTGGAAGAAGTTGCAGGATGCAAAGAAGATGGCAGCGTTGAAAAGCAGAAGACATCGCAAAAGACTTACCACTAGGTATTGATTGGTTGATTTAAGATAACGAAAACCTGAAATTGACAATATAGACCGGCAATTCGGTCGGCTTGATATTGTGTTATACGGCACAATTTACTTGCGCTCTTCCCCGAAATGCGACGATGTTATTCGTTCTTGTAGAATGTAACATGTCAAATTGAAGATTGTCTTACATCACTTCGGATATCAACAACGGCAAAAAAGCAAATAAAGTGGATCGCTTCTTTGATGGATTTATATGATCCCGGCCCGAATATTACGTGAGCTTGGAGGTACATAGGTACATGGGTGAATATTATTTAATGGATCCTCCCGTAACAAAAACCGGGGGCCTCGATCACATCTACGAAAACTCCGGAGCCAAGGGACTAACATCATTGGTAACTGTTATCCAATAGTTCCAAGTCAGTTCAGCTGCGCAAGGGGGGGGAGAAATTGAGAATCCATTACAAAGCAAAGCAATTGCGATCTGTGGTCTATAGGTACGGATGTCATGGAGCACAAGAATTGCCTATTCTTCTTCAATAAGATAGATGCCCGTTATGGGCCCCCCTTTAGTTACTAGGATGTTGTGTAAAAGTTTGGTTCTCCCTCGAGCCGAGGATTCGGTCCAATAACTAAACTTAGAGATGAGGGAGCACGATGGTTATACCCATAGCTAGCTGAAATCTACGCTTGGATTTTTCATCTACTACGTAGTAATTTATGACTACCTAGTTATTCTAGCTCCGAAGATAAGAACCGTCGTTTAGTTTCGTGCGGGAACTTGCCGTTAAGCGGATACTCTAGGAGAAATACTCCCGGATGAGGCTGGATTTCCTCGGTTTTGTCTTCTACATATACGCTACATAGCTAGTTGCCATTGCTAATCCTTGAAGTGCCATGTGGTGGCGGCTAAATTTGGTAGGTAGTAGGGTGGATTTAGGCGCCGTTGTGGATAGTGGCTGTCGTCACCTTGTCGATGGCGTCTAAGGCTAAAAATCCCCGACTACTAGCTAGAGGTTTTCTATTTGGACGTCTAGATTCACGATTGACATGTGTGTGCGTATGTAATCTAAGCTATTAGGGGTAGCTCGTCCGACGATTAGTATACTCGAGTCAGTCCAAAGCTACGAAGCGCCAGTCTATAATGCCCCTATCTGACCTCGGAGTTGTCCTAATTGCTCGCTTAGCCTTCTAGGAACCGTTGCCGGCGTAGCCAAATAATAGTACGCGAGATAGTAAGCAGAATGTTATGGTATAGATGGAATATATTGAAACGATTGCTATTCTTGTGCCTCGGTAGCACTTTTGTTAGTCTAAGTCAACTCTATATACCATGCCCAGTATCAGACAGGTTATCTACATTTGCCGATGCTGCGCCTGGCAGTCCCCATTCGACCTCGTTGGACCCCCCTTTTCGGAGGGCTCCTATCAACAGTTTTTTCTTTTTTTTATAGAAGCAATCCACAAGCCTATGACCCTGTATGTTTATCGTAACGACTGTATTTCCCTTGATACCCATGTTAACGCCTTGAATGTTCCGATGTCGCCTACTTGAGTCCTCCTCTTGGCCTTGATATTCACGGGGAAAAAAAAACTTTTATACTCTAAGAAATGATCCCATCGTACACCCTGTATCGTAGTCCCGCATCAGAGTCGAAGCTAACAGCGAGCCGCTAGCCTTCAAGTAGTACGATACGCCGTGTGCTCGCATACTTTACCTCGGCGCGGTGGCTAAGTCGTATGTGGGCGTGCCCGCACCCATCGCCGAACCGCCGATAGGCTTGGGTCTTCGCCCGTCCAATGACCCATGCTTACGTCGCCACTCTGAAGCTGTTGATAAACGACTTCGTCTGTGACCTGTGAGAGTTCCTGAATCGTCTTGTTAGCTGAAGATATCACAGTAGTCATTAGGGGCGTGTCTATCGTAGGAGGGGGTAAGGGGTTGGTGTCAACCACTATCGAGGAAAACGCTCGTCTTACTTGTCGTAGCAGTTCGTCACAGGCTCTTAGCTGTTGTCGATTTGCAGAGTTCGGCCGCTGACCCTGGAGGACTCCTTCCCTGTAGTCAATCCATCTCTGTGCCGCTGCCTGGCGGAGGTAGATCTTCTGGGCTTCGTGTCTGCGGGAGTAGGCGTCTAAGAGGATTCTATAGATGATTATCTCTGTCAGCGGCATTTATTAGGCAGTAGGATATCGATGCTAGTCTCGAGGGAAAGGATCTAACGCACTGCTTCAACTCTGCCTTTCTTTGCTCTAACTCGCCGCCTCTGGCTCGGGGCACTGTTACGTCCGCCGCACAGTTGAGGATGTGTTGACCGTCTAGAGCGCACTGGCGTAGAGCAGCCCAACCTTCGGTATGATAATCGTTTGCGTAAGGGGGGTCTACTGGAACGTTGGCGATGTAATATTGGAGAGTTCGAAACTCTTCGAGGAGTTCGGCAACCCGTGCCGTTCGGTAGTCGTTGACTAAGTTAATTATTAGGGGATGTCTTTAAGAGGCCGTCTCCTGTAATTTGACCTCGGGAGGCGTAGAGTATTTTTAGCGGCTTTTACTTACGTCCATCCATTTATGCCCCTTTTAGTAAGTGACCTCTGTAAGATGCTGCTCTTGCGATCGGATGCTCAACTTAAAAACACAATGACGAATTACGATACGCGGGAGGTTAGATGATATCGTTCTGGGGACTTGATAGAAGCACCGTAATGGAAAGGGAGAATCTCGGCTCTTGGGCGAAAATGGGAAATAGATAAGGCTGTAAGAGTGTAGAGACTGCTTTGAACTTGGTTGATGAAGAAGAAGCGTCATGTTGAATATCTCAAGCAGCGAACTTCACTTGGCTTTTGTAGGATTAATCGACTTATTACGGATCAAGCAGAAAAGCATTCGAAGCGCTCACGATACAGAGTAGTTCCATAGGAGGAATATTTGCGCTGATACTCCCTCCCCTTTCGAAGTGCAAGTCACAGTACGCATCATTATCAGCTCCAATGTTCTGCTCACGTTGCCCGTTACCGAATCGGAGTTTATTATCCATCAACTAAGCGGGACATGACTGGCAGCTCAAACCTATGACATCCTAACTGAGCTGGATGTCGGCATCTCAGATTGTCTCCGTCAGTCTGGTAGAGACCCCTGATGCGTCCGGGATGATACCTGCAGCCTCCTGGGCAACCGACGCCACGAACTGCCTTACCAATGCAGGAATTCAACGCCCATCGTCACGGTAGGGCATAGAATGGATCTATTAGTGGAAAGCTAGCCGTAGGGACAGGGAAGCTGTCTTTGGGGGAGGGGGGGGGCTAGTGCCAGGGGACATGATCGTAGGGTTAAGCGAGTAGGAGGCTCTTCATAGGGCACACGGGTTGGCTGGAGTAGGAAAGCCAGGGCAAGAATTCAGCGGCGCCACATATCACACCAAGATTCAAATGCAGTATAGACTGTAAAGTTCTCAGGTGGAATAAAAACAAAGCAGTGGAACTATTCAGACTTAGGTGTAAGATATCCAACCAATAGAGAGCCACCGTTGACCCTCAGCCACCTTTTGGGCTGAGCTGAACGGATATTATTTACCTAAATTTTTGTAGCTTTAAGCTTAGTATTGCAGAGGGTTGGCGGAAGAAAAAAAAAAAGAATATTTCACGACCCAGCTGCAGCGCGATGCCCTGCGATCTACATAGTACAGTTCCACATGATCCATGTTCCATGTTCTCCTATTAAACACGACAGTTGAAACAGACAAAAACAAGGTGGACTAAAAAGAAAAAAGAAACGTTGGTGCTCCCGGCTCCTCTACCGGTCATTGTCATCTCACGCTAGGTCCTCTTATTTGGCTTCCACCCCTGAACTCCCACGAGGTACCATACCCATGGGTCGGGCATTTTGAGGTCAGTGTCACCCTGGTGGCTTACGTCTGCCACGTTCAAAATCCCAGCCTTCCAGATGAGATAGATCAATATATGCCCGAGTTACCCGTATGTGGGTAATTGTTGATATGCTTAGTTGAGATGCTTATGGCTACTTACGTGCTGATGCGTCTGATGCGTCTGATACGTCGCATCCGCACTTGAAAGATGTGGTTCTTGATGACAATTATTCACCGTGTGGGTTATATAACCCCCAGATCATCCTTCTCGCCACCACCTGAACATCCGGATCCCAAAACAAATGCGCATCTTCGATACGCATCTTCAGCTATAGCCACCCTAAGCTGGATTAAGATGGGGTTTTTGGATTTCTGGATTTCTGGATTTCCAAGACCGGTCCAGATTAGAATAATGATCAAAGGTCCTGTTGATGCAAGATCTAAACTAGTGACACACGGAGACAAGGATATAATGACGAACCCAGGCCTCCACAACATATTGTTGTAGTCAGCATACACGAATCAGCTGTGCTGAACCGAACCCAGCCTTACGCCACGACCGCCTTACCCGCTAATCTTTCTCGGCAATGGCCTGTAATCGTTCATCAATCTCGTCCTCCGTCAGGGTCCTGAAGAACGGATCTGACCCCTCCTTACCGTCCGCTCGGGGGCCTCCAACGATTCCGATCTCAATCTCACCCTTCTTGAAATCCATGCTGAGGACCGTGCTTAACGTAGTAATTGCTAGCTCCACAACATCTTCCCATGTGCCATCTGCGTGATCCTTGTTCTTGAGCTTTTTCTCCAGGTGGTTAAGCGCTTCCTGCTGCTTGGGTCCCGCAGCAGTTCCTTTGTACCCCACGTAGTATCCCGCTGGATCGCATTTGTAAAGCTGCGGTCCGAATTCAGAATCGAGCGATATCAGCGTCGTCGCCACGCCGTAAGGGCGCATATAGGCCTGTCGGAAAGGGTCAGCTTCACAACATCCCCAGCCTTACTATTGTTGATGGAGCCTTACTCTCTGTGTATAGACTTGACTGATATTGGCAAGCCTCTTGGCCAGGGCATCACATGGCATCTCGTATCCATAGTTGTACCTGAACTCGGCAGCTTCGCCCTGAGCGCGCTGTGCAAACGCCCGAGCATCCGCAATGGATCCGGTCATGACGCAACCAACGGAGGGCGAAATCTGGAAGATGTGCGAGACGGAAGAAGGGTCAATCAACTTGTCCTATTGATTACGATTAGCTTCAGCGCGGAATTCAACAATATTCACCGCAACTAGGGTAAAGCTGAAAGCACTTACGGGAACCTTTTTCTGGGAAAGGACCACAGCACAATCCTTGCCTCGGACCCCAATCGACATTATATTTGCAGCGGTGATCGCTTTGAATGCATATTCTGAACGATTGTTTGTCAGCTAACATAAAGACCCCCCACATTGCACTCGCTTAAGCTTCAATATCTTTGGATACTTTTGATACCCATCACGGCTGAAGGTGACAAGATAACGACGTTCTTGGGACGGCTAGGACGCTAGAGACAACATACCGACTTGATAAAGTCTTCCTTGCTCGGAGAAGATTGTGATGTGTCGGTCGAAACCGGCGCTGCCTAGAAAAAGCACATACTATTAGCTCAGATAAGGTGGCTAGCTACGGAGGAGGGACGAACGCACCTCCAGACATGGTGAAGTCTTGTTAGGGAGTTAGGGATGAGAGCTGATGGTACTAATTTTCGGTGAGTTTGGACGTAGAGTCGGAAGCCGGCACTATTTATTCAAGGAGTAGAATATTGCTTTCTTTTTTCTCTTTATGTGATGAGGGACGGTACGAAGAAGTGAGGTCGAATAGAGAGTGGTGCAGCTCTATTATTAGCCCGGAGCTCTGACGCGCCAGGTTGGAGCCTTGGGATGCAAGCAACGAGCTATGACCTTGTGGGAAAGCTCGTCTTAGCAGGCTTAGGTAAGGCAAATAAAAGCTCGGACCTATTTACGGATATTACTAAGACCGGTATCCGAAAGATGACTTCCGAAATGGATCTTATCAACATTCTTATCAGATAACTATATGATAAGATATCAACCTCCTATGCACTAATCCACTTAATCCACTAAAAAGTTCCCAATAGCGATATCAATCAATCCATGTCAACTTGATGAGTTCTCCACTGAAAAGATTCAATGTGAAGGCTTCATGAAATTTTTATTGGCAGCAATTCCACCCGTGGAATCTCATCTCACATATATCCTTGACTTAGTACACATGTGTTGCTAGTCTTATACTTACGAAGGCAAATTCCTAAGTCCAGCCACACTCTCAGACTCTGAGGCAAGACAAAACAAGTTCAACCCCGAAGAACAAGAACTGGCAACGGCACGTGGATATCACACGGCAGCGTATCGATTTGCCTGCTTGGTTCTCTGGTTCTCACCTGGTTTCTGGTTCTCCTAGTGGTAGCCGTCACACACTTGAGCAGCTAGTTACTGTATTGTCTTTCCCACCTCCCACCCTCGCTGATTGCCTTTATCTATCTTGCCTTTACCTTCATTTCACCTCATCAATGTCTTCCGTCCCCTCAACTGGGAACGCGTCAGCCCAACGAGTTCCAGCATGGAAACGATTGGGTCTCAAGCTTAAGCCTGCATCTGAAGAGAGCCAGAACGCTACCCTACATACGGGTACCGTTGCTCCGCCGGTGCCCAACAATCATCAGGAAAATATTGCCGGCCCTATCAATGTCAATGCAAAGAGGAAATCTTCTGGTGTTCCTGCATTAGACCATTCGGCGAAAAAGCCAAAACGAGACGCCTCTCAAAGCCAAATTGCTTCCACCCAGACACCATCAAAAAAGGCCAAATCCGTTTCATTCGCTGCCGAGTCCACCCAACAAGCCGGGTCTGCAGCAACGACAAGCAGCACACAAATCAGAAACAAGCAAAAACAACCATCTCCTAAGAAAGCCGTCGTAGCTCCAGTCAAGAAGCAAGCTGCTGTTAATTTGGAGCCAGCACTTTTGTATTTACGTCAGTGGCACACATCCAAGGATACCTGGAAGTTTAACAAAAATCATCAGACCAGGCTACTAGAACAGGTCTTTGCTGACGAGACCACTATACCGGCGGCTGATATTAACGTCTTTTACGAATATATCCGGGGTTTGAAGGGAGCTGTCAGAACGAGGCTCAGAGAGCTCGCATCTGGCACCAAAGCACAGGACATGGAACTAGGATCGCAAGGTTTCTCTGCTTCGAGCAAGGAGATGATTGAGAGGAGGCAGAGGGAATACGAGGAAGTCATTGCGGCTTTTCTACGTCAGCCAAGGATAACAGGGAAGCGACGTTTCGACGAAATAGACTACGTACTACGGACTTCCGATATGGAGATGCAACGTCGGGTTGTTAAGCGGATGCGTTGTGAGAACGTGTTGGACGAACTGTCAGACAGCGAGACCGAAACGGTATCAACTACGACCACCGCCGAGGATTCAGAGGGCGCTACGAGCGAAGGGGCTACGGCTGCAGCTGAGGATGTTCAACGCCTAAGACTGAACGATGGCCCTCTACAAAGGGTTAAGCGAAAGAGGAAATCGCGGACTGTAGTCGTCGACGAAGATACCAGCTCAGAATCCGAGTCCGGCTCCGATTCTGATTCAGACTCCAGCTCAGGTAGCAGCGATAGTAGCAGCTCCGATGATGAATCTGGGGACGAGGCAGCGCAGCCCCAATTGCGTACAGGCGATGCCGACACATCATCTAGCAGCTCTTCATCAGAGTCAGAATCTGCTTCCGATGATTCGGACGACGATTCCGAGGGTGACAATTGATCAGAATAAAAAAACATACCTGTATTATCACTGATCATTATAATAGATAGACCGCGCACGTTCTACGCAAAGGATACCCAACTTCTCTTACAACAGATCATTAAATTGTAATAGAACCAATTGCAAAATTTGATACGGATCAATACGTTATTTCTTCTGTAATTACTTAGTGAACTATGCCATTCAAGCCTCCGTGATCGTGAACATTTGTTCGAGTATCAAATTCAATTTAGACAATGGCTTGGCGTCTTATGCAGCCGAAGCAAAACCCTTAATAAAACGCCATATGCCCTATATACTGCACACCCGTATGATAAAAAAACCCGCATTACTGTTTACCAGCTCAGACCTTCACCAAAAATCGCAATTGATCTTCCGTTTTACTAATATAGGGGTTCTTATATGGAAACCCCTTAATGGAGCTCTGCTCCTGATCCGCCATTTATAGGATATCCTGACGTATCCTAAGCCGTTTCATTTTTAGGCGTCGATCGGATCCTCGAGATATTCGTAGTCGTCTTCGGGCGGCAGCAACCAGGCAGAGGCAGCCAGACTCGTCGCAATTAGAACGGATACGGATGCGCTGATGGTGCACAGGATCCAAGACCAATCCAGGGACCAGCCAGGAATGATGAATTGGGAATCAGTATCGAAGAGATAGGCCTAGTTCACCATGTCAGATATAACTCGACAATATTTGAGCGTCTATGCAATAGTGCATTCAATCGAATACCTACCACGATGCCCATGCTCGCGAACTCGACGGCGGCGTCAGCCAGCAAGAGGAAGCCGATCAGCTTCCAGCCCGTCTCGCGCTTGTACTTGCCGCCGGCCATCACGACGAGGAAGCTGATAAGGGTTGCGAGCTCGACGATGGTAGCAAATGAGAGGAGGAATCCGCTGCTCCTCCACATGGAGCAGAAGAACTGGTCGTCGCGGCAGTCATCGTCGTTGGGGAAGGGTCGGCACGAGGGATCGTCGACGGAGGAGCAACTCTGATGAAGCCCAATGTATTTCTTAAACGTCGAGCCCGTGTCTGCGGTGACGGAATACGTGACCCAATGCGGTGTCAAGATAGACACTATGGTCACGACCGTTGCTGCGATAGGTAGTTTGTGTCAGCCATGATGAAGCTGACGATCTCCAGAACGACCATACGATCCCCCACGGCTCAGCTGTGAACAATCCATATCTTCTATCCGACTAGATTATTTCCATCAAATACAAAATATATTCTCTCCATTCTTGTAATAAATACACTTCTCATAACGAAGAGTAAATGCGACAAGAATGACTCGGCTTGGGTGTTGTGAATAGATTGCAGTGTTTCTGCCTGTGTGGGACGATAAGGAGATAATAATGACGTACTACACACAAAGATGCCGAGGGCGAAGCTGTAGACAATCGGGCGCGTCATGGCGATTGCGAACCCGGGGTAGAGAGGAAGAGAAAAAGAAACAAAAAATAAAAGAGAAGAAGGTATTTCCAGTCCTTCAGCTATATGTATCCCCTTTAAGACGAATTCGAAGGTTCGTCTTCATATCAGATCGGTTTGAAACTGCGGTTCGGAAAGATGCGTTGGGCTGTGGGCTGTGGGAGGACAGCGGATTTTGATTGTCGGAGAGATGGTTGACGGCAGCTTGACGGTGCACGTTTCCATAATGCAGATCATGTGGCTGGCGTCACTCTTTAGTGGTTGCGCTGGAATCCACAGAGCCCACATAGCCTATAAGATTTTAAGCTTTCAGCGTTAGCGGTCATTGGCGGTCATTGGTACACTACATAGATTGCTAACTTGTCGCTTATCTTCTGTAACTATTCCTTAAGTGCCCTCCAATACATTCTGCACATTCTATTCAGCTACTTACATGTACTTGCTTTTCCAACCCTCTAATCCACTACTCTCAGCCGTCTGTTTCTGTTTCTGTTTCTATTCCCACAAACAAAAATAACAAGCCGAATAAAATGCCGAATACTATAAAACCCAAAGTCTTGAGATAGTTCTCTTATGACTGCTGATGGAACTATCGTGACATGTGCTACTTGAGCGGTAGTATCGTGGGATGACATTTGTTTCAAGAATAAGCTTCTGCAAAACATTGACAACTACGGCACACCGCGTTTTCGTGGGATCTGCATCGTATCTTGTCTGCGGTTGTATTTGGCTGGAGCAGTTGCTGCATATGAATATAGCATCCCACACCAATGTCAACACTACAATTTCCTCCCAGTGACTATCAGTACTTATTACGAGATTCCACAAGCGCTTCGACGAGAATTGCATTTCCGGATTTACCGCGGACACTACGTCTACTTGCGATTCCGAATACCCCCCATATGTCCAGGTGCAGAGATGCTGCAGACTATTCAACTCTAAACTTACGATTTAACGAGCTGCGTAAGTGCTGCTGCTGCTGCCGCTGCTTGGATACCTAGGTATTCCGTCTTTAAAACTCGAGGACGGGAGTTGATTGGCGCTTTGCTTTTGATTTTACCTTTTAGGCATGGTACATTATCAATCGTACACAGTCGAACAAGCATCATCCTTCAAGAGTTTAGCCCGATTCCGATTTGGAGGGCACCCACCAATCGTGGCCCCTAAAAGGAAGACGTGGGTAGTTTGGAGATTGTAGATCTCTCCTCTTCAATTACCTATACCTACATCGACATACGTAGGGTTACTTGAGCCGTCTGAATGGGATATTTGTCACTACCGTCCTTTTAGCTCGTGAAGAGGGTTGAAGGCTACAACAAAAAAAGGGGTCCATTCATGATGAATTCCTTATTGTCCGTGCTAAAGCATTGATCGACTAGCAGTTTAGTTTCGATGCCACCTACCTAACATGGCTCGCAAACATCATGTACTAAATGGGTGGTACCTCTTAGTATAATCTAGTAAGGCCAAGATTAGATGAAGGAATCTTATGCGGGTCATTGCAGGAAGTGAACATCACTGGATTTCATGCCGCTTCTATGCCGCAATCGGCATACTGCAAACATACCTACCTATGTCAGTCTGTCAGGTATTCAAGATATTGATAGGTATAGGTAATCCAAATCTCAGTGCCGGGAGATGTAGGTAAGGGGGTAAGAAGCACGCAAGATCTGATCCCCTACACGTCAACATTTAGCCCTCCTTTGGTGCATTATCTTGCTCCGTACCAATCCGCATTCGGTCAAATGATTCATCAGATAACTGAGACAATCGGCCCTCCTTGCAAGCGTCGGACTTTACTAATCTCTCGGCGTTCACGGACCGGCCGGACTGTACTGTATCTTGTCTATTTGTACTTATCACCTTGTCTGCCTCTTAAAACTTTCTTATAATGGTCTTACAATATATTCTCACCAGAAAATCTGGTCTGCTTGAGAAACAACATTGGCCCTGGAGGTCGCGGTGTCTCCTAGAGGTCCTTCCAAAGCGACTAATTCTACTAATAACGCCATTAAATTTTTTTCCGTTCTAGACCTACCCATGTCTAGATAAGATCTAAAGGGATCTCAAGTGCTCTAGCCATTCTCATCGAAAATACCTGTCATATTCATTGCTATGGACGGCTGAGCCTATATCTCGTGGTCCTATTCTATGACCACTCTGGAGTCATTGAACTGGGCGAATTCGTCTTGTATAGGTGTAGGGGCTAAAGTTGTCATTTTCAGCGATCCCTAGCCTCTATTGGTTATACAGCCTATTAGCGTATGATACTGATATGTTACAATGGTCGAACACCAACCCGTTCACAACAGCGAAGTCTATCTGTTAGGATTAAGACCGCGTCCTACCGTCCCCCCTCCTTCTCCGCCTTCACCCTTAACGCCGAGGGAAGCCGAGTCAAATAGCACCGCTATCGAAGAGCTCTGCTTAGACGATGTCGAGAGCTTCGAGCATATTACAGAGACCACCTCGCTTACAAAGCAAAGGATCTCGGGTGCTGTGCATGTTCTAAGCACAGAAGCGACCGCTCTCCGGAGTCTTACCCATTTATATAGAACTAATACGACTGCTATAGAGGGCTTCAGTGCTGCAGTAGGAGCTATAACGAAACACGAAGGTGAACGAGGAAAATTAGTCATAATAGGAGTTGGGAAGTCGGGGCATATTTCAAAGAAGCTAGTCGCAACTTTCAACAGCCTCGGAGTTCATGCGACTTTTCTTCATCCTACCGAAGCTCTTCATGGCGACCTTGGCAAGATTGGGAAGAAGGATGTTGTTCTCTTTATTACATTCTCGGGGAAGACGCCTGAACTTCTAGCTTTGCTACCACACCTGGATGTGACGTTACCAGTGATCGTACTCACCTCGCACACCCGACCAGACGAGTGCGAGCTCATCCGACAGCGGCAGGATGCAATACTCCTCCCAGCACCCATCCATGAGTCCGAGATAGTATCCTTTGGCGTTTCAGCCCCCACAACATCTACTACTGTAGCTCTCGCGCTAGGAGACGCGCTCGCGGTGGTGGCTTCTCAGGAGTTACACCCAACGGTCACATCAGTTTTTGCAAAGAACCATCCTGGCGGAGCCATCGGCCAGGCGTTTAGTAAACCTCTTCAAATTCGCGATATCACAATCCCACTCTACGAAATACCAGAGTGGCCAAATTCAAGCGGCGAGGCTTGCGGCGCAGATATACTAAAGTTAGGCTATGATTCAAAGTCCGGATGGGCTCGCGTTAATGACGCGATCGCCTCCCCGAGGCGTATTAGACGGCTTGAAACGGCGCATATGGCGTGGCGGATATCTGATATTCCAAACTTAGTAGTTGACAGGAGCGAGTGGATTAGCATCCGCGCTAACACAAGGATATCGCAGGCTGCAGAATGGCTTAGAGAGTCCCTAATGTCGCCTGATTGTAGCGAGGCAGTTATTATCGAAGACTCTATTTTAGCGGCCGTGGAAAACGGAGAGATAATTGGTGTTCTGGAAGTCGGCCATCTGTTAAGCTTGCAGGAGTAAAGGACGGAACATATTTAGTACGGGTATTCGTCAGGTATAAACCAGCAGACGAGATGATATTTATGGGTAATCCTAGGTAGGAAAGACCCCTCATATACCATAGTCAGGATTGCTTCTGGAATAAAGTTATGATTGGGAGGATAAAGGACCTTCGTTTTAGGCCTCCAGATACCAGCCATCGGATGGCTAGCTTATGTTTTTTGACCACTCACCTTCTATGACTGCTTTATTCATAAGTGAATACTACGATATGTTGATATGTTGACTTCAAGGACATATGGTAAGCTAACTAAGTATATGCCAGTATTCAATTATTGTTTTACAACCTTTCGAATAACTACCTGAGTACCAACAGGAAGTTAAAGGATGAGTAAGTACTTTACCTGTAGGCTATATGTAAGGGGCAAGGATTGTTACAGCGTATATACTGACAGTTTCGCCTATGCCATCTAATTTTTGAAAAGTTGAACAGGGACAACTTGATTCACTGGAGAATTCAATTTCCTTCAATAATGTGAAGCAACAGATCTCTCAACTGTCCATCGTATAGGGAGCTGTTTAGTGCTGGAGAATAAGTATTTCGGAGTACCTTGAGGATTACGCTGTTGAAACTAATCTTAATACAACGGGGCGGAAACTCTGGAGTGCTGGCTGTTAAACTGAAAAATGCCTACCTAGAAGGTAGGTGTACAATCCGGTCTGCAGCATCATGAATACTCCGATATCATAAGTATGGTATCCTCCCTAAATATGAATGGGAAATACATAATAAAAGTAATATATCATGCCCCAGACTGCATAGTAATAATCATGTACCATTGAGAATACTGACAGGTAGCATCGTCTGGGTAAAGTTAATATAAAGTGTACGATAGCCATAGTACAAACTAGAAGAGAACCGATTTCCATATCCAGATGACTACTCTGATATGTTCCTGTCCCAAATCATATAATCGGGCCTCTAAGGGGTCGGCATCGGTTCGGAGCTATACTAAATAGTTGGTTCACATTGAAGACGCAACAAGCCCATTTCAAGCAGGAGTATATACTAAGTGTCGATGTGGAAACTAAAACTCGGTCTTTGGGCCAATATAAGTGTACCCAATAAATAAGAGATCCTTTTCGCAAAAAGGGGGTATATGAGAGGATTTTATTTTTATTTAAAAAGGGGCAAAGGGCAGGAAAAGGGGAATACCTAAAGATTTCCACACCATCCAGCCAAAATACCTGCTCCCTCTACCCCTACGTAAGCGGCGTCGTCGGGTTATACTGTGGGAATACCCCATAGGCTCGCTCCTGGTCCAGGGCTCATCTACCACGGGCACCGTGACCAGGACACCGCTAGCAGACCAGCTAGAGATGAGTTGGACAGCGGATAGCTGGATTCTAAGATGAACTTTGGGGGTAGTCGTTGAACATGTCGTTTGTGGAAAGTATGGTTTGATTTCACTAAACTGTCCTACATGTTTCTAAGAGGTATGTAAGATGGCGCATCTGTTTGAGATGATGTAAACCCCCGGTGACGGGGAAAGCACTGTGAAGCACAGAACATGATTTGGACAGAATAGAGTCGATGGTAGTTAAAAATGCGTAACTCCGGAAGATGTGATTTGTATATGCCCCGGGTAGTACTTGTGACTTGTGACCCTGGGTTCTACCGAACTATACAGCTCTCCTGGCCTCAATGGCTGGTGGTCTACTGAATTGATTGTGGAAGTCACAGAAGAATAATATTTCGCGCTATATCGAGTATTGCTATTTAATCGGCTGTTGTCGTGTAATCTTGTTCTCTATGTATTATTAGTCCTAGGGAAGAGACCATTACGGATTACTTCGGTCGCACCGTATCCTCTCGAATTACCATTTTGTTTCGTTCACGGTCTTCTACAATGGTGATAGGTAATCCATTCTTTACTAGCGGTACTAATTTGGTGTCTTTGGTAGACGAATATCTACACTTGGTTGCGTCCTGATGGCTCATTAGAAGAAGTCTACCTAATGTATAACTACGTACAAAGTATGTACAATGAATTTTTGAACAATGTAGCCTCCCATATCCGTGTATGTCTTTCCCTCTGTATGCTCCTTTATATGGCGGTATAAACATGGTTGATATTCTCAACTAAAATACGGTGTACACTTGAATTCCAGGTATAACGCTTAAGATAACGATTAATGCATTTCGAACGGACTCCATAGAGCCCCAGGGTCATAGCGTATGTGATAGTATGTCGACATTACTATCTGCTTTCCAATTACATTAGTGGGGAGGGTGATAATGCGATGATGAAGACGACGATGGCGGTACGGCCCTGGCTGCTGCTAGCCATGGTGTTGATAAGGATACTTTTACGTTCCGATCAAACTCCCCTTCTAATTCCATCCGCCTCCTCGTGTCCTCTTCTGAATCGTGGTGGGGTGGTCCCATGAACCCTGTTCCTATTATACCGTCTATCTCTTGATATGGCATTCCCCCTATTTCTGTTATTGTCCTTTCGTTTATACGTTGGTACGGTGAGCCCTCCATCTCCCCGTGGGGCACTGTCCTGGCATGTGTGTGTGTACTTGATGTTTGTGGCGGTGGTGGGCATGGCGTCGAGGCATCCCAAGCGTCTCTTTCGTATGGTGGGTATTGATATCCCCCGGATAGGCTGGGTGGTTCTCGATGGTCGGACGGGTACGTCGGTATGGCATGCGCGTTGGCCTCTATACCCTTTCCACCACCGTTCGCGAATTGCGCGATATCGGTTGTCGAGGGTTTCCTTCGGGCTGCTTTCCGCGTTCTGTACATCATGAATAGACCGGCACCTAATGCTGCTAGTCCGGTAACACCTAAAGATACACCGATGCCAATTCCAGCTGCGGCACCCCCTGAAATCCCACTTCCACCGGACGCCGAGCAACTGGAATTCCCTGTTACTACATGGTTCGCTAATGCATCTGCCACGGAGGCGTCGCAGTTGTTCGCACTATTTGTTGCAGATCCAGTTGGGGTGGCAAATATCCAGCCGTTTACAGGAATCGCCGATACTGCTGTATCTGCTGTGACGCTGGAACTGGTAATTTTCCAATCGGGGTTCCTCTGAGCATAGGTAACCACAGCTCCCTTTTTAAGCTCCGACGTACACTCGCCCGTATCTCCTGGGCCCTTGAATTTTGCAAAGTTATATTCTCTACGGACAAATAATTAATACACCATTTCCGAAATCGCATATCGTTAAACGTACAATGGGCAACATGCCACATAGGTACTCGAAGCATCTTTAGCAGACACTGTGGCAGTATAGTAATCGCTCGGACACGTAATCGGTCCTAGACTAAGTATCGTCTCTCGAATGGGACCAAGTCGCTCTTGTAACCACCAGGTCGTCACCGGCTTGGGGTGGCATGTGGTTACACCTCCAACTGATAGTCCATAGCCCGGGTCCCATGCAGCGAGGATGCTAGGTACAAATTTCCAAAGGGAGTTCTCGCAGCCGGGTTGATGAGGATGCGCTGTCGGAATAGGGATCCAGGAAGTTACAATACCTGCATTCGTCTCTGGGAGCCTATTCATTGTCGGTCATGAAGCACCGAACGAGAACACCATAGAAGACCAACTATGGAAGGGAAGAAAGAGAAAAAGAACATGGTCCAGCTCTGAAAATATGCCGGCATGGGTGGACCATCTCACTATTTTATGAGGATTCCCTGGAAGCTGACCCCTACAAGGTAGATTCAATATATGCTAGACATAAGAGTAACGAAATATAATTGGTGGCTTCTATTTCTGTCGAATTCTGTACCATGTTCGACTAGGGTTCGACAAGGCTCACTAGCAATGGGTTTGGGGTTGCTGAGGCGCGAAGGATCCGAGCCCGAAGGATATATGGATAGGGCTATGCGTCTTTCTAGGATACCACGCGACGCGGAACTCATCAATAATGATAGGTACATTCAGTTCTCCATCTGATATCCTACATGCTCGTATGACATTGAGTGCTTGGAAGCAATGACTGGGGCGCATAGTCGTGTGTGTTTGGAGAGTCCTGTAAGCCTAGCTACTTTTCTAGAGTTCAACTACGAGATGATGTTCTTGGGGTACTTTACCGTAGTTGTTTTCGCTTTAGCATCTCGACCGCCTCCAGGTTCATCCTAGCCACTTATTAAGAATTGCCTTTGTTCTCATAGGTAGATGGAGGATTGGTAAGACACTGTGTACTGCAGTAAGATCAGCCAAGACTCTAAAACTGCAAAGGCAAATTGATTTGATTCAGCTCGAAAACTGCAGTCAGCAATTATGGAGCTGCCGGGGTGTCCCGCCAAGATCCAGCGCGGTAGTGGAAGCGAAGTCGTGACTGGTAGAAGCGCGATAGGGCTGAATCTAAGTCAGTCTTGCTTATAGGCAGTAGCTATACTAAGTATGGCTTTAGTCGGACGAGAAGATATCTATAAATTGTACCGTCTCATAACCATCTATGTATTACACCCCTTTTCCGCCACATGTGTATATCTGCATAGTATAAAGCCTAATTTTATAATGCTAATAATTCTATTGCGTTAGAAAACCCCCCTCCATAGCCCTCCTCCCTTTGTTATTTCCCACGAATCGAACTTTAATCGGTGCTTCATCTATGGATAATGTCTTTAGCGCCTCTTTGATTACACCCTTTTCTGCTTCGTCGTTCCATCCACAAACTTCAATGACCTTTGGCCAAATATTCCTCGGCTTTGCGTTAACGGCATCCACCAGTCTGTCTAAAACGGCGTTAACCAGTCTACAGCACCCCAAGCTGCAATAACATTCTTCGAGGCTTATCTGGAGCCGATTCAAATTCATATATTGCACATCCATCATACGTTCGTCCCACGAAGAGAGCAACTCATTCACTGCGGAGTCGTGAAACTGCCGCATATATGTTTTCGAGTCGAATTCCGCATCTACGCCTTCCTCTTCGTATAGCTGGGAACGCACCACATGGCTGCGTTCGAAGTTGGTCCAAGTATCGTCCCGCATGTCGAAAGTGTGACTTATGTCGCGCATTTTATTAGAGACCCAGTAGGAAAGTGGAAGGCTCTCATCGGTGCGGCGGAGCATGGGGAAGTTGATATCACCGGACGGGAAGACGAAACGGTTGCGCCCATAAAACATTGGCATCGTTTCCGCCTGAATTGCGTGGCTTACGCCGCAAATTAAGCCAATGCTTCGCCAATACTTGACCCCCCAATTACTCGGAAGGCCCTTATACCGCGGGTACACCCGTCCATGATAATCACGAGTATGCTTGATATTATAGGTTACTCCGTAGCGTATACCTGCCGTATTCGGCATGAATATTGTCCCTTTTAGTAGGTGATACTCATAGACCATAGCACGAATCTCACGAGGTAGATGCACTACAGTACTCTGGATTAGCATCATTCTACTTGGTCGGCCGGACGAGAGAAAGGTAAAAGAGTGAAATATGCAGAAACATAATATCTCTTCGATACAGCGCCGTCAAAGTATTTATTTCACTTTTGAGTCTTGACAGAACGAGTGACTCCAGATACTACTCACTGAAGCCGTGGAACTCGGGTTGGGTGTCTCTACGCGCGAGGCGGAAATGCTCCAGAGTATCCCCATGGACATGCTGTATCTGCCCCTTTTCTGTGGATCTATTGGCCTGTCTCACCCAATACTCTTTCAGACGCGTCGCCCAGTCTTTCGTGCGTTCTTCTGCGAAGACCTTTGCGTATTCGTCAGGGAGGCAGTCCATTCTCTCCCAAGCTAAGGCCTGTTCTATGGAGACGGGCATCGTGTATCGTGTATGTATGCTAGCAAAATCTGAAGTGTATATTGAGAGGACGTAAACTGAGAACCGACCACACCGCACGTTTTAATCTTATACTCGGGACGTAATACCGCTTATTTGTTGGATGCTATCCAACCCTATAGGCAACAACTACGTGGGTTCCCCACACGGATCTCATCCCGCACCAAGCTTAATAGATCCACACCGCCTCCGATCTCCTTGGGGTATAGGTATATGTACCTATGAGCTTATACATACGAAGGAGCTAGCAGGTGTAAAGACGTATAATTGCCAGTGCTTTGACCATAACTTAACATATCCGCTTGATTTGTTTAATTATTTAAGGTACCAAACTACATCATCGCCTATGATATTTGCTGATAACCGAACTCTGCTCATGTTCAAAACCTCGCAGTTTCCTAAGTTCACTGTGTTTGAAGTATAGGTAACTATATGATTGCAATTTGCCTACCCCTTTAAAGACAGATATCAAGAGCGCTCTGTGTCATAGATGGTAGGTAAACTCACAAATACACCCCCAAACATATCTGGGTAAGGATGATACTTAAAAAGACTTCAACCCCCGTTTGATATCTCTCAAGGATGACTAAGCAATTCATATTCTACCCATACTTTGGCATTACACTACGAGTAGTTATAGGTACATCAGTAATGTCTGGGCGACAATCCTTCGTCTTACCTCCGAAACACTTGGACCTAAGAGGGGATACTTGGGGCGGAAGTGGATTGGTGAGATCTGAATCAAATGCTAATCTTATAACTGCCTACCTAGGTACTGCCGTCCAGCTCAGAGGGGCTACGTAGCGCCGTCAGCTCAAATATCAGCCAATAACAGCAGAAGGAGTCCCCGGAGGCATGTAGCTACCTATTAAGTGTAACATGTTTATTCGACATCGCATAGAATAGGCAATTTTGGTGGTAGATTTTGGTACAGCTGTACTTGGGGATGGTAATACTGGCCCTACCAAGAATTTCTGCAAGGAAGAAGAAAAGACCTATCACATCGATATTGCCTAGGTTAACTCATTACGTAGAAGTATTCGTGCACGGACCAAGTCGGATGGCTGTATCACCAAACCGATATATAGTAATTTATCAGCAATTGGCTTTCACCAAGCACGTGAAGGCCGCTTGGCCCAATGGTAAGGCGTCTGACTACGATCGAGCATGAGTAAAAACATGCTTGACAAGTAATCAGGAGATTCTGGGTTCGAGCCCCAGGGTGGTCATCTTTTTTGCTTTATTTCGGCGAGAATGTGTGCGAAGGGTTCGCTTAATATTTAGCTGGTCCTTCGGCAAGTTCCGTGCATATTTTTACCTAATTTTTCATTAATTATTTTATGAGCAACATTTCGAATATGCGGTGGTGGAAGTTTATCATGTCGAATGACAACGTAAAATTTAATAAGAACTCAACCATGTTTACTAACATCTAGCCTTCTCCTAAGCACATAAATGGTCCTAAATTGCTGGGCGTGATAGTTATTCCTAGTTTCCTATTTACTATGGGAATGTTGTTCCAATGATACTTGTACGGAATGCATCTAACTCAGCCGGTCAACGCCGTTGTTTTCTGAGCGTTCAAACTAATTTTGATGATGGATATTTGAGAATATGAAAAGATTTGGGGGAAGTAGGAGAAACACAACGATTGCTTAAGCATTAAGTATAAGTATGATATATCATGATAAGCTGGTAGGACTATTGCTAGAAATGGATGGGAAATTGTCCTCGGCCTTTTTAAGGTTTGGGGATAAAAGACAATTAGACTTGAGTAGGTATATTGGCAGAGTATTATGTGGTAGATATTGAGAGGTAATTAATGGAGTGTCTGTACCAAGTTCCATTACTCGTAATTTGTGTGGTGTAAGTGACATAGTTTCTGGCTACTTGTTCAATACCCCTAGGTCTGGTGCTTCTCCCATATCCAGCAACAGAAGTAACTACCAAATTACGACGACTCGGAGAATACGTCCTATGCACTGCCATCGGTATAATTAAAAGGAAGGAAAAAGTACAAGGACTTGGATAGATAATAGGAATGAAAATTGAATAAGTAATTTGCTTCATTGAATACAAATATTAAAAAGGATCGAGAGAGAAGGGGGGGGAAAGCTTGTCCTTAGGAAGGAACCTACCTATTCAATTGACCAAAACAAATTAGTCTTTTCAATAGAGCCCCTTTCAGAGTCAATATAGCATACGTAGAACGCCCAGCCTACTAGAAGGAGACAGGAGAGGAGCAGAAGGGTAAAGACAACTCCAAAGTCAAGACCAAGTAAAGCAGAAATGTAGGTAGTATTTAAGCGAATTCTAAATGCATTCAACCTAGAAGTGTTGCCAATCCGTAAGCCAAGGTTTATTACCCTGCGAGAAAGTAACACCATGCTTATAATTCCCACTGAGCTCCTCTTCATCGACACCGCAATGCACATATCCATCGCGCCCAGAGAACCACCCCAGGCCATACGTCTTACCCAAGCTCTCGAGCCGCGCACGCATCTGCGCGTTGGTAAACTTAGCCGTCCCAACAAAATCATACAGCATCTTACTCTGGTGCACGAACGCGAGCACGCTGGCGATCGTGCTCGGCTGCCGCGGGAGAAACGGGTGGCGCCGGCGGATAAATATCGCTGTGGCGACGACGAATAGGTATATCAGGATTAGGACGGTTAGTACCAGGGACACCGTGAACGAGAGCACTGTTTCCGAGCCTGAGCCGACGCCCTTTTGTAGGAACTCGTCGCCTAGCTCGTCGTTGTGGTCTTCTGCCCTGCTTAGTATCTCTAAGAAGTCTCGGCCTTCAACAGTAGCCAGACTAGTGACGAAGATCGTGAGAGCCTCTACCATGATGGTGCCCCACCCAACCAAGAACACCATCCAGTGCCGGTTGAAGAGCGCACGCGCGGCGACTACCGCGAATGGCATGGCTGTGTAGTCGAGGGTCAGCGTCTTGGCTGGTGCGTGCCGCTTCGAGAGGATGTAGTATGGCTCCATCATGCGGATCGCCGTCTCCAGGCTGCCCCAACTCAGCTTAATGAAAACTGCGAGGAGGGTGACGACCCAGGGCGCTTTATTCGTTAGCACGCTAGCTGGCGTAAACAAAAACACCGGTATGAAACCCAAGAACATCAATATCCCGATTATAAAGGGTATGCAGCCCTCAGCGCGCAGCATGAGCGGGTGCGGGTTCTCGGGTAGATGCGCGTCCCTGTATCTATCGCTCTCCAGCGCGGACACCTGTTCGAAATCCTCAGGAACCAATGACGAGTTGCGCAAGGCGTACCGCCTATTCTTGAGCTTGTGATGGATGTCCTTTGGCTTGGCGATGTCCATGTCCTTGAAGTCCATCATGATGTGGCTGACGACAGCCATCGACGCCAGTCCCGCAATCCCCTTGACATCTGAGAGCAGGCCCGAGCGTCGCGTGTTAAGCTGATAGAATAGCACGCACCCTAGTACTGCGATGACGAAGAAAGTCATGGTTAGAAGACGGGATAGGATAGGGTTCATGGTGATGGTCTTCTCGACGTCAGGGTTTGAAAGCCGTACCTGCCGGTCCGGCCCCACGACCAGTGCGGCCGCGCCGAGAGTGGGGACTAAGGATACGGCGAGAAGAGTTGCCAAGGACGAGGTGGCCACTGCGTAGTGTCTCCGCTGCAGGGCGCGAAACGGCCGGGTGAAGTTGAACAAGGTGATATAGTCAACGTTGACTGACTCCGCCGCTAGCGCTCCCCCTTCCTTGGACAACTGATAGAAGGCCTCGAGCCGCTTGACTTCGAAGTCTGTGTTTTGCCACAGCACGCCATACGTGACGGTGATTATCGTTGGGACGAATTTGAAGATGAAATAGTAGCCAGGTCCGAGATCAGTGGCGTTGTGGAATTTGATGAGAGGAGTCTCGGCAGACCTCTGGAAGAGGATCTCCTGGGCGATGGCGAGGCCGACGGATAGGAGAATCAAACCCGTTACTGCAATTAGGGTCAGTGATAATTCTCGTCTATTACATTAGAATCATCGGATGTTTATAGGAATTATTCGATAACTCGGGGCTACGTTCCATGAAACAGATAGTCGAAGGGGGGCAGATTTACTCGGAATTTACTCACTATATGGCCACCTCATAGAGAACGGTTTCCAATTAGGCTGTGGATAAAACACCTCGGTCTTCGTCTCCTTGCTGGGGAGTTGTGAGTACCGACGGGTTGGATCCGACCCAACTACGTTAGGTCCAACCATCGTACTCAAGTCTGCAGGTTCTTCCATGATAACTTCTATCACGTCTCCCCTCCTGTTGGCCTCACTCTGTCCCAGCTCCTTTAGCCCCGCCCTCGATCTTGAACTAGACGCGCTCTTCATAGAAAAAGATCTGGTGAAGCTCCTTTTAAGAGACGGCGAGCTTGCTATAAGCTGTTCTCGCTTGATGGTTGCTGTCGGACTCATCCCTTCCCCTATACCCCCGGTTAAGTGGCCCCCGGCCTCCTTCGCTTGTAGCGATTTGGCAAACTTTTGGTCCTGGGAACCCATAGGTCCGGAGAAGGAAGATAAATCAATTGCTGGCTCGTAACCCGTGACGGGGTCGTACGGACCAGAGCGTCCAAGTGGCGCAGCTGCGCGGAGCAGGGACATGTCGATACTCTCATCTTCGTGAATTGTATCTTGGGGTCTGACACGGACGCTCTTGTAACGCCCGAAAGTTGAGTTGGAGCGGCTGGGAGGCGCCACGGGTTGGTATCGCCCACCTCCAGATCCAACAAAGGGTAGTGACCAAGATGGCCCTGACCTATAGGCATTTCCATCTGACGTGCCGTCTAACTGTTGAGATTCGTAGGTGGACTGAAGTGACACGAGGGACTCCCGGCCCCTAATTCCGGCAGAGGATGTCTCACCGTGGTACGGACTGTCCGACAGATCGGAGACTTTGTGGTTCAGGTAGTGTGCGGGTTGCCGGGGCGTAAATTGGAAATGGTTATTATAGGCCATGCCTACGGTCGCATTATCTTCAAGCGATGGTGGAGTCCTACTAGATTAGGTAGTTTACACTACACTATTTTCGACTGATGAAACGAACGGCGATGCGGTGGTCCTGTGTTCCCGCTATACAGATCTGTAATTATCTCTAGGCTATAGATCGCAAGATATTTCCTCCAGTAGTAAACCCACAAGTTACACTCATCGAAGTTCAAATGAGGACTCTGTGAGCGCCGTACGTCCAGATTAACTCTCCGCTTGTAAGTACCGTTTGCTTGACTTCTTGTTCCGGTTGTACCGCGTGGATTCGTAAGCTATAGTTGACCACTAATACAACAAAAATGGTCTAGTTCTTTGGAAAAGGAAGGGCTAGTAGATCAGATGCGTATTATAGGCATGTCGTATTAAACTATTACGGCATGTAGGAAGCTCTATCAAGTTCCGCTAGTATGTAGTCGCATACGGAAGAAGCGCGCCATGGACAGAGGAGAAAGAGATCATTCAGACAGATGCGAGAAATATCCTCCCTCAATGCCCGTACTCTAACAATAGGTAGGTATTCAATCATTTTCAGCCGCTAATGGCCAAACAAGTGGGCAAGCCAGCAACAGGTCGCCAGCTTCAGCTGTGGACCAAGCTTCCCAGGCAACAGGAGGAGACATCAAGAAGCTAAGAAGTTGGGGTCAGACATGCTGCCATGGTCATGGATCCTTATCCTGGAAAGTCCCCGGTTTATGTCCAGCTTTCACAGCCGCACCGACTAGGAGCAGGACTAGCAACTAAAACTCGACGCTGAGATTGGTCAGTGTGAACGCCATTATTGATAGTCTAACCGCCCGGGAAAAAAAAAAAAAAAAAAAAGGGAACGAGAGGTCTTAGCTTCATTTGCAAGTATAGGATAAAAATGTGAGACGTCGCGGCCAAGTCTAAGAACTTGGAGCAAACAATTATACACCATATATAATCCCGACGATGACGTTGCTGCGGAGAAACTCAGCAATATATCATCCAAGCGAGATGGGTGCAGCTACGCAAGTAAGCAATGGAATGCACCATGCAATGCGCTTCGGGAGTTACCCGTGCACAGATTGGTCTGCCATCGCCCGATAATAGGCAGTGACGCTTCCATCAAGATTTCGATGCCGGATCGTGCAGAGAAGATAGTAGTCGATCACCTTAAACGTTTTCGCTTCCCGATCTTTGCGACTCCTTCGTCACACGGAGGGGACCTCTGTAACATTCGACAGAATTGAAGGGGCCCATTGCAAGGCATCACAGAATCTACCGATTCTCGTGGTTGTGTTATACCTTTCCGTAATATTGTAATTCACGAGCGCCTCCTCTTATATAATTAGCTGCTTTGAGCTTCTCATCCAAATATGGAGTTGTTTTTCCTATGCTCCCGTATACATTTTTGCCAATGCGATGTCCGAGTCTATGTGGACCGAAGACGAGATTCGATACTTCCGAGCCTTGCTTGCGTGGGTAGCGAGCGATGAGGAGGATGATAGTGGTTATGATAAATTGCCTCCCCTGGAGAGGCATGCAGGGGAATTCATGTTCCTCGTCCTAGGAGACAAGGGTTGTGGGAAGACGTCGCTTCTAGACAGGGTAATCATATCTAGAAGATCATGCCTTCTGTCTTCTAACGATGCGTAGTTCTGCTTCGGTACATTCGCCGAGGAGGATCGGCCATCCGAACTTGACGAGCAAGAACGAGGCTATCGCCATATCCTAAGAATTGAGGACCAAACTTATGTCATCAATGCCTTAGAACTTCCATCTCGGCATCTGTCCAGCGAGGAGCAGCTCACACAAGCGGTACAGATCACGGAAGCTGTTGTCCTAGTATATGACGTCAAATCGAGAGGGTCCTTCACTCTCCTCCAAGACGTCTACAACCATATTCGCGATATGATCGGGCAGACACGCACGTACGGTCTCATGCTCGTAGGTACTAACTCCGACTGCGAGGACGAACAGCGAGAGGTATCCTGGGCCGAGGGCCGCAAGCTCGCAGCAAGCTTCGGGCTTGGATGCGCGTTCCTCGAGACCTCGGCCAAATCAGGCGATAATATCGACAGGATTTTCCCACAGCTGGGGAGGGAGGTCCTCAAGTTAAGGTGGCTTAGCCATCAGCGGAGAGAAGAGGCCGAAAGACTATCTATCGATGCGAGGCAGCGCTCTATTGATGTTTCTTCTGCGAAGGGGATAACGAGATGGAGATCATGGACTCGACCTTGGTTTCAACGAAGGGTGGGAGATCGTAAGGTGTCAGCTCCCTGCTAAATTTTAGTATCCCTTCTTTTCAAAAGGAAGCTTCTATAATTCAATTAAGTCTGTCTTGTATCGTTCTGGTTGATAGATAGTAAGACGAAATATTAAGTTTCTCTGCTGATAAGTAGCTATGTAAGAATAGGCACCATTTTCGTAACTTGAGCGCTTGTATCCCGCGACAGGAAGATATGAACAAGTCTGCGAAGTAGAGCTGCTCATAGCGATATGGGTTTTCATAATATGTAACCTAGGTACCTGTTAGCCTATTAATACAACAACCATTTAGGCATTCATTCAAGTTCTATCGTAGAACATCTCTAATATATGTGAATGAAAATACTAGACGCTTAATTTTCAATAAATAGGTATTATCTTGCTTATTGATATACAACCAAAATAAATAAGTAACAAAACAAATACATCTGTCAACTCCTAGATACATTAGCGCGCCAGTATGGGATCAGGACATGATCTCAGGGATAATCTCGACGATTTGAAATGATTTCAATTACGTGAACAGCTTTTGACGATCCTATAAATGAGTAATGTTGTTGATAAGATCCTCATGCGAATTGGTGATTCTTTTGAATTGGATACGATTATAGAAAAATACATCGTATTCAAAAGGACAAAGTCACGAAGTTCCGAGATTGTATATAAAATACAAGGGTTTTAAGAAATAAGATACTTACTTTTTTGGGATAGTCACGTACCTCCGACATGGTCCCGGAGATCATTTTAAAATCTCGAAATCATGTCAGCCCCAGTATAAAAATATATAAGGTTACTAGGTATGTGTATACCTAATAAAAGAAAGAAAAAAATATATAAGCGCATGTATTTATTTATACATAACATCATATTAGCATTACGAATAGTTGAAAATACAGAATATCACTTGTTACGATGAGGCTCGAATTACAGGCTTACAAGTACGATTATTACGATTACAATTACAAGTCTACGTGTTTTACGATTGAGCTAAGTCTTACGTTGCTACGATTTTACGGGAAACAATAGCTGGCCTGTTGTTGCAGTATATAAGGCCGCAATAAGGGGAGGCAGGTGCAATTCGAGGTAGGTATAATAAGTCATACTTACGAATAGGTCGTACTTACCTGGGCCAAAATCATCCCCGAGATCGTTTTGAAAGGCTGAAATGATCTTGAAAGGCTGAAATGATCTTGGAAGGCTGAGATTGTGTCGAATTCAACACGATCCTTATGACTATTTTAAACATGAGGCTATTTTCATTAAACATCGTCACGGAGACTCGAGATGATTCGATATGCAATATTATCCTGGTGACAATGTCGGGCTATTGTAATAATATTCAAAATTTTAAAATAATCTTATAAGGTGACATAATCCCTAAGATCATGTCCCCCTCCCACCCTGGCGCGGTAATGTACTTTCCTTAGGTCCAACTTAATAAGGGATATATGGGAAAGTGTGGTACAATAGTCTTTCCGACTAATACTAGATAGGCATTTGTAGTGAATGCATCAATTCATGTTGTGCATCAACAGTCATATTGACGATAATGAAAACATATACGTACATGCATGTGCAAAGTTAATAATTCCAGCTGTAATAATTCGTGAGGCTGAGTTGTTTTATTTTATGTAATTTAGACCGGTAGGTAGCCCCGGAGATCTGCATCATTGATAACTGCTGTGGGAAGATTTGTAACCCAGTTAATTAGCACGGATCACTCGGTTGCGACGTTCCATAGTAAGGGTAGGTATCCGGCAATACCACGCCGCAAAGATCTTAGATGCCAAGAAATATCGGTTTTCTGGAGTTTGGAATTATTATCGTCAAAAAACGATGACCCAAGAAATTTTAGATAACGACTTTTAGGTAGTCCTGTTGCGTGCATGTTTGCTGTTTGCAACGGGTACGCACATCATAAGGTCTTGAAGTTCGGTTGCTATGAGACACAAGGAGCGGATGACGACACCTTGCAGGATTGGAAGATCTTGATAGAGATCATGATGAGATCAGCTGGATCAGCAATGTACATACGGCTCGCCCGGTCGCATATCCAATGCAGCCAACACAGCCTATCTTTTTACACAAGGAAGAGAAAATAAAAACAGACAAGACAGGACAGGATAGACTAATTGATAATAGTCGGCCAAACGGTTGCCGACTGGACTTCATTGGCCTTTGTGTCGGCAATACGGCAGACCGGTTTGGCCGGGGATACAATTTGAGATGCAATCAATTGTAAGTTTTCAAGAAGGTAATTAAATACGAGTGAGTACGAGAAAACGGTCCTGTTTAGCTTATGTTAGCTTATTCTTTTTACGTGTTTACACGTTTAGAATCTCATCTAGTTATATGGATTCTTTAGATGAGTTGCTTACCTACTTTACCTACCAAGAAAGGCAAGCAATGTGCCCAGCTGCTTAGCATGCTTAGCAGGAGTTGCGCGTTCTCATGTATGCAGTTGCTAAGAGCCCGGAAGAGGGTCTGGTGGCAGTGCATGTAAGAGACGCTTACCCCTTGTTGGCTTGCATTGGCGCCGCCAAAACCAGCCGTGTTTCGAACTTCGTCTCTGACTTGGGATAACCGCTGGTCAATCATAGTCCATCAAGAGGAGTGGTCACAGATCACTGGGTGCTCTGGTGTGGGTATGTTCTAAATTCTTCAAGCTCGTCTTCACCATTCAAGTGATGTCAGATGCGGGATGATGTAACCCAGATTTCGCTTCCTCAAATCAATTCACGAGTAAATCACAAAGAGGTTAGAATAAATTCCAAGTTATTTATGCAAGTTTCCATGTGGCCTTGCAGCCTTGATGGGCTAATCAAGTTCGAATTAAACCTAAGTTGGAAGTCTTAAATTCTTAGTTCTCTCTTGGAGCCAAGCGCCCACCCTTTTAGTCCAGTCTGGGCAAGTATCAGCAAGTAATCGGCAAGTAGTGTATGCGCAATACGTACATATTTGTGCCGTTAGACCCAGAAATCACATTAGGTACATATGTAGGTACCTTGTCATGTACGTATCATGTCAGTAGACGCATTCCTGTGACAAGATATGCCACTAACAGGTAGATAAATCAGGAAGGAGTAGCTCAGATAATGGAATAATTAATCAATACGGAAATGACTAGCCCCCTTTGTGTATGTACGCGTTACCTCCCAATTTTATTCCACATTCCCGCATTCCTCCCCCCCCCCCCTGCCAACCTCGAAACCGCTTGCTTTTCCTGTCCTTTACATCCACCACCTTGAAATGGGCGCACACAATTCTCCCATGCTTTAGGACCAGTCACTCGCTTCAACTCTCTCTTCTACACTAACTCTCCACTAATTACTTCTCTCCTACATCATCGACTAATTGGTGTAAAATAATACCAGGAAGAAGCCCATTCTGCGAACGGGTCGTAGTTATTCTTTCCTGCTTTTTCAATTCCAACCCCCTTTTTTCAACGCCACTCGTTTTACGTAGGGAGGATAGGTAGAAGTGTTCGGGACAGGCGACCGACCAAGAAGTAGGAATATCCCCTCCAAACGACAGATTACTCTCGCCATCCCGATTTTCTACTCTCTTCTGGATTGCGAGGCCCGCTCGTTTGTTTGAGAACAATCAACGAGCCTCTTTGTCGACAACCGCCTAGACCCACTCACGAATGTGGTTGAATAACTATCAACAAAGGAAAACATAGCGGACACAGCAGGTACCGCATCGCCGGACTTCTTCAGGACAGAAGAGTCCAGAGACAACTTCAATTATACAACACTGTCACACATCAGCAACCATGTGGTTGTCAACAATAAGATCGGTCGCGCTCTTGTCAGGGCTTGCGGCTCTTATCCCGGGCGCAATCGCCGCAGAGCCCATGCTCACCTCGAATTCGTTGAACAATTGTCAAGAGGATTCCCAGTTTACCGCCAGTCTCTTCCAGGTCGTCTACACCCCGAGTAACAACACTGCTTTCCTAAACATCGTCGCAACATCATCCGTCGAAGGAAAAGTCAATTTCGATGTTGACATCTCAGCTTATGGCTACAAGATCATTGAGACAACTATCGACCCTTGCAAGGTCGGGCTGGCTGGTCTCTGCCCCATGACTGCGGGTAAGATTCCATTGAAATTCAACTTACCTGTCGGCGAGGAAGCCGCTTCTCAGATTCCCAGTATTGCCTACAACTTCCCCGATCTAGACGCCACCGTCCGTGTTACCTTAAGAATGGTCGATACGAAAAAGAGCGTTGCCTGTGTCGAGGCCGATATCTCTAACGGCAAGACTGTCAACTTGATTGCTGTTAAGTGGGTTCTCGCTATAATTGCTGGTTTGGTACTCTGTTCTTCAGCTATTATCAACGGCCTTGGTCACTCTAACGCTGCTGCCCACATCGCTTCCGGCGCACTTTCGCTGTTTAGCTTCTTTCAAGCCCAGGCCATTCTCGGTCTAACCTCTATCCATCTGCCCCCCGTTGTCCAGTCGTGGACTCAGGATTTCCAGTGGTCGATGGGTATCATCAATGTCGATTTCATGCAGGATATCTTCACCTGGTATCAGCGAGCTACTGGCGGTACGCCTTCCACCATTTTCGACTCTTTGACGACCGTTTCGGTGCAAGTAGAGAAGCGTGCTCTCTCTGTCCTTCCCGACGCTGCCGTTGACTTGTACCGACGTTCGGCTGCGATCCTTCCCCGCGGTGCCTCATCACTGATGAAGCGCGGTAACGTGATGACGGGTTCAGGCAGTTACCTCGTGTATGGTATCCAGCGTGTAGCTTTCAGAGCCGGTATCGAGACGACAAACCTTTTCATGACTGGTTTGACGTTTTTCTGCCTGTTCGTTGTCGTTACCATTGGTGCCGTGGCTGCGTTCAAGGGTCTCTGCGAATTGGCCGTGAAGCAAAAGTGGATGAAAGGTGACACTTTCCTCGAGTTCCGCAATGGATGGCTCACGGTCTTGAAGGGTATTCTGTTCCGACTTACCCTCATTGGTTACCCTCAGATGGCCATTTTGTGTCTTTGGGAGTTCACGCAGAACGATTCGCCTGCTGAAGTAGTTCTAGCGGTGTTCTTCATTGTTGGAATGACGGCCACTCTGGGCTGGGCTGCCTCTAAGGTCATTCGAATCGCTCGCCGCTCGGTTGCTATGCACCGGAACCCCGCGTACATCCTCTTCTCCGATCCCCAGGCGTTGAACAAGTGGGGATTCCTATACGTCCAGTTCCGTGCCTCCGCGTATTACTTCATCATTCCGGTTCTTGGATATTCTCTAGTCAAGGCCATGTTCATCGCCTTCTCGCAAGGCAACAGCACTGCCCAGGCCATCGGATTCCTCCTGATCGAAGCTGCTGCTCTGATTACCGCTAGTGTACTCCGACCGTGGATGGACAAGAGCACTAATTCGTTCAACATTGCCATTTTCTGCGTTAACTTTATCAACGCCATTTTCCTTTTGATTTTCTCGGATGTCTTTAACCAGCCTCCGCTAGTCAATGGCGTTATCGGTCTTATTTTGTTCTTCCTTAATGCTATATTTGCCACCATCCTCCTAATTATGGTCATTGTTTCGACCACCCTGGTCTTCTATCGCAAGAACCCCGATGGTCGTTACCAGTTTATGGCTGATGACCGAACGTCATTCATGAAGTCGCAATCTCAACTCACAGGTACTACCGAATTGGACGCCCTTGCCGCCACCGCTCGCGGTGATAAGGCAGGCTATAAGCACGGCTTAGACCTAGACGATGACAACGAGTCGATATCCTCTGCTGAACTCCGCCGCCGTACGGATTCGTCAAACTTAAACGTCCCTACGTCAGCCCCGAGCAACCCATACGGCCGCAACAACACGAACTCGCCCCAGTCCCCAGTAGATCCCTCGGTACCTCTATTCCCGGCCGCCGGTGGTCCACCAAGGGCTCAGAGCCCCTATACCGGACCTAGCGCCCCCTTGCAACACCAGCACAGTGGCAGTCCTCCTTCATATCGAGCACAGAACAATGCTAGGTAAGCATCATCAAAAATTTAGTAATTAATATAGACTAATCAGGAAGTAGTCCGTGGCAACGAGGTGCAGGTTACGAACACTAGGTAACGGTTGTGATGCCGGAAGGAGGATTTTACTAGCAGGACGTAGTCCGAGTGTTAAATCATACTAGGATACAATCATGACAATGGGGTCGGAGTTAATACAGGAGGACAACTCTTTTTGAGAAGATTCTGACTTGAAATAAGGCGGTCGTCGAATACCCAATAGTACCGCTGATGAAAAGTAGCGGCTCGGCCGACAATCCTTTCCTATGTTCTCAAACCTTGTATTAAGGAATCCGCCTTATGACGCGGGGCGTTTAGCGCGTCAACAGCATTCAGGAGGCGTCGTTAGGGATGTGATGTTCATGCGATATTTTTTCGATCAGCTGTACCAAAACCCGAACTTGCAAAGTGTAAATACCACCCAGAGAACCCTGCAAAAAGGATGAAGAATTTTTCAAGAAATTCCTGGGAACAGCTGGGCTGAGGAGTTATGGTTTTTTTTTGTACCTGGGTTATCACCAATTATAGACCGCCGTATGCGCGGCGGCAAGCTTGTCAATAGCTAATCAATAAATACGGCTTTTAACGAATACATGCGCAGTGAATGCTATTTGAGTGACTTGTCAGAGCTACCAATCTTCTTAAAGGTTATTATATATTACTTCTAAACTCCGAAAATTGACTCTATTAGTACTACTTTGCCATCGAAGATGAGTATACTTATTGACTCAGGTACATGAGTTGTAAACAGTAATAGTAGTAAGAGACTAGTTTGAATAAGCCTACTTGTCCGTACGAAGCGTTTGTACTAGAGTACAAAACAATATTCTTGATTTGAGAAAAGTGACACTAATGATCCGCTGCAAAATACCTTTCCCTTATAGACATTGTTGACGTTTGGAACGAGTGGCGGCTCTTGGATTTGTGTAGAACTTGGAATTGATTGCCCATCGTATCTTCTATTACCACCTATTTACCCTTGCTCATAATGTTACTTCGAGTAAATAAACATTTTGATTATTCAGTTTCTTCTACAAAAAAAGGTCGAGTCCTTCGGCAAGAAGCTGTCGGGGGATAAGTGGGTTAGAGGTATATTTAGGGGTATATCTACTAGGATTGGGTACCTATATAAGAGGCACATAGCGCCTTCGAAAGAGGATAGAACGGCAGGTGTTAATAGTTTAATTTATCTATCCTGACATTTACTTTTTATCTATGACACTAATCAGGGGTTCAATCTGACAGAAGCATTGAAACAACTTCGTCGTCCCGCAAGGAACCCTAAGCCTAGGCGACTATGGAAGCTCGAGCTATACATTAGGTACTGAAAGTCTCATTTGTTCTGGACGCCTTATCCAGAATCTTAACCATCACCCATCTCTCCATCCTTATTAATAACATGAGAATTGTCCTCCACTTCAACCGCAGACTTATTGCTGTTACTATCAGCCAGCCTATGACTAACATCCATGGCTCCTGTTTCAAGGCCTCGTTTAGCTTTGTTGTCCGCTGAGGCTGCTGGTGGTGATGGTGGTTCGTGAAATTCTTTGTAGTCGGGGTGGACGTTGAAGACGTGCGTCTCCGTATCGTCAATGGTAGGTATCGCATGGTACTCGTCGATCCGACCATAGCACTTCTTACAGGCGTAGAAATCGTGGCAGATGTTACATACGTATACCTTTCCGTAGATTTGCTAAATAAGTGCTTACGTGTCAGTCAAGGAAGACATACGAAAAGACGCTATAGGGGGTACTAAAGACCAGTTTTGATAACCAGTGAGCCTGATCTTGGATTTCAGTATTTATGGTATATTTGGAATCATAACTTACAGAGAAGCATATACCACAAAATATAGGATGGCAGCAGTAGGTTTTCTTATCTAGGTTGTCGTCTTTGGGGATGTATTTCTCCCCGTACCCAACCCCATTTTTGACGAGTGAAATGAGATCAGAGCTGGCGTTGTGTAGACGGGCCAGCTCAAGTAGCGTGAAAGTCTCGGCATTCTGCCCCTTGCCCATCTTGCATTGGATATCTCGCCTTGCCCCGTATTCGAGAAGGCATCGCACCGTTCCTCCGTAATCTATAGGCTCACTTCCTATTGTATTCCGAACTGTTGGGTCTATGATGGCCCTCATCGCCCAGCACATGGGCGTCCAGCCATCCACGTCCGGGGCGTTTGAGTATTTGAATCGCTCATGCCGTTCTAAACGTGACAGGATCAGCTCTAAGGCATCGGCACGTCCGAACTGCGCAGCCCAGTGTAAGCAGTTCTTCTCGAAGTTGTCGCTGCCCGTCAACCTCCTCTCGGGTTCGCGTAGAAAGTAGCGTAGCATGCGTAGGTTCTCTAACCCATTCGCCGCGCCGAAGTGAATCGCTTGCCTCCCTAGCGAGTCTCTCGCTTCGGCAGACGCGCCCTCTCCTCGAAGGGCGTAGATTGTGCCCGGCCAGGCATAAAACGCGGCTACGGAGAACACGTTTTGAAACGTGACGCCGGGCATCCTGATGGTCGCGTTGACGTTGGCCCCCGCCTGGACTAGTGTACCTACGATTCTATCTATAAGACCCAAATTCTCTTTGCATCTTTCCTCATTTGGAATACAAACAGCTAAGAGGGGCGTGGATCTGAATATGGGAAGCTCCTGGTTGACATCGGAACCATGGTAAATCAGCTTCTTGATTGTTTTAAAATGAAGCATATGGCAAGCTGTGTGTAGTGCGCTGCCCAACGTCTTAGAGTAGAGATTGAGGTTAATGTTAGGCTGGGAAAGGTACAAGTCGATGAGCTTGGATGACATGTTGTTTCTAATGGCAGTGATCAACGGCGTGGCTCCTTCGTCGTCTTGCGCATTTACGTCGGCGCCCTCCTCTAGCGAGATTCTAAAACGGTCCAGGATCGCTTTAGTTCTGGCGGCCATGAGCGGTGTTTGGCCACAATTATCGCGTCTGATTGTGCAGTACTTGAGAATAGTCCCAATAATGTCCGGGGTAGGGGTAATGACAATGTGAGTAACACCTCTGCCACAATTCTTTATAGTATCATCGACGCTAGCGCCGACATCCAGGAGAAGCTTCACTAACCCGGCGTCGTGGTTATCGATAGCAAAAATGCACTGCGGACTCGGCCCAGATACGTCTGTGAGGTGAACATTCGCTTTCCGTTCGATTAACTTTTTAACGACCTTGGTTTCTTTTCGCAGTCTTGCTCGACGGATAAGCCTACCAAATCTAGGATCTAGATTGGGATTTGCTTTGGCGTTAAGAAGAAGGGGACGTGGTATCGCTGAGTTCATGAAGATGTCGCGCCATTTATATTCGGTTTCTGTGGCGATCGAGATAGCCTCAATGTAGGTAGCAATGATTAATGGTATTTCTTAAGAGTAGAGACGGGATAACGTACTGTTTTGACAATCGAAGCCCCGAGATCATAGGCTATAAACACTATAGCATGTTTCCGATTCGACTTTCTACACTACAAATGACCTATAAGCATGATTTTCTTCCGCAACTGGATTTGGTACCACTAACTGCCTTATCCTTTTGCTCAATAGTATTCAAATCATCAAGCAGGCATAGCGCATAGTTATGGGTTAGATTCTCGACTGAGATTACCAAGAAGCAGGCAAGAAACATCGCATGAGGATAGCATTACCCTCCGTCCCGTTTTATGGTCACGGATAATACTTTCTAAATGGAGTGCATTGACTCCCCCACGCGTTTCAGTAACGTGAACGATACTATCAACTGTTAGACTAATATTTTAGGTTCTCATTTTCTTGATGCTTTCTTACTCGAGATTTGGCGATTTATTTGACGGGTCTTCGTCATCTTGGCCAGAGATTAATAGGTCTTTGAGTCCTCCGTACGAATCATCTTCTCGGATATATTCATCTGAGACTAACGGCACATCTGGGTTTTGGCTCTGCTCGCCTTGAAAAGGTGATGCTTTGCTGGTGATCAGATTATCAGAACTCATGGCATGAGCACCAAGGAAATTACCTTTCATCGGGTTAGTATCAACTCCTAGCAATTCAGGCTGGAACTGACCTTCCGACATGACTAGCCTCCAAGAGAATAAATCAATTAGCTGCGAATGTATTTTAGGGTTGACACTTGTCACTGTTGTGCTTGGAGTACGTAGCCATCGGCGATTCGCTGAATTATTCCTACATCTTCACCACGCATGCATGTTTCAGCCACCATCGCCCTCATTTTCCCAATGTGATAAGTGATAAATACATCCAATATGGTTAATAGTTTGGCAACCAAACAAAAGCAAAAGTGATACTGTGTATATCCATTCCGTAACAGAGATCTCTTAGAATTAAACGCTAGAGCTTACTTGTCTCTGGGATTAAACACATACTATCGAGTCAACGCAAATTGTCAAGAAATAGCAGGAATGACCCTAACCGATTCATATTTTGAAAAGGAGGTAGACCAGAAAACGGGCTGGACCCAAATACAATAGTTGCCTAACTTCCATCGTCACAGGTTCAAGGTATGAGGGTGATGATGTTAGTAAGTCGTTGTTTAGACCCGGTGCCATTACGTCAATGAGGTAGTAGCCACTTAGGTACCAAATGCTAAAAGGCCGTATAAGATATGCATTAAAGGATGTGAATTAAAGGGGATAAAGACAAATTACTTTCTGGGTATGACCCCATATGTGCAGCGGAACTCTAATGGGACGCTAAGCTAAAGCGTGTCCACATGGTTGGTTGGTTCAATGTTCCGAGATCTATGTAACCTTAAACTTTAACGCATCAACCTTCAATTGGGTTCTTCGACCCGCTCTCTATTTCCTATCACATGTATGTAATGTTGATCTGCTATGGCCGTCTTCGTAGTATTGTACCTTGACAGACATCATTCATCTTCTGATGTTATGACATAACGCTACCAAATTCCCAATGGCGACCCCTACTTCTCCCCCTCCTGCGACCGTCGTACCAGCCCAGCTGGGCTTCCTGGCAATCTTCAATCCCTCCCTGGGCACTACCGACGAGACCATGGATGACCAGATAGTCTACTATGCATCCGTGAATACTCAGTTTAGGAAACGACGGCACCGCTCGCGTGGTAAACCTACCGACAGCATCTCCCAAGATGAGCGAAACGAGCGGTTGAGGCAGATCGGATTGGCACAGGGTATGGTCGAATTCAGCCGCGGGTTTGCCGATGGCCAGCCAGTCGATACGATAGAAACAGAGAAGAGTCGCGTCGTGCTGCATGAGCTGGAGCCAGGGTGGTGGATATTAGCTGTAGGGGAAGACGCCCTTTTACTCGGAGTTAGAAGCTGATATATTCTAGTCTATTGATTTGACCAAGTTACCCCTACCGCCGAGGCTCGGAGCTCCCTCTTCAAATCAGACAGGCGATCCGTCCGAAAATGTTGAATATTCGTCTCGGGAAGTCAAGCCAGCTATTCTACTGATGCAAGATCTCCTCCGCGCCCATTCCATCTTCTTGCTGCACCATGCTGCATCTCTGAGCGCCTTATTCGTTCGATTGAGACGGTCTAAATTCGTTAGCATATTAGGTCGATACTGGGATCTGTTTCTGTCTACTTGGGATGTCATGTTACATGGTAATCCTACTGCTAGCGTGTTTGGTGGGATTAAGATCGCTGCTTGTGGCGAGCTGGGCGTCGGCGTTGGAGAGGAGGAACGTGGAAGCGGTGAAAGAGAGGTTCTTGAGGGTTTTGTCGATAGAACCGAAGGCCTGATTGACTTAGTCGTATCCAAATTCGGTCCTTCGGAGTCCGGTATAGACGAGCATTCCAAAGGGGACGAACAATCGGCTTCGAAATGGCTCGGCACCGGAGAAGAGCCAGGCGCGGAGGATGGTGCTATTTTCCTAGGCATAGGAGCTCTATCAAGGAAATCAGTGCGTGATGTCGCCTACTGGATGGAAGACCTCTACATGTGGGGTGAAGACGCGTATGGAGTTAGAGACAGCCCGTCTTCAACACGCCAAGCCAAGAAATCTAAGAAATCAACCCCGACAAGTACTAAAAATGCCACTGGAAAACCTACAATTGCTTCAGAGCCGAATAACGCAACCAGTTCAAACCCCCAAAGCGCGCAAAAGAAACCTACGGATGCAAAAGAATCGGAAACAACAACGCCCCAAACCACCGAAGAAACGGGCGACGGAGGTGGGGTTAACCGATTTATGAACTACCTTAAGATGGGTTATGGTACTCACTGGACACTAGGCGGCTCTGGTGGAGGAGAGAACACAGAACATGATAGAGTGACACCCGAAGAAATGTCTAGGGATAAACAGCTTGGTGATCCCAATCGTCCACCAAAAGTTCTCAATGTGAATTCGGGCCATTACCTCATAGGACTTCTCGGCAATGTCGAAGAAGCCGGTAATATCGAGCATGACGAGAATACAGAGCAATCCGATGGTCCGTCCGAAGATGTTGAGTACAACTCTAGGATCTTGCTTCGAACCCTTACCGTGGAGCTGGAAAATGCAAAACGCCCCGAAGCTGAGATAACGCGGGATTTTGGGAATCAAGACCGTGAGCGATCGACAACAGCAGAGCCTGGCCGAGGGTCTCAAGAAGCGACTTCCAATTTTGATAATCAAGATCTTAACAAATCACAAAAGGTTCGCATAGTGGTGTACGTAAATAAGCCATTCATTTATACATTCCTATTCCGGAATAGGACGGACTCACTAGCCTGGGGCGAGCTGTATAGATCATTACACTATCAGCTTGCGCCGCTTCGAAAACCTCTGGCAACGTCTACGGCCTATCGCCCCGGTAGACCGGACATTGGACCAGTAGGCTCTCACATCTTTGACCTCATATGGGACCCAGAAGCCATGACGATCCATTCCACCATCCCCAGCATACCCACGCCAATTCAGATGATACAAAATACGCAACCAGTTTGGTCTCGGGTAGAAGCGGTAAATACTCATAATCAAATACTCAACACATATATCACAACGTCAACAGATCCGTCTGAATTAGAACGCACTTGTAAGACAAGCCGTGGCTGGTGGATTGTCTGGACACGCATAATTGAGAAAGACGGTGCCCGGACTCCGGTACAACCACCAGACTCTTCAGATACAAGCCAAATCCCCAGCCTACAGCACAGCGAATCAACGGAGAGTGTTGACTCTCAGGGTCAGCCCAGAAGCACCCGATCTAGGGGCAAAGTTAGCAAGGAGATCTTCCTTATCCGTCGAGCAGGCGAACATAGGAGGCTTAGGGGGCTAAGCAGCTCGTACGCAGAAGGAGGTGGTTGGGCAGATGGAGCTAGTCGACTCGCCCAAGGCATTGGTGTCGACACGAAGAAGTATATTGAGGGGCTACTAAGCTTAGGTCGATGAAATCTTTTAGTTTTACGGCGTTTGATCTTGGATTAAGTACTGGCGGAACGGCTATAGCTATAGATGGGACAGAAGCACTAGAGTCCCCGAGGATACCCAGCGAGTTGCTACAGAGCATTTTCAGGGGCGTCTCCTTCGGTCAACATGTTCATCTACCCGGCGTATAGAAATTGACGGTGGTGATATGAATATACGTAGGTACTGATAAGAGTTAGCTCAACTTTGGTCACAGATAGATAGATGACAGGGCAACAGCTAAAAAAAAAAAAATCTAAGTACTATTGTCTACTACTGATGTCAAGACGGTTAGGGTGTTGCTAGGTATTACGTTATATAACGATTTCTTGTGTCAAGCTTGCCTCTGCATAGAAGCCTATCACCTACTCTCGTCTACGAGGCTGCAGGATAACAGCTTAAATCAAATTAGATAGGTACCTAATGCTTTGGTGGTTAGTTTTAAGCGTGCAGCGAGCATCACAGGTCCAAGAGGCCTAAATATATGCGGGCAGCAGGGCAGTAGGGCACGCACATGCTGTGAGGGCAGCTAATTATTTACCTGTGCACGCGGCAACCCCTAACTTGAGCCAAGTTGCTGCGATACATAAGGGTCGGTAGCGAAGGCACTTTCAACGATTACGGGGTGCCAGCCACGAGACCATTTGGTGTAGTGGTAAAGCTTACGGGGCTACAGCTGACGGATCCAAAACCACAAATATGACATCTAATACTCAACTTCCCAAGTTGATGCAGACGGCATGGTTCGAGATGTCGCTAAAATATCCTATCTGGTATCTTATTTTTTTTTTCTCTTTTTTTTCTTCTTTCGGATGGTGCATCCACGGGTCTATCTTGGTGCCTAGTTTATTTTTTACATATGTTTTTGGTATCTGATTATTTTCCCCGTTAGAAAACTGTTGTTTTTGTCTCGAGTTTATCGTGGTGGCTTGTCCATCCCCAGCCGTGGGATTTTGTGCAGTTCAACCTCCTATGTTTTAATTTTTTTTAGGCCTTTAATTCTCCTCAACTACCAAATAAAATATGCAGTTTTGTGCTGCGTTGCTTCTGGATGCCAAGGTATATTTTATCAACAGCCTTTAGAGATATCTAAAGAAACGTGCCTGGAAAAATAATCTGTAGATAATATCCTTCATGTCCTCATCTAAGTAGCAAAGTTGTGACCTCAAGAACTGCTATTTACTACTACAGCTATGATACTTTCCAGGCCACTCCCTCAACGTTCTCTAGTTGTGCACAAAAGGGCAAATTCCCCTGTTACAACACAATAAATATACGTCCCTATTCGCTACTAAGATTTTCGTCTTGACTGGGCAGCTGGACCGGAACTTCTGCTGCAATTCCATTTTAATAACGGTTATTGTCACCTACCTCTAGATAGTTTAACGGAAAGACGTAAAATGTTGATGTAATGATAGTGTTTCCTACATCTCCTTTTTTCTTCTTTTTTTCCCTTCTTCTTTTCCTTTTTTTTTTTAAAAAAAAAAAGAAAAAAGAATTTCGGGACACTGACCAGTCTTTAATAGACAACATCTTCACCAATATGGTGCTTCCCTCCCTCCAGCCTAGCTAGAGAATAACTTGAGGTGTGTGTCCTATAATATTAGGTACTCAGGGGTGGTAGTTATTCCTATTATATTAGTACTCTACCTACACCTTATCTACTTAATTCCATTCCGTCTTGAACTATTATAGGTTACTTTTAATCGAAAAACACTTGCCTTAGCTAACTTAAAGAAACGGTTGGACGTGAATGTTTATTAATACCAACTAACCTACAAATTACAATGCCTAATATAATTCAAGTATCACAAGTATCATAATACTAGTGCTGTCTACGTATACTCGACGATCGCACCCCAAGGGGTGCTGCGCTTTAATTAAGGATTCGGCTGGTAATTAAGGCTAGCGTTGCAGGGGTTCGATCGTCGAGTTTACATTCGTAAACAGCACTAATACTCCAGATTAAAGGACGAATAGTTAACACTAGAAGTTAGCAAGTATCCAGATAGGCTATCCCAAGCGGATAATCAAAGCCATTTCATATGTACATGTAAGGGTCAAAGCACCAGTTCGTACGCATAATGTAGGTAGATAGATAATCTCCGAGTGCTGCGCCACGAATACGAAATTTGATAATGAAGGGATCTGAGTACCTATGGCAGTGCTCAGGCTAAGCAAGGGTTTAGTGTAAATCCAAACTCTTACAAGGACGAATACTTGGTAGAGGAAGTATTATACCACGATAATAAAATGAACAAAAGGTAGCGCTGCTAAGTACTTAGCCAAGATTTGTATATGAGGTGGGTATGAGATATATCTCAGGTGGATAGGTTAGGTACATATGAGTGGGTACATCTATAATCGTAGGTAAACAAGATACAAAGTCTCCCCACTGAGTAAATACTTGGCACGACCCAGCGACTCGGTACTATTGTACGCATCATCGTGGAGGCCTTACCGATCACAAGCCCAAGCTTTGATCGTAAATGGGGAAATCCACAAATGTGCGTACTTGTCATGACATGTATCTCAAGATACTTCACACTGGAAGAGGACGTAGAACTAAAGTTTAGATTGGTAAATCCTTTTCCGTTCCTGACCATATCAGATCATTTCTACCCAAATCTGTAAATATGTACAGAAGAATCAAAGTCTATATCCGATCCCAAGCTTCCGTCCTTAAGATGGATCGGAACTTAAAAAAAAAAAGAAGGTACCAAAATTGGTATAACTCCTCAAGGTATTGCTGACACCTGCCAACCGATCCTGGTTGTGCCGTAACAAGCGCCCAAAGCCTTTCCCCCTTGGTATAATTGTCAACAGCGTCGAAAAAGACGCCACAATCTCAGAAAAGAATATCATCAAGGCCTTTTAGTGCCCGTTCGTCGTCAAGGAACATATCCCCGAGCTCTTCGCTGCGCGAAGAACCCAAACAGAAAAGCAGATTTGGCTGATACCTGGTATGTCCCCGGGCGTAGCAAACAAGGACCGGGAAATGCGTAAACGAGTGTTCCATATTTACTCGTCAATAGTCCAGGTACAGTCAAGACGACCACCGTCCAGGGAGTCGAATAGGTCGAGGAATGTGTGGGGGGTGACATCAATGGCAAGGTCAACACAGCCAGCGCAGCGGTCACGAATCGTAGCCTTGGTTGTCTTGCCGTCGGAGGTAGTGATTGTGATGGTCTTGTCACAGAGCGGGTGCGCCGGCTGGTTGATACCGTAGCTAGTCGCCGTGCTGATGTTGTCCCAAAACTGTTTGGGGATAGCGACAATGTTTTCAGTGTCATCCTTTCCCTCGTCTTCGTAGCCACAGGCGCCTAAAGCAGCATTATAATACGTAATTTCGCCGTCAAACTTCTTGCCGTACGGAATTCCGTCGCTGCCTGTGCTGCCACCGGAGCTACCACCGGAGCTGCTTGAAGATGCCGGAGGCGCAGCGACGTACGTACTGGTTGAGGGTGCAGCGGGAGTTTCCGTTGTCTGCTGAGAAGGAGGCGCAGCAACGTACGTACTAGTTGAGGGTGCAGCGGGAGTTTCTGTTGTCTGCTGAGAAGGAGCTGCCTCATACGTGCTTGTAGGGGCTGGGGGAGACGGTGCCTGGTAGGTAGATTGGGCAATGCTGATGATAGTAGTTGGTGTCGAGGGTTCAACCTTGGGGCTCTCAACTTTAGAGGTCTCGACCTTGGGGGTCTCGACAGCACTGCTAGAGCTAGTGGAAGGCGTCTCAAAGAACTGGATGGGAGTATCCGAGCTTGTCTCCTGAGGCGAGGGAGGAATTGTCTGAGTTGAATCGTCATCAATTATGACGGTAGCGGTTTCCCAGACGGTCTCCCACTCGGTAACTAGTTCTCGCTTGTCATGGTGGTGACGGATGTGGCCATGAGGCTGTGCAACAGCAACTGAGGCCAGAATGGCAGCGGCGATGGTTGTAGACTTCATATTGGACGATGTTGGCTACTGTGATATGTGCGATGTAAATCAGGGGATCCAGCCGGAAGAATATATCTTCAAAGTTTTATCAAGTTTGCTCGACAAAGAACTTCTTATACTCGTATTGTTGTGAATTTCGTAGGTAATGATTGGGTAGTACTGGCTGGTTCTGAATCTCTTCCTTCAAGAATGAGTGTTACGAAGCAGCTGTATCGGGAAGGAATGTATACAGTGAGCACTGCTCCTGGAAAATAATGAACGATATATGATTTCGGGGAGAAGCTGGAGAGAGAGAGAGAGAGAGAGAGAGCAGAAGTTATCGAGCTGAAAAGAATGTAAGGGGAGTTATTTATCTAGCAGGGGAGAAGAAAAACCTCTCGTGGAGGCCACGGCGAAAGACAAGGGGGAAGCAGAAAACAACAGGGAACAAAAGCGAAATCCGAACAGGGTTCCTGCCTGATGTACACTAGCAGTACCTAACGAATTCATCAACTAAAGTTACTGGATGATGATTGGCTAGGCCACGTTGAAACAAACCCGCAACTGGGGGTTTCCCAGATGCTCTTTCTCCCCTTTGGAACAATCTGTCCAATCAGCAACTCCGGATCTAGGCGGGTTCAACGTGGGCTGCGTGGCTAATAGAGGGTATCAGCACGGGTCAGCTAGGGCTGTTTACCGGGACGTACCTGACTAATACCTCACCATTCATGCAAGGTACCGCTGACGTTAGCTTATGCCATCGAGGAACTAGCCAATGGGATGACTGCGTACCCCTGGAAAAGACGAGTTTTAGTGTTAATCCCTCATTTTAGTCCCAGACTAGGGGCCTTATACACACTAGGACGATCGCCTTTCCACCGCAGCAGTTGCAGCCAACTTTTTGCTAGGTACTTAATTGAATTTATTGATCCTTACAAACCTGCAAGTGCCATATATGTCTCCACGTCGGACCACGTCCACGTTGGCGTGCTTAAGAGGGCTGAAAGCTCCTCACGCCGGGCGTCTCTTCATGCTCCACACGATACGCTTCTAGACAGCCTCTTCCCCTCCTCCCCCTCCGGCCTTCGCCACCCGAGGTATCCATTAGCTAACGACCTTTCACGATTTATTCATCGGGCGGGTGGGCCGACGCTTCTATTGTCGAAACCGTTTTCGTACCGGCTAGTACATAAGTGTACCCGTTCCCGCCACGAAGCTCGGTCCGATGCCAATTAGCACGTGTAGAATCGAGGTGCGGTTCTAGTCCACTTCTACTTGATGGAAGTGTGGAATCGTGGGTGCTAGTGGACAATGCCACGGCATCCGGCCTTTGTTCCTCCCACATGTTCAGTCTTTGTAAAAGTTCCCTATTGCTCGGGTCTCCGCATGGGATGTGTGTGTCGGTTTCACCGCTTCTAATCGTCGAATTTCTCCACGCTGCGGACACCCGAATGTCGGCATTGACCCCCCTCTCTGCCGCTGCTGGTCGTGGTATTCGGCCGCTTGCATCCACCATGCAAGCTATCTATCCTGCGGCTTTGTAGGTATAGAATCAAGAATGATCGAGTCTATACTCGAGACCAAGGTACTGCGAGCCTGTAAGGGGTAAAGGGGTCCAGGCTTCTTTCACTTGGGCAGCCTTTGTGATACAGAACAACCATTCCCTTAGAGCCAAGAAACTACTTGTTTGCCACGCGAGTTCTATTAGCGTTGTCACAGACGAATTGGCCTCGGCTTCCTTGTTTGCGATATAGTGTAGAATGGATGGACTTCGTTTCCCTGACCTCGCTTATTATTAACGAGAACGTCAAGATGATACAGAGTTTAAGTTTCGGTACCAACCTTGAGTGTATCTTGCATATTACAGATGGTATTGGGGTAAGGCGTTCAGACTGTCGTCTCTACTGGCTTCTCCGTGCCATCGCTGTTTACTATTGGCTCATCAGCCAGGCTTTCTTTTTCGTTACACGTTCTCTGTCCGCTCATACCTTTCCATTCCTACATAAACTAGGCAAGGTAAAGAATTGTCTAGACACTGCAGTATAAGCCATTAGTCCTGTTTTTTGTACTATTTCGGCTATCTAGGTGTGGTGTGGCTTGCTTCTTTACACGTCGCCTTTAACACTCATTGGAGAGTGAATAATCGATCGAAGATCACGACCTTTGCATAGCGCCCCGGGAATACTTAGATCGACCCGAATCGCATATTTGCTGCAAACAATATGTGGCCATCTTAAGAGTATTAAAACCAGTTATTGTGGCCACCAAGTTCTGCCGCTAATGCGCACTATCGGCGCAAGAAAGCTAGTAGTCGCAAGCCCTTCCGGTTCCCCTGCGTTAGCAACTTCAACCGCTCCAATAAGAATTGGTCTATTATTTAGACGCTAAAAATTTCGAAATTTCTAAACATCTAGAGAATAATAGTGGTAGGTAATCATTAACTTACACTATCTCCGTCGGTAAGTCCCCAGCCTATAAATAGGCTTCTTTGAAAAATCTCTTCAGTCTAGACGCGGCTTATAGCAAGATTTACGATAAGTTATACCTTACGTAAAAAAGGGAGCTGTAGAGAGTCTTTCTCTTTTCCCCGCTGGGTTGCGCAGTACTGGTCACGAGCAATGCAGACCATTAGCTTGAATCATCAGATTATAGAACTACGGGCTTATGCATAGGAATTGTATGATGTGAGAGTTGTCTAAGTAGTTCCAATGATAATCTATGAATTTGGAGTAAGTCCGAACTCAGGTGATAGCAATTGGTTAATGCGCTTTTCACCCCAACATTCATGTCTCTGTTAGAAGGGTTGCATGTCTGCAAGTTCCCGTCTCGACTCAGCCTAGGAACTAACGTGATAAACGTAACACCATCTTCCCCGGCAGCAAACAGGACTTGATTTGTGCTGATAGCCAGCCACATGCAGAAATATCTAGATGTGAAACTAGGATATGCCGAAAATACCCGGACTCATTGATGATGAGAAGGGCAATCGGATCTGAGAGGCTAGAGCACATCTCCCTTACGCAGCCTGGAAAGTGTAGAGGAAGAGCCCCTCTCTGCTAAAGACGGGACGATCCTCGTCCGGGACTTCGGTTACTCTGAATAGCTTCTGCGCTTTCTTGAGGAACTGCATGTCGGCGCGTCTCCTCTTCTTGAAGCAGAAGTAAATGGTGGCTGAGGGACACAGTTTCAGAAGATCTGACAACGTGGCTAGGAGCAGCGGGAAGGCAGGTTCGAAGTAGACGCAGTCAGCCGCGAGGATCACGTCTGGCTTAAAGACGGCGATATCCTGTGGGAGAGGCTCACCCCTGCAATATCGAAGTGACATGTACGTTAGTATAGATGCACGTATGCGTCTTTATGGCGCATAAGCCCCGTGGGGAAGCACGGAGCAGAACGGAAGGAGGAAACATCGGGGACAGACTGACCAGTTCAGAATGGCAGCTTTAGCTTGGCCCTCGAGCCCGTTCAAGCTGATGTTGTGCTCCATCAAGGAGTGCATCTCCAACTGATCCGTGATGTAGAGCGGGTTCCCAACCGCGCACCCCTTAGCAACCGCCAAGCCCACCAATCCGCCTCCGGCTCCGAGTTCTAATCTAGATGCCGAGAGCGCCTGTTAGGAACCGGCCCCAAGGTCCGCATAAAGGGACGTTGGATTAAATCCCGCACTTACATCCGCGAGTCCCGCATGTTGTCCCGGTGGTACCGGAGCATGTGCTTGGCGAGTACCATGCCCGCGGGCCAAGTCTGTCCGCCGCAGCCGGAGGCCAGGTCTTCGTGCAGCCGCAGGGGCTCGGCGAGGAGCCCCGCGAAGTCGGTCGCGGTGGTGCCGGCGGCCTTGTACGCCGGGAGCGGCGAGAGGTCCTCGCCAATAGCCAGAGGCGAGAACTCAGGAGAAGGCGAGCGCTGGGGCGGCGACATTTTGGGGAACTGTCGTTGTCACCGTTTCTCTGTCCGAGAAGTCATTATGACTGTTAAGTTTAGGCTGACGGAAGTGTGGTCTAGATAACGAATTATGGGTTCGAGCCCAACAAAAAAAAAAAAAGATAGGGGATGCCCCGGTTTGTATGCTGCCTTCCGGTGAATCTATCGGGATCTAGAACGTCAGGCACCACCCGCTTATGCCACTATCACGAATCCAGCCTTCTAGTACCCCTGTAAATGAATCGGGGCTAGTGTCTCGCATCACGATAAGCTGGATTAAGGTGTAAAGCAGTTTCTATATCTCAGTAATACATGCATGTGAGAGGTATCTACGCTTTGTACCACTTTGGGTATCAAAGGTGTATAAGGTTTAAGATCTGAACCGCCCGAATAAATCGAGTTAGTGTTAAGGCACATGTATCACTGAAGCCTCTTTCATAATCAGAGCCACTCTGTAATTCAATATGTGGCTGAAAGTGTCGTTGAATGACTAGTGCTGGCAGATGTCTCACTATTATACCGCCTATTCATGTAAGGAGCTCATTTTTATCTCCTAGCTCACGAGAGGGAACCAACTTGAAGATTCGAAGAGTCAATAAAATTTCATCCAAGGTATTTGATCCTTATAGATCCGTCCGATTCCATCTAACAGCTGATATCATACAAAGCCTTAACTACGCAGGGCTTTGGAGCCGAATATGCCATTGGATCTTGTTAAGACATCACGTCCACATTCATAAGTAGAACCTCGATAAGACTGCTTTGGTTGGATTAAGCATCTCAGCTAAAGCGATATTTCTGTCAAACGTTTCTCTTTGCTAAACTAAGACGACCTCAAAAAAAGACACATGTAGGTATTCTCATCTCATATGTAATTGATTATTCCTAAATGAGAAGAAAAGTTCTCCTCGTCTCCCTCTTGTCGAAAAAATAAAGGTCGGGAGGCTACACTTGAATATACACAATGAGTTAGGGCTAAAGTGATGAAGTTATCCATTGCTCCCTTTCTCGCCCGCTTTTCGATTAAATCGTGATATTCCTAAGACTTACGGGGGGCTTTAAGCCGGTGGCTTGATAACACCTCAACCTCACGGGGCTGAACATGTGTCCATCATGGAAAATAGTCTCTATCGCGCGCCACCGCTCTATTCTCTTTCCAGTAGAGGCAGCTTACAAAGAGGAATATTGCCTAGCCATGCCATATTCTTCCTCGGAGGGCCTCGCTTCTACATATGTAAAATTAAACTGCTTCAAATTTCAGCGGCGCTCCCTTCCAACCACCAGGTTCCCGCCCCCGCGGGAATGCGATCGCCCACCAGCCTTAGACGATCGTAGCCCGGCGCGTGGCTGAGACATTAGAATTCCACCAGCCTTACGCGATAGCCTGGTCGGACGCGCCAGAAAATCTAATAGATCGAATGGATTACTTACTTGATGAGACCCCCTCCAACCCCCCCCTTCCGTCATTATCGAGTCTCGCGCGCTTCACAGCCTCTGAGATGGCAATCGCCTCCTGGGCCAGGGCAGGGCAGGGCAGGGCGGGATGAGGTGAGGTGTAAGGGAGCATCGGCGTCATCGTTGAAGAATGGCCTCCTGGTATAGTGTTGGCTGTATGCCGGCATCGATGCTCTCGCAACTTCTCCTGTATTTGTCCTGTTCAACCACAGCTTCAACCATAGCATAATGTCCGATTATGCGAACGACGACTACAGTATCTGATCTGATCTAACCTACATATCGCAAGCTTAGCATATTTCCTTCGACGTGGTCGTTCACTCTTATGCGAGCAGCTTCGGCAGCTGTTAGATATCACAATGGTGGCGAAGTGCAAAGAGGTTTTCGCGTTCGGCGCAGCAGCGGCGGCGACACTAGCTGGTGCCGCCCCTGTCGACTACTTCCCAATCAACTCACAACTACCACCCGTAGCTCGCGTCTCAGAAGCTTTCGATTTCACCTTCTCTCCCCTAACTTTCTTCTCTAAATCCGATATCACGTACCGGCTCGGTAACGCGCCGAAATGGCTCTCAATCGATAGCTCCTCGCGGCGGCTTTTCGGCACACCGAGCGATGATGATGTTCCGCCGGGAGAGGTTGTTGGGATCCCGATCGAGTTGATTGCTGAGGATGAGACGGGATCTACGACGACAAAGCCGACTTTGGTGGTCTCTAGGAACCGACCGCCTGTTATCGACGTGCCCATCTCGAAACAACTTTCCAAATTTGGGACATATATAGCTCCCTCTACACTACACCTTCAACCCTCAACGCCTTTCTCCTTTAGCTTCGACGAGCATACATTCCACACCGATAACGGAGACGATGGGCTCAACTATTATGCGGTATCTGATGACAATGCGCCCTTGCCTTCATGGATTACCTTCGATGCCGGAAAACTCTCCTTCTCCGGCAAGACGCCCCCGTTTGAATCTCTTGTCCAACCTCCGCAGACATTTACCTTCCAACTAGTTGCTTCCGATGTCGTGGGGTTCGCGTCAGTCTCGGCGTCCTTCTCGATGGCGGTGGGGAGCCACGAGCTAACAGCCGAACCACCGGTAGTTAAGCTCAATGCGACGCATAAGAAGCACTTCGAATACAAAGACCTACCAAATGTGCTGAAGCTCGATAAGAAACCCTTAGAAGAGGATAATACAGTAACGGTCACTGCGCTCGACCTACCCCCTTGGTTGTCTTTTGACAACAAAACCTGGGAGTTGGATGGCACTCCTGAGTTAACTGCCGAGTCGTCTAATATAACTATAGCTGTCACTGACAAATACTCCGACACTTTGAATCTAATTATCTCGATCCATTTTGGTTTATTCATCTCGGACCTCCCTGATCTTAATGTCAAGGCAGGCGGTGATTTTTCGTTCGACTTGAAGAAGTACTTATCGAACCCGGAAGATATCCAAGTCACAGTAGAGGATGATTCAGGAGCGTCATGGGCCGAGTTCAACTCTTCCTCGATGCTCCTATCGGGGTCTGTCCCCAAGCACATGCCAGTAAAATCTCGGACAACGCCACACGTTGCCTTCAGCGCAACTTCGAAATACACGAACGAGACAGAGACCAAGACTATGAATATACACCTCGCCTCTTTATCTCCTACCGCTTCACCGGAGCCAAGTACCGAGCCGACAGATTCGGACAAGGATGACTGGAACAAGAATTTTCTCTGGTTACTTATAATACCCATAGTCCTCATATTTGCCGGCATCATACTTCTCCTTTTCTATATTCGACGGCGGCGTCAACAGCCAAGGAGAATAGGGGTCGGGGAGGTGTCAGGACCCATACCGGGAAGCTTCATGACCCATCACCCCGACAGCCGCAAGGTTCCGGTCGTTAGAATAGTAGATATAGCACCGCCACGTAATTCCGAGAGCACAGCTGCGCAGAGACATCGCGTGTCCGCTGGTGACTCAAATCCCGCTGGTGCCTCAAATCGGCGTTCGCAGACCGCATCGAGTCCGAGCTTGACTGGAAACATGATCCCCCATGCTATGATGGCGATGTATTCCAGGGCAAAGTCACCCGAGCACAGCGTTATTCTGGAAGCGAGTAGTTCCTGGTCTACGGGACGCGATAACCAACCATCTCCACAGGGAGGAGGAGGAGGACCGGATGAAGTTAGCCTGCTTTCGGACACTAGCCTTGGAGAAGCTGATGCGTATATTGCGGAAGCACAGTCGTATATTATTTCAAAGGGACCTCGAGATGATGTATATCGTAGCCTCTCGGTCCCAACGAATGCGGCGCCCTTTAGTATACAGAACACGCCAGAGATCGCCTACACAGCGGGTGCTAGGCAAAACACCAGTCCAAACGATGCGGTTCCGCCATCAGTAGGCTACGCCGTACGGCCAAGGTCAGGACAACAGCAGGATTCGAGCTTAGATATCCGCAGCGTCGGGAAGAGGATATCTAATTTGTGGAAGAGAGAAAGTGGAGGTCAACCTACTAATAATCAGAAACGGAATAGTATCCTGAGTGAATCTACAGGCCAAACTACTGGCACGAGTATTTTGGCATCCGGGATCTCCGGCGTAGGGGAGGAAGAAGCCACGACGAGTAAGAATGTGGTCGCAAGACCAACTATAATACATATACCTAGTAGACCGGGCGAGGTACGGCGAATGAGTAGGAGAGTAGAGGCACCATCGCCGTTATTCAGCGGCCGGTCGACCACAAAATCGATAGGAAATTTGGGGTTAGGAAGCCAATCACTGGCGACAGTTATACATCCAAGTCCGGAACTGCCACCACATATAGAAGACGATACAAATCCTCGCGATAGCGATAGTTCGTGGGACCGGCTCGCAAGAAATTCCTTGGGTATCGCATACAAGGACCTCATCACCGAGCCAGAAAGGGCTGCCTCACGCCAGGAATCGCCGGCCGATATAGGTCAAGAAGGCAATTGGATGACCTATGATATAAATCGGGATCTCTTGTCCCCTGGACAATGGCCACGGCCAAACATATCCATCAATACGGTTGGCATAGCAAGAACCTCACCCGTTAATATTCCGAGCGAATTACCTCGACTACCGCCCACGATGGCATTGGGAAAATCTAGGGGAGAAGAAAAACGCAAAGTCTCGATATGGCGGCGGCCATCACAAGCGTCTGAGACGACTGTTCGTAATACGCCATCTGCGAGTGCGAGAACCGACGTAACCTACTCATCCCGAGACGAGTATTCACACTTTAGCCATACCCGCAGACGAGGAGCACCTAGCGAGAGTATAGCTTTGACCCCATCACTAGCAAACGGGTGTGCACCGCCACCGACGCGGCCTTTACCACAGACTCCCATACAAACCGGCAGAATGCCACTAGCGGACCGACCTAATCAATCGTATTATGCATCAGCGGGGGGAGACGGACTGGGCTCCGATATTGAAAATATGCTTTCTGAGAACTGGAGGCCGACAAGGAGCATGATAAGTGCCAAGAGTCTGCGTAGTGTCTGGGAAGACGAGGAGGAGGAGGAGGATGACGATGATGATGATGCTTGGGAGGATATACGTCCACCAACGACTATTGATGGATGGGACGATGACATTGATAGTAACGGGAGCTTTGCGGTTTATATTTGATCAATGTGTGATAAGAGAGGAGGGTTGATACCTAGGATATTGATGATATTAATACACCATTTAATGAGTACGTGCTGAATATTATAACTGTGAGATCATCGTATTAGTAGGAGCTAGCCTGGACAATCATGATTCTACTAATATTCTTGCAATCTTCTTAGCTGGGCTTGTTGAAATATAGCCATGAAGTAAGATACCTACTAACGTAGGGCCACCTCTAATGGAGAGTGATGATCTTGTGTTTGGGTGCTTAATGCAATTGCCGTGCCGTGCAGTATGCGCAAGGCAGTTTGCCCGCTAGGACAAATATAAAATTATTCCTTTTGACAGCCCAAGGTGAGAAACCTTGACCTAGGACAAAGACTTGACGGCTGAAGCTCACAGCACCGCGGCATTCACCTTATGCAAGCTGGTCAATATCTCACCTTCTACCTTCGTCCTGCGTAATGTGGAATTCCGGGATCAGTCCGAGGCTGGGGTTGGGGGTCACGGTCAAGGGTTGCAATCCACAATACTCTATTTCCTAGGAGTATTGATAATATATATTAGGTATGTATGAATAAGGCGCTTGAGAGGGGTTTCGACAACCAGTTCTTCGTAAATAGGTACCTACCTAGGTACTCAATTATCCAAAGCTCTCTTTGAGGTGGTATGCTATCTGCAGAATTAGCAGTTAGTATTGATTAGTGGCAAAAATCAGACAATGGAGGACTCATGTAGCTAGCTCCTTTGTTCATGTCTCGAGAACGAGGTGGTAGCGTTATCCCCTGCATGGTTAGGTAGTTTTAACTCTTTGTGGAATGCATTACATATCGCTCCAAGCAACCAGTAATGATGACAGGGGATGTTTTGAAGGGTAGTAGATGCCTATATTGGTATTTAGATTGAGAGTATGTGATGGTTTGGGTAAAGCGGGTTTGATACATTTGTGTGTTAGGAGTGTAAAAGATGCAAGCTCACGGCTCACTCCGGGCGCATTCGTTATGTATATTGCTTGTGTCATCATGCCCACTTGCTTTGTACCTGTACTTTACGTTTCTACTTGCCTCTTGCTCTGTTGCCCCAGATTTTGCGCGGTGACTAAAGCGCTATTGCACTTTCCAGTCTGCAGTGAAACACCGACCAATTGTTTTAGTTCTGTATCTTGTAAGAGCACACGCGACACCTACATGTACTATGCAATACCTACAAAACCCTATCGTTTCTGAATGTTGGTATGTAACTCCGCATCATTAAACTCGGTCGCTTTAGGGAGACGAGTTCCAACGGGGTTGGGTTTAAATATCCGACAAATACCCGGGATGGCTTCTAAAGAACTTTGGATGCCTACCTACCTTATGTACCTAAAGTACTCACATACCAATGTCTACATGTGCATAGGAATTTATGTTGGGCAGATGGAGGGAATCAGGCGTCATAGTCTGTTTCTCTCAAGATCCCCAGGTTTCTTGGGAATTGTTCTTATCCCGATTCGTAAATGTGATCTTCTTTGATAGATTATACTAAAGCCGAAAATGATGTCGTGACGCATGTTGTATTCTTACGACATCATAGTGGCTTTCTAGTTCTTTTTAGTGCACAGGTACAAACCCAGTCGTTTGAGCTACAGGTGTAGATTACAAGTATCTATACTTATACTAGGTACCTAATTTTCAGGTCTCAGACTGCCTAAAATAGTCAAGAGGGCTTTTGATTAAGTCATCAAGTTGCCAGCTGCGAGCCAGTCCAGAGTCGGATTTTTTCCTTTTTCTGCGAGAAACGCAAAACCCCGCCTTGGCCTCGCCTACCCTTCTCTACCTAACCTAACCTACCTAATCCTGCCTACCGTAACTGTCTCTACTCTTCGGCACCATCTGATCACAATTCTTTCGCGCGACGCCTTTGTGCCATTTTTTTTTTCCACACTTACCTACCTACACCATCCCTCCCAAGACACTACCCGCGGCTCCTACCGTATTCGTCTACTTTCCCATTTTCTGTCTCGAGGCGATTGAAAATTTTGACGATCAACAAAGTAACCTACGATATTGCCCCTCCTTCAGTATATGACCATCCGACCATACTAATCCTACGCGCTGCCGTATAATAAATTCTTTTCGCCATGGGTCAAACCCTTTCCGAGCCTGTCGTCGACAAGGTATGATGATGATGATATTTTCCTGCTTGCTGCTTGGGGCTTTCAATTGCGCCGTCTTGCACTTTTATCCCCCCCCTCCCACGACCAGCCCACCCCTCCGTGACTCCGCGCCTCCCCGGCCTTATCAGACAATATCGCAACGATCCGGCCTCGATACTCTCACATAGAGAGCTATTCAGCGCCTAATATTTGAGTAAACTGATACTAACCTGGGAAATTCTTAATAGGCTTCTGAAAAAGGAGAAGATGACCGACTGGTGTATGGCGTATCTGCTATGCAGGGATGGCGTATTAGCATGGAGGATGCTCACTGCGCCGTCCTTGACCTCTTGACACCCAAAACCGAGGAGGAAAAGAAGGTTCACCCTTCGCGATTATCTTTCTTTGGCGTCTTCGACGGACACGGCGGAGACAAGGTTGCCCAATTTGCAGGCAAGCACATATATGATATCCTTAAGAAGCAAGACACATTTAAGGCTGGAAATTACGAACAGGCTTTGAAGGATACATTCCTTGCGACTGACCGAGCGATACTGAGCGGTATGGATTCTACCTATCAACGATTATGAAATGTCTCAAGTCTAACGCATGCTTAGACCCTCAGTATGAGGAGGAGGTATCTGGTTGTACCGCCTGCTGTAGTTTGATTACCGGCGAGAAGATATATATTGTTCGTATTACGGTACCCTATTGGTCGATGCTCATAGCTAACTCGTGTCACTAGGCAAACGCTGGTGATTCGAGGAGTGTCTTGGGTGTTAAGGGAAGAGCTAAGCCGCTATCCTTCGATCACAAGCCACAGAACGAAGGTCAGTAAAATTGTCCGATATTGCCATCTTATACAAATTCGCTAATGCGCCGTGGTTTCGTAGGCGAGAAGGCGCGAATTACTGCCGCGGGTGGCTTTGTCGACTTTGGTCGTGTCAACGGCAATCTTGCCCTATCTCGAGCCATCGGAGATTTTGAGTTCAAGAAGAGTGCCGAACTTGCACCTGAGCAGCAGATAGTGACAGCGTTCCCAGACGTAGTTACGCACGAGATTAGTGACGATGATGAGTTTTTGGTCATTGCATGTGACGGTATGTTTTTTATCCTACCTAGGATGTCTAAATAGGTAGATATGGCTAACTAGCAAATTAGGTATCTGGGATTGCCAGTCTTCACAAGCGGTCGTTGAGTTTGTTCGAAGGGGCATCGCCGCGAAGCAGGAATTGGATAAGATTTGCGAGAACATGATGGACAACTGTCTGGCATCTAATTCGGAGACTGGCGGGGTTGGGTGTGACAACATGACAATGATCATTGTGGGCTTCTTAAGAGGCAGAAGTAAGGAGGAATGGTACGAAGAGGTTGCCAGCCGTGTGGCTAAAGGCGACGGTCCTTGTGCCCCTCCCGAATACGGTATGCCTTCTTAGAGCCCGGGGTCTCGACATAATTCATAGAACTGACATTGAGACTCAGCTGAATTCCGCGGACCTGGTGTGCATCACAATTTCGACGATAGTGACAGTGGCTATGATGTTGACATGGAAAACAAGTCCAAAACATTTGGAATCGGTGGGTACAAGGGCCGCATCATTTTTCTTGGCGATGGTACTGAAGTTCTCACCGACTCGGACGACACCGAGATGTTTGACAACTCGGAAGAAGATAAGGACCTGGCAAGTCAAGTGTCTAAGAGCTCGTCCGGCGAGTCAGAAAGTCGACTACCGCCCAGAGCTCCCTCGCCTCCCCCGCGTACGCCGAAGAAGCAAGAGGATAACCCTCAGGCAAAGCCTAGCGACTCAACCCCAAACAATACCTCGATTGCAACTGAAAAAGTCGCGGAAGCCGTGAAGGAGGAACCCAAAGAAGCGAAACCTGAAGCCGCCGCCGCCGCCGCATCTAAAGATTGATTAAGGTATAAGTTTGTCAGGCAGGATGGTGTTAGAACTGTGCCGTTGGGCCTTTCATGCCGCCGGCCTGCTAATCGTTAGGATTTACCCAGCACACCCGTGAATTATTAGGGATGGTTACGACAGAGCAATGAAGAGTTTTGTTTACTTGGCACATGATGGATTACCAGAAGGAAAGGGGAAAGAGGATGAGTGCCAGGGCGGATATTCTCCCTTAAAGGGGAGGGGGGGATTAACATGGCCAGAGACACGACACGCGATATGACCACTGGGGCTACCACGTCTTGGCAACTTCAAGCACAATTAAGGCTTGGGAGTTTTCTTGACGAACTGCATTGCGGCTATTCAGAAACCTCTTTACAGCTGAGGTGTGCTCCGTATGCTATAAGAACCGCGAGAACACTCATATGCATCATCGATTCTATATGTTTTCTTAGGAGTGCAGAATCAGCACGTTCATAAAAATGCATTAATGCCATCTAGAAACCGAGTTGCCTGCGTCGTAGTTGTTGTTACGAATGTAAAATTCTCCTTTTGTTTTTTTCCTTGATGTAACTAATTATGTACTTTTCCTTAGCGTAGCCGCACCCGGGCCATGAGGTAGATATGAGATATGATATATGAGGTGAGGTACGTTCTGTAGTAGGTTAGGTAATTGGAACTTTTAAGAATGAAGGCGGATTAAGAAGAGCCGAACCGCCGGCCGGGTTCCACCTCGCAGGCAATCAAGGTATGGACCCACTTGAAGATTAGCTCTAACAAAATTTGTTGCACGTCGCAATGTCATTGCATCTACAACAACCCTCCTACAAAGGGACCAGGCCCAACATAGCAGATAATGCTATATTTATAGCTCATGTCCCTGGGGATCAAATCACTATGGAGAGCTCGAAGTCACACAACTCGTGTCAGTGGGCTCTCCCTGATTCCCAGGGAGCAGCGCAATCCACTCTACCAGGAATCAAATCTACTTCGATGGATCTCGACTACACATAGGGATACGAAAACGGAGCTCACAAGTAAGGATATGTTGGATGAACTTTTAAAGGCAAAATCACGGTCGTTCTTTATTAGAGCGTTGCGCAGACGGGACATTAAGAAGAGGTCCGGCTTCCAACCGAAGGCATCCGAACTTGTGAAGAGACCAATTCGATATCCCACCAAGGAAGAATCGCTTCGCAGCTTGCGCAAGCATCGAGGCAGTGCTGCGAGACAACATCTATACGACAGTGCGCATGAAGTCTCTTCGAAACCTTCGAGCAGTTGGCATTGGACCTTCGATTTCATGCTACGGCATACAATCGACATCAGAGAAATATTATATTTTCAACTTATTATAGGGAAGGGTGTAGCAGCCGAAGCCCGTGCATTACTCTCGGAACCAGATACGCATATTTCTCAGATCTGCCGTAGGAACGAAAGCCTCGTCCGAATCGAAGAAATAAATCCCGAAAATGGCGAACTTGTTCTTAGTCTATCCGGCTCTGAAGACTCGGTCCGAAAGTCACTTCTGGATATCTTAGGGGTAGTAGGCAAGATCACCGCTGTTAGGGTGTCCGATCCAACCCTGGAATCCCTGCTGTTAGATGTATGGAAGGGTGCAGCAGGAAAGCGACCGGAAATTCGACTCTTGGGGGGTGGGGAGGTTGCGGTCGACGACAAGACATTAACTGTGCAAACCTCCTTTTCGAATTTCGTCAAGTACAAGAGTTACCGCCTGACTAGGCGGGCTGACGAAATCAACCGTCCTACAGAATGGACCCAAGATTCCTTTGAGAAATACGTTGCTGCTTTAGTTCATGGGCGGGTTCCATCGCATCTGGCTCGATCATTGTACCCAGAATTTCCCGATCATCAGGAAACTGTTGTTTCTCTACTCACCGAGCTGTTCACCTCGGAACATACTAGATCCGCTGCCTCGTTGTCTGCTTTGAAAATGGCTATCAATTTTATCGAATCTAGAGGCGGCGGTTTTCGTCAAGCATCCCGGACCATCTTCAACCAAGCGGAAATGCTCAACTTCTCCATGGATGCTGAGATATTCAATATATTTCTCGTTAGCGCGTCGAAGGCCGGCGATCTTGACGGTTTTAATAGCATACTAAGGGCAATGGTCCGGAAAGGTTATGCCCCGCAGGGCCGTTCTTGGGTCGCCTTCGTGGAGATGATACAAAGTCCGGCTCTCAAGCGTTATATTGTTGCAAAGCTGAGGACCAAAGGGCTTAACCGCAACCCGTCGATACTTCGCGCAATAGGTAGACAGATGGCAATTATTGATCTTGAGCGTCATATTTCGACTGAATTTGATGTACGGACGTTCGTACGCGAACAAGATAAAAAGTACGGTTCTAGATGGCTAGACACTATTACCGTCAACAGGATCGTAGATGTGCTCGGGGCGCATAGGAATTTGGATGCTTGCAATGCCTTGTTGGATCTCATCTATGACACGGGCATCACATCACCCAATGCTGTCACACTAAACACAATATTGACCCATACGAAGAGCTTCGCACAGCAAATAGCCATCTTTAAGTCGATATTAACGCGCTGGCCAAGGTTGGCACTGCATGCAGATACTTATAATCTGCTATTTGGAGCAGCTTGGAAGAGACGGTACCCTAACATGCTTCGAGTGATATTAAGATATGCGGCTCTTGCTCGTCGTACAACACCTAAACTGCGGTACACCCTGACAAAACTTCTTACCCAAAGGCAGCATTTGAGCGCCCGGTGGGTTTTCTTGAAGACCTGGGAAGACGTAATCTTCGGGCAGACAGAATTAGCCGAGATGCGGGCGATTCATTCAGATAGCCTCAAGGTGGAGCACATGATACATAAATACGTCGAGCAGACCCAAGGCATGAAATTAGAGGCTTCATTTTTAGATAAGCTCGAAGAAGCGCTTGAGATGGATGTGAGGATTCATCAACTTCGAAAGAATGGGCTACTCACAACTCCGTCGACATCGGTGAGAGAGTCACTCTCAGTCCCATTGCCATCATCAAAGCTAGAGGTTCGAATCGGGCCTTCAGGCTCTCGAAGTAATGATTCGCGCGGCATAAAAGTAGGGGGTACGAGCCCAATGTTTACAAGAATATTGCAGCGTACGAACCGCCCAGAAAAATGACCATCTCGTCACCTTACGACAATCACTACTAGAGAGTCTCGACCTGTTGTAGACCGGGAGGATATTCAATATCTACACGTGGTGGCTACTAGGTGTTGATATCTGTACCTGATACTGTAACACTACAAAAAGGGGACTGGGGAAAAAAGGACTGGATAGATAGGGGTTAGATGTATGTACTAACGATGACGATCTGTATGTATGTATGTATGTATGTATGTATAATACCTATTATAGGCAAACCTAGCCTATAAGAAAGAATCAACTCGAGATATAAACTTGGATTTGTATACTCACTTGGTGAAACTTGATCTTGGGTATAAGTTTCGAAGACGTTGTATAATGATTAGATACATTGGTACATAATATATTTGTATATGTCGGGGGTTTCCCGGTGGTTTTTAGGTATGTAGTCTATAACTTCTTAAATGCATCGCACATACTTGACCTGCCCTAATCCAACATGACAATATCTGCACGAGGTATGTACATAGATACAGGGAGGGTATAAGTGGGCATCTGTAGGTAGCGGCAAGCAATATCAAAGCCATCGATAACCGTTCTCTTTTTATGTACCTATGATAAGTACCTTCTACTTCTAGTACAGCCAAATTATTTTAGCTCTTAGCTCAAAGCTTCCACTCATTGGAAATATTTACCTAAGCTGCTAATGTACATAATCTTTAAGGTACATTGTGTAGTACTTTAGATTAGGTACCTAAGACACTTACACCCAGCTGCAAATTCGCAATATCCCGTCTTCCATTCGCCCCTCCAATACTCAAATCTCAAATGCCCCGCACTCTTCTCACGCGACTATCAAGTCCACTGACGCATCTGAGAACCCCAGCATCGTCTTCGTGTACAAGAAATATAAGACATATAAGACCGGCTGTTCCCTCCTCACTTACTTTTAAATACCCCGTAAGAAGAACATACCTGACCCCCGCCCTTCGAGCTCACCAATCCCGCAAGATGGCGCCCCAAATCGACGGCTTCTTTTCCCAGGTCGACTCCCTGTCGTCTCACTTCATCGAGCGCCTCAGAAAAGCCGTTGCTATCCCTTCCGTCTCCTCGGAGGCTGCCCGCCGACCTGATGTCGTCCGCATGGCCCACTTCCTGGCCGACGAGCTCAAGACCCTGGGCGCCAGCGTCGAGCTCCGGCCCCTCGGCAAGCAGCCCGATAACCCGGCGCTCGACCTTCCCCCCGCAATCCTCGCCCGTTACGGTAGCGATAAGAACAAGCGTACTGTCCTCGTCTACGGACACTACGATGTGCAGCCCGCTGATAAGAGCGACGGTTGGGCCACCGAGCCCTTCACTCTAAGCGTCGGCGAGGACGGCCGCATGTTTGGACGTGGTAGCACGGACGACAAGGGCCCGGTCCTAGGCTGGCTGAACGCCATCGAAGCACACCAAAAGGCCGGCGTCGACTTCCCCGTCAACCTACTTATGTGCTTCGAGGGTATGGAGGAGTACGGATCTGAAGGTCTAGAAGAACTTATCCAGAAGGAAGGCAAGGGCTACTTCGCCGATGCCGACGCCGTTTGCATCAGCGACAACTACTGGCTAGGTACCGAGAAGCCGTGCCTAACGTACGGTCTGCGGGGTTGCAACTACTACGGCGTAGAGATCTCGGGTCCCGGTGCGGATCTACATAGTGGAGTGTTCGGCGGCACGGCACAGGAGCCCATGACAGACCTGGTGCGCGTGCTCGCCAGCCTGGTCGATACGCACGGCAAGATCTTAATCCCGGGTATTATGGACCAGGTAGCCCCTGTCACGAAGGAAGAGGAAACGCTGTACGATGGTATCTCGTTCACAATGGAAACGCTACAAGAGTCTCTAGGGTCCAAGACGACTATCTTTGAAGATACCAAGTCGACGCTGATGGCGCGGTGGCGATACCCATCGCTGTCGATCCACGGCGTTGAGGGCGCGTTCTCGGCTCCGGGAGCTAAGACGGTGATCCCCGCCAAGGTTATCGGCAAGTTCTCCATCCGTATCGTGCCCAACATGGAGATCGAGAAGGTGAACGAGTTGGTAGCCAAGCACGTCAAGGACACGTTCGCAACGCTCGGCAGCAAGAACAGCCTCAAGGTGTACCCCATCCACACGGGTAACTGGTGGGCGGCTAGCCCCAACCACTGGAACTTCCGCGCTGCTAGCAAGGCCGTCGAGAGGGTGTGGGGTGTGCAGCCGGACTTCACGCGCGAGGGTGGAAGGTAAGCCGTCAAACCCCTTTCCCTCCCTTATTCTTTGCCTTCCGTCGATATCATATAAGCAGAGGAATAGGTATACTCTTCCGAGCCCGAGTTCAGAGCTAACGTGTTGACATAGTATCCCGATTACCCTAACATTCGAGCAATCCACGGGCAAGAACGTGTTACTATTACCTATGGGTAGCTCTACGGACGGTGCACACTCGATCAACGAGAAGCTGGACAAGAAGAATTACATCGAGGGCACCAAACTGCTAGGCGCGTACCTGCACTACGTTGCGGAGGAGCCTCAGCAGTAAGTATTAAGTTGTGGAGCAGGTAAGGTACCGAAGTGTAGAGCAGTAGTTACGGCATGACGCGGTAATGAGACGCGACGAATAAGAGATGATACCATGATAAAGAAATATGAGATGGGAACAACTAAAGTGAAGTGAAATGAAATAGGGGATAGAGCGTTGAGTAAATGTTGACTTTACACGTGGGTGAGTGTCCTTCCCCTGAATTATCTCATTGCCTGTAGGTAAGTAATTAAATACCGTATAAAAGTCCAGCATACCCTTAAAATGATATAAAAACCAACATCTCACTATACGATGATGATGGTTATACTCATCCTGAATATACATGCCCATATCCGACGTATCCTAATATAATAAATCTATAAATCTATATATATATATCTATTCACATGCTTACTACCTAGTATATTCATGCCCCCATCCCCTTATTACATTCCCATACCTAACCCCCCCTTCGTCCCTCCCACCCAGCATTCAAGCCTCACCACCCTCCTCCCCCTCCTCCCCAAGGAACTCCAACTCCCGCGGCCGCCCCCACACGTCGCACGGCAGGAAACGCCAGGATCCGGCGTGTTTCGGGGACAAGCGGTCGGCGATAGCGTGGAGCGCGGGGACGGAGAGGCGCGGCCAGACGCCTCCGTCGTGGGTGCGGCCGTCGTATGTTATGTCGCGCAGGCGGACGATCATGGGCAGCGCGGTAAAAGGGTCCAGGGAGGCGCTGAAGGAGGTTGTGGTGGCGAGGTGGGTTTTGGTTAGGAGGGTGGATTTGGCGGGGGCGGTGGGGGGTTTGGGGGAGGGGAGGGAGAGGGATGGGGATGGGGATGAGGGGGTGGTGGTTGAGCGCTGGGATGATGATTGCGTGGTGGTGGTGGATGAGGAATGGGATGTGGATGATGGGGGGGAGTCGAGGGTTAGGCAAAGGTCTTGCATTTGTTGGAGGAGGGGGATTTGGTTGTGGAGGTGTGGGACGAGGGAGCTGGCGAGGGAGGATAGGAGGGATTGTAGGGTTGAGGGGGAGTAGGAGGGTGGGTTGGCGTGGGTTGTGGCGGTATAGTTGAGGATGTTTTGTAGAAGCGCCGGGATGTTTCCCTCTGGTTTATATTCTCCCCCTTCTCCCTCTCCCTCTCCCTCCCTCTTCTTCTCCTTCCCCTTGCCCTTCTCATCCCCCATCCATTTTCCCTCTCCCTCGCCCTCATCTTCACCCTCACCCTCACCCCCAGTAAAAGTCGAAGCGACCCTCAACCCCCCCCTCTCCAACCCCAACGCGTCCTCAAACTTAGGTATCATAACGCCCTCCTTATGGCCATGATAGTCCCTGACCCAAGCAGCCCACACGTGTACCAGAAAGCAGAAATCAGCCACGTCCACGGGGCTCTGTATAAACGGGGCTTGTAGATATAGCGCGTTGAGGCCGCGCAGCATCGCGTTGTGTGTGTGCGCTACCTCGTTTGCGATGTGTTGTGCCGGATGTCCGGTCTGTTATATGTATATGTGGTTAGCATAGATCTTGGCTGGTATATGAAGAGGCTTAGATTGGTATGGGCGTATAGAGGACAAGGTCGAGGAGAATAGATAGGTATATGGATGGGTGTGAGAATGGAGGAAAGGAAAGGAAAGGGTAAAGAAAGCAAGGCATACACGTCGAGTCCGAGACGGCGGCTCGATAAGCGGCCATGGCTCGTCTGCCCATTGTCTGCTAGGCACTATCTTGCCCTTACCCGCCAGAACCCGAGAATCAAGTGTCGACGTAATCCTAGCAGGAGAAGAAGTCCCGGTTCCTAGGGGATGTGTACCCATTGTTATTTGCGAGAGGGTCATCGAGTATGTATTAAGAATAATAATACAAGTCTTCAGTAGCAGCTACAAGTTCAACCACGAACAGAAAGGGATATATAATCTATCATATAGGCCGGCCATCGTATGAACCGGTTCCCCTTCCCTCAATCCTCGATTCCTCCTGCTCTCTCTAGGATGCTTATCTCCGCAAGGAATCTAGATCGCAACACAAAGCACGCATATTCCCGCAGCTTTTGGTCGTGTCAGCTACGAGGCGAAGTCAGCCTAACCCGAAATACGACGGTCTCGAACGCCATCTGAAATTCCCTGCGTCCCATTATTGAATCACTGCAGCCACAAGGTTGTAATATATGACGTGGTTGCGTGTAGCTATCCGGTATTTATGTATTTATATTCGCCTCCTTATTTATTATTTATATTACTTGATATTATTTACTGACCTCGTGGTTCGGGGATAGCACCACATAATACATTGGCGCCCTTTTCGAAGCAGATAAGCCAAGCCCCCTAGGCAAGCAGCTAGCCTTCGAATTAATAAGCCGCCAAAAACCTCAAATAATAGACGATAGTTCGTCGGGGCTTATTTCGATATATTATGTAGTACGACATCGTTTATCAACCGCCCAACCGATAACACCTTACGAATAATATCCCAGATAAAAAACCGTTTGCTCCCGAACCCCATGCATAACGCTGTGGCATGTTTATGATAAAGCAGATGAAGCCTATTACGGAAGCTCGTCGTCCTTCCTAATACCCCTTGGGCCACTCTTGTCGAGGCCTGCCCAGTCGCGATCCCATCCCTTCCCGCAGTCCACAGCACCTCTAGACTTGCCACTCTTTGCCATCGCTTTGATGTCGCTCCAATATTCCAGCCTTCGGACCTCCTCGTCGGCGTGCTTAATAGCCGCGGCCAGGTTTTCGGCCTTTCGTTGCGTAGCGAGAGACTTCCCTTTCTGTCCTGTATCCACCTGGTCGTCGTGAAGTTGTATGAGCCGTGCTAAGAGAAGCTTCCGGGATGTCTGGAACACAAACAAAGACATAATTTTGTGCATGTAGTCTTGCAATTTCTGCAAATCATCTGTGCAATGCTCAATGTAGTTTTCTATGGCCTCGAGCTTCTCTCGGTCGATGCGGGACCACCTCAAAATCAGCATCAGCTCGTCAGTTGTCGTTATGTCCACCATAGCTATTGCATCATCTTCATCCCGCCTAGTACCTCTCGATTTCCGGAAAATTCGAGCTGCCATCTGATTGACGCTCGTTCGTCCTAACTCGATTCTCGCGGGAGTTATTGAGAAATACTCATGGTACATGTGCGGGTCGTTCATCTGATATCCGTGGCGCTTTTTTATTCGCCTTCTGATCCACGCTCTCCTCCGCACGAATGAATTGTAGCACTTAGGGCCATGCCATGAGAATTTCTTAGAAAACATAAACGAGTATTCCCAGCCGTCACTGTCGGTCTGTCTAGTCTCGTCCCGATTTATGCGCCACTCGGGCCAGGCCCATTCCCAGCTCGGGTCCGGCACTTGGGCTGTATGTATGTCTGTCGGGCTCGGCTTGTGGGCAAAGTTGGTCCAAGGTGGAGGATCTAAGTTGCCCAACGCCGCGGAAGAAAATAGAGGGGTGCCACAAACGAAAGCCCCACGCTGGTTCTCATACAGTATATCAATTGCTGTTTCAACCTGTTTAGACGGACGCGGGCGGGGCTTGTTTTTGCTAAGAGTCTTCTTAAGGCCATTCTCTTTCGAGATGGGCCTTTTCCCGATCACCGAGCCGTTGGCATCTTGTGCAGAAGCTTGTGACGTATCACGTTTGCCCGAGGGACCTGCCTCGTCGGGGCCACTGTTTTTTAGTTGAACATCTCCTACTTCAGGAGGCTGGGTAGACGGAGCTCTACTATCGGATGAAATTAACCGTTGGTCTGGAATAGATGAGTCGATATTGTCGGCCGTTTCGGGGGTAGGAGACCGAGGTTCTTCGATCAGTGCTGTGCGGTCGACCAGACTAATTTCGTGATCAATATCGCTATCTTTCAGCGAAGGAGCACGACGAGAGCTGCGCAGACGCGCGATGGTTTTGGGCATCGTTTAATACGAACAGATGCAGCATAATGGAAAGCGTCGTCTAGTTGATAATGACATAAGAGCGAAGTGGATAAGAAATCATCATTTGTATTGGGTCCTGGTCCTGGTCCTGACTATAAGAAGCACAACTGACGTCTGCGTCTTACCAGAGCGTACCTGTGAGCTAGAAGATGGCAATTATTGGTTATGTAGTGAGAGGAGAAGTAGATAGTGCTATCCAAAGTTAAGCTAAGAAGCTAAAATGTCTGCGCCGGGTAGCTCTAACATCGATGACGAAGGAGGCTAAAAACAAGCTGCAAGCTGCAAGCTGGATGGGAATTGGTACACTAAAAGCCAGTTAATAGCAGTAGCTGGTTAACGGCTAGCAAACTATAAGCTTGTAGCTTGCTTAAATGAGTTGCCGAGCTTTTAGGCAGCGCAGACATCCAAAATTGGATTTCACGATATTAGGAATGTAGTTGATGATGTAATTCGAGAATAAGTAATCCATAATAAAAACTTGTATTCCGTACCCATGCAGAGAATTTGAAGCAAGGTCATCACGGTTGCGACTTCGAATGTGGGGTATCGAACTACAGTAAAAACTCGCCATAGCGAATCTAAGATATAACGAATTCACTTTATAACGAATTGAAATCACGGATTGTTGAATTTTGTATGTAAATTAACGAATTTTTTTATATAACGAAATTCGTTAACTTCGTGACAAATTACCATTAAATTTGTTGTAAAACGAGTAAAGTTATACCGTTTTTAGCTTAATATATATTTATTTTCGGAAAATACTTATTTAATTTCGTTTAAACTTATGACTTTACAGTTTATACGTAAGCATTTTACTTTTTTAAAAAGTATTTTATTAATATATTTTATTATTTAATAATAAATTTACTTTATAATAAATTTAATCCCGTGTTTTTTAAAATTTATTATGGCAAGTTTTTATTATATTAAATTAAATTAAAGCAAAAAAAAACTTAAAAAAAACTTAAAAGTTGTTTAAAACCGTAAACGGTGTTTTGTTTATAACTCGTGTTAATTTTAACACATAAATTAATTAAATTATGTTTTAATTATAAAGCGATTTCCATTATAATTTAAACGAATTAACGATAATTTTAATGTTATATAAATTATTAAATGTTTATAATTTTATGTTTATGTTTTAAAATGTTTATTATAATAAATAAAACTATTTTTAATTTTATCGTTACTTTTTTTTATTATAACGTTTTTAATGTTTATATAAATGTTATATGCGTTGTAATTATAACGTATATATTTTTTATAAAAAAAAAATTAAAACATCATTAAAAGTGCTGTAATGTTTTCATTAAATGCGTTATAATTACAAAGCATTTTAATGGATAATATCGTTATAAATGGCCATAAACAACTTAATAAACACCATTCTCGTTTATCTCAGGTGACCTCAGACCAGATATTTTCGAAGCGGGCTGCGCCCGCTTGCGCCACGCAACGCGTGGTCCGTGTGTTTGTACCTGTGGGTCACGGGCAAAGCATTCGAAAATATCTGGTCTGAGGCTGTACTGTATTGCAGGGGTCCTTGACGTTCTCGTTGGTGATGAAAAAATCAGACATTACATCTACGATGACTTAATATACCACAATAACGTACGAAATAGCTTCAATTTTAATGACTCGGGGTTTGTAATATGCTTTCTTTAACTCTCTATCTTCTTTATATACTCGTACGGCATCGCGTTCTTATATACCAGGCCTCGACGTCTAAAAATCCCTGACGTTCTGACTATACTAAGCCTCATGTAAGGTACTTAGGTACAACAACTTAATATCCCACAACCACGTATAAAATCCTTCTTTTTTTAACAATTTAAGGCTAATAATACTATTTCCTAAGCCCTTTAGCCTTTCCTGCATACCTATACGGTCTTATATACCAGGCTTTGACGTCTGTTGCGGCTATCGTTACGCGTTGCGGCTACCGTTGCGACCGGTGTTGCGGCTAACGCGTTGCGACCAACGCGTTGCGACCGTTGTAGTGCAGCCGTTGTGGCCACTTTCAACACCTTAAAAGACTTAAAACGCGTAGATTTAATCGATAGACCTGATAATGAGATTAGTACGATTGTATAATCAATTAAACTTACTATAAAAGCGCGTTGATACTATTATTTTAATGATGTTGTTTTGATGATCTCGTTAATGTTGTTGTTTTAGAACGTCAGACGTATGATTCTGGTGTGCGGGGTCCCAGACCTGCCTCAGACCACAGATTCGAGATTGTTTTGGGGGGTTGTTCCGGGGTTTGATTGGTTAAAAAAGAGTGTGGCTAGGGGAGGTACAACCCCACGAACGATCTCGAATTTGTGGTCTGAGTTTACTGAGATAAATTCTCGTAGCTTTTCAATTTTAAAAAATCATCAGCGGTTTCCTCGAAGCTTATTGGATGCACGAGAAAGTATTTTAGAGCACTCCACAAGCCCAATTACGGTGGGGATAAGTTAATCAATACATCCAAATACATTGCTAATGCTTATGCTTATCCCCCATAAGTTTTTTCAGGCTTATGTTCCCAAACACCTTCTTAACTGTAACGCTATATTTAGAGCTTATTACTAAGTCGCTCACAAGTCTCTCATCATTGTTACACCTTCCTCCCCCACCCGCATTCGAGATGAGCTACGTCATGTATCTTGTGACAATGGAGCAACTACCTAGGACCTAATAGAGTAACAGTAACCCTCTGAACGAATCGCCATGAGGTAGAAGGTAGGGAAGCACCTAAAGCCTAAGTCGTATGTTATATATATTGCATCAAAGTAGTGATTCGTCGTAATAAAAATTTGACTCTCGTCCCTCCTTAAACTGTTTCAGTCCAATAATTTCCATTCCAATAACTTCAACTTTTATCACAAAGTCCCATACCCTTGGAGAGCTTATAAGATCCGGACATCTGGATAGTTCTTGATATCCGACTCATCGATTAATATAAACTTACCTATGAAGTACATACCAAAAACATCTATAATGTCGAAATCCAGACTGCCCCTCGCCCTCGGCCTGACGGCTGCAGGTGGTATTGGTTTTTATTTATACAGCGCCGGCGGCAACACCAAAGTCGCTCAGAAGAATGCTGAAGGTATGGCATACTCGAGAGTTCTTCCTAGATATCGTCATGGATTACGATAATTCCCGCAATATCTCAATATCATACATATGCCAACTAACATATATATACAGACGACGCTCATAGAGTCTCTGCTCAATTCAAATCAGAGCTGCCCAGTCGAGGAGACCAGGCTAAGAAAGACGCCGAGAAGTACGGTGCTGAAGCCGGTGCCAAGGTCGACCAGACTGTAAGTAAAAGTCATACCTCGCAACGTCATGTCCGCGGTTTCTGATGATTCTTCGATAAACAGATTCACAAGACAGACTCCGAACTGCGAAAGGCTGCTGCTGATGCCGAGGCCTACGCAAAGGACACCAAGGCCGCTGCTCTGAATAAGGTAGACGAGTTCGACAAGAAGGTCGAAGCTGAAACGTCCAAGGCCAAGAGTGGCATCTTTGGCTGGTTTGGCGGAAAGTAAACGGGTCGGTGGATGCTCGTTATTCTAGGGTTAGGTGACACGGGATTAAGGTCAGGTTTGACGACGGAGGATCATCCAAAATGGCCGAACGGATTGTTCTGTACGATTGACGTTTATACGCATCATAATAATTATCCTCATTGCCGGCCCTCTAGTGGGCAGCATATCAAGTACGAAATTTTCGCTTGCCGTTCAAGTTCCCACAAAGCCGTAACTCCTAATGCCCTATGCGTATGAGCCGTGATCCCCTAGAACGCCGGACCATCGTAAATCATATGTTGTATATGCGTTGCCGCATAGCTTAACGGATCAAGAGAAATGAATTCCTTCCGCGTTGAAAGCAGCTAGAAGGCGCAAGAAATCATTCTCGTCGCACTTCCCACTTCTCTTGTCAGCAAGCTCAGTCACGTCTTCCAGAACCTTTCGGACTTTTTCCCTGACTAATAAGGCGACTCTCGTCTTCTTCCGCTTGCTTTTTGTCTTCGGTATCTCGGTCTTCATGGCCTCCTTAAAGAACGACGGCGTGTCGTCATCTGCTCCGTCAACATCCATGATGCCACCCCACTCCTTTTCGTCGCCGGCGCTCGGCGGCACGTTCTCGTCGACTTCCATTTCCTCGATGTCGTCCTCTTCCTCGTCCGCAACTGTATCGTCCACAGGGATATCATTTGTGGCGCACCAGAGCCGGTAATTTCGCTCTAACATGGAGAGAACTTCCTTGTTGCCGAGCCACGAAGCTCTTAAGGTCTTATTTCTTCGGTTGAAACACACTCGCAACATGCCGTCCCACTCCTCGAAGCTGATGTTCGGACGCTCTGAGCCGAGTTTAGGCTCGATTCGGACGACGCTAGAATCGACTTGAGGAGGGGGCCGAAAGTTATTCCTTCCGACTTTTAAAATGTGTGTTATACCTGTGATAGCTAGAGTCAGTATCGCTTCCTAGACGTGGACTAGAGGCAACTTACGCGCCCAGAATTGCGCATTGACTGATAGGCGACAGTAGAGAGGATCGTTTGGCCGGGCTGTAAGACGTAGCGCGAATTCGCGCTGGAACATGAGAACACATGTTCTTGGTGGATTCGGAAGAGAGAGAAGCTTGAATACTAAAGGCGACGAGATTTGGTAGGGGGTATTCGAGATGCACACGTCGAAAGAGGGAAGTGTAGTCTTGATTACGTCTCCTAAGAGAACTTCCAGTCGTTTCTGCTCCGGCTTTCCTTGTACACGCTTCGTTGTTTCGGCAGCCATTCGGGGGTCCATTTCTACCGCCTGTTCACGATTGCGATTAGTTCAATGACCTCCCTACGCAAGTGATAATCACTATGTGAACTTACAATGACTTTCTTGGCTTGCTCGAGGATCTTGACTGTTAAATTTCCCGTACCAGGACCGACTTCAAGAACCGTGTCTGTGGGTTTGAGATATGCCTTCGTAACTATGGTCTCTGCGATACCCGGATTCTTCAGAATATGTTGACCAAAGTCTTTACTGAATTTGAAGACATTATTCGTCGCAGCACTCTTGGCTGGTCGCTCGTACGGAGTCGAGTTTGCGCTTCCGCGTTTGGATGTCTTTGCCTTGCCCATTTTCGTCCCTCGGCCAGTTAAAAGAAGGAATTAGTAGTGAAATATCCTTCTCGTAGTAGAATGCGCCGAGTGTCGATTAAGGGTAGAGGGGCAGAGGGGCAATGCGATCCGCGAGCTTTCGTAACTTTTTTTTTGTAGATTTTTGGTGTTGCGTGGCTAGGAGTGGCTTGTTATCGTTATCAATTTACTTATCGTTATCTAAACCCCTGTAACCACGGCTCACCCCTGTTAGCGCTATGCTAGGCCCGTTGCTTTCGTTCTTAGATACTTTCTTAGTGATTCTCATTGTAAAGTTGTAAAGCTTTCTTTCAACTATATACAAATCTATACAAATCAAATAGCAACAACTTGGAAACGACATCTCTTCTGCCGCTAGTGTCGGCACACTTAGTCGCATACCATCCTTTATATTGCTACCTACTTAACTTGTTTTAACGAGAACGGTATTCCCGTCGGTCTGATCTTACTTGAGACCAGGCAATATGACGGGGCGACGCGATTTCCTAAGCCACCCGGCGCCGGAGAACTATGTCGCAGGTTTAGGACGTGGTGCTACAGGTTTTACTACGCGTTCGGACTTGGGTCCAGCTAGAGAAGGGCCTTCTGAAGACCAAATCAAGGAAGCTCTTGCGAAACGTGCAGCGCAACTGGGATTTGGCGGCGAGGCAGCAGGCAAAAAGGACGAGGAAGATGACAATGACGACCGATATCAAGATCCTGACAACGAGGTCGGCCTCTTTGCCGGTGGGGTTTATGATAAAGATGACGACGAGGCAGACAGGATATACCGAGAGATAGATGAAAAGATGGACAAGCGCCGGAGGGCAAGAAGGTTAGTTCTTCTCGTTTAAGTTCCAAATTTATCCCCAGCTAGTTCACAATTCATCCCGAACTTAGCTTGAGCAGATTACCGACGATTGTTTTACGCGAATAGGGAAGCCCGCGAAAAGGCAGAACAAGAAGAGTACGAGCTCAAGAACCCCAAGATTCAACAGCAGTTTGCCGACCTGAAGAGAGGACTGGAAAGCGTTACCGAAGAAGAATGGGCAGCGCTACCCGAGGTTGGAGATCTTACCGGAAAGAATAGGCGGAGCAAACAAGCAAGACAGCAGCGCTTCTACGCTGTTCCGGATAGCGTATTGGCCGCCGCGGGGAGCTCCGGCGAACTTGGGAGCACCATAGTTGAAGACGGTGCGGCATCGACAGCCGGTGGCTCGAGCAATCAGGATGGGACAATGACAAATTTTGCCAAGATCGGACAGGCCAGAGACAAAGTCCTTCAGGTTAGGCTTGACCAAGCATCTCAGAGCGGAAGCACCACATCGGGAAGCGCCACGAGCGTCGATCCTAAGGGTTACCTAACGAGTCTAGCAAAAACTCAACTACCAGAAAGCGCGGCTCAGGTGGGCGATATCAACAGGGTCAGGGAACTACTCGAATCCGTTATCAAGACTAATCCGAACAATGGCCCTGGTTGGATCGCTGCCGCTCGTCTCGAGGAACTTGCTGGTAAGATTGTAGCAGCGCGGAATGTTATCGCGCGAGGTTGCGAACACTGCCCTAAGAACGAGGATGTCTGGCTCGAAAGCATTCGACTTAACGAAGGACGCAACGCCAAGGTTATTGCGGCACAAGCAATTCATAAGAATAATCGCTCGGTGCGGTTATGGGTTGAAGCGATGAAATTAGAAGATGACACTAGGTCGAAGAAACGGGTTATACGACACGCTTTAGACCATATTCCCGAATCAGAGGCCTTATGGAAGGAGGCCGTCAACCTAGAGGAAGACCCGGATGATGCTAGATTACTTTTAGCGAAAGCTACAGAGCTTATCCCCTTGTCCGTGGACCTGTGGCTAGCATTGGCTAGGCTTGAGAGTCCCGAGAACGCGCAGAAGGTGCTGAACAAAGCTCGTAAGCACTGTCCGACATCCCACGAGATTTGGATAGCTGCCGCGAGATTGCAAGAGCAGCTAGGACAAGGAGAAAAGGTCAACGTCATGAAACGTGCTGCACAAGTCCTCGTCAAGGAGTCGGCGATGCCAAAGCGGGAGGAATGGATAGCAGAAGCAGAAAAGTGCGAACAGGAGGGTGCTATAATCACATGCGGCGCGATCATTCGGGAAACCCTCGGTTATGGTCTCGACGAAGATGACGACCGCAAAGATACTTGGCTGGATGATGCGCGTGGGAGTATCAATCGGGGCATGTATGAAACGGCTCGAGCTATATTTGCATACGCGCTTCGAGTATTTCCCACGAGCAAAACAATTTGGTTAGCAGCTGCAGATCTCGAAAGGAACCACGGGTCGAAAGAGGATCTATGGCAAGTTCTTGAGAAGGCTGTCAATGCCGTGCCTCGGAGCGAAGTGCTATGGATGATGCTTGCAAAGGAGAAATGGCAAGCCGGAGAGATCGATAATGCACGTCGCGTTTTGGCGAGAGCGTTCCAGCAGAATCCGAACAATGAGGATATTTGGTTAGCAGCAGTCAAGCTGGAAGCTGAGAACGGCCAGATCGATCAAGCACGAGGCTTGCTAAAGACAGCCCGGCAGGAGGCTCCGACCGATCGTGTCTGGATGAAGAGCGCCGTCTTTGAACGGCAACTAGACGACCTCGATGCAGCACTAGATCTCGTCCAACAAGCGCTCAATCTCTTCCCCACATCTGCCAAGCTCTGGATGATGAAGGGTCAAATTTACGAAGATCTAAGTAAACCATTACAAGCGCGCGAAGCTTACAGCACGGGAGTAAAGGCAGTACCGAAATCGGTCCCTCTGTGGCTACTCTACTCCCGCCTAGAAGAGAAGCTCGGTCAGCTGCCCAAGGCCCGTTCGGTCCTCGATCGCGCGCGCCTCGCCGTGCCCAAATCCGCAGAGCTATGGTGCGAGTCGGTGCGTGTGGAGAGGCGGGCGCAGAACACAAAACAGGCCGAGTCGCTGATGGAGCGAGCGCTCCGCGATGTACCCAAGGCGGACCAAGGTATCTTGTGGAGTGAGAAGATATGGCATCTAACAACGCGGCCGCAGCGGAAACCCCGGGCTCTCGAGGCGATCAAGGAGGTAGATAACGACCCGGCGCTGCTGGTAGCCGTGGCGCGCATCTTCTGGGGCGAGCGACGACTCGAGAAGGCTCAGAACTGGTTCGAGAAAGCGCTGGTGAGGGACTCGGACCTGGGTGATAGTTGGGCGTGGTACTACAAGTTCCTGCTCGAGCACGGGACGCAGGAGAAGCGCGAAGAGGTCGTTAGCAAGTGTATTAGCGTGGAGCCCCGGCACGGTGAGGTCTGGCAGGCTATAGCGAAGAACCCAAAGAATGCGCGCAAGGGCGTGGAGGAAATTTTGAAGCTTGTTGCTGCTGAGCTGCACTAGAGGTGCGCGATTCCCTGCGCTGGGTATCTAGATCTAGTACATGTATTAAATAATTTATTATTAATAAAGTGGCCTGGACAGCTTTGAGTAAACTTCAGGGACCGCGATTTCATCCTCTGTCTACCCATTTTCTACTGAGGGTCTAGGTAAATAGTGAAATTTTGAACTTAGTAGGTGGTATCTAGGTACTTAGCATGTTCAACCCGTATAAAACATCCCATCATATTCGTCATTATACGACCTCGTAGCTTCATTAAGAGTTTCCAGAAGATGACCAGCCAGCCATTCATCAACGCCTAACCCATCCATCCACCCATCCATCTATTTTTCCCGCAGATGCTTACCCGAAGTATAGAGATATCGGGAGGTGATGGTACAGCTGATAATCGAACTCCTGGCTCCACTCCAGCACGAAGAACTTGGTAAGCGCCACAACAGCTTCAGCGTCCAGGTCCAGGGTCTCAGGAAAACCCGACCGTTTCCTTAGCCGCCAGAAATTCACCTCGTCTAGCTTCTCGAAACCCCAGCTCTCGCCCGCGTATACCGCCGCGATGTCGGTTACCACGCGCACCGAGTCCCCCGAGTTACCGCCCCCCGAGAGCACCGCCGACGCCGCCATGGGCCCCATGCTGCTGCGCACAAACTCCGGGTCCCAGCCCCGAGAGCGGAAGACCTCGGGTCGTTGCGTAACTGTCTCCTGCAGAAGCGAGGCTAGAGTCTTGCGGTAGTGGTCCATGGTCGATTTCCCGTAGGCTAGGAGGATGTCCCGGAGCCCGCGGTGCATGCTCCAGGATAGACATGTCCAGGGCAGGCTGTCGAGGGCACGCTTTATGACGTCTTGTTCGGCGGGAGGGATGATCATGGTGACGGTACGGTCGCCGGTGTCTTTGCTCGGTAGGTCTAGCTGGATTTCGCCATCTCCCGTGTGCGTAGTGCTGCTAGGTCGCGCGTAGAGGAAATCGACGTCGAAGGCGCGGCCGCCGAGCATGTTGTATAAGTGTCGGCCGGAGTGGGCGCCTTGGAACCCCTTGGGCGAGTGTTCGAGCCGGTAGGTGCCGCTGGGCTTCCGACCGCTGAAACCGACGGCGAAGTCGGACGTTGGCGACGATACGACGCCGGATATCATCTGTCCACAGCGGTCAACTCGTTGCATAAAGCTCCGAGGGAGGACTTCTGTTGCGCCGATGGAGTCGTGTGCGGCGAATTTGACGATGGCTTCTTGTCCGATGGGCCAGGTGATGTCTGGAGGAGTTAGTTAAGTTGCAAGGCGTATAGAAGGGGAAGTTCTATATAAAGTAAAATGTCCTAGGTTGACTTACACCACTGCCCACAGTACGAAGCATAGCCAGCCCGAAACCCAGAAGCGTCGCTATACTGGAACACCGGACGGCCATTAGTCACAACGAGCATCGTAACAAGCGTAGTCCGCGATATGACGATGCAAGCATGCGACTGATGCCTCTTGAGAGACTTCCGCGCAACATGCGACCAACTAGCACTACGCACCGGCGCACCAGCCAACTCCCTCCCACCACCACCGCTCTCCAGCGTCGCCGTCGACGTTCTCGCACCCCCCTTCTCAGCCGCGCCCACATCTCCCCCAGCGGCGACGACCGCACGCAGCGACGGCGGATCGTGGTTAAACATGGCCAAGATGGTCGACCAGCCCGCCTTGCCGGGCGTCGCGACGGGAATGCGCGTCACGTGCAGGACGTTGACGCCGCAGAAGCCGTCGGACATGCGCGCGGCGATGGCGGGGCCGAGGGGCGGCGGCTTGGTGATGCACCACCATGGGAACCGCAGTTGCCGCTGGAACCATATCCCGAGGTACTCGGCGGTGCGGTTCGTGTGGAACGGGTCCAGCTGGTCGTTGATGGCGCTGGCTTGGGAGATCAGCCCGCCGAGCCCGACTGTCGTTACGGCGAACGAGAGCCATGCTGCGGTGAGGTTGGCCGTGTCCATGCTTCTTGGGAAGAAGAGCTGAGGAGGTGGTGTTAGTTATGTATGTGCGTGTCTACCGTATCTATGTATGTATATGTTTGTCTGACGAACTATAGTAAAACAAGTTGTCGCATAGCTATACTACATAGATGAACGGAAAGATAGGTAGGTAGGTAGGTAGGTAGAAGAAATAGTATGTATTTCACAGCTTAACGTGAATATGTAGAGATAACTGGTAGATATACCTAGCTATAAAATGTGTGAAGTGGACTGACTGACCAATCTCAGCTGTTCTAATACACGCCGTATAAGCCCTATCGGGACCTTGAGTATAGAGAGGGCTGTGCTACTAGACATGGTTCTTCCAGTCTATACCCTCTGAGGTGTGCTATGCTTTCAACTCGCCAGCTAGAGGACGCACGATGTGACTATTCGCGGCTATGCGGTCTAGCCCGGGCCAACCATAAGCGCCGAAGGTTGTTGACAGCGGCTGGAACGGCTTCATACGAGAGTCCTCCCTCTGCCAGGTCAGATACTAACCTAACACACCTAGCTTCTCGTCCGGAGTTAAGAGAAAGTTGTCCGGAGAGATTAGTAATGCTATATTGTTTTGAAGAGAATATAAAAGTAGGGTATTACATAATACATAGGACGTAATTGTGCTAGGTTACCGTCACGTTACGTATGTCGTGAAACGTGCAGCGATCCAGGCGAGTAAGGGAACAGGGGTCGCCTTTACAAAAGCGGAATAGTGTCATGCAAAGAGGGGATGATCCGCCTATAGGGCTCATCAGAAGTTACGTTTCTCATCCACTACGTAACTTCATCATTCATGCTAAGCCATCTACATCTTTCCCAATCCCGCTCGTTTACGTTCCGAGGAATACCCTTAAGTGGGAAAAGTCATATATAATGATAAGTATAAGACTAATGTTAGTATAGGGAAGAAAATACACCATATCACGTATAGAGCTTCTTGACTTCTTCAGGTCTGATGCAATCATATATGTATTCACTAGTAAGGACTCATTTGTTTCATCAAATTAAATATTGTCTTCTCAAGTATCTTCATAAGCCATTACAAGTACAGATGCGGACCCCATCTGTCTGGGTATCTGGTGTTGATAGTAGTAAGAGTAAAGTAAGTAGTTGCCGCCCTCCGTCTAATTCCCATACTCGTTTTGATGAAAGTGAAAATAAAAATAAAAATAGAGGGCTCTCATACGGTCCTCTCTTCGTGTGGAAGGAAGGAGCGATAAAGGAGCCTCTAGACCGGAGATCCCGTTTGGGGGGTATGCTTTTGTATGTCCATCCTATGCAAAGTGTATTTTGTAACCGGCCCCGTGGTTACCGCAATGCCCTTCTGTGTTGAAAACTCGAGAACCGTTCTTTCTGAACTGTAGAAAACAAATGTGCTGGATTATACCAGGGGAACAAATGAACAAGATCGTGGGATCCACGACCTGAACTCTCTTCCTTCCCGTATGTCACCGTACGAAGAAAAGATCCAACGCCTAGAGCTCCGGTAATGCCTATGCCGTACTCGCTCAGTATACAGAATCAATCATTAGAAGTCACAAATAAAAGTGTTCGTGGGCTGGAGAGGCCCATGTCGTCGAATATTATTGTATTGCAACCACAGTCTCATTAGGTCGTAGAGATGGGTTATTCGCCGAATTCGGCTTGACAACTATCTTGCCGGAGATCGCCACATTTCTAGTTCTCTGACTAAGAGGCAACGTGTACTTCAGAACTCCTTTGACAATAAGAGTGAACTCGTCTGCAATGATACGTTCCCATCGCTCGGAGCCACTATCGGTGCCGTTGCCAGGTCGGGCGAGGCGTAAGGAGCCCGTAGAAGTGGAAATGCCTGATTGGAAAAATGACCCTTCGTAAGTTAACGGGCTGTCGAACACAACGATGTTTCCGAGACGCATATTTGGTGAAGCATCTTCAGGAGGCGGTTTGCCATCGCCATCGCCATCGCCATCGTCATCGTCGTCATCATCAGGTAATCTAACGACCGGAGGGTCATCCTTAGGGTCGTCTAGAGTACCAAGCTCGTCTCGGCCAGGATGGCGCCACCATTCCGAGTCGGTACCCGCATGCGGAGACTTTGCGAATATTTCAAGGTCAGACGTATCAATCATTACAACGACGACGTTCGGGTTGTGCGCTTTAACGGTAATGTCCATCATCAGCTCTTGTTCGCTGGCCAAGACGTTCCCAATCTTGACAAGTTCGATGTCGGTGAGCGGCTGAGATGTCGCAAACATGAATCCAAGTGCCCCGGAGAGAACAACCAATAGCATTATGGTAAGGACAAGACAACTCGCAAAACGGTTGATAAATGAAGGGTTTCGCTGGTATGTTTGTGCTTCGATATTTCTCCAATGTGGGTTGCGCCGACTTCGATTAGATCTGATAGATCTGGCCGTGCCACCTAGGAGAAGAGGGGTCCTTTCGTCATCGGCACCGGTGGTCGTGTCATCGACATCGTAGCCGCCTGTGAGCGCCATTTGTCGTTTACTAGTAGCTGCCCAGCCTCGACCTGTACCGAATCTAGGGCTCGGGGGATTGGAACCCTGTCTTGAATTGTTCCCGCCGAACTTCGACTTAGCTGCGTTAGGGAAGGGAGATTCATTATCGAATAACGAAAGGTGATTGCTGCTGTTATTCCGACCCCAACGGTTAGGATGGTGATGATGGCGGCCTGTCCCTCGTGCAGAGCCAATATTACTCCGGCCCGTGCCCCGACCATCGTCGTCTCCGAGAGGACCGTCGGTTCCGCTGCTCGTGTAAGTATTAACAAACTTCATATTCTTTTTGACTGGCATAGTAGGTGCGCCGGTCTCTGTCATGCCCGTTATTGAGCGTACTCCGTTCCGATTGACTTGGCTAGCAATGGAGGTTGCACTGGGTGTACGTGAGTGGTAACGGCGAGGGCGCTCGCCTACATCCGGCGGGTTCGAATCGTATACGAAAGTTTCGTCCGAGTCTGAAGAATTAGCTTCCTCCACCGCGCTCGCAACTTTGGCCTCGAAAATGTCTGCTTTTGAGGATGCTGGACGGTGTCCTCTAGTTAGCAAATTGGTCACTTGTGAGGTAAAACTTGAACTATTGACCGAAAGCTGTGTTATGATGGATTCATCTCCATACGATCCTTGACCGTATATGGTTGAATGATGAGATGAAGAAATGGACTGTATCGAGCAACTATGCCGAAGCTTAAGTGTCAGAGCAGTGGATGGCTCACCATTGCCAGAAGCAACAGATGCGGGCTTTCTCGTGTGCTTCTTCTTTTCCTTCTTCGGTTTTATGGTTTCCGAACTAAGTTTCGTTCTTAGACTTCCATTTGCTCCCTGGCCCCTCGTGTTCGTGGCTATTGAGAGTCCTGGAAGGTTGTTGATTTGTTCCGTCTCGACCGTCATATTTCTCGACGAGCTCTCGCCAGAGGTTGGCCCTTTGGCGCCATACTTGAGGGTCGTGCTCGACTGTCTGCTGTGGAGTGAGGGCGCAGGACCAACAGTACTTGTCCCTCTCGAACTCTTGACATTCCCACCATCGCTACCACTCTCGCTATTATTCGTCGCATTCTGACTGGAGGTTGTCCTCTTGATCGTGCTCCCGGAACTTTTAGAATGCGCCGATGACTGCGCAGCGGCGGTCTCGGCAAGCTTTTCAACAGCAACGTCTAGTCCTGGTCGCGGGGTATTGGGGCTAACCTCCTGGACCGTCTCCAAGGTAGACGATCCATTACTTGGTCCACGAGCTGGGGTCCTCATACCAGACGGCAGTTGCGATTCTTCCGCCTCGTTGTCGGAGGTAGACTGCGAAGCGGATTCCACGTGAGGCGAAGGCGTTGCTCGCTGAACATTTATAGCGGGTGCTTCTTGCTCGGCTTTTCGTAACGACGAACCGGGTACGGCTGGCCGGCCGATGTTAGGCGGCGGTGATTTCAATCGAGGTGACACGGGCCACCGGGGTGAATCTTTGGATAACTCGGACGCAACGGAAACCTTCTGCGGGACGGGAGTCCGTAGCACGGGCTCCGAATTTGACGGAGGTGGTAACGAGGGCGTTGTGGCGGAAGAAAGCTGTTGTCGCGGAGTCGAAGGTGCAGGAACGGTAGTTCTAGATCTCGACGGACTGGGGTCTTGGATACTGTTCTTGCGTGACCCAGCTGGGGTTGGGGATGTACGGCTTGCTCTTCCTGTCTTAGCCGAGGGGCGTGTTGGTGATGTATCTCTAGATTGTGCCGGCGACGCGGTAAGTGAAGTGGAGGCTGATGTCCACTTTGAGGCCTGCGAGTCGATATGGGCGCTAGAAGTAGCAGAAGTGTCGTTGTCGATAGAGTTCAGGCTGGACAGACTGGCGTCCATAGCAATATGATTATTTGCCATGGTGCTTGGCTGTTTGGATTAGGTCGGCGCAAACAATGGAACCACGTCTACCAGGAATGGGATTAGCTGGGAAGGATGGCTGGTGTACGTCGATAGAGGTTGATCATCGTGATGTGGCAGCAGGTTCGCATGCGACTAGCTTTCACACTGGACGAACCGGGCGAATGTCGTACAATCAAACGAGTGCTGCAATGCGGTACGGCCCCTACCACCTTTCTCCCCCACTGTCTTCCCTCTCCTGTCACGTAGCCTTGTCTATTGTACGTATTTCGTATGATAAATGCCCCAGTCAGGAACCTGCAGCAGTGATTGACGAATGGGGCCTAGGGATGTGTTGTTTGTGCCGGTGTGGTCAGTGGTCAGGATACAAAAAAGACTGCAAACGCGGGATTGGGCGCGGGAAGCAAAATGTCTGAATGACACAATAATGTGGAGAGTTGCGGATGGTTTTAAGGTGTACTGCAGAAATGGGGGGGCGGCACGTATCGAGTAAAGTGATAACAGGCCGACAATCAGCGGTATGATAGTATATAGAGGAAGGACCAGCCGAAGGACGGGTTTTGGGGAGATAGACTATGGACAATGTATGGAAGAGGGTGATTTGTTGGAGGCAAAACACGGGGAGTTGAATTGTAAGTCCTTTTTCGATTAACTATCAGATTTGAAGGTAATGATGTATTGTACACATGCGTCTAAGTACCTAGGTATCTTTACGGAGGGATACCTTACGAAGTACAAACATGCATAGGAATGGATACCTGCATGTACATATGTACATACATGTACGCACATGTAACCCAACCATTGAAGGCACTTTAATGTTCGTTGCGACTTGTTCGGTGTTGCAAGGTATTTTATCCCAGATAAATTTGTACGTAGGTAGTTACCCGGTCACGTTGAATAAGCACCAACCAGGCATCTATGTAATGTAGAAACCTGAATTGTGAATTGTGGCAAAAAGATGAATACGTACCTCTCATAATACGAACGTACATGCATAACAAATGCCAACAATCTCGACGCTTTAGGTATTTTATAGAGGATATGCCACACCACACTACTGTCCTTCCCAAAATTCTAGACCTACCCGTACTAAATCGGCCAGCCAAAAAAAAGTATAAAAAATGAGATGGTAAATACCTAATGTGCATTAGTTGGGGTTACCATACCTATTAAGGTTACTTCCTGCTGTGTCGTGAAAGTCAATTCAAATGTATTCAAGGGGCACGATACAATTAAGAACTACATGTATCTCTATCCAGCTGCCGAGATGTCTTTCAAAAAGTGGAATTCGCTCATATTATGGCGCAGGTACGGACGTAGACAATTCGGTCATCCATCTCGTTGATTCGATAGAATTAACATTACTACTTTGTATTAGATATTAGGCATGTACATGTAAGCAAGACCTGAGTTGATGGGCTGATATCTCTGCATCTCCATAACCCACATAACCGAGGCACTGTATCTTAGGTACATCCACTATCCCTAACCCGTCGGAACCCATGAAATAGAAAGATGCAAAGGTTAAAGACGTTTGCAGGTTCGGTAACCCATGAATTTTCAACAATTTGCTCGCTTCGCATTCTCAGGAGTCGGCATGTGTGCCGAAGGGAGGAATTTCTTCAGGGACTAACCTTGCCCTGAAGCTAAACCAGCTACAGCACTTGGTCGGCTGCTCCCCAGAAATCTAGCCTATGTGGGCCTTTCTTGCCTTACATACAATCCGCTTGGGATGATCCGGAGTGTAGATATCTAGGGTTGTGAGAGCGGTGACACGAAACACTCGATATGTACCTCCTAAGGTACCTGAGATATGTACCCAAAGACATAAAGACAGGTGTACTAATACTACCTCATATATTGTGAATTTGTTGTGGCATCGTAGGTACCTGGGTAATTAATTACCATAGGGTTGAAAAGTCGCGAGAGACTTAACCCAACATAGAGTGAAAGTATGTAAAGAAGTAGCGTAGGGTTATTCGGAATTACAATACTATATTAGGCATCTAACGTATCATACGTAACCCTACTATAACCTTTTTTAAGAGACGGAGCAAGTAGATATGAAGAATGAATGCGGCAATTACGGTATTAATGGAAGCCCCGGAGGAATAAAATGTACATGTATCCAGGAACACAATCTCACATGTAAGAAAGGTACTTGTAAGCTCATTAATAGATACTTGGTGCTACAAGAGTAAAAGCTCCACCTCAGTGGTTTCGAAAGTCGACATGCGGTATCTGCCGTTTGACCGTAAGTTGCTTCGACGGATACTTTTCTCCATAATTGTTAGCCCAGGTTAATTGATCTGATCCACTTGCCTTAGACCCCGATAGTCGCGCCGTCTTTTTCCTTTCAGTTTCTAGACGAATATTCTTCTTCTTCTCCACTCGAATTGTTCCTCGCATATCTTGCAGTTCTCCACTTACATACTCTCTACATTGTAGTACTTTGGTACCTATATCGTCTACCGCTTATTCTAACAAGTTAAGGAGATCCTTCGAATTTACCGGTCTTGTTTTTGCGAACAAATAGCGGTCTATTGCAGTATTCATGTTTTAGGAAAATAGAGCATGACGGCCAACATGCCGTGGGATGGTGCACCGAATCCGTCCCTGTCCAGAACAGCAGATATGACTAGGGTCTGTTCTCCAATGGGTTGGTAGAGTGTGGTTGCTATGCTTAGGCACGGATTCCAAGTCGAATCAAAAAATAAAGAAAAGGTGTGGGAACGCTGGCCAGGACGAATTAAGAATAATGTTAAGAGGAAGGCTTCCCTTGGACTACTCAGCCTTGCATCAGCCTATAGCAACATCGCTTTCCCAATAGAAACCCGGCAAATTTGGACCTCTCAGAGATCGACATGTGGACGACCTGCTAACGCATGCAAATGATTCTGCTGATGCGTGTCTGACGAACGTGACCCTGACAGCTCAATCACCACCAAGTTCTCTAGGCGTTAATCGCCCAAAGGGAACATCGCATATGCATAATTTCAATTTGGGAGTTCCCGAGATGGTAGTCGAGACGACTATACCTACGATAAGGGACTGACATTGCGCATACTATATATTACTATATCTCTAGCGTTGCCTCCTTAGGAAATCAGACGAGTGACCAGTCGCTCGGTGACGAGTCGCTGACGAAATTTGCGCGTAGGCGAACAAGAAGCCGAAGAGCCATTACCTACCTATCCCTTGGAGTCAGAAACTCGACGGGACGTCCCGGTTATCCCGTGGTAGGTAGGTATACTGCTTTGGAATCGACACTAATAGATCACATACTATTAATAATACATCTCTTCTCCTCCCTTGTAAAAATAGCACCCTCATAATTCCTATAACCCCTTAGGTACCTACGTAGCAATGCGGGTATGCTCACTACTACTATCCAACGCGGCAGCCACCCTGTCAGACATCGCTGTACGATCTGACATAATAAGCGGCCCGTCCAAACAGATGGGAATATGTTGCTCAGCCTAGAATCCTGCCTTGCCTTACCTACCTGCGCCAAGTTGATATGTCATCGATCACGACGGGCAGTCTGGAGTACACCGGGACTGGTTGGTTGGGTGGTCATCTGCGCAGGAACCCGCGATCCCCATAGGCCCGGTTGATGCCAACATCCGTCCAAGGAGCTGCAGTGTGGGGGTATGCAACTTTTTTGGGAGTCAGAATAGGTACAACACCAATTCTTGCATCACACACCCTTTCGACTATAGTATATGCTAAAATGGCTACTATGGATCGACACCTAATTTCATGGAAGGAAGAGTAAAACCCAAAGTGGTGACGAAATACTACGCCTTTTCGTCACTTACCTAACATTATCCCTCCATATTCATATGGGTAACCAGCGACTTGGTGTGTTGTCTTGCGTGGGGGGTAACATTGTCCCTTAAGGTAGGAAGATAGGCAGTGAGGCTCTTTGTTAGGGAAGCATGGAACTAGTGAGCAACTCCTACGCTCTTTTTTACCACTTACGAATTTGAAGATGTAAGTATTAATATGTGCCATACATATATTGTTCTTGAAGTAGTTAGAATGACTAAAAGATGGACCTCTTGACGAGTCCGGACTTTCTCCCAAACCTTCGGTATAGATCCGTACTACCAACCCACCCAGAAAAGCCACACGCGTATTATAGGTACATCAACCACGCGAGTTATCCGAGCATTCACGGCGTGGGGTTTGAGCCATTTTACTCCTGGCACTAACGATCAATCTTGTACTCCCCAATCCCCATACTTTTGCTTACCCCATGCTTCAAGACCCGACATCTCGCTTGATGATACCCAGCGCGGCGTTTCTCAGCCAGACTAGCAAGTCATGAATATTGAGAGGCCTAAATAGGGAACTAAGTGAGCTATTTCCTCACACATTCTAGACAGCAGCCTTGGGATTGGCTATGAGTACCGTCTACCAGAAAACTTGGATCATGGTGATTCATAAGGTTGGCACGTGGTAGATTTCGTGACGTGATACTGGCATTAGATCGTGCAGCTTGGTTGAACAACTCCTGAGGTACGGATTAAAGTGTCTCGGGAGAGCGACGCCTTTGAATTAAGACTGTCTTTCCAATGTCGCGGAAGCACCCCAACAAGACGACAGACTAGACCTCCGTCATAACTTGATAAAGTAGGTGGTCTGCAAGGGGGGTTGAACATATCGATCTGGCAGACAACAGAAGCTGCTTGCTAATCCAGATTATCACCCGTGCAAGGCGAGAAGTACTTACCATGTGTTAGGTGGTACCAATCAAATAAAGGAGAGATGTATGAACCCGGACATAGCCCCCATCAGAATAGTACTACGCCTGTCGGTATCTCGTCACATCAGAACCTTTCCGGTGTAATATTCAAGAGCCTTCTATCATAGTCATTCTAGATTCATCCTACTCCCTTATTTACTCACACGCAGAGAGAGAGAGAGGCGTTAGTAGACTGACCACCTTATATCGACGAAAATAAAACTTAGAATACCTAGCTTACAGTTTAACATGTTCAAAACAACGCTCTACACCGAGGTAATCTACGTAGGTAGGTAGACATGCTCATCGGGATGCGGTAAATATAACCCCCGGTCATCGTAATACGCTCCTCCTAAAGCCCAAACTATCACCATTGCAAATCACGGCTTGGATGATAGACCAGTCTTTAAACTCGAAACATTAAGCTCAGCCTTGATTCGATCTTTTCCCTTTAATACTGCCTCGAATACCTAAAGCATATCCACACCTATCTAAGATGACAATCTTCGCGAACATTACGCTAATGTATCAGTCTCCCTCATCTCGTCTTCCCTTTGAGCCCCTTTAAGCATTACATTTCCACGGTAGGTATAATTTTTAAAAAATGAGCACACGCATTACCAAATGCTTCACATACTAGCACGAAGACATAATAATCACGATCCCAAGCAAAACATCTCTCTTCAATCTATAGCAACCCAGCTCATCTTTCCCTCGTCTGTTTCTCGTCTTCTTTTCTAATCTATCTTACTCAAATTCATTCATCCCAGACAGCATAATCAACATCAACATGAACAAATAAACAAATACTTCAATGGTAATAAATATATCCCGGGCATAATCGTAACTTAACTACTGTAAGCAGGGTTGGTCGTTCGTGGCTACTATCCGTTCGTTCGTTCCGTCATTTGCGGCCCATCCAACCTACATAGTTGATTGCTTGTCCGTCGTAGCGAAGAAAAAAAAAAAAAAAGTAAAAAAGAGGCATTACGTACATAACACACCATCCACCCTATGGCGCGATAGGCAAAGGTTCTGTAGTTGAATAACAATTCTTAATCATACCTCCTTTCTAGAGGGTTTCCACTCGACTTTGATATCGATATCGACACCAATTTCGTCATTACTGTTTATCAACATGCCACACTACCGCACGCTTTCATGTTCGTCTTTCTTCGCCCACGCGCTACTCGCCCAGCCGATCCAACTCGCGCGCTTGTTCTCCGCGCGCTCCTTCTCGTTGTTTTCTTGAACCAGCCTCAACGGTCTCGGCTTGTTACCCGCGAGCGTGGTGCTTTTCTCGGCTATACTGCTTATAGTCCTAGGCGGGCTCTGGCTGGCCGAGGTGGCTGTTGTCCCGTCCGCGGCTGAGTCCCCGCTTACACTACTGGTTTCGCTGCGCATGCCCGGGAAGTTACCCGAGCTGCCATTGGCGCCCGAATGCGAGCGGCCTCCAGGGGAGAAGAATGTCTGGGAATGTCGTGCGGATGACGATGTCGTGCTTAAAGTCGGAGATAGTGGGCCGTCAGGCCCCTTGTACATGGCGTTCACGATGCCGGCTGCCCCCGTCAGTTGCTCGCTCATGGGCCTTCCGAGGCGCCGCGCTGTGCTCTGCGAGCGCCCGAGTCCGGTGAGGGGAATGCTAGGAGCCGTCTCCGGGTTGGTGTGCGCAGAGACTGCATGGGCTTGGTGCGCCGCGGACATAGTCATGGGTCGAGGCTTTGGTCGAGGCGCGGGACCACCGGTGGCGATAGACTTCGCGCGCGATAGGAATGAAGCTCCCTGAGAATCTGTTGGGGGCGGTGGGAGGTCCTTGTGTAGATTGGCACCTGGCTTGAAGTCGGAGGACTGGTCGAGGATGTGTTCGAACTCTTGGTGCTGGAGGAGCCGCTCGATGATCTTGTTAATATACAACGTAAGGGCCTTGTTCTGGTCCTTAGCAGCACGGAGCTCAGTCTCAAGACGGCGCAGAGTTTCCTCATCAACAGCCTTCTCATCCCCGCCGAGGGCACCCAGTTCATCAGCCAAACTAGCCCCTGGAGTCGGTGGATTGTCGCCGGCGTTGGATCGACCTTCAAGAGCATTGAGTGCGTCTTGGTTGGCGGAAACGTTCATGTAGCCAAAATCACCCTTGCCAAACTCGCCGTGGAGTGTCTTCTCCTGGAGGAGCAGCTGATACGACTCGTTATCTTCCATCAGCCGTGCGTTGGCCATGCGGGCCTCCATGAGCAGGCGTTCGACTTCGTGCAGGCGCCCGCCACCTTGATTCTCGGACTCAACAAGCTTAATCTGAGCCTCTGCGAGTTCAAGACGTAGAGATTCAATCAACTTATCCTTCTGAAGTAGCAGCTTAGAATTATTCCTGGAATCGCTACGCTGAATCGAAGAAGGTGGAGCGAAGTTCCCATTCTCTACACTAGGAGATGGATTACTCGCTGTAATGTTACTCAAATTAGCAATTGCATATGTAAAATCCATATAATTTGGATGCTCACATTGCCTTGTTGGGCGGTTTTCGTCCTCTGCGTTCTTTTGGTTGAGCGTCTCCTTTAGCCTATTGATCACAGCTTGCATCTCCTCCTCACGGTTCGCCATCTCTTCCTTCTCTTTCATCATGGAGCTCCGCTCGGCCTCATAGATTGCTTCCATCTCGCGCATCTGTCTCGCGGCTTCCCGTTTCTCATTTCTAAGCGCTTCGATCTGTTCCTCGCTCTCGTGCACCTTTTCTTCTAGTTTGGCTTGCTCTTTAAGGGCATCATCGAGTCTTGTCTGCAAAACCTCTGCTTGTTTCTTATGCTGCTCGGAAGCATTATCTGCCTTCTGTAACCGCTCTTTTAGGTCTTCGATCAGAGCAACCGTCTCGGCGCGAGCCTCAGCATCCCCAACTGTGCTAGAGATACTTAGCGATGAGGTTGTCCTATGCGTAGCAGCGGCTCGCGCTGACATTGGAGTACCGCCTCGGCTAGATCGTGTCCTCTGTGGGCTGTTGGCGGTTCCTGCACCATTTGTAGAAGAAGTCGGTGTAGACGCTCGGGTCTGCCTCGACGGAGGTGTGTTCTCGGTCGAGGAAGCCCGGCCATGCGCCGCGGATAGCGGCTTCTTAGGTGTAGCGGACATTTGTCCGGTTTAATGGCGATATACAGGTAAAAGTGAACGTATATACAGGAATGCTACTATAGGTAGCCGAGTTGCGGTAGGTTTGTCTCGTCAATATATTCAAAAGCCGAAGCAGTAGATACAAGGTAAAGTTCAATGTAATGTTGGAGGATATGGTATGATGGAATATGATGGTTGGTTGCTAGGTCAATCGCGATGAATGAGACAAGTTGGAAAACCAATACGTTGGCCGGTAGACGACGCAGGTGTGTTTCTGGTTGATTTTTGGACCGTACCTTATGTTGTTTTGTCCGAGTGGCTCATATGCGGTCTGTGGTTCGTGGATTGGTGGCGCGGGATGCACAAGTCTTTGGGTCTCGGGGGGAGACTTCTCGGGGGGAGACTTCTTGGGTTAGATAGAATTCGCAACGGAACATTGACTGACAGCCGCTATCCAGGTGCTTGTAAATTCCCCGTTTCCCGTTTGTACTTCGTATAAATAGGGGACTTGGGTCTAATGCGTCAGAGTGGGTTTAGACCGTTGAGCGTGGAAAGCGCTTAGCCTATCTAGGCTTATCCTTTTCTGACCCTTTTCGACTTTTCGACCTTTCTCTCAAAGTCAGGCGAGACTCAGCCACGCGGGATCACCTTTTCCCAGGGAATCACGAATCCTGACTTGGCTTTTCTGTCTCTGATTTAAAGTAAAAATAGCATGTACTAAGGTACATACCTATATAAATGTAGTTTGTAATTTGTAGTATGTATTAGGTAGTAACGTCAACTTTGAAGAATGTTTGTAGATGTTCTTTTTAAATGTTCGCATCTCGAACTCCTTTTGGGTCCTCTTTCCCTTTTACCCCCCTTTCTGCTTGTAAAGTTTAATTAGCGTTTATGCGGTTTCTTAGGTACTTAGGTACCTAAGTCCCGATACTTTAGCGCTCGGCGACGAGTGACGGTGTGGATGCTTGGATCCTTGTGGAACATGTTTTATGTTTTATATCAAAAGGACGCGTCCCAATAATAGGAGACTGATAAAGTATCTTCATGATTGTACTTGCTACCGGTATGATATATGTCCCTGACAATTGCTGTTTGAGGACTTCATTAACTCTTCTTTGTTCTTGGTGGTCGAATCAGACTAAATAACGATTCCACTTATATCATAAGTGATAAAGAAATCTACCTTCATTCACACGTCAGGCGAGGATGAATTGGTTATGCAAGCATGGTCACTTTCGTGCTCTTTCTTTCTATTGTTATTTAGAGGTATTATCTTTAAAACATACCACTGTTGGTTACTTAAATGTAAATATGTAGGTACACACATACTGGGAATTCTCGAAAGCTTAATACGAGGTATTTCCAGGCATAGGTAAACCTTATGCCTGCCGACTGGGTTGGTAAATTATTTGGATATGATGATTTTAGTACGTCCGTTTGTCCCGACGGGATTACACGCGAAGACTTATTAGTGAACGAGGTTTTATCTCTACCTCTTATTCACATTGTTGAAAATCACCTCATCAACATACTGGGGCTAGACTCAAAGAAATATTATGTCATGGCCAAGCAAGGCAGGTAATGAGAAGAAATAGACGTTCATATCCACAATAAGCCAAATGTGATTTTACATATATATCCGGAATTGATGGTCTCGGGGACAGATTTAGCCCCTCTCCTAAATGGCTAAGGATGATTGGTATGTATTATTGGAAAATGCTGGCATCCTACTCGAGATATTCAATATATTGTGTCCAGCCAGCATCAACTACTCGAGTCACAACTGATTATCACTTATAACATTCAAATCTCAGCTATAGCGCTAGGAAGAGGGATTGCTGGGTATCATTTATAGTATTTCCGAAGTCCGTAAGCTTCGTCTGGACTGACGTTTAGTATTGACCTAGCCGGCTACCTAGAGGACTCAAGGTGGAGCCTCGCAAATGTGCTTCCTAATGTAGTATTATACCAGCCGTCATCATTCATGAACGGCTAACTACGATGACCTTTTCCCAACCAATGAACCCCAACGCCGTCAGAGGATGCCTTATCTAGACCTAAGCCTGTTGGTCGCTGAGGATATCGGAGTCACCAGCATCAATGATGGCCATGGTGGAGCAACGGAACAGTTTACCGCAGGCAGTACCCAGCTCAATCTATATTCAACCAAAAAGTAAGCCAACTGAATTACCCTCCAAAGCCAATAGGGCTTCTTCTCTGGGTAGGGTCGTAGACAAGATAAACCCGTCTACTGGCCAAAGAGATAAGAGAAAGAGGAGAATATAAAAGCATTGATATGTCTTCTATACTTGGTCCAAAGAGATGTAGGAACTTACGTTGGTACCGGAGAAGTGGTGAACAGGGGCCTTGGACAGCATGGAGTAGTATTCCAGCTCGGACTTGCGTAGAGGAGGAGTGTTTCCGGAGATGATGACTAGCTTAGCCTTGCCGGATCGCAGACTCTTCAGGGTAGACTTGTAACCGAGAGTGACTAGAGGAAATGTCAGTAAAGATGGCATATTTATTTATTTTCGTTTAGGTAGAGAGATCGTACCCTTTCCTGACTTCATAACTAGCGCAAGACGCGAGTTGATGCTGTTGGCATCCTTCTTGTTCTTCTTGGGGGCCATCTTGACTGTTGGATATGAATTGACTGTTCGTTGACGGTGTCGAGTTGATGTTGTAGTCAGGAATGGGTAGAAGTCACCAAGAGGATGCAAAAAATAATTATCTTTGCAGAAAGTCCTAGTGGGGTTACACGGTTAGAGGCTCGCACCGCACCGAATATTTTGGTGGTCCGTGGTTTTAGCCCTAACCCCACTTTTCTTCAGGCGAATTGATAATCAATAGACCAATGAGATACCCCGCCACCAACCCACTTCGCCCGCTTATGTGACTCGCTCTTGCTTTGAAATCAAAGTAGGAATTTCACCGCAGACCTCAAAGGAGCCCCAGTGCCTCTGCTTCCTTGTCGACATCATCTTCCTCTCTACAACAACATACCCTCATCTAACGACGACTTGATCGAGAAAAATCATTCAAGATGGCGCGTCGTCCGGCAAGATGTTACCGATACTGCAAGAACAAGGTGAGCCTTACAAGACTTTTATAGTTATTATAATTTTTGCACAAAAAACCCCATTTTCAAAATTTATCCGGTTGATCGCAACAAATGGCTTGCGATTCCTTCACCTGTCCCGATTACAAATTCCACCATCAACTACATTATTTTTCATGAAACACCCGAGCGGTTTATTAGATATAGATCAAATGTAGAGATAAACATACTGACGTCAATGATCCTTAGCCGTATCCCAAGTCCCGCTTCAACCGTGGTGTCCCCGACCCTAAGATCCGTATCTTCGATCTTGGCCGAAAGCGTGCGACCGTCGATGACTTCCCTCTCTGCATCCACCTCGTCTCCAACGAGTACGAGCAGCTGAGCTCCGAAGCTCTTGAAGCTGCCCGTATTTGCGCCAACAAGTACCTCGTCAAGACTGCCGGAAAGGAAGGTTTCCACATGCGTGTCCGCGCTCACCCCTACCACGTCGTCCGTATCAACAAGATGTTGTCTTGCGCTGGTGCCGATAGACTGCAGACTGGTATGCGTGGTGCCTGGGGTAAGCCCAACGGTACTGTTGCCCGTGTCAACATTGGTCAGATCATCCTGAGTGTCCGAACTCGTGATTCTAGTAAGTAAAATGACGTATGCCGCACCTACAAGAATGCGTTAATTAACCCTTTTCTCTAGACCGTGCCGTCGCCCTTGAGGCTCTCCGACGATCCCAGTACAAGTTCCCTGGCCGACAAAAGATCATCATCTCCAAGAACTGGGGCTTCACTCCTCTCCGACGTGAGGAGTACCTCGAGAAGAAGGCTGCTGGCCGTGTCAAGGTTGACGGTGCCTACGTTCAGTTCCTCACCAACCACGGTAACCTTGCGCAGAACATCAAGCGTTTCCCCGAAGCGTTTACTGAGTCTGCTTAAATGGATTATCGTGACAAGGAAGCAATTCTGGGTTGAGGGGACAGGCGTATAATGGATTACCATAGCACTGCTACATGACAGTCAATTCGGATCTTGCATTTACACAGTAGCATTGCTGGCTTAGTGACATTAGTTCTATGAATTCCTAGATCAAGAAAACAGTAAAACCCACCGTATCTAGCTTCAAGATTGATTGCAATATTCTTCCTAATACCCCCACCAGGTGTCTTAATTTCCATCTAAATTAGTCCCTTCAAGTAAGCATACTCTCGAGAGAGTCCATATCCTCGTAGAATGATCTCTAAGCAGCCCTATGATCTAGGATCCTAGCCGAAAGTTCCGCAAAGGCCAGCGAAGCATGACTCACCTCTGACTTGGTTAGCCACGTCGTAGCTAACGTGGTGAGCTAGAGTTTAGTAGTTCTTGCAAGGTATGACTCTTCGAGAAATACCATGGATGTATTTTCAAGGGACACAATTACGGGGTAAGCTCTTATAAGGTAAACAAGACTAGATCAAAAAGATCCTAGGCTTGAAGTAGGGTTTAAAGAAGTGACTTCTTGTTGTGAAAGATTGAGACAATGGGAAATTATAATATATTGAGGTCACAATGGATTGTGAAAATGTTGGTAGTAAGAAGGAAATAGCTATTAGAAGAAATAAGTAGATCTATTTCGCTATAAGAGACAGATATTCTTTATAATGTATTCGGTGGATGAACTATGGTTGTAACTCTAGACTAAGTGGTAAGGTATGAATGGGGAAGATAATGCTATGCCATAGGCATTTTATATCAAGGGAACAAGGTCTTGCGTATAGAAGGAAAAGAATACATACATTAATCGTCTATTGATAAATCATAAGTACTAAAATAAATCGCTAAAGGGCTACTGCCAGGAGGCATCTTAGCAGGGGCACATATGAGCCAAGCTTCCCCTTTCACTTATAAAGAAGCTCAGTTAGTCAATCAAGCCATTCACGAGGAGGCATATCAACTCATGATCAAGGTGCTATTCACAATACTTTAATAGGATCACAAATTTGAGTGCGAGACAAATCGCTACTGCACAGCCTTAAACTGAGGTGTTGTCTATTAGTACCGAAGTCAACCCCCAAAGAATTGTAGGACAATATGATCATAACGGTTAGAGGATACGCCTCCTTTAGCTCAACTAATATCGATGGGATGGTCGACCTAAACTACTAAACTAATATATGTATGTCCTCATGCATTCTTTGAGTAACACATACAGGCTCTTACCCTAATGTACGTGAGCTTGTTACCATCAGGTGTTTCCTGAGCTTGTTGTAGGTTTACTTAGAGGAATGCAAATCATTCTTACTTTATCCAGTATCCGATACTGTTATATGGATAAATTACACGAACATTTTGTTCAAACAAGACAAGGTATATACTGATATACTTGCCAGCATAAATAACATTTCAATGTTACTAGTTGATATAGGCCGGACCAACCGGTATACATCGAACATGCTAGAGTGAATCAAAACGGCGATATCGGCAGCAAAATTAATTCGCCAAGATCTAACAGCCTCTTACATCGATATCCAAAGTGCTTCATGCAGATATAAGTTAAGGTAGGGGTAGTTGGAGTTCATGTGTTCTGGAATATAAATCCCGGGTTGAGATGTTTCGAAACAGATCGGCCGGAAATTAATATTTGACGCGTTCATCCTTGAACTTTTGGTGGCGGCCACAGTTCCTAGACTTGGAGGACGGTCGACGCGATCTCGTGGCTTGGTCCCGTCGTATCGAATGCCGCGTTCAGTCAGTTGTCGTTATTATATCACTGTCACCTCTCCCACCTCAAGTTGCTGTTCTTTCTACCATAAGACTCGAAGTTATAGTCTAACATTTCCACTGGTAACTAATTGGTTAAAACATCTTTGATCTTTGAAAACCTTCGAACTCTCATAGCCCATCGTAAAATGGAAACCTTAGTAACTAGTGCTGGTTTGTTGTCGGAAGCGCTTAGGAGCTTTTATGTATGGAATCCACGTGTACGGGAATCGCGTCTATTTCGTGTCCGATTCGTGTGTGCAGCAGAAGCCAAGCGCGCTGCGTCCAGTACGTCCAGGGAGGTTACAGCGAGGCTACAGAGAGGTAACAGGGATCACCAGCCACTGAATTTTGGATGGGAAGTTCCTATTGGCTATAAGGAAGTTACCGGGTTCTTCTAGCATCCGTTTCGTTTATCAAAGACCCACAACCCGGCGCTTCTTCTCTGAGTCTTTCTTCCCCCACAATGTTTCAATGTCTCCCACTGGATGAAATGTTTGGATGGTGAGACGGTTGCAGCTGAATTGCATCTAGCACCATGCAGGTCACTTCTTAACGGACCAGTCATTTCTCGCATCGCGGTTTACTATAACTGTCGCGTCTGCCATTTGCTCTGTTCCCGACTTCTCTGCACTCCGCGGCTGCATGGCGACGTGCAGATTTGCAGATGCACTAAAGTCGTGAGAATGACTCACTTGCCAACCATTCCCAACCAGTCCGACTTTTCTGACGTTCGTGGACTATCTTAGGTAGATTTGGAGAGACTATGCCGATGAAGTCGAGAGGTAGCACGAAAAGTTTTCCGAACCGGGGGGAATATGTCGAACTGGTATAACATGCGCCTCAGGCCTTCGCGGACCCGGTTGGGCTGCGACCGACTTTCTTCTATTTCAGAATATCAAGTGTCAACTTTGAGTGACTGGATTATATTTGATTCAGTTAATACTGTTGCTGCAACTGCGAATAACCTCACTTTACCGTCTTGTGCTCGCAGTGTAGCTCTACTATCATATATTTAGGCCATCTATTATTATTCAATATCGTCCTACTTAGTAACCATTTACAATATATACTTCTGATCCGACTTCAGTTGTATAACTTTTGAAATACCCATACCATCTTCGTGACTATAGCCCGCTATCAGGGCTCCTCGAACTTACACCCCCCACCCTCAATAATATTTGCCTTAGCGATATGCGAGAGCTATGGCAACAGGACCGCAAGCATTCTATTGCCTGTGGCAGAAGGAGGCTATCCGTGAGAAGCTCTTCCAATTATTATCAAAAGAAGATATCTGCAATGTTCGACTCTCATCGTCGGCATGCTGCAATCTCGTTACCAAACGACTATTTCTACGAACCCACTTGACCTTCACCTCTAGTACCTTCACTCGACAGAGTAGAATCGAGGCACTGTCGAAAGTAGGCCAGCATATAGAACATCTTACCTTTTATTTCCCACACTCAGAGGCTACTTTCTTACCTCCACTGGTTCACCCTGATACTGGTGGTGAGATCAGTTTCCTTTACAAGCCTCATACTTCGATGGCGTCTGTTCTGGAGAGACCTAAGTTCGCCAACTCTGGACTTGGTGAGATTCTTACACAACAATATCCGCCACTGTTCCACGCCGCATCTAATGTCCCGTCTTTCATCAATGCGATGAAGCACTTGCCGAATATGAGGCACCTTACTATCAAGACGCCTGGCCAGGATCCCAAGGAGAGATACCGAAGGGATATTGTGGACTATGCGCTTATTAGCCTCCGTATATCATTGGAGCGGGCGCCGATGAGAAAGCTTACAAAGCTTTCGTTATCCTCCGTCCATCCCTCTGCCTTCATCTACTTGCGACATGTTATAGGGTTTGGCTGTCTACCATCAGCTGCTCGGCGATGGAAGCAGATTCGGAAGTTAAATATCTCGGTAGAAGCATGGGATTTCTATGGACCGTCACCGGGACTCGATCATCTAAAGATGATTGACGATTATATACGCGACTTTTCAACGAATCTAGAAAAATTGACATTTAATTGGCTGGGCCGAAAGGGTCCATGTCCATTGTCTCTTGCGGCTGACCCGTTGTTTGCGCCGCCTCGGAGCTCACAGAAACTTTTCAATGAAGTTACTTCGCCTATGTCACCTTTACCCCCAGCGCCCTCTAGGAAGCCCATTGTATTCCGTAAATTACGTTTTATGGCCATTCGGAATGCCACCATGAACTCGTCGCAGGTAGCGGAATTGATTGCATCGCATCGACACAGTGTACGCGAGTTCGATTTTGAGAACGTTGTTCTAATCAATGATGGCAGCTGGGATGATGCCCTGGGACCTTTATTGAACAAATCATCCCGTGGTAGCCGCTGGATTCGGCAGTCAATGGCTACCATTACTGAAGATGCAAGCGTTCCTTCACCAGGTCTATCAGACAATTTTATAGACGATCTATCAGGTGACTCGCCAGCTGTTTCGGCAGCGTCGCAAAAGCTTTTAGATGTTGATCTAAACGGCGGCGAGGAGGAAGATGAGGATGAATCGGCGGAGCAAAATGATGAATTTGATCTTCCTTCGGACCTAGAGGCTGCTAGGCAAGCTAGTCTTTCGTTTCCAAACAAGCTTAAGAAGCGTAAAGTTACAAAGCGTCGTCGCAGAAGGAAGGATAAGAACGAATCTCGTGAAGATGACAAACATGAGTTTCATTCGCGGCATCATCACCGGCAACCCTCCAAAGATTCTATTGACCAACCTAGTGATGAACATCATCGTCATCGCCGCCACCGACATCAGAAGCCCCAAGAGTCTTTTGAAAGGCAGCCAGAAATTCATGGTTCTGACCAAAGTCGTCGGCCCTCGGATGAGTCCTTTGACTATCATCACCAACCGCTACGTTTATCTATCTCGCCACAAAGCTCTCAACATCGCTTGTTTGGCGAGGTTGAGAGTATTTATTCAACATCGTCGCGCCGTCTGTTTGGTGAAGTATCGCAGCTCACTAACTCGGGATCCGAGCCGGAGCTCACACACTCACCCGTTGATGACTCGGACTCGGTCGTCGATGAGTATTTCCGCCCTAGTACACCTACTACTACACCGATGGACATATCGGCACCTATTCTTAGCACGGCACCTAGCATGCCTATATTATTAGAACCTCACGTTTATGACCCCACTGCGGAGCTATGCTTCGAAATCACGGCCGTGCAACGCGATATTGAAGCTGAAGAAGCGCAGAGGCGCGTAGCTGAGGATGCCGAGTTTCAGACGAGCGCTTTGAAGAGGGCCAAGGAACTCGTGCTTAGTCGGCTGGGTCGCGAATTTTCTTCCGGTAATAGCGGCTTCGGCAAGAGGAGTGTTGCTGGCCCTAAAAAAGAGAGTTTCGGCGCTGGGAGTTTCCTCAGCAGCTCAAGATTTCGAGAGGGGTTATTTGGGAAGAGCACCTCTAGTGTGAGTGGCACCTTGCACCCCATGCAAGACCACAGGAGCATGGATGTGCCAATCTTGTTTAGTCGGAGTTGATGATACCCAATGGGGGAACGGATGTATTACGACAGACACGATGTGATGTGCTTATGACTTATAATGATTATGACCTACTACTATTCGATCTTTGAATTAATACTATATTCCTTTTGTGCACATTATCGCATGCTTCGTTCTATGTGATGTTGCCTCCATTATTCATAAAATGAACTGGCAAATTAAGCTCACACTTCGGGAACTCACAAGTGACTCGACGCTATGCTACGATAGTTCCTTAGAATGTCCTTTTTAACTCGTGCCTTGATCTATAGAGGCCGCCCAAATCGGGACCAGAGGTATTCCGCCGCGTTTAAGGAATTTAAAGAATATTATAGTAGTCGTGGCGATTCTTGTCGACCAAATCTTCGCATTCCCCTATTCCCTCTTACCTCTGAGAGAAAACCAACCTACCTCGCCCATAAGACGGCCAGATACTTCATCGTCACTATACCCCTTTCCATCCTCCGGTTTGCAGAAATGGGCATCATAACCTCCCTATTCTCTCTATTCGGCCCCGGCGCCGCCCTCTGCGCCGTCTGCGAGACTCTTACCGTGATCTGGCCGCGCATGCGACTCTGTATGGTCGACGACGCGCCGCTGACACGGTTCCTGCACGCCGCGCGGGGGAAGCCAGCGTGGGCGTTCGTCGTGGGCGTCGGGCAGGAACCCATCGCTCGGGAACTGTGCTTCGAGCTAGCCGCGTGCGGGTTCAACATCGTTCTGTACGGCACTGGGTCTGGCTACCACGGCGGGGAGGGCACGAGGCAGAAACTGCTGGCTTTCCGGGCGGAGCTTCTGAAGGCTAACCCGGAGAATAAATATCGCGTTGTGGTTGTGGATACGGACGCACAGGGCGAAGCGGTGAAGCGGTTTGCGGCGAGGGTAGGGGAGTCGCTGAAGGATGCAAATTTGACTATGCTGATTGATTGCATTGGGGATGCTGATGGCATGGTCTTGCCGCAGTTGAAGGCTGTGTTGGTGTCACTTCTGAAGCGGAATACGCCTGCACTGATTATCAACGTAGCCTCTTCGATGGCTGGTAGCGGCAATGGGACACAGGCATGTTATTCGTATAGAAGGTCTGAAGACCTCTCTAAAGACGGCGTTAACGTCGTTTCGTGCCATATAGACGATGTAGCCGTCGGCTATAAGGAGAAATCGTTGTTCCGCCGTCCTGCACCGCGGGCACTGGCCGAGACGGTGTTACTGCACGCGGCTTCTAGCGGTAGGAACGCTATTGTATATCCCCGTTGGCCACAAGCTATTTTGCAGATGACACGGAAGACGTTGCTAGGAATGGCTGTGGAACAATTTTTGTCTGTTACTCAGGGAGATGTATCGAAGAAATAGATAGAATGGGAGGAACGGGAGAATAGAGGAAAAAGAAAGATGTACAATGGGTTTATGCTTGCTTGTACTGCAATAGTAGGGGAGCATCGTTCGCTATACCGCAAGATTTTATAATAAATGCTCATATATATGTTCGTGAAAAGAACTTGCATTATATCAAAGCGAATGGTATTACTGCCGACTTATACATCATCAGGGATAGGGGGTAATTTAAGGAGTGTCGTAACTAAATATATCAAAGGCCCTTGGCACCACCATGGGTTGAACGTGGAACCATGAACCTATCTCAGTAGTCCTAGAACGAAGACGTATTTAATAAACCTAATTCCAGCCAATAAAGTATGAAGATTAAGCTCTCTATTAGCTTTCATTCTTAGATAAACGAAGCCTTTCCCATGATAACGTAGACGACGGTCTCAAAACAGCCCTGATAATTACTATCAGGTTTTAGCTACACTTCTTTTATACGCCAAATGACATGGCTTGATTCACCTCCGCTTCGGATCCCTGTTCAGAGCTTTATTGAGATTGGGTATGTAGTTTTGATACCTGTTATAATGGGTTGTACCTTAAAACTGACAGGTAGTTATCACAATACCTAGGTCAGTACCTACGCACGATACATAAATGTCAATAGTAGAATCGTCTATTATTGATCTTGGCACATTGTTTAAACATTTGCTATCACTCATACTTAAGGATCATTCTTCGCATATGCCGTATCTCGCATGAGCTATTACTAGTACCTCTAGCTACTGGCTATCAGCTCCTTGTTACAATTGCCTGCCGTGTAACTGTAATCTGCTCGTTACCAAAGGCCGTTTTACCGCTAACATCTCGATCCGAATAAGGATTATGTTGAGCTTGGATCCTGGCTTGGTATGTGCCTATGTTCCCAAGCCTGCCGCGTGTGTCATGCTCAATATCCGAGGACTGCTCAAATGTGACTGTCATTGAAGGCGAAGAGTCAACTGTCCCCTTGTTATCGCTCTTAACCAACGATCTTAACTTTATACCAAGATTCCGAGCCAAGGTTCCGCCTGAACTGTCGTGCCGGGCACCGGACCGTGAGCCGAGTACTTGGTCTGCAATGGGCTTGAGAAGGGGACTGCAAGCTACCATGATAGCGATTCCCGGCTGGATGATACTTAGGTAGGTAGTTGTTGCCAACGGAATAATAAGGCAGATCGCTATAATCAATCTTATATGTTATGTAAAGCCTAATAGCGGAAGCTACTATAGTGCTGTTTATCCGTATCAGAATGATACCTAGGTATGACCAAAGAGGAAACATTGAGCTGGACGAAGACAGAGTTAGAAGTGAGACAGCTACTGACATGAATCCAGCACCGAATATAATAAGCAACAAGGCAACCTTGTGTAAAGTGTTAATTCGTAGTGCTACTGATGGCTTTAACGGAAGCACTATGAGCATAAGGTCTGACACTATGTCGACGACGGCGACCGAGGTGAAACCCACCGTCTGGTTACCGCACGTCTTACGTACATTGGGTCCCAGTTGAGGTAAACGGGTTGGCATATTAACACGGCGATTAATATAGCCTGCAATGTCCAAACGACCGAAAACCCCATGACAACATACGCAGCTATGCGAAAGTTGCGTATAAAAAAGATACGTTGGAGACACCTCGCAATGCTTAATTTTATGAGCCCCAAAAATACGGCGTACAGGACCTGAGCTGCAAAGACAAACCTAGAGAATCGATCGAGTTGATTAAGCTCCAACTGTGTGACGTGTAGTCCGGCACCGCCTAGAAAAGCCACTTCAACACACATTAGCGAGAGTAGAAAATACCTGATATGGGGCGAAGGCGGAACCAACAAAGAACACCATTGACACACGAACCATAGTATGTCAACTACCAATACATATACAATTAGGACCTCAGCAGGGTATAATGTTTGGTGCAGAAGACAAACCAGAGCAAAATAACAAAGAATATCTTCAGACAGTAGCGGAGATATCCCCTGCATACGCCGAGCCGATATCCGTAGATCAACCCACAACGAGGCCAAAGTGCCCATTATAACAGCTACAGCTAGAAAAGCGCCGTTGTTTGGCTTATCTGCCATTGTGTAAATAGGTACTTAGGTAGTTAAAGGATCTGAGTATATGTTTAATACCTCTGTGGCGCGTAAATGGATGGGCTTAGTTTCATTTTGTAAGATTGTAACCTCGTAGAAGGGTGAAGACTTGTATGGTTACGCAATTGTTAGGAATTTAGACAAGACATCTGGAACAAAGGACAATTCTAGTATGTACAGCCGCAGGCTCCCATAGTTAGTTTATAGTTCCTTGCAGTTGGATTTAAAGGCAAACCCTCATCTCAGTAGGTAAACATAGCTTCTAAAAGGTTGATTGAACAAAACTTGGGAAATATTATTGAAATTATAATAAACGTCGTTCTATTTAAACTATTCGGACTCATCTATAAGTCTAATTGTTTAGTTACCAGTCTTCAAATCTCATCTATAGGTTTATCGCTCCGTGATTGTATTTTTACTTCTGGCTTAAGAGAGCGAAGATAATATTGTAAATGTATAGGAGGTACCTAACCTAAAGTACAAGATATAAGAGGATCACATAAATAAGCTGCGCAACGTCTTGGCTAGTCCGCCACAAACTAAATACTTGCTATATATTGTTAGGAATTATAAGATACCTTAGGTGCATTAAGAGTTTCTTTCTACGTTGAGTTGAGCATCCTGCAGAACTCGAAGAGAATAAATATAATATACTTTAACATTGCCTCTCTAATATAGCGAGGATATCTCACATTAAACTACCTAAAAGGTACCTATATAGTAAGCGTAAAGACAGCACTGCCAGCTCGGCGATGGTGACGTCATCATGGCCAAACTCTCCAGATGCGTCGACCATGATGATTCCCACATAGAGCGAAAGTAGAAAGACGTTGCTTCCGGTTGTGGTGACCACGAGGATGCCTGCATGACCTTGATACCTAGTCATTTATGACGGCAATGAACTTCCTAGAGGTAGCGTTGTAGATATGGAGAGAATTATAACGCTGGTAAAAGTTTCAGGAAGCCCGATAGCATCGGTGATGTTATGGCTGCGTGGGACGGGACAAAACCGGCTAGATAGATGGCTAAGAAACAAATGACAAAGGAGAAGATAAAATATATGGTACTTTATTAGACTGTGTCAGCTTAGACAGTTTCTTTAATATCGGTCCGTGGAAATCGAATCACGGCGTAGGAGTACCTTTATTGCTACTACCTATTATCGTCCGAGATCTACGCCCGAACCGGGCTCGGCAACCGGGCTCGGCAATTTTGTTCCGGCGGGAAACAAGGACTTACACACCTACTTGCTGGAGCGGTGTGTGCTGCATTTGCTAGACAAATAGCTACGCGGACTTAATTGCTAAGAATAACGCGTATTGTTTCACATTTTATATTTCACATTTCCAACTTCCCCATTGTTCCATCTTAGTTAAAGCCAAGCCAAGACTAGGATTACTCGTGCCACGCCCCACTTAATTTTGGTTTCGCAAGCGAGTACCAGTCTTAACTGGTACTTACCATTATTATCCACACATCACTATTATCCCCATTATTAAACAATGTGAAAATTAAGCAAGTATTATTTTAAAGACGAAAATTTTTTTATTATAACTTAAAAATTATAACTTTATTATAATTTTAAATTTAATATATGTATATAAAAAAAATAATATATTAAATTATATAATATATATAAAAATAAAAAGTTTACGTAATTATATCCCGTAATTATATATATAACTAATAAAACTTATAAAATAATTATTTTATAACAATTATATATAAATTTTAATATAAAAAGATATTTTTTTATATTTTTTAATGTTTTTAATAACTTTTTTAAAAAACATTTAATAGTAAATTATTATTTGTGGTAAATAACAATTTTATATAAAAATTATATAATTTAATTAATATATTTATTTTAATTTATAATATGTAATTTAATTAATTTATTAAAATTATATTATAATATAATTAAGTTAAAAAAAACAATAAATATTAAATTATTTAATTGTTTTATATGTAATATTATAATATAAATAAAATTAATAATAAATTTTTTTTTAAAAACATTTAATACGGTTTAATTATAAATAATTTTTTAAATTTTATAAATTATAATAATAAAGGTAATTATTAACGGGAATTAATTACGTTAATAAAGTTTATTATTAACTTTATACAATTAAATTAAACGAAAAATAAGGATTATTATTTTACTTTACTTCGTATGAAAAAGTAAAGGTTTAATATAACCGGGAAAAAAAACAAAAATAACAAAAAAAGGTAAAGTAAATAAATCAAAGCTTTTCGGCCACGTTAAATCTTTAACAATACTAATAAACCCGTTTATAAAATTTTAATTTATTTAAATATTTTACATTAATATACACTACGCGCTAATAATTATAAATAACTAACGTTTAAAATTATTAACTAATTAAATATTAAATAACTTTTAATTTTAATTAATTTTAATTATTTTAACGTTTTTTATTAAATAATTAAAAAATAATAAATAATTATAATTATATTTATTTATAACGTTATATTAAAAAAAAATTTAAAAAATTATATTAAAATAATCGATTTTATTAAAATTTAATTTAATTTATACTTTAATATTAAATAATTTCCATTTAAGTTAATTTATATAAAAATAACAAATAATTTTTAAAATTTAATAAAAAATCTTTTAATTAAAGTTGTTTTATTATATAACAATAAATAAACAAATTGTTTAATTAAAACATTTATATATAACATAATTAATCATATTATTAATATTAACAAAATTTTAAAAAAATAATAATTAATTATTAATAAAAAAAATTGTTAAAAATTACTTAATATAATTACATTTAAACCGTTTATAATTATATTTAAATTTATTATAATCTTTTTAAATCAAAAATTAATTTAATAAAAAATCTTTAAATTAATCATAAACTTTTCGTTAATAAAAACATACCGTATAATACTAAAATCATATTAGGTTTAATTTAATATTATAATTAATAAAAGATTAAACGCATTTTACATTAACAATTAAAAAATAAAATAAAAAATATAACTATTAATAATATTAACCATTACTTTTATAAATATAATACAAAAGATTAAATCTTACATATTATATTTTTGCGTTAACCGTTATAAATATATTAAAAAAATATTTAACATATACATTTTCCCGTTATTATTTAACCTATTAACGTTAATTAATAATAACGTTAAGTTTTTACCGGTAAAATAATTCCAATAATAACTTAAATATAAATTATAAAACTTTTATTACTTCGTATTTAACATATTTTTAACGTTATTAAAAACATTTATAATATAAATATTAAAATTATTATATTATTACCAAATATTAACTTAATAATTAATTCCGTTATTAAAATTTAAATATTTATTAATATAAAAACTTTAATTATATTAAATATTTTTAAATTAATATTTTAACCAATTTTAAACCGTAATATATTTTTAATTATTCGGTTAAAAATTAACCATATTATTTTACAAATTATAAACCATTTTAATAAAAATATTTTTGTTTTAAAATTTTTCGTAATTAACAAAAATTAAGATCTTTTTATAATAATTTATAAAGTAAATATTACGATATTATTTATTGCATATAACATACATATTAATATACGTTTTATATAAAACATTACCAACGGTTTTTACTTCGTTAATAAAGTCCCGAAAAAAATAATATAATATAAATTTAATTTAACAATAATCTTTATATTAATCCCTGTTCGGTTTATATTTCGGATTATATATAAAAATATAATTTTAAACTTAAAATTAAAACGTTAATTTATAATTTTAATTATATTAAATAAACCACTTAAATAACGTTATTTAAAATAATATATTAAATTAATTATAATATTTAATAAATATAAAATTCGTTTTTTAAATTTATTTATTAATAATTATAAAACGTTAAATATTTTTAAAATTTAATTAATAATTTACTTAAAACATAATATAAAAACTTATTTATAACAAATATTTAAATAATTTATACATTAACTTTTATTTTAAAATATTACATTTATTAAATATTTTATTTATAAACTTCGTTATAAACGATAAAAATAAAAACCGATTATTAAAACAAAATATAACTTTAATAATTAATATGGTAAAAACTTAAGTAAACGTTTTAACTTTAAAGTAATATTTGGTAATGTAAGTTTTTATAACATATACGTTAATATATAACGTTATGTTTATATTAACGTTTTATTTAATCGTAACAATGGCATTATATAAGTTTAACTTTAAATTATTTTATTTTATTATAAAACTGTTATAATTAAAATTTAATAACTTATTAACTTTAATTAACAATATTGGTAAACAAAAATAATAAAATTAATATTAATATTAAAATAATTTAATATTTTTATTTAAAATATATTAAAAAACTGTAATAAATATTTAAAACCTTTAAAATTTTAATAATCGGGCCGTTTTTTCGTTTAAAACCCACATAATAACCATAAATTTAAAACTTAAGTTATTAACGTTATATTTTTTTTTTAATAACCGGAAATAATAATTTAAATTATATATATAAATTTGTATAAATTGTACAACCTTTTATAAATACGTAACAATATATGGCTTTTTACCGGCTAGGAAATTAAACAAGTTATTTATAAATACTTGGCCCGGCGTTAGATTTATAATTATAATATATTTAAATTAAGTTTAAATAAAATTCTTTTAACTTTCCAATATTAATATATTATAAACAATAATTTATAAGTTTTATTTATTATTTTATAATAATATATAAATATATAAATTATTTTGGTTTTATTATTTAAATTAGTATTAAAAATTATTAATTTTAAATTTAATTAAAATTATAATTTTAAAAAATTTTATAAATTGGGTGTAAAAGTGGTAAATAATAACATATGGATATAATTGTAAATTATTTTTAATTATAACAATTTTAAAGATTTTATCGGCATTTTACCATTTTAAATATTTCGGTAAAAACCGATAAAAGTTATTTTATTATATATTAACGGCATTAAAAGTGGAAAATAACATTAAATACTTAAATGCATTAATTTACAAGTTTAATTTCGTCCGCCGGTTTATTTAATAAAGTTAAATACTTGGTACGTTAACGGTATATTAAACTACCGAATTAAATAATATTTATACATTTAATATATTTTTATTAAAAATGGTTCGTATATTATTAATATTAACAAAATTTACTAAATTTATTTAATTAATATAAAACGTATTTTAATTATTAATTTAATAACGTTATAATATATTAAAAATTATATAATAAAAATAAAAATAAAAAGTAAATTTATTATTATATTATTAAAAAACATATTTAATATAATTTATAAATTTAATATTATAAAATTAAAAAATTATAAATTTATTTACGTTATATAAGTAAAAAGTGGGAAATGTAAAGGATAAAAATGGTTAAATTTTATTTAATTTAAATACGGGGATAAATTAAACATCGGGCAAATCGAGTAAAATACCGGATTTATTAATAAAATCTTGTACGGCATCGAGTTGCGGTTGCGGGATGATTAAATCGGGGACAACGGAAACATCGCACTTATCCATAAAAGCGGCAAGATCGTCGTTCGAAATACCATCGTTAATACTTTCGTCGCCGTTACCCAATTAATATAACAATAACCGTGATAATATATCGCCGTTTTTTGGCAATTAAAAAAACCGGCTTTTATTTATTAAAATATCTTGATAGTTAAAATAGTTTTCCCGTAAAAAACGGAATTATTATATAATATATTTTTAATAAATATAAAAATTTTAAAAAATTTACCGTTATAACCAAAAGTTAATTAGTTGTAATATAATAACGTTAAATTTTTCGGGTAATTTTAACAATTACCGATATAATAAATTAACATCCCGAAAAAAATGGTAAATATAACTTTTATAACGATATTATAAGCTTTAAATTTAATAAATTTTAATAAAATAATAAAACCGAAATATAATTATTTTTTTTGTTTATATTAATATTGGAAAAAATTTAAATACGGTATTAAAATTAAGGTTATTTTTAACTAAAAAAAAATATACATTACCTGGTATTAAATTTGCATTATAAAATTTATAATTATAATATATATTATTTTTAAATCGTATATTAAATTACCGTTTTTTATAATAAATATAAAATTTTTAAATATTTTAAATTAAATTATTATAAAAAGTTTTAAGTAAAGTTAAATTTATATTGTTAATAATTAATAATTTAAATATATTTGGCGTTAATTATATAAGTGGTTATGTAAAAAATTGTATTGGTAACGATAATAGTAATAATAATGGTAAAAGGTTATTAACGTTAGAATTTTTTTGTAAGTAAATTTAAATAATATGTAAAAAGGGTATAAAAAAAAAGGGTAATACATTAATATTTTAACGTTAATTTTGGTGGGTACGTTGTGTGGTTATATGTATTTAACGCGTTTTTCGAATATTATTAAAATTTTAATTGTTAAAACTTTAGCGTTAATAAATTAGCGGTTATATACCAGTTATATTTATAAATTATTTATGTTAATAAACTATTATTAATTTAATTTATAAGCTGGTTAAAATTAAACCGTTAATAATAAAAATTAACGTATTTAAATTTGTTAATACGTTATATAAATAATAATAATCCGGTTTATATAATTGGATTTTATAAATTTAAATTTGATTTATGGTAAATTTTAATAATATTAAATATATTATTGTAAACCAAAAAAAAAAGGTTATTAACGGGGTTAATTATGTTATTTCGGGGTTTATATACCGTTATTACTTTTATTATTAAACATTTTAAAAGGATTTTATTAAAATAAAAGTAAAGTTTATAATATTGCTTTTTAAGTAGTAAAATAATAAATTTATAATGTTAAAAAAGGTTAAAAAAAAAGATATAAAAGGAAAAAGTAATTTAATAATTAAAGGGAAAAAAAACGTTTTATTTATAAGTAATTTTAAAAGATAAAATAAGTAAATGAATCATACGTACGAAAGGGATAAAATAATCCGGGAAATATATACTTAATAATAGTTTTTTTTAAAGCCGTATAAATTATGGCAAGTTTTTTACAACTTAAAAATGAAGTTTACAATACCGTAAAATTAATATATATAAAAAAATTGTATGGTGTTAATAAAAAAAGTTATAAAAAAAGTAAAAAAAATTAATTTTAAATAAAAAAGTGGTATGGTATATATAAAAAATTTTATTTAAAAAATTACGTTAAAGTTTTTTTTTATTAAAATAAGTTTTGTTAAGTTTTATTAAACTTTATTTATAGTTAATTAATTAAATAAGTTAAATTTATATATATAAGTTAAAGTTAAAAAAAACCACGTAATTTATTATTATATAAAATTATATTAATATATTAAAATAATATAAATTTAAAGTTATATTTAATATAATTAATTTGTTTATTAAAGCGTAATTTTAAAGTTTCCGGTAAAATATATGTATTTTATTTAATTAGTTAAATTTTTATAATCGACTTTTTTTTTTAATTTTAAAATTTTTTAATATATTTGTTTAAGATTTAACGTATTGTTTAATTAATTAACTATTATAACATTTTATTATAAACTTATATTTTTATATATAAATAAACGTTTATTAACTATATATTTTATTTTATTAATTTTTATATTAATTTAAATATATTTATTTTTTATTAATATTATTATTAATATTATTTATTAATTTAATTAAATACATCTTTTACCCACTTTTATAATAATTAATTTAATTGGTTAAAAGCTTATTTTATTTATTTTATTATTAACTGGTCCATGTTTATTAAATTTAAGCTTTCCTTTTTTTGGTTTAAATTTAAAAGCGAAAATTTTCCTCCGAAAAAACGTTATATAAACAAATAAAAAAAGTTTTTTTAATCATTATAAAAATTCATTTAACCTTCATTTTTAACGTTATATAATTTGAAAAAAAGTTTTTAAATATATCGAATTTTAATTAATATAATAAAAAATTTAAAAAATTATAATTATAATATTTATATTATATTATATATTATATTTTAATTTTTAATATAGTTTTTTATATATAAATATATAAATATAAATATAAATAAAATTATTTAAAAATATAAAAGTATTTTTTTATTTTAAAATATTTTTTTATATAATAGCTTTATTAATTTAAACTATAAAATATTACGTAATAAAATTATTATAAACTTTTTTTAAATTTAATATATTTTAAAAAATGTAATAAAATTATATAAAATTTAATTTAAATAAATATATTTTTTATTTTATTTATATGTAAGTGGTTGAAAAATTATAATAAAATGTAAAAAATCTGGGGATAATTGTGGTGTGTAGATAATGGTGGTAAGCACCAGTTAAGACTGGTACTCGCTTGCGAAACCAAAATTAAGTGGGGCGTGGCACGAGTACTGGGGGACCTGATCCCCAGCTTACTGAGTTGGAAGCTTCCTAAAGGAGGTATTGCTATTACTAGGTAGTTGCTAATTGTAGCTCCGTTAATAGAATCTTACTGAACTGACAAAGGAAGGGCTAGGAGGAAGAAATGAGTTGTTACCATAAAACATCTTACCCCTCGACTCAATTGAGACGTATTGTTCAAATATAGACCATTGTCTACCTTAAGTACTCAAGGGTGGCTTAAAAGCCAAGACTAGATGCGGGTATCCGAAAGAAATCCACGTTTGCTGTGCAACTCCCCAATGCATTTATAATGCTCAAGTTTCTTTCAATGTTGCCTTGATTCATACTACGATGAAAATCTCAGGGGTAAGGTCAAGTGTATATCATCGCCTCAACATTTATCGTATCTTGGTATCTACGACAGCTACACAATAAGGGGGGAATCATGGACTGGCAAAAACTATTACTCGCCCTCTTCACCGTTGTCGCCACGGTCCGAGCAGCACCGTTTATGCGACCAGTGTTATTCCATGCCACATCTGTTGTTGAGACTTCGAGTAATGGGGCCTGGGCTGATCACACGATATGTCCAGCCGACTACTTTAGCTACATGACAGAGAAAGGCTTTTTCAGTTTCGGCTGGTATGTTCTTCCACCACACAATATTGTTTCTACTTGTTGATTACCTACTGACTTTGTGTCTCTAGGTGGGGATTAAGAAGCAACAGGGGTAATGCAACGTACTTCACGCCAGATGCCGATCCGTTCCACTGGTTCGAGCTTGGCGAGAGGGAGTCGTGTGACAGTGTTACCGGAGCTTGTCTGTACAGTACCCAAAACGTACCTATTCGCTTTGAGAATTATCCACAGCCGCCGCCTTGCGCACCAATGCCACTTAAGTACATTGAACGATCGCTTGGTCTAGGAGATGGGGATGAGGATCGGGTAGAGTTGACTTACACTGATGATGACGGGGTCCAAGCTCAAGGGTTAAGCACGAGACAAAAACTGAGCGGTGACCCTAGCGCGGCGGGGACATGCCACAAGGCGCTGCGCATATTGAAGCAGCTTTACGAGCAACACGATATCGATTTGGGATTTGAGATTGGGAATCCATGTGCGCAAGGGACAAGTATAGACCAACAGGAGGTGTCAGAGTTATAGTTACCTGAGGTATGAATATAAACGTTAGTTAGTTCTTTAGAAGAGAAGTTGAGAATGCAACTCGTAACGATGAAACCCCTTTGAAAATATGAATTCTACTAGGAATACCTGTCTACCACTTATATTACTAAGTTTAGACTTCTAATTTATAGCTCCGACGCAACTGCTTAGTTAATGGTTATATCAAATTGAGTCAACACTCAATTGGAGTCTTTGCGAGCGGTTACACGTATGAGTTGAAAGACTTTAGAAAGATAACTAACTAACTAGACCTAGCGCTAGTTAGCTTTATATGTACTAAAAAAGACAACTGTCAACCCCGCTATACTGCCTAATGATATACCATACGGCAGCTGTTTTATTATTTTGATTTGTAAGTCCTCATCTCGAAGTATTAACACTGTTATATTTTCAAATCTTCAACAGTATATCATGTCCTCGCCACGGCCCACCATTGTACTAGTACCTGGTGCATGGACGCTACCTGCTGCATATCGAAAACTGGTTGATACACTCCAAGCAAGATCCTTTACTGTCCATGTACCAGCTTTGCCATCAAATAATGGTGCTCGACCGCCCAATTCATCACACGATGCTGATGTGGCAACTGTACGCGAAATAGTCGAGCCTCTTATTAATGATAGCAAAGACGTTATTCTGTTCATGCATTCATACGGAGGTGTCGTGGGAACGAATGCTATCGAGGGTCTCACTCGCAAGGATCGGGAAGCCAAGGGCGTTTCCGGTGGCGTTGTTTATCTGTTCTACTTATCGGCTTACCTTTTAGCCAAGGGCCAGAGCATTTGGACCCTCATCGAGGACCTGGGTGTCTCATTGGAGAGCATACCAGAAATTACTTTCGAAAAAGACGGTACCTGGTTTCTTAATGATCCTGTTCAGGCTTTATGTCACGACGTAAGTCGTGAGGATCAGGAGGAGCAGAAACGACTATCTACGCATCACAACCTAGATGCCATTAAAGGGAAGGCGGTGTACGAAGCCTGGAAAGACATCCCGAGTACATATATCTTCACTACACAGGATCGTCGCGTGCCCCCTATTCTTCAAGACCTGTGCTTTGCAAATACGAAGGAGGCTCAGGTCGCTATTAAGAAAGTAGTATTGGATTGTGCGCATGCGGCATACGTAAACTATCCGGAGGAACTAGCCGACCTAGTGGTTGAGGCATCTCGTCCTACAGGCTTGTAAAACTTATTGTTAACAGCTTATCTTGGAAAAATCTGTTGTTTGTTACTGGTTGGATCTGTCTTTAAGCAAACTCGGCGATCTATTCGGAGAACCAAGTCTTTGGAGACAAGTAAGAACAGTATGTGCTCTGTATTAGCCTACAGTATATCCATCAATATCCTAGCCGCTCCGGTATTATTGTTGTCAGCAGCGATGGTCATCGTCTCAACCCGATTTGCGATATACATACGCACACCTACGTAGACGTAATACCCTGATGATAAACTACCACATGATTGATTTTGATTTCACTAATTGGAGCTAAATCTTTGAGATGGTTAAGACTGTGTTAGACACGTACCTAAGTAACCTAAGTATCTATGAACAGAACAATCATGAATCCTCACAGACGAGTGTATCAGAGGGCATATCAGGTTACACTGTGTCAGATAAACTTGCTCCATTACTATTAAGGTAATATTTGTGTAAGTTATCTGAGAGTGCATAAGACTAAGGGTATTATCTCATGTGTCACAAAATAAGGGATGGTAATAGTTCATGCTTCTCTATTGGACGTTGTCCAGCTTACTCTATCTATTAGCTCTTTGTGTATAGTTTCGTAGACCCGTGTAGAAATTAAACCCTACGCCACTCGGTTCGAGGTATGGAGGTGACGTAGATATACAGATGTCTTCGTAAATTAGGAAGGAGGTTCCTTTGGCCTATAAATGCTTTAATAGGCGGAATCTAAGAAATACCTTGAAAACCGTATGGGGAATGCCCTGTTAAGTAGACTCGTTGGAGAGCGGGATGCGGAAGAGTAAAGCGAATACGATGCGGTTGTTTCAGATTAACTAAGATATGTAATATGTCCTGTATAATTGACGTATCACAATAACTCAGAGTAATGATTAATAACTGGCTTTAGCCAAGCACGTATTAGTTAGAGCTGTAGACGGAGAGCAATAGACTGGACGCCTTAAGTGCCACAAAGCCGATAAAGTAGGTATTGACTAGGAATATACATGGCTCATGGCTATATAACTTCTTCAAGGCTCTCACTTATATGACTTGTAAATTACATGCAATAGACCCCAAAAGATTGCTTTATATACCAGAGCCTGATAATTAAGGCAGTTAAACGTTATTCTATAACGTCAAAATATATTTCCTAAGTTCCTATCGACCTTAGATATGGATTCGCAAGATTCGACCGCTCGTCCATTCAGAGTCATCGTCGTTGGTGGTGGTATTGCTGGCCTTGTAGCTTCTAATTGCCTACAACGAGCGGGTATTGATCATGTCGTCCTCGAGAAGCGCGCAGAGATTGCGCCTGCTGAAGGTGCTAGTATAAGTCTATATTCGAATTCCGCACGAATATTGCACCAGATCGGCTGTCTCGAAGCAGTCGAATCAGTAGGTGCGCCGGCGAATAGAGTAAAATTCCGACTACCGGATGGGACTATTATATCGGATGTTGGTTTGTTTGAGCACCTTAAAGAGAAGTACGTATGGAATAACCTCATAAAATCACCGGAGTATGGGCTGAATTATAATTGATATTAGCCATGGAAACTCTGGGGTCATAATTGAACGGCGAAGATTAATGCAAATACTTTACGATAACCTCCCTACTAAATCACTAGTTAGGACAGGTTGCTCCGTTAAAGGGTTAAGACTCGTTGAGGATGGCATCGAAGCTGTTCTTGCGGATGGAACGGTTGAGATAGGTGACATGGTAATCGGCTGCGACGGAGTACACAGCTCTGTCAGGAGCATGATGTGGGATTATTCAAATAAAACTACCCCCCTGGTAGCATTACAACGAAGGAAAAGATGTGCAAGTAAATTAACAATATTTGCCGAATTATGTAGTGTATTATTATACATACCTCCTAGGAGACTAATAGCTAAATAGGTATGAAGGCAAATTGGAAGGTTCTCCTTTTAACCGGGCCTGCTATGCCAGAGATTGGGCGTGATACTCATTTCGTACACAATACGCACTTACGCTTACGGTCATATCACAACCAGACCACGTATTTACGTTCGTAACCTTCCGTCTCAAAGAGCCGGTCATATGGCCAAGGAGAATGTTCTATACCGCTCAAGATGCCGAACAGCTAGCTGAGACGGTGGCCTCCTATCCCGTTTGCGAGTCACTGCTATTCGGAGAGTTGTGGCGTAAGCGCGAGCGCGCCTCTCTTGTGAATGTTGAGGAGGGCGTGCTAGATAAATGGCATTTTGGTCGAATTGTCCTTGCTGGAGATGCTGCTCATAAGGTATGTTGAATAATCTGGAATCTTTGCTTACATTCTCCAGTTGCTTACGGAAACAGGTTACCTTCCACATGGGTTTCGGCGGCAATTCCTCAATTGGGTCCATCGCAACTCTTTGCAACCAGCTAAAGAAGGAAATTAAATCTCACAATGAGTCAAGTCTATCCCCAAGTACGCTAGAACGCTTATTTGAATCCTACCAGACTAAGCGCCACGCACGAATGAAGATGGTCATGTATTTCTCTCTCTTTAGCACAAGAACCCTGACTTGGGATACTCCACTAAATTATTGGCCCGATGGATTTTCCCACGGCTCCCCGAACGATATCTAAGTGATCAATTCAGCAAGATTATTAAGAGGGAGCCAAAGCTCGAGTATATCGGGATGGGTAGTTTTCCACGTGGCCAGCTGACATGGGAAGATGAAGCGACGACCGGTAATTCTAAAGATGAAGATTTGGAATAAGAACTTGTTTCTATGTCTGAGTACCTTAAGAGAGAGCCAAATCCGGTAACCACTTATTTCCGCATCAACATACATGGAATATTCAGCTACAATATAAGCATTCCTCTCGTATATCTACTGTACTTTCTAGTAGAATTTATGTCGGAGCATCAATTACTATTTACACATTCTTTCAGGGGCTTGATAGAATCTTGCTAGTGGAAGAGAGAATAAGGCACTGTCATATACGCCACAAGTTTCGACGATATAGTAACCAAGTTTCAAAAAAAGACTTTCTAAGAACAAGATCTATTATAACACCCACCCTTAAAGAACAGGGTGCTCTCATATACTTGCTCTACTATAATATAAATACATAAACCGGAAGAGTGAAGGGAACGCTTCGTGGAGACGCCACAAAAAGACGAGAGATGAATTCTTTTCGCTAAAACCCAACGCCATCGATGATTTGTCTTTATGGCATCTCAACCCAAACAAAGATCCTCCTGCGTTCGAATGTCGCCTAGTTGCCGACGATGGCAGGTTCATGCGACCAGATCCGGCTTACGAGCCAGTGACTATAACACACGTGCCGTGCTTGATGATATCGTGGAGGCCATCGTGGCAGTTAATCTTGTTGTGGTCGTGGGCGGAGCATCCGCCGATCTGGAGGCCGCCGGAGTCAAGAATGGCGGTGGGGGGGCCGTTGCCGGAGCAGCCGGTGAAGGTATACATCACCTCACCGAGGCTGAACGCCTGGTCGCAAGGGGATTTTGTGAGAACGTCTAGGACTTGCATGCCGGGGCAGGCGTGTTTCCCCTCGACCCAAGTGACCCAGTGGTTGGTCTGGTCGTTGTTCTGGAGTTGCTGGCCGAAGGCGACGGCTTCGGCACTCGCAAGGCTGCTGAAGGCGGCGATGCCTAGAAAGACGAGAGATCCGGCGTTTAACTGCATGATGGAGTAGTAATGGGAGTAGTGGCTTGGTTTGTTGACGCGAGCTGTGAGGCAGAATAAAATGCTTTGATGATTGTAGTAGTGTAGGAGAGCTGAATGAAGAGCTTTAGTAGTAGTGATGATGATGATGATGAGGAGGAGGAGGAGGAGGAAATTGAATTATGGAAGCTGGAGAGACACGACCTTTATATTCATATTTCGAATGGAGGCAGGTAGTCCCATTGCACCTCGTCTTGACTAGGCTCGCGGTAGTTTGTCATAACGAGAACGTTTCCGCCAAGCATAGAGTAGCTTGTCGTAGGATTCCGAAACTAGTCGACTATGCCTCTTGCTCTGGCACCACTGGCGTGAATTCGATTGTCTCCGTATAGTTGGATAATCCTGCTGAGTCGTAATAGGCAATAGCTCTCGCGAGATGGGGTCCGGCTACCATGACGACGCTAACGTTGGCGTCCCTCTCACGATGGTGGCACTGTTTGTGATCAACAAAACATGGACCTTGAACAAGCATAGAATAGGAATCCATCGATATGGTATTCGTTGTAGAGTGGTGGGCCCGAGAGGTAAAAATAGCAATTAACGGACTAGTGACAATATTAATGGACCTTTATTGTATTAAATTATTAATTTCTTTTAAAATATTATTTCTTAAAAAGTACATTACGCTTTAAAATTATTTAAAATAATGGTAAAAGTAGGATTTTAAATCTATTTTAGCCCCGGATTTGCCGGATATTCCTGCCACTTAGCTATGCCACCTCAGCTATATTCCTCTTCGCCGCTGCCTTATATCCCGGGCCGTCACCATATTACGGTCGATTTGCTTAATTCAACGTCCCTCGACAGAAGTCATAGAGAAGTCATACACATGAATGAGAACATACATGCAACACCTATTTTGATTCCGTCAACAGTGAGGCGATTTTCCATGGCTCACGATTGAGTTTTTGTGGTTGAGATATTCTATAGAGTTTACCCAAACCGTCTTACACGGTCCAAGCTAGTCTATAATAGACAGAAAATGGAGATGAACTTCTATTCCTCCACGATGTAATCTTCTATTAACCTTGCTCTCGTGCTCGATATTCCTTCACGAGCGGCAATAAGGCCGGCATGTATCGAGTAGGAAGAGCTCAGGCCTTTTCTCCCTGTGAGGTGATATTGTAAGTGGGCATATCCATTCGATAGCCTCGTCGTAGCAGCTCTTCCGCCCTCTTTTTTCGCATTAGGATCTACACCTACATCAGAGCCTTACGGTGGGGGAGAGGTGGGGGGATAAGGCGAGCCATGCGAAAGGAACCGAGATTGTGGGTGACCCCCCAGCGGCGTGGAGCAGCGTGACAGTCGGCAGAGGTGAGCGACCGACTGCCTTGAAGAAAGGAGTTAGCCCCTAATGCAACTCCGCATTTAGGTCTGCGCCTTGGGCGAGGAACCATTTGATTACGTATCCGAGAGGGGGCAGGTCGAAATCCTTCAAGGGCGCGCTAATATCGAAATGCCCGTGATCGACGAAGCCTTGCCACATGGTGGTCGAGCACTTGTGCCTGCTGATAAGCTGAGACTTGTCGTAGCCAATGAGACTTTCCTGCCGATGTCGTATATACTAATGCTTGGAAGTGTGCAGCTCGAAACGCTAATCGGTATAGTAAAAAAACGTTGAATAGGGGCTTGCATAATACTATTCAAACGTTTTAAGTAGTTACTTACAAAATATATGTAAATGAATAACTATATGTAAATGATAAGTAATTATAAGTAGTAAAATACTAATCCCCCGGTTGATCATATATAAGGCCTATTGATAGACATGCCGTACCGATCTACGTTTCGAGTTACACATACACTTTCAAGCATTAAAGTGTATAGTCGGTACCCAGGACCCAGGTTAGCTTCTCTGCATACCCTAAAACCCCAGAGCCTCATCATATGCAGACTATTCTTGGTAGCCAATGGGGCGTCCCATGCTGCTAAACGACCCATTTCCAGACCTAGGTGGAGTAAATACCTAAGCCTCAGAGGTAGCGCGACCCAGTCTGATAGCATGGTAATCAGCGGGTTCGCATGGGGGCGAAGGATCCTCCATTCCGTCAAACGCATTGTCGGTGTATTCCGTACGCTTGGTCGAGCTGTACCTATTCCAGGGTGCTGGAATTTTGGCCCATGCCTGATCAGCGGCTGGATCAGCCAAGCTGGGATAAGGCTGAATACACGACCCATTGTCTTATACTAGAGCGCCAGCGCGCTCATTTTGCTGAAGTTCACCGCCGCCCTGAGTCTATAATCCTGCACATCGTTGGCGATGACGATCACTACGACTAGTGCGTCATTGACCGCCTCTGCCAGCAGCCTCCTCCCCCGTATATTCCACCTGATCCTTCTACTAGGCATTGCCATCTTAGCTTGCAACCTCTCCTAACCTCTGTAGCTTTCAAGCAAGTAGTGTGCTTAGGTATTCCACTTGATCCTTCTATCAAACCTTGCCATCCTAAATTACAATGTGTCTAAAGCCGCTGTGACTGTCTGACACCCTGTCAATTCTTTAACATGTAACTGAGATACTAAAGCATATAAGAAGTTGTTGTTATTGCTCTGTGACTTGAACATTTGCAGTCTTCAAACCAAGCCATCTATCTCATCTTGACACTGTTTTCAACTCTCCAAGGCTTTTTATATCTCTAAGCCTCTTCATCTCTCCGAGCCTCTCAACTCTTCGACGTTTGCAACCAGCAAAGCAAATCAGCTCAAAATGTTCGGTCGCTCCTATTTCACTTGCTTCGTTTCCCTCCTAGCGCTCCTAGGCCCTGCTGCGGCCGCCGAGCTCTATCGCGTGGATTTCCGCCCGCCTGTGCAGGTTAAAAATGATGGAGGTCTCCTGAGCCGTAATCCTGAAGGGGACGGCTCCGTCATTGACCACGTCAAGAATACCTTGGGGAACGAGGATCCATGGGTGTCGACCACGAGCAATTATAACATTGCCAAAGGAGGTGCCAAATCCCCTGGCAACGTCTATGTTTACTACATCGACCCATCGGGCCTCAATGCTGTCGACACTATCCAAGCGTTCAAGGATGCGGGTGAAGTGCACCCTCATCCTGGGGAGGCGGAATTTTCAGTAAAGGGCTCTATCCCTTGGGACCACATAACTAAGTGGGACACATTCAAGAGGAGCAAGAAGACCGCGACCACGACCAGGGAGGAGTTTGATCAGGGTCACGGTGGGAGTGTCAAGGCACGTTCGATCCGATCATTCGTTGCTTGAAATCAGCTGCCCTGTTGATTACAGCGCGCAACCGCCTGGGCTGCCTGTCCTAAGATGCCTACCTCACAACGCTGGATTCTTTCTCTAGATATCATGTAGCTCCGACCGTCTTGTATGCATGAAAATACTCGCTTTTCATAGAAACACTCGCTTTTAATAGAATCACTCGCTTTTCCAATGCATGTCCTAACTTTTATTTATCGCGTTCTTTGCTCTAATTTACATTTCACTTGCCGACGACATCGATCTGGAGGGTTTTAAAGTTACGTCTTGCTTCCTTAGTAACTACCTTTTGACAGTGGGTCGGTTGACCCAGGAGAAGAGGAAGATTGCGGCGCAGGAGCTGGAGACGGAGGAGAGACTTCTTGCGGTCCAGCGCGAGATCGTCCGTCTGCAGCACACTACAGAGCGAGAGCGCCTCTGTGTTAAAGGGCTCCCAGTGGCAGGTGTTTCGGACGGTTATAATTGTTACGACATTATTAGGCAGTGAGAACAGGCTACAGTATATTAGGAAAAATTGACTATCATCTCAGCTAAAAGTACCGAAAAAATAACCCTAACATGAGACAACTCCTCCATGCTCGCCGGATGGCCTTCTAAGGGGGGCGCTAGTAACCTATTCTGCATCCAGTTTTTTATAAGCACTAGGATCCCAAAACGTTGAGGACGGGTACTGGGGGAGCGTCTCAAACTTGCAGCCGAGGTGGCCTCTGGACAGAATCACAGCCTCCTTCTTGGCCTGCTCCGCGTCGCATTGCAACCCCGCCTTGTTGCCTTCCCAGGTAATGCTTTGGATCTTTGCACTCCCGCCATCATCGTTGCTTGGTTTTGGAGCAATGTGAAGTATGTAGCACTCCTCCTCTAACCAGCTTCGAATGATGTGGAGAGATATGTTGCCGTTTTCGTCCGGATCCTCGATCAGCATGTCCCATTTGTCGTCCATGCTTTGAGATTTGAACCCGACCTTGAGCTTTTCCACGTCTGCATCGCTGATCGGCAGACCCCAAGGTGCTGTAAGAGGCTCCTTCATGGGCTTTTTCGAGCCGCGCTCGTATGTTGTCGAAAGCCACTTCTTCATCTCCTCCTCATCCACATCGCTGTCCACATCCTCTTCCACGTCGGATTTGCTGTCTGTTGTCGGAAACCCCTTTGTAGGCTCCTCCTGCTCCGCATTGCTGTGCGATGCCATCCTGTAATTTGCGTTGCAGAATGTATTGGCTGTGATAAGTATTAAAAATCCAAGGATTGTGATTGTAAATTCTTACGTGCCTGTCGTTAGACGGTCACGGGAGTTGGTGGTGAATGGGTTGATTGACTTGGGTAGAGAATTTAGGAGTACTGGGAAAAGGAGAAAGAAATCGAGGTCTAGCTTCGGGGTGGCGAAGCGTGAATAAATAGAGGCTATGCGGCGGTGTTATGGCAATGATGACACGCAGCTCTACTTACAAGGCTGATATTCAGAGCACACTATTCCGTATGTCCTCAAGTGCCAGCCAGCCAGACACGGTGGAGTATCTCTCAAAATCTAAGTAGTTTGATTTGTTCAAAAAGTTTACCATCAATTCTGGTTGAACATACCCTTGAACATACCCTTGTAGGTTTACTCCACCGTGTCTAGCTGGCACTTGAGGACATACATATAAATGCATAAAACCTACAGGCACCTTGGCCGCGCCGTTATGGAAGGGTTATTAGGTCTCTTGCGTGTGCGGCATCACAGAATCCTACTAAGCATGACGTCAGTCGGATCATGTAGTGAGCACTGACCTTAATTGTCACGTGCCAGTTGTCACGGCAAATGTACATAAGCTTATTTTCTTAGCCGCCGAGAGGATTCACAAGCCTACCAATAAAGACAAAGGATAATCCACAAGGAAGGTTAATGACGTATCTATGCCTTTAAAACATCTGTTCATTAAAAGGTAGGTTATGAAGATTTGAAACTTGTCCGGCATAATGATATGTAAGTGTCTTTAAATAGACATGGCCTTGTCAGTTGCACAACTAGCTTTGCTTGAAGGATGGTGCCTAGAAATGCGGCGTTGTTGACGATCAATTCGGTGAAGAGAACCCAATAAAAAGTAATTGCAGAATTACATATGCAACTTGCCAGGCCACCCAAAGTTACCTACACAGTTAAGCATTTACTCGCCTGGTCATCAGCAGCAGGCCATGGAATATATATATGAGTCGTTGCGTATGCCTGGGTAACGATATAGATCCCAGGTGCTTCCAATTTGATCGCGGCCTTCTAGAAACGTGAAATTGACATGAGGAAGTTGGGCCTGCAAGCGATATGCACAATTGATCCCAGAGATTCCTGATCCCATAATGAGAGAGCATCGATATTTCAACCTTAGTGGATGCTGGCTGTAATTGCGCCATCTTTGACTGCTCAAAGTGAAGTATCTCTGGTTAGAAGTTGAATTGATAACTCTTTTCTCGGGGAGAGATTTGATCTAGTTATGTATGTCGGGATGCTTCTGCTATACCGCTCGATTCGTACTATGTAGCTTGATGTTGTAAGTAGAAGGGAATTATCACATGCCTGTTAGAAATATAAGGTTCAGCATAAAACAACAATCAAACGACGGAATCAAGCACCTGAGTAAGAACCACTCCCACCATTCCTAACACAGACACAGCTCATTACGACTGAAGTGAGGGGTCAACCATAAAGTCGAGAGGTCGCTTACTCAGGTATGTATTACTTGTTTGGAGAACCAATTTAAAACTTTATAACCCCCGTACTACATACAGATTTACAGTTGCATTGGATCGCCCCGCTTTCGATTTCCGATTCCAAAAGGAGTTTTCCGCCCTAGTTTTAAGTTTAGCCCTTGTAAAGCGAGATGTTTAGAAACTCCACATACGGAACACCGGGATACAAAAAAAATATTTCATCAGACCAACAAGGGTAGGATTAGCAAAAAGAATCTTGGACGAGCAGGGAGTTGAACCCTGGACTTCTCGCATGCGAAGCGAGCACTCTACCACTGAGTTACACGCCCTCAGACGGGAAAGAAAAGAAGTAGGAATATCCCCCGCTTCATCTGATTGGTTCAAAAGTTTGCAATATGCATTTATATTCTCCCATAACACTAGAACAAAGATTCCAATCATGATCATGCATCTGGAAGTTCACAACCACATAATATCTATCATGATAACTTAGATCCTTAAGTATTAACATGAATTCATGGTCTTGCTAATCGTCATATAAGTGATTCTCTACCAGCTTTGTCTAGCTAGTCGGTCCTGGAAGTGGTTTATTGGGCCAGTGTCAAGTCACAACCACGTAACCACGTAACCACGTAACCACGTTCTCCCCGAGACTCTTAATAAGTGGAAGTGGTCACAGATAGCCTGCCACCCTCAATCGTAAGAATTAAACCGTTGCAGTAAGAACCTGCTCGACTTGCAAGATATAGCAAACTTCCTCCCATGTCCTCTTCGCTACCAAACCGCCTAGATGGAATGGCACCCATTTGATCGAGAGTCTCTGAACTTGGGTCTCTTCCAGAGATGAAATCATTGGCCAGTTCGCTCGGGAATACTAGTTACGATAAGATCAGCCACCATATCCTTATTGGATAATGCAAGTATCATCTGATTGCAAGGACTTACATCCGGGCGCAAGTGCGTTCACCCTGATTTCATATTGGGCAAGATTGGTACTGGCGTGTTTGGCAAGTTGACCTATGGCGGATTTGCTTCCAGCATACGCGGGTGAGGAAAGTCTGTCACGGCTAAAACCAGACAAACTCCCTGTAACGATGGCTTGGCTGGGGATCGAAAGGACATTGCTACCTTCCTGGGCCGGGGCTCCAAAACCTCCCTTCAAGGCATTCTTGTTTCCAGCATCAAGAAGCTCTAGGAAAGCTACCAATGTAAAATATGTTGCAGTAACGTTTACATGGAACGTGTTTGTAAAATCTTCCATTGAGACTTCCTCGAACAGATTCTTTTGAAGCTGTTGAATCGTGAAGTCCGGGTTAAAGGAATTGATGGGACCTATAACTCCAGAGTTGGCTACAAGCAGATTGATGTAGCCTACGTCGTTTTTAATGAATTCAACAGCAGATTGGAGCGATGATTTAGAGGTGATGTCGCATACTATAGGGACGAAACTTGGATGGTGAGAAGCCGCACTCTCAAGAACAGCCTTTCGTCTTCCAAGTATATAGACCTTTTTCGCTCCCGCTCCTGCAAGAGCCTTGGCCATCATAAAACCAAGACCTACGACACATTAGATCGAAACAAATACTTGGTTACGAGTTTCTTACCAGTAGCACCTCCCGTAACAACAGCTATCATGCCGTCAACTCGAAATAAACTTGTAGTCTCCATGATGACGTATTTATATATGAAACAATGGTTCTTAAGACTTTAAAGTTATAAGAAGAAACGATAGCAGGTAAGAGTTGCTATAGAAAAGATATAAAGCTACACTCTCCCCGTAGACCTTATATAGAGAGAAGTAAACAGGGACATAATCGGAAATCGCTCTTGTAAGGTATCCTAAACCCCGCGCCAAGTTGCAAATCCCCATCAGCTTCTGCGAGTAAGTATGTAAGAACTCTTTCTTACCATGGGTCACTCAATACCGGGACATACCAACTATTCCAGCCGGGGCTTGCGCGGCCTTGTTTTAGGAGAGCTCGGCGCATATGCGCCGGATATTAGACATCCAACGGCACAAGCGGAGATATTCCATAAAGAAAATGATATATCAACCAACTCGCATTGCAATTATAGAGTATAACTCGGGATAGTTCCCGTAATCTCTGATTCCTGAAACACTTGTCTCGTCTTAAACCAACTTATCAAAGCGTGTAACTAAGTCAAAGACTTAAGGGAGTTTCTATATCTAGCTAAAACAACTAAGTGATGTTGACATTTGTTAACTCCTTCGAGCAACTATCTCCACTAATATCGTTGCATGCTTCGGGGCTTGGCCGAAATGCGCTTTGAACAGCAACAGTGGGGCACGGGTGAGTACCTAAACAAGCAGAAATTTGAAACTACAGTCAGTTCTATCAAGTTAAAAATGACGACAACTATATGAATAGTTCTCGCCTTGGATAGAAACATATATTATGACCTTAGTTGTTTATTTTAACCTTACCTAGGTACCTAGCTTATGAAATAGGGACAATTAAATCTACTAAGTAAAGGTAGGTTAGGTAGCTGAGCAATACTTTTGGTTATGGCACAACTGTTGAAGCCAAGCCTTCCTTATCTGTGATAGCTATTGCTCAGCCATTTACCTTCGAATGCCGAGCCTTTATATGTTTCCTATTTAAGTCGCCTTGCCTACGATGGAGCCTGGGGAAACGGTCCGAGACGTAATAACCCTGCTAAAACTTAAGCAATATAGTAGAAGTGATAGTTCGCCACTGGCTATTGCTACGAGTAATAGATCCAAGGCCAGCGGAGATAAATACTTCCCCACATAAACATAAGTCCGATGTAATGCACAACTACGAATAGGAAGTAGTCCTATTGGCTAGTATGTCTCCGGATACGATGAAAAGGGAAGTTCTGAAAATTACCTATGCGCTCATGATGCATAAGAAAGGTCACCGATGCTCTGCAGTTCTAACTTCGGTATGCAGTAAAAGATGGTAAAAGAATTATAAATCCAAACCCAAAACTTTATTAATACTTATTACGTGAGCTGAAAATAAAGATTCAAGTGTCTTGAATTAGTAACTATTAGCATTTAATACGCCACGGTAGGCTATACAATGAATCCCCGAAAATAGCTATACTTTCAAGGTGGCTAATCTCTATTATTCAAATATAAAATCACAATCCCCAAATCCGAATGCCCATCTCTATCTACCTTCCTGACCTTAGGTACCTAAAGTACCTGGTTAACATCAAACCATCGAAAAACACAGACATGCTAATAATTCCGACCAAGTTCAAATTGTGATTCTTCCCGGAATGACTATATTATTGTATTGCATATTGCTTAGTTGCATTGTAATACCATGCTCTAGTTGAGATATCCACAATAGGAGGTAGTTAGAGTCTACAAACAACATCTTTCTTATACATTGTCCTTGAATAAGATCATGCTTGGGATAATAACAGACGGAAATGCTAGTGGAAATACATCAAAATGATTTTTCTCATTAACTATTCTTCAATCTCATTTCTGATGAATTTGTCACGAGGTAGAACCAAACAGCATGGAAACAACTTCGTTGTTCCGCGAGGAACTCTAATCTAACTACGGGAGCCTATAGCTATACGTACTGAACATGTTCTTTGTCCTAGATGTCTCTTCTAGAATCCTGACAGAATTGTACTGGAAACACTTCGCTTGTTTGTTTATCATTTCGATACGATGACTTTCTTAAGCTTCCACTTGTTGTATCAACAATGTCCTAGGAAGTGTATTTAATGGTGTAGCATGGCAGTCCAAAATTCCACGATATCATTCATCTCATCACCATCATCTACTCCCCAACAGATTCACTCAAACAACACCTATCTTTTCAGCCTGACCAACCAACAACTTGTTAATCATAATACTTGACGAGGAAATCGCTCGAGATGTCTACCCAAGAGCGTAGAAAAGTATACAAAATAGAGGACGATGATGAGCTCAGCTCAGACGCCCACAGTGGTGAAGGGGAAGACTACAAAGCCATCGAACAGCTTACGCTGGCAGACGCGAAAAAGCGGAAGCACGGTGAGTTACTCGTAGCTTCAACATGGGCGGGAAATATCCGCCGGAAACTCTCCGAGATTGAGGAAATTGGTCTCGAAGAGTTGAAGGCGCAAAAACATAAAGAGATAGATAAAGCGACCAAAAAAGCAGATAACATCCGCTGGGCTCTCATTGAAGTCGAAGACTGGGGGTTAGCGATTAGAGAAGGGTTGCTGCCTGACGGAACACCACTCAAGTTCAGCAATTACTTCATCACGCACCTAAAGGGAGCCGTCGAGAAGGCCGAAGCTGCCATGGCCCTCGCTAAAATCGCGGTCAGAGCTACTCTTAATATTTCATATTTAGGACTGCTCTCTCGAACTTCATTCGCCCTTCTCGGGGTGCCATTTACGAACTTGACAGATACCTACGAAAGCCTGACGAAGGAACTCCAAAACTTGGAGAAAAGAATAAAGATGTGGAGGGAAATTGCCGACAATCGTGGTGTCCCGGTGGGCAAAGGAAAAGGCAGCGCCTACAATGTGGAAGACGATCCTATGGCAAATCCCGCGGATCCGTTCTTCGAAGCGGACGAGGAGGTTCGTGAGATTCTAAAACAAGAACTTGAGCAAACCATAAACAACGCCACAACAATTGATGGAAAGCGTGTTGACAGTAAGGCAATCCTGGATCGGTATTTCAACTATTTGAACCAGTATCGTGACAACTTCTACGCAGCCGTGGGAACGCCGGAGGAAAAGAAGACGAAGAAGCTGCTCCGGAGTAAAGAAGTCGCAGAGAGACTAGCAGAAAGACGGGAGAAAAGATTTCAGGCGGCCAAAGAGGAAAGGGTCAAGAGAAAGGCACAGCAGGAATTGAACGAAAAGAGAAAGGCGAGGACCGAGATGAGAAAGGATATCATCAGAAAGGCAGAGCTAGACCGGAAAGACTTTGAGGAGAGAAAAAGAAAGAGGGCAGCGGGGAGCGGAGAGGATTTGAGGCTTGGATTCTATACACCGCCAGTCGAAGACGGCGAGCCAGATCTGAAGCGACTTCGGGTTAAATCACCACCCGTATCGACGCCGCCGACGCCGGAAACACCGGAAATACATAGGAGGAGACCAAATCCACCAATGCCAGTAACACCACCAATGCCGGAAACACCGGTAGTACATAAAAGGACACCACCACCAACGCCACCGATGCTGAAAACACCGGAAAAGCCGACATGGGGTGTAAGACCAGTTGGGCCAGTTAGGCCGACACCATTGCCAACACCGGAATGGGTCAAGTCGCTCTTGCGTCGCGAATGAAGTCCGAATGATTTAAGTCTCTCATAGCAGCCTTGCCTGAAGTCAGGTTACAGATTTTAGTGTTGCATCGCGAGATCTAGCCAACTCATCCATACGAATTTTAGGATGTATTATCTCTTAGATCTCTAGGCAGTTGAAGTACTACCTGATACAGCTTAATTAGTTTGCCTATTTACTTTTAGTCATAAATGAAGTTATTATTTAAATGAAAATTATTTCCCCCTGAGGTGTGAAAAGATAAACAATGGCCCTTGAAGCTTTTATTAAGTCGAGTTCAATCAGAGCAAGGGTATTCCAAGAGGCTTAGTTTGAACCTTTCGGGAGCCTTATATGAATGAATGTGTTAGCCGACAATATGATAAAGAGAACAAGAACCAAGAACGAAGATGTGTGGATGTAGAGCCAGTCGTATAGTCACCTCCAATGAAAACTTAGGGGTGATTTTTCTATGGGGAACTGAGTGACCCGACCTATGCCCCGCTCCCCACCCTACCTATGCAGGGGCAGTTTATGTAAGAGACCTGACATGACCTGACCTGTGTAAAAGTTCAGTAGACCTGTGGAATAAAATTCACCTAACCTGTGGCCTCTAATTGATCAGTACTCACTGAGTACTCATTCTCTTATGGTCAACTTAGCCTTTAATTGATTAGTATTTACTGAGTACTCATTCTCCTATGGACCAACTTAGCCATTTATAATCTAATTGATCAGTACTCACTAAGTACTCACTCTTTTATGGACCAACTTAGCCATTAATCAGTACTCACTGAGTACTCACTTTTTTATAAACCAACTTAGCCATTGATCAGTACTTACTGAGTACTCATTAAGTACTTATTTTACCGATATTATTTTAATTTTTTACAGCGGCTATTATACTACTCATTAAGTACTTAATAAGTATTTTATAATGATTAGCTATCTTTTGTTGCTTAAGTCATTACCTATACAAATGAATATACCTTATAAAAATTCGCTAAATGGTAGGGGTCCATAGGTAAAATGAATTTTATTCCACAGGTCTACTGAACTTTTACACAGGTCAGGTCATGTCAGGTCTCTCTTACAAACTGCCCCTGCACAGGTTAGGTGAAGTCAGGTGGGGAGCGGGGCATAGGTCGGGTCACTCATGCTCCCTTTTTCTATGGCCTGACGAAATGTACCTAAGTAAGCGAATCCCCGATTTATCTCCGCTCGTATTGCAAGCTAAAAGGCAAACTAAGGGCTAACCGTAATATCTTGGCACCACAAGATAAACACGGCCGCGTAGTGTAGTGGTTAGGTATGTCTCCCTCAAAATACCTGCTTGTCTTGAGCTAGGTCACTAACAAAGAAATAGCACGCAGGATTTTGATTACTATCAAGATCAAGCTTTCCTGAGACCTGAGTTCAATCCTCGGCGGGGCCTATTCAACGCAATAGCGAATATTTTTTGCTACTTTCTTCATCGAGGTACACAAAATCGGCAGGCCTTTCGGTATCGGTTTATGTCAAAGGCGAAGTAGCATGTGTCTTTTTTCTTTGCGTCTTAGAGAGAAATATGATAGGTTCATTAAATGTCTTAAATTTGGTCAAAGAAATCAGAGATATCATCAGAGAAGCTATTGTGTAGGTAATTATACCCTCGATAACTCTACGATCATAGTGGGAGGTTGAAATGCTTTGTACATAATAGGGCCTCTAAGCACTTGGTTTCGAAAATGATAATAATGGGGTACATCCACCAAATTTGGCCAAGCGACGTTTTCTGACCTTGGCCTTATGAAGGTCGTTCAAGGGAGACCCATCTTAGAAGAAAAGAAGAAGCAAAGACGAATTTTGTGGTGGATGAAATGTTTGTGGAGTTTAATGATAAGCGTGACTTATGTACCTTCGTACCCTGCAAGGGCTTGAAGTTCAAGACTGTGGCTCAGCTCGGTACATAACCTGTACTTGACAATGTGGGTCAGGTGACCTGGTGTCTGCCTACGCGCCGTCATGTATGTGATGTGACAAAGAGTGGGGAAGTACGGAATCCGTAATTCTATCCTTTTTCAGGATTAGGTTCAATCATCGCGCATTGCACGTAACATCCGCGTACATCCGCGTATAGAGTCCCTCAATTTAGTGGCCGCTTGTGAGAACCGGCAAGATTATCCCAAGTTTGTCTCATCTATATATTGCATTTGCTTCTAGCAGTGTGCTGAAGCACGTTTACAAGTTCGATGATACTTATTCCGCATTAGTAATTCTGTCACGATGCCAGCGTATGTTTTTCCTTTTTACCCTCAAACGCGTCTAAGCTGACATGCGACTAGTCCGGGTGACCAGCACAACGGCATCATTAATCCCTTCGAGGAGGCCAAACCTCGAATATCCGAATACACTGCTGCAGAAATCGCGACGCTACAATCAAGGTTGGAGAAGCAGCTTGGTCCCGAATACCTTTCCGCGCGCAGTGGCCCGTCTGGCCAGAAGGTTCACTATATCGCCGCCGAGAAATGCATCGCTCTCGCCAATGAGGTCTTCGGCTTCAATGGATGGTCGTCTAGCATTCAGAATATCCAGGTTGATTTCGTCGACGAGAATCCGCAAACATTCAAGATATCTCTTGGCCTATCTGTTATCGTTCGAGTAACACTACGGGATGGTACCTACCACGAGGATATCGGGTATGGGCACATAGAGAACTGCAAGGGAAAGGCGGCGGCCTTTGAGAAGGCAAAGAAAGAGGGGACTACGGATGCCTTGAAACGTGCGTTACGGAACTTTGGCAATGTTCTTGGCAATTGTATCTACGATAAGGAGTATCTAGCCAAGGTCACAAAGATAAAGGTTGGCCCGGTCAAGTTTGACGAGGAAAACCTGCATCGTCATTCCGATTTTGCCAAGAAGGAGTCGAGTGTTGTGAAGGTGGAGCCGAAGAATACCGCGGACAAGAACGTTGAGATGACTGCGCATGGTGGGTTTGACTCCGACGGCATCGATTGGACGGACGCTGATGTTTTGGATTTGTAGTTTCAAACTTACTGGACGACGACTTCGGGGATTTTGATTTCGCCGAATTTGGCGTTACAGGCGAGGGCCACCCCGATGAGGTAGTGCTACCTGGTTCTCATGCAATGAGTTCAAATGAGAAGTCCCAAACTCTACCCACTGGTAATAGCGGTGATCGCAATACACCATCTGCAAATAATGCATCAAGGCCCATGCAGCCGCCCCCGAAGCCGGCTGCTCAACCCCCTAGACAGCCCCAAACCCCTAACCAACCACCGCAACGGCCGGGAGCCACTTTCCAAGGCCGTCCCAATCCACAACAATACCCCAGACCCGCTCCCCATATTAACAACCAAGTTCAACAAGCAACAGCTAGCAATAGAACAAGTACGCCTCCGCCGAACAGTGCGGCGCCGGCAGAAATCTCATTCTTCTCAGCTCGGTCGATCAAGAAGCTACCGGAAGACGCACCTCTAGATACTACTATCATCGCGGCACAGGGCGTAAAGCCATTCGATCCTCGCCTGGATAGTCCCTCGATTCGGAAGACGCCGGGCATCGACCACAGCTCGTCCAAGCCAGTGTCCAGGACGGGCCAGCATGTCGCCCCCCTTAAAAGAGAGCAAGAGCAACAGCGTGGTCCGGGAGGTGCTCCGGCCGGTGGCGGTTTTACGAGTGGGGGTGCATCTGGCCCTGGCAGGCCGAGTATGGGGAGCGTTGGGAATCCCGCGCTAAATCACGCGAGACAGATCGGTGCTCCGGGAAATTCAGGCAGTCCGTTAGGGAATAGAGGTCAATATCGACCGTTAACGGTGAAACGGCCGGCTCCTTCCGGGCCCGAACCTGGTAACAGGGCGCCGCTGACGGAAGTTACCTCAAACGGCTCCGTCCAGGGCGGAGGAGGTGAAGGAGTTGATCCCAAGAGACAAAAGACTTCCTAATTAGGCAGTATTTGGGTGATGTCTCGCTTGTTTGTTCGGTCGTCGTGGGTTACGATAAAGGCAAGGCAATTGTGTTCTTTATAGGTGGCAATGTTCGGCGTTTGGAGTATATCTACTGGCTCTGGCTGAAGAGCCGCATTACTAAATTCGTTAGTGCTAGTGTTGCATTCAGTTTCATGAGCTTAGACCTGTGCATTTGACCAGCATCTAATCGGTGTGGTTAGGTAAAGTAGCCTCAACTGTGTACCTCTTAAATTTGGTGAAAACACGACCTTGATTGGCTGAAAACGAAGCTTACAGTGGTATAAATAGTTGGAACGTGAGATGAATAGTATAACGAAGGAGTTGATGACGTAATCAATTACCCACCTATAAGAATGTATTTATAAGTGCCCATTACTTCGTAGACCAATTCGAATAATTCAAGAGCAAGAATATCCTACTCTACTAATCATCAACGAATATGGCCGACAATAAGCCCACGCTCCACCACTTAGAGGTTAGTTTACTAGACTATACAGTATACTACAAGTAATGAGCACCCAGATTAACAAAAACGAAACATATAGGACTCTCAATCTCATCTAATACTATGGCTACTCGAGGAAATGGGCATCGAGTACAACCTCGTACTCCATAACCGCGTAAACAAGCGCTCGCCTCCCGCCTTACACGCGCTCCACCCCCTCGGCAAATCGCCAACGCTAGTCACGCCCTCGGGCCGTCTGATCACGGAGCGCAGCGCCATCGCCCTTTGGCTCATCAACACGTACGACGCAGGCGCGCCGTTCCGACTACCCCCGCCCCCGGCCTCGTCTCCCGATGACGACGCCGTGCGCGAGGAGCAGTTGATTTCTCTAGGCGGCGCCACTCTCAACCCCCTGCTGCTCCTCAAGCTAGTATTCGGACAGCTGGTCGCGCAGACGCCTTTTTTCGTGCGCCCGTTTGTCCGCGCCATTCGCTACTTTCTTGACCGTGCTTTCTTGGAAGCGGAGTTAGTTACGGTGTTTGGGTTTCTGGACGCGCAGCTGGAGGATAAGAAAGACGATGGGGAGGATGGGAAGAGTACTACGCGCGCCTTCTTCATGGGTACAGAGGCGCCGACGCGCACGGACTTCACGCTCATGTGGTATGTCGACTGGGCGTTCCAGTCGAAGTGGGTGGATTTTGAGAAGTACCCCCGCGTCAAGGAGTGGCATGCTAGGTGCACTAGTAGGCCGGCGTGGAAGAGGGCGCTGGAGAAGGGGAATGGGTACGATGTGGGTAATTAGAGATTACGTATAAGGCTCTGTTGCGAGTCTGAGTATATGATGGAGTTAAACGCGTGGATGATGAAGTTACGAATCTCAACTCCGGCTTGGAAAGGCGTAAACTGGTGTAAAGGAATGCTTAGTACAGGATATGTGTATAGGGGTTGAATGAGGCGGGTTTGAGCAGAACAGATCCTCCGCTATACTGCACATAAAGTAATAACTACTTGCAATATAACTAGTCGATACCAAACCAAGGATACTCCAATATTAGCATCCTGTTGGAAACTTTCAGTTCAGAAAATATAATGGATAAATAAGATGATTAGCCGCAATTGACAATGCCAAGGTCGCATATACCTACCTCTCATACAACTAGGTAGTCACACAAGACTTGCTCCGACCAAACATATCACTGCTAATGAATGCATAGGCCAGAAGAAACAGGAATATATTCAAAGGTTGGTTACACCATCAGGCTATATTTTCCCATTCAAGTCGCCACTAGGAGATCTTCTAGGGGGATACATGTGCATCCAAGTTGGAGAAGGAGAAGCACACCAGCAGGCAAGCCGACAAAAAGCATTCCAGAATGATAGGTAGGTTAGGTACCTAGGTAATCATAAGATTCTATATACTCTAGTAGATAAGCCTCATGATGCTTTACCTGGTAATATTGCCATCACACCGCATAGTTCATACCACAACGCCCATTGAAAGTACCTAACGGTGCCAATCATACACTCCTATAGCTACCTAATACATAGTAAACATAGTCGAGTGGGATGAAAATTAAATTGAGTGTGTTATCGTGTGGCATTCTTCGCTGTAACACCACACGTAAAATATGCATCATTGGCTAGGTATGTATTGGCCATGGACGCCTCACCTGCTGCCAAGAACCTGGTTTAGGGGGTGGTAGTGGATAGTTCACATTCAACCAGTTGTATCATAGTATTGTACCTGCGCTAACTTTATAGTCTCCAACACGGTTTATATCTATCTTGATTGACGGCATGGGAAGATGGAAAGTAAGATCCTAATCCTCCTTGCCGCAAGCTGTTCCGCCTAGTATTACGGAAACCGGCCTCCTTCGATATAATTGCTCTTGTGAGATATTTGAAGTATACCTAGGTACTCAAGGTAGTTTCTCCAAACTATCGACATGGCATTCTTGTCAATTTTTAACATGGGCTCTCTGAGCCTAGTCGGAGTATGCGTGGGTCTCGCGTCTTTGCTTTCATTATGGTTTATTATTACAACTACCATGGCATGGTATCGCCTTCGACACATCCCCGGCCCATTCTTTGCCTCACTATCTCACCTCTGGGTAGCGAAAAGCATACTCTTCGGTACGCTCCAGAAAGACTTCAGCGGGCTCCCAAAGTACGGGCCCCTGGTACGGGTAGCGCCCAATTATATCTTGACCAGCGATCCGAAGGTCCTTCGCCAGATCGCATCAGCCCGAAGTAACTACGGTAAAGATGAGTGGTACGAGGCAGTTAGGTTGGTTCCAGGGCATGATAACATGATTACTTTACTCGAGAACCGTACGCACGACGAGCGCAAAGCAATGACTATTAAAGGGTACAACGGACGAGAGAATAACAATCTCGAACATGCTGTTGATTCTCAGATCGCCCACTTCGTAGACGTCGTCCGGCGCAAGTACCTGTCGGGGTCTCAAACTCGTCGTGTTGATCTCGCTCCTCTGGCCCGTTATTTTACTCTAGATCTAATCACGCGGCTTGCGTACGGCCAGGCATTTGGTTTCCTAGATGCCGACGGGGATCTATACGGATACACGACCCAGTTAGACAAGACGCTAAAGACGCAGAACCTTTGCCAGGAGGTTCCATTTCTTAAGCGCATCGTATTATCCCGCCCCTTCTACGCCTTATTCGGCCCAAAGCCAACTGACGAGGAGGGCCTTGGGAAGATGATGGGGTAAGTTAGAGCTGTCGATATCCCGATGGCATATCTTACATTATACATATACTAGGGTCACGCAGAAGATTATCGGGGAAAGATTCCAAGATGAGAACCCTCCGGATGATATGATGGTAAAGTTATATGTATACTCAAGTATCTATTTCTCTCACTCAGCGATAATATTAGGGGTCGTTTATCCGCCACGGAATGACAGCTCAGGAATGCGGCAGCGAAGCCATGCTCCAACTTCTAGCCGGGTCGGACACAAGTGCGATAACTATTCGTACCACGTTGATGTATATCGTGGCTACGCCTCGGGTATACTCGCAGCTTAAGACGATGATCAAGCAATGTGTGGAGCGCAACGAAGTTTCTGCCCCTATTACATACGAGGAGGCTCAAAAGCTACCCTACTTGAAGGTATACATACATAGTTAATTTCATTTGGTTATGCCCAGAATATCATACAAGTCTGATCCAATCATTTAATAGGCAGTCATCCTAGAAGGCATTCGAATACGAAGCCCCGTGCCATACGGGCATTGTAAGCATAGACTATGATGTCCAGCACAAGTTACTAGGTTAACGCCCGACAGTCAAGAAAACTCCACCGGAAGGGGATACGATCAACGGGATTTTCATTCCTGGCGGTACTGCGATTGGCCACAACTCCCTAGCCATGACTCGCAGCGAGGCCATCTTCGGCGAAGACGTCGAGGTGTTCCGACCAGAGCGTTTCCTCGAGTGCGACGAAAAAACCAAGGACGAAAGAGCGTCTACAATAGACATCATCTTCGGCAACGGCCGGTGGATGTGTGCTGGGAAGCCCATCGTTATGATGGAGCTCCACAAGGTTTTCTTCGAGGTTAGAGAAAGAGAACTTTCTTATACTTGTTGTGTCTTATTCCTACCTCTCTGTGATGTGTTGGGTACCTACCTACTTAGCATGCGCTGACCATCTTCACGCCAGTTTCTACGCGTATTCGATTTCCAGTTGATCAATCCCGCCAAAGGCTGGGATGAAAAAATCTACTTCTTACCTTTCCAGAAAAACATGTGGGTGGTAATCACAGAGGCCAAGACAAACGAATGAGTCGTTGTCATATCACTTCTAGGTAAGGCGTTGAGAAGAGTGTGTTAAGAAACAAGGGATTTCGATTTTGAATTACCATTATGAACTCTCAATTCGCTCCGGTTCTCCTATCTTAATATGTAGGTATTTATTATGCATAATTTCAATAGGAGGAGAGGCGACCCTATCAAGAGAGAATAAGGACACTTGAAAGGATAGCGGTTAGGTAACAAGTCAACATAAGGAGGGCGTGGCCGGTACGAAATTAAACCAAATAGGGGCTTTAACCACATAGCATAACGCGCACCCCTTACCAAAATAATGAAACAGTAATGGCGCGAAAGTTGTTCTGATATGCATATACATTTATTACTCTTCCATGTATCTATAACTAAGCACTCTATGTCCTTTCGATGTACCTCATGTAACAAACACATAAGCCACCAAGTCCATTATCATTATCAATCAATCTCTATCGTACATTATTATCTTCCAGCGTCGGTTTCTCTGGGGTGGTATTTCCCTGCCTCTAATCATGGTATATCCTCCGAGCCCTCACACTTCTATCATTATTAAAGTATTTCTATGCCAAGAGAGCAAGTAACAGCTGCTAAGAAAGCGGACAAGGACTGATGAGGCCGCTACTGGCACGGCACAATCCACGCGCCGACACCGTTTTGGAATTGGGCGGACTGGCCGACGCCCGCTTGGAGGAATTCAAGAGAGAACCCCCTAACACTGCTGACGTGCCAGCTCATCTTCCGCGACTCGCCGTAGCCGGCCTCCTGCCCGCACTCGAAAGTGCCGATCGTAGTGTTCTCCCCGGGGAACACTTGGTGCAACTCTGTGCTGTTCCACGTGGCGTTGCCGTCGTCGTCCACAAGGTGGAACGTCATACCAGAGTTGGATAGGACCTCCTGCTCCAGACCGCTAAAGCTATAGCAGGGATAACCCTTTGGGAGGGAAGTACAGACCGGCATGCGGAATTGCAGAGCACATAGCGAGGACTTTCCTGCGCTGTTGGCGGGAGGGAAAGTATTCGGGATTACGTAGTCGAACATCGTGCTGTAGTTTCGGCTGATTACGACTTCGGCTGAGGTATCATTGCTTCCACTTGGGACGGACGAGTTACCATGTAGTTGGTAGGGTGCAAGTGAGGGTGCTGATGGATCTATGGTGCATGTTTGAGGCGATGATTGGCGTCGTAACGGCCGGGTTGGGCGTATTATCTGGCGTGGTGTCTTGGATCGTATTGAGAGGGTAGAGTTGCTAGCAGTAGCAGAGCAAGCAGCCGTCTCATCGACGAGCGCTAATACAACTGGTACACATCCTGTCTTATCGGCCTTGTCCGAGGAATAGATGTCGTAGCTCTCGGAGTCAATAGGACATGCGTAGAAAACTCCAGAACTATTATCATATGTAAGATGTGACTTCCCATCTGCCTTTGGGGGTGCGATATCGAATGCTGTGGTCCCGACGGCGCCTTGATAGCACTCGAATTGATAGTCTGGTGCTCTCATGAAGCAATTATGTCCTAGACTATCTTGTATGGTTTTGGTCGTCTTGTCCAAACAGAATCCGCCCTGCTGAAAAGTACCGCCAAGAAGCAAGTCGCCGACATGGTCCTCTAGAACAGTCTCGTTGACCATTCCCACCGAGGCGAGCTGGAAGCAGCAGCCATCATTGCCTTGCCTTGGTCGCAGGGCAGCGCCGGCAGCTGTTGTAAATAGCAAGGTTTGAACGAATGAAATCATTATTTCTGATATTGATGGTGTGTAGGTTGAACGAGTGTAGACGTTAAATTGTCGTGAAGTGCGATCCCTTTTCTGCAAAAAAGAGTGGCTCGTACACAGCCGATCAAGGGTTGATGATAGGTTCCACAGGCGAGCGGGTATGACGAAGATGACGTCTCTAGGGCGATTGGGAAATTGGGATAATCCGCAGACGTAAGAAGGTTAAAATAACTTTTCCGCCTTTACGAAGACGACCGGCAGAATAGAAGTAAGAGAATTTGTGGAATGTTCTTGGACGCATCCAGCCTTTTTCTAACTTTGGCTGGGTTTATGGTTAAACGATAGAAAGGAGGCTGAGCCCTGGGCTGACTGCACAATGCCTTTATTCAATACAATGCAGACAAATGATCAAACTTACATAACTTTTTATTATTAAAAAAGCCCCCTAGATGTATGGTGCAGATACATAAAATTTTTAGTAGGACACTAGATCTTGTAAAACGTTTCACACCGATTGTACTTTGTGCGACTGTAAGAGGGACGCGTATCGAGGAAGAGTACCTACATACCTAGGTACATTGAAGCTAAGACAGGTAACACTAACACAAGCTACCTCCTATGTACCTATTCTTTGTGCTATAAGCCATTCTAAAGCTGCGCTAATGACTGCCCGTGGCTGAACTGTTTAGATGTTCCTATAAAATAGAATTGTGCAACTTTAAAGTTTTAACATGTGTACGAACTTTAGCTTGTACCCAGAGTTATCAGACGAATAGATTTTAAAGGGGTTCGTTTGGTCGCGACTGTAGCTTGCATAACAACGAAGATTGGCGGCATGTTCAAATTCCATGATTCCATGATTCCCTACTATTCGTCATATCATCGTTAAATAGGTACCTAAACTACCATAACTTGACAATTATATTGTTAAGCACAATGCACCATTCTCCTAAGCTCGGGGTATCAGGTCCGTTGAGGATCGTAGCCGTGAAGCCATATTCTAAGACAAAAATACCCCTCTGGGTGAGCCTATACGCCGCGTCCGAACTATCAAGGTATTATGCCCAAACGCCTAGACCCTCGCCTGAAAACCGTGCGGCATCTAAGGAAAAGCTCATAGCTCGTCCGTCTCGTCATCGTCCGAGACCCAAATAGACATAGACGCTCTCTTGCTCTTCGCTGGCGAGTCCTCCCTCTTGACTCTCTTTACATCTGCGGTAAGAGGGGTAGCCTCTTTTATTTCCCGCTTCATAACTGGCGTACTCGGCTTAACCTCCTCGATCTTGACGTCTTTCCTATCCTTATCATCCTTGGCATCTTCCAGGGCGGGTTTAATATCCTCAGTTTTCACGTCAACCATCTCGATATCATTTTTTACTCCAGTTTCCTCCTTCGGCTCTGCATTCTCTTCGACAACTTCGCCTAGCTCCTTCAGTTTCTCGCCGCGCCTTTTGTAAAACAGTTCTAAGCAATTCCGCCGTTCCTTCTGCGTCATGCTTTCGACTGCTAATGCGAACTCCGTCACACTGGGAAACCCAAACATCTTCGCCATCGTACAGAATTGGCGCTGTCTAACTTCTACCGGAGGGTTGTATTCATACTCGAACGATTGCTGGGCAGCCGAGAGCCCCTGGCTATCGAAGAAGAGGGTACAGTCTGGGTCTTGGCTTGCGGCCAGCTCTGCCTGTCGGGACAATTCGTCTTCCACTTTAGATGAGCCGACAACTTCAGAGTTCTCGTGAGTATATTCGACGCCCTCGGAGGCGAGGATTGCTTGAATGGGATCGAAATGTTTGGGCTTATGCGTTCCTGCTGATTTCAAGATGCCATCTTTGTTATCATCCCTAGTAAATAGAGTAGATAGCTGCTTGAGACCTCCAGTCTCGTCATCATCAGCGTTTTCTTCTTTCTTGACGAACTGATCTTCCTCAGCATCTCTAGCCGCTTTTTCTATATCGATATCTATCAGTTTGACGCCCGCCTTTGCTTCGGCAATGTTTGTCTTATTGACAATATCTCGGAGGACGACTTGATCACCATGGTATGTTAACAGATTACGGATTCCGAAGATCTCTCCCTTTCGTTCCGTATCCTGTTGAACTCCTTTGAAATAGCGGCGTTCATTGGAAGCATTGTATCCAATATTAGCCTGCTGTTGCTTGTAGATCTGCCTTGCGTAGGTGATCTCCTCGATGGTACCTGCAGAGACGAGACGGTAGACTTCAACATCACGAACTTGGCCTATACGATAAGCCCGATCTTGTGCCTGGAGGTCGTATGAAGGGTTCCAATGTGGATCCATTATGACGACCTTGTTGGCTGATGTGATGTTGAGCCCAACGCCGCCAGCTTTGGTGGAAATTAAAAATACAAACTGGTTAGGGTCAGAATTGAAGTTATCAACCACTTGTTGGCGTTCTTCGTAGCTCAATGACCCATCTAGATAGCTAAGGTTGTAACTCGTATTATTGAATAAGTTCTGCAGTATCTTCAGCAATCGAACACTGTGTGAGAAGACCAGCACTTTGTCGCCACTACTATGCCAGAGCTTCAGGAGTTTCCGAAGGACCTTCCACTTTCCACAATACTCAGGATTAGCCAAGTTGAGTAGGGAGTCTCGACTAGCATAATGTTCCTTCCAGGTTTGAGGCACAGCAGCTTGGAGAAATCGGAGTTCTCGTCTGTGTTTTTCCATAACGTCTGAAGTCTGCGGAATGAGGAGGTTGAAATGATTAGACAACTTCTGCATCGATATCATGATAGGGAAAATTAGTGACTTCCACGATTCCCCTTCAGCAGTGGCTTTGAAACAGCACCATCCTCGCTTGTCTCCCGAGCCGCATGGACAGATATCAAACGCAGACCGGACGAAGCTGACAATCTCACTATCAAGTAAGCTCGCATAAGCCTCGCGCTGTAGGCTGGAAAGTGGACAGAACACTACTCGGTCACTTTTTTTGGGGAGCTGGTGGGCGATTAGGCTCTTCATTCGACGAAGGAAAAATCGAGGAAGGAGGTTGAAGCGAAGCTTCTTGGCTGTCTTCCGAGCTTCGCTTAGTTGATGTAGAGTGGCGTCATGAGATTGACCAACAGTCAATGGCTTTGAGATCGTATTCCTCCATTCTCCTAGAGTCCCAAACTGTCCAGGATTTGTCCAGTTTAGAAGTGTCCAAAGCTCTTCGTACTTGTTCTGGATCGCCGTCCCCGTCAAGCCAATCCTACAGAGAGCATTGACCTGGTTCATTGCCTGCGTAATTCCAGCAGCAATATCCTTTATCGAGTGGCATTCGTCAGCTACAACAACATCCCAGGGTATCCTGTTGACCTGATCACGGCTGTTCTTGTATGTAGTGTAGGTGGTGATCATGATTTCTAGCCTTCCCGCCCTAGCAGCGCCGAGGACATCATCCCTGCCTGCTCCATGATACAAATCAACTTCCCACCATCCCCATCTGTCTAATTCATTCTTCCAATTCTGAATTAGCGATCCAGGGCATATTATTAAGGCACGGGGGTACCAATCGTCCTTCGCGCGTCGGAACTTCCTCATCCTTTTCGCATCACGACGGTCACCAGTCTTGCCGAACATGGCAGTGAGAAAGGCAGCGACCTGGACAGTTTTTCCTAAACCCATATCATCACCGAGGATCCCGCCTTTCTGATAGACGAAGAGATAGTGAAGAAACTTGACTCCATCAATTTGATAATCCCGAAGATACTGTGCGATGGAAGCTGGGATAATGCCCGCCGAATGTTCAAGGACGATATCTTTATAGGCACGGCATGGCTTGATGCCGCTCTTCTCGTCGAATTGCGGCTTCTCCTCCAAGTCGGCTAACCTTTCATCATCGGAAAAGTAGACATCTGAATAGTCTGGGGGTAATCGTAATCCACCTTCACGTAAAGTTTCACGAGTCTGATCAAACTGGTTTCGGCGATCTCGTATGTACTGGGGTAGTGAATCCTCGGGAGCATCTGAGTCTGAAGATGACACACTATCGTCGTTCTGCAATGAAGCGATCTTCTCCGATCTACCAGATTTACGGGGACGACCTCTCGTAGTAGCTTTCTTCTTACCTTTCACTGGCGATGCTCCCCGGCTATTCTTCTTCTTTCGCTTCTTAGGTTTTTCATGGGCGCCGTCTGATTCATCACTCCATTCAACCTTACTATCTAGAACATCCGGGAGTTTGCGCTTGTTTGATGCCTCTAGTTTGGCAGAGGCCGTCAAGGGCGGCTTAGGCGGCGAATCTGAAGACTCGGTCGTATCATCATCTGAAATGACGATGGAAGCATGAGGCCGGGCCATGATTTTCTTGCATTATCAGGTAGCTGAGGTATGTGTAAGTCATTCTGAGCTGAACTTGCACTAAAATTAATGGATTTATCAGGTACCTAAGTTAGGAAAATCTAGTTAAATGGAAATAAAGAAAGGTAGAAACGCGCGACCGCGATTGCCTTTAGTGTATGACGAAAGAAAGTGGGGCTTAATGGGGGTTATTAACTTCCCACGCGCAGGCACGTGCTCAGCATTATAGCTGTTCTTATGGTATCCTAATAATTCTCCGATTAAGAACCTTTAATGTTGGTTATTAAGTAGCTTAGTAAGTATCTACCTACCTGTTCATTTGACTTAGCTTCTTTGGAAATTCTCCAGAGACATAATTGATATTATAATGGTTACTGTATACTATATAATTAGTTGTATAAATAACGAACGCAGAGGTCCCTGCCACAAAATAAAGACATGATAGGTATTTACCACTAATCGAAAATAGCATCATTTATAATTCCCCTTTACAGTAATCAATACACTAAGCTATAAACAAGAACATAGAGTGCAATAGTAGGCTTATGCAGAATGAGCAGGGAAACACGATTCTGAACCCAATTGATATAAAAAGACTACCAATATCTATTTCATAGTACCCCCAGACGCCACGCCGTGGAAATGCATACACCCTCACCCTAAATTACAACAGCTCGAAGTCGTCCAGCTTGTCGCGGTACTTCATAATGTTGCGCTTGATCTTGCTGCCGACAGCCCATGTCACAAAGTCCTCCAGGTTCCGCGTGACGAAGAAAGCAGGGTCGGTAATAGTCTCAACGCCCACCCGGACGTGGCCCTGCTCGATGAGCTTCGTAGCCGCCTGCACGGTCTCCGCCATTCTCAGGCGCGTCATGACCACCGGTAATCTCCTGCGCGCCATGGCCGAGACGGTGACGCCGTGCTCGACGTTCGAGAGCTTCGAGGCCGACGATAGGATTCCCATGTCGTAGAGCTTGTTTAGGAGAAGCTCCTCGTGTTTCCTCCTCACGGGGTTCTCTGGCGGTAATAAGCTGAGGCGATGTGCTAGTTGGCGCAGAGACTATTGGTGAAAAGTGTTAGATCATGTAATTTCCTTACTGCGCTATCTGACTGCTCAGAATACTTACACCGCATATCCTGTTATATCTGTGGTAATCTTCGGGCTTTTGGATCATGTACCGTCGTATAACAGCCGCCTGTCAAGAGCGCATAAGTTAGCAAAATTATTGATTTAATAATAGATATATAGGAGGCACAAACATCTCTGTGGTCATTATCCTGTTTCCAGGTAATAAAATCTGTCTTCCTGAGCAGGCGCTGCTCGTGGTGCTTGAGTTTTCGGACCATGATGTCTACTGGTCACTTAGAAGATCTACAGGATTGTTTGTATATAAAAGGTCTGGAGTTGATGAGGCTCGACTTTTTTTTAATCGTAACTTTTCGCGCCCCACATTGAAGATCCGATAAGAGCTTGAACCCTTGCAGCATTTTACGACCTTGCGGGGTGCATTGACAGGGGGGTATGAATAAGTACCTAAGTACCACCTGGAGGGACATGCAGCTGGAATAATTATTTAGCCGACTAAATTTCTATGTGTGCTCCATTGAATTGGGTTGGATATTCCATCATCCCATTGCGATTGCGTACCTACCTCCTAAGGTATCTGATAGAATATCATTGAAGGGTTACTCTCGAATTCCGAGGCCTAGATTAATAAATCTATCAGTCAACCCACCCAAGATGCCTCCACGAATACCCCTCCTCGCCGCCCTACGGCAACCCTCCACTCTCTTCAAATCCCAAACCGCCAACATATCAAGCACCAGCCCACGTAAAATCAGTAAGTCGCCAACCGACCCCCAAGCCACCACATCGTACCGCACCACCGCTACTAACCCAACCCTTCCAACCTAGTCCACAGAAACGTCCCCAGCGTAACCTCCAACCTCCTCGACATCGACGACCCCACCTCCAACGACCCCACCAGCGTCGCCGCCGACATCTACGACAGCCTACGACACACTGTCGCGCGGCGCGTAGCCCTCGAGGAGGAGCTGCGCCAGAACAACAAGGTCGAGGAGTACATGCGACAGCTACCCCGCCGCTGGCGCACCGGCGACGTCTACGCCCCGCACGACTTGAGCTCCGCCGAGATGACCAAGTGGCGCCGCACACAGGCCCGCAAGAAGGACCTCGTCGATATCCTCGGTCTACGGCCGCTGGATATGTATCGCGTACGTTACACACCTTAAAAGGATTTTAAGAGGGGAGAAGAGCAGAAGAAGATGAATCCTATACGTCTAGGTCTGTGTATAGGTGCATAGATAATTACTAACAAGAACCCCCGTAGAACTTCTCCGTCATATCAGAATACATGACACCGCATGGGCGGATAAAGCGCGCAGTAGACACGGGATTACGGCCGGCGAACCAGCGGAAGATGGCCAAGGCCGTACGGCGGGCCATCGGCCTGGGCATCCATCCCAGCGTGCACCACCACCCGGAGATTCTGATCCGGGAGAACACCAGATACTACGAGCAGGTCTCCGCGACAGTCAACAGAAACGTCAGGTCTTAAGGTTAATAGCTGGTTGGGTAGATGATGGGTGGGTGAATTGTACAACAACATAACATCTCCGTGTCTTTCAACGCTTATTCGTCTATATAAAGCGAGGGTCCCCCCGTGAGGGCAACCACAAAAGCCCGACTTTTAGCAAAGCTCGTGCTTATGTCATCCCTTATGTCATCCCCTTATGTCATTCTTCCGAAATTTAGCCGCTCATTCCACTAAGGTCACGTGCCGCCACGCCGGGCCGCGCGGGGGGGGGCGCTCGGCCCTCGCTTCGCGAGGGCCTCGCACCCCCCCCCTCGCGCGGCCCGGCAGCGGCGGCACAATGCTCTAGCTACTTTAGGCTATCCTCTCTCGTAGTATTTCCTTATTCGTGTAAAAAGAAAAGAATATAAAAAAGAACGTGTGGGATTCGAACCCGGCTTCCTGTATAAGTCATGTGGTGTTGTCCCGAAATGGTTTAGTTTTGCACTAAGAACATGTGACCTGTATATGGGCCTTGTATTGGCATATGGCCACCTAATGTGATTGGTTAAATTTTTAGCCTAAACCTGGTGCACAGGCCACCTTTTTCCCCAATCCTCTTATCTCTCTTATCAATAGCCTTTCTTATCAAAGGCCTTATCTCTCTTATCAAAGGTACGTACCGCCCAAAATATCCGCATTAAAATTAGCTCAACGCTAGTCATGCAGCTAAAGCTTTAGCTTTATATCTCGACCAATGAAAAGCCTGGGATCCAGACGCTAGTGTGGTGCACAGACGAATTGCCTAATTAAGAAATACCCTGGCCAAACACAATAACCCTCCTAAAAGTCGGGCACAAAGAGACGGCAGAGGAGGCTATCTACCTATGTAGATAGATGTACGAGTAGTGTTGTACAAGATCAATCCATATACATCATGCCTTCCACGGCCGTGGGCGGATCTTAAATACCGGGAGGCCTTCGCTGTTTTGCTTCTTGGCGTACTTTTTCTTCAGTTCATCCCACACTTGCGGGTAGGATTCTTTTGCCCATTCTTCGAACTGGTCTTTCATCTCTTGCGACGGTAAAACATTGAAAACGGTGCCAAGGCTAGGGAAATGTCAGCTATGTATTAATATATGGCAATATTTGATGTCCGTATACTAACTTATGAAAGTTGGGCTCCTTTCCAACGACATTATCCATATCCTCCAGCAGCATCTTAGCAATTGTAAGGTGGCCATGCGCAGCCGTCGTAGCTACGTATGCTAGGTATACTCTGTCTGGCACTTCGATATCCATTCTTTTTATCTTTTCCCATAGCTCATTTGCGAGGCTATCGCCATCGGGTGTGATCTCATAAGTCCTAAACACAATTTCGAGTGTGGCATAGGATGGCCCGTCGGGAGACGCAGCGATCTCCGTCCAGAAATCAAGCGCTCGATAGGGTAAGTCGCATGCTGTATATCCAATCATGAGTGCATTATATAGGCGCGTGCTAGCCTGGATCGTCGTGTCCATTTTCAGCATGTTGTGGACTGTTTTTAGACTCTCTTCGTCTGGGCATTTGCCAATGCCTTCCATGAAGCGGACGTATGTCCCTAGAGTTGGTTGGAGTTGCCGGTTTGCATGGGAATGCATATGCCCAAATACGTGCGCTGCCATGTCCGCGCGACGCTTATCAAAGAAGATACCCATGATAGCTTCTCGATCTTCGGCTTCGAGTTCGGGGAAGAATTGCCGTAATAATGCGTATGCATCCCAGACACGAGCTGTACTATTCTTCTCGTCTAAACAATATTGCACGAAGGCCTTCCGAACCATAGAGCGTTCGGCAATACTATAGTGAACAGTATGAAGTGATAGGGTGTCTATTACTTCATATGTCTCGTCATTCTTTAGGAATGCCATACAAATAGAAACCACCGTTTCGGGCTCCAGCGTAACACGTCGTTGCTCGAGGTAACTAGTGACGTCCAGAACGCGCTCATGGTTGGGTTCCGGTACAGAGCACATGGCACGAATAAAAAAGTTCAGGACTGAGACTTCTTTATCCTTAGTTGTCTCCTCGAGGTCTCGGAGGGACTGGTAGGCCGCGAAAGCACCGTCGAGGTCGTTCGCGTGGATACGATACTCAAGCTGAAGCATATAAGTCTTATAGTTTAGTTCGAACCCCAGCTTATCAGCTAACGCGATGAAACGTTCGGCCAGATACGGATCATTCTTGTCAATGGCGGTCTTAATAAGTCCATTTATCGTCCCTATATTAGGTTGTGAACTAGGCTTGTCTCGCGTGTGTTTGGTAGCAACTGCAAGCATATGCTCGATATGATCAATTCCCTTCCCAAGTAATAAAATCGCCCACTGGTAAGATGTATCCCAACAGGGCTTGTTGGTACGTAGCTTTGGAGACTCTAAGCTTGAGATGAGGTCTTGGTAAATCCCTAGCGCCCATTCTTGCTGATTATTGCGAAGGGCAAACTTGAGTATCTCATAGTATGTCGCAGGAGCCGGAGGGAGATTCCTACCGATTGGCTTATTGAACCAGTATTTTGTTTCTCCAATCTTGTTTCTCTGCGCGAAAAATGTGGTCATGATGCTGTGGAGCGTTGGGTCGTATTCAAGACCATTTCGATTTACCTGCGAAACGAGGTCTAGGAGTTCTGGTTCTCGACCCTCTTTAGCCAGACCTCGAATCACAGGTATAAACTGTCTTAGCAGGACATCACTAGGTTCTCTATTCCTCATTCTAGAGTAGTAACCCAACACTAAGTCTCTCGCCTCGAGAGCTTGTCCATATTGTGACAGGGCTGTCGACAAGGCATAAAAGTCTTTGGCCTGGTGGGCGCTCCTCCGCTTTAAATCTGCATAGATTTCCCTGGAAAGCTCAAGGTGACTTGCATAATCGTCTCTCGGCGGTTTTAGTAAGCAATCCCTGGCCGTCCGAAGGTCATCTTCAGATAGCTGCATATCTTCATCTTTGGTAAATAGGGTACGAAGATGTAACAGCACCCGGTGAGCACACAAGGCCTGCGTCGAGTTCACTACCCGGCCGTATCGTGCCTTATATTCAAATAGTTCCCGCCATGCTCTAACTAACTCATCCGGCATAGGAGGTCGAATACTACTTTTCTCTGCGGCTTGAAATTGGAGTAGGGTTTCGTACCCTGGTTCGGCGTCCAGTTCCTTCAACGTCCGCGGGGCTTTTTGAAATAATTTTAAGAATGTTCTCCTCTGAGCCGTCCTTGCAACTCTATACCTCGCAGGATATATACGGAATGCCGGTCTCGAGGAGATAAAACAAGGAGGGAGAGCGACGGGTGCCTCGCTCGCAAGGATGCGTCGCAAGACATGGCGGGTCAATTGCGACCGCATAATGGGAGGTAGACTATGTATACCGGCTACTACATGATCATTAGCGACTAGGTAACTTTGATTGTCGCCAGTATTTTTGTTCGACTCGCCTGTGCATGGCTAAAGCTGTTAACGGTCGCTCGATAAGAAGATGGCGTGGGATGTGGCGGATGCGATATATCTAAAGCTTCTGAAAAATTGGTTGGAGCTCCCGCGCGTCATCCTCCGTTAACAAGCAGAACCTTGTACCTACAACACGGCGGACCGGTGAATTGGAGCATTCCCCTCCGATAATTCCGCTCCAGCCGGCGAACCTTAAGCAAGGCAGCTGCCAATTTCAATCCGCCAGTTGGACACTTATAATTTCTACGGCCGCAATACAAATTCAATCCTTTAATTTTCAGACATATCAACAATGAAGAAGAAAAAACCGACTTGGCTTAAACGATACTTATCACTTAATTAACAGTCGTACCATGACATATCAAGATCAATCCATGCCCTTCTTTTAAAAGTTCATAACGAAGACGTCTTAACTGGTTTAATATGTCTATACTCTTTATTTTATACGAAGTATAAATTACCTCACCCATCCATATGGCTTATAGCCCTTCCCAAAAGCTAATTTCTTCCCTTCGGATTATTGAAAAGTCTTTAAAAAAAAAAACCACACTAACCACCTAGGTACCTAATCTAATATATACCGAGAATTCATCCCAAATATAATCGACGAGATGGTGCCCTTCCCATGTGAGGAACCTGTCACGACCACGTGGGATGTGAGCGCCTTGCTAAAAGAAAAGCTATTTACCTACATAAGGCCAAGCACGTCCATTCCTCGGGCCAGGCAGAGGTCCCAATCTCTAATCTCTACGGAAGCTCGAAAACGAATAGTGGCTAGGTAATTAAGCTTAATACTAAATTAGCTTGAGTCGAATAAGACTATAAGACTATACGGATATTTAGATTAGTCGGCTTATAGTCTAAGACACCGGCTCGCTTACCCCTGACTTCGTAGTCGCTTTCCCATCCGTCCCCAGATCGTAAGGATCAGTTCATGATATCCTTCAATAAGACCTATAGTCACTACCCATAAGCTTAGTCTTTTCTCTTTCAATATGCACACTCTCCTTTTGTAGTATTGAGATTTTTATTTCTTCGTTGAAGTTCGAGGTTCTTGGCATTTCTATCATACGCTCGTTTATCTTTAATAGATCGTCATTCATTATTCCATATTTAACCCTTAGAAATGCGCGCCTTTTCTTTTATTGCGGCGGTGGCTCTTCTAGCCCGTGTTAGTTGGTCCTGGGCTGAAAACCTGGATTATCCTAGTAGACAGGGCACAGGGCATCTGAAAAGACCAATGCATCTCCTGACCTAGGTTCATGGTGATAGTTAACGGCACGGGCTTAGGTATTGGTATAGAGGCAAAGGAGAAGGAACTCCTTAGATTGGCCCTATAATTTATAGAGAGTAACATTGGAAAATACCTGAAATAAAATTCGTACCTAGTACGATTGATAGGATATCTGCACGCGTTATGGTTCTCGGACATCTCATTTCTTATCTACCGCGACATTGTCCGTGACATCTCCAAAAACTTCTAAGGCGTGGCCGAAATACTCTAACTGGCCTTTCAAACGAAGAGTCATACCCTGGCCCAAGGGAAGGAGCCGTTCAGCTTCGCGGCCCTTTCCGGCACCTTCGCCAACAACGACTTCGTATAGAGCCTTCATTGCCCTGTCTTTATCGCCATTTGGTTGTAGTTTACCACTGGACACTACAATGATAAAGTTAGTATTGTAATCAGTCTTTATATAATAAAAGGGGGAGGGTCAAGGCTTCTTTGGACTACACATAGTCGCTAATCGATTCCATTAGGAAGCTTTAGGACCCAAGACGGATTAAGGAGGATATCTTCAAATGTTACATACTAATCTGAATCATTTGCTCTGCCACCGAGCCCTTATAGTCGTCTGGAAGAGGATTCTTGCCGACGATAGTAGCGTTGGCAAAATTTGTATTGAAAGTCCCAAGGGTAACGGTTAGAGTGCGAATTCCAAACGGGGCAACCTCCTTCGCAAGGACTTTGGATATTCCTAGGCCACTATCATTAGCGTATATTGCGGATGAAAATATTCGACTTGGTATGCCTTACCATCGAGCGCAGCCTTGGCTCCAGCATAGGGTCCCATGCTATCTCTTCCGTCCAGAGCCGCGCCGCTGCTGATATTGACGATGACGCCGTATCTGCGCCTACGCATGTGAGGTAGAACAGCGCGAGTGAGCCTGACAGGGCCGAAGTACAACGTTTCCATCAGAGCTCGTACCTCCTCTTCGGCGGCCGTTTCCACGGGAGCATAGATACAGTACCCAGCGTTATTCACCAGAACATCGATTTCAGTTCCAGAAGCCTCCAGAGATTCACTACAATGCGAAATCAGTAACTACCCCCTAAAATAATCGCCAAGGGTGTTATAGCCTTGCCTAAAGAGGCGGCTCAGGGGTGAAAAGGAGAAAAGACTTGAACAGCGATAGGGGTCACTTACATGATCTGGCCACTGTTTCGGTCATCAACGTCAAGTTGAATAAACTGGCTGTCGTTGCTACGAGCGTTGATCTCGGCTGCAAGCTCGGGGTTACGAGAAGGGTTGCGGGACGTCGCTATCAGCTTGTGACCACCAGCTAGGACTAGGCGGCAGAGAGATTCACCGAAGCCTGATGTAGCTCCAGTGACGAGCCAGGTTAGAGGACGGTTTGGCTTGGTGAAAGTGGACATTGTAACTGTAACCCGGGTTTTATAATGAAGTATACTGCCTGCGATTCTCAGTGCTTTGATTCTAGATCGATATAGTCCTGGGGAAAGATCGAAACTTGATAGGGGGAGTCAGGAGGGTTATATACGGGGATAACTAAGGGGCCGTATTGATATTAGATCCGAGTAACAACGATATAGCCGTTCATAGAGTCGAAAATATCGGTTCTTCGCGTCTTCGCTGCCCGGCCAATAGCGACCTACGAAGGACATAAGAGTTTACCATGGTGTCGTCCGTTTCGCATGAAAATATATATTTCGTTGGACTTAAGTTTAAATCCGGAATGATGAAGCGGGTTAAGATCAAAACGATACGGCCCCATATTTCGTCTGGCATCAAGTAATTATTTATCCCGCCTTATCTAAATATCACCAAAGCCATGTAAGGGTCTAACAATTTTACATTGGTGAAGAATACGATACCATACCACACTCGTCACAATTATTAAGCTTGCATTTAACATGTCATATGGCCCCTTCTTAAAGAGGTGTATTATATAAACTTGTCTCGTTATATACTTTGATGGTACGCGTATATATGATTCCAGTCTATTGTTAGGGATACCTGCATTACCATTGACTAGTCCTATAAGGCTGTCTACTATAAACCTGTTATTGCGGCTGTTTAGTACCCCGTACGAACCGTAACCCCCACGGCTTATACCTGAACTAGAAAGGGTCGACTGCGGGTGCAATTCGATAAAGAGTATTACGAATATTTCATAGTTTTAGAGCGATGTTTGTGAGAGGAGACGCTCCTGACACATATAGAAGAGTACTTAGTAGGAGCCAGGCAATTCAATACTAAGAGATATATAGTTAAATGTGGCTGGTACCTTGGTGGTCTAGCTTTAATACTTGCTTGGTTGCCAAGCTAGAAGTACACGAATGAAATAAAACAAGAGGGAGAAATCCGACGCGGTAACAGTTCTATCCGTAAAAATAGCATTCCCTATGCGAGTCATCCTTACCCCTGAATCGTGTAAGCAGAGAGAATTTTAAACCACTTCATGCCTAAGGTGCCTTATAGAATCCGTGTGCACCATCTTCATCCCTCTTCAGTGTAGCTACCATCCTCTCCGTCTTAGCATCTAACTGTTCAGACGTCTGTTCCCACGTTAAACTCAACTCCTCTTCAGTCCAGCCGCCGAGCTTATGCAGCAAAAGCGCAGCGGTAGAGCTCTTCCAGAGACCTTGACCCTTCGTTATACAGATTGAAACTACGAGAAGAACCCTAGTCAGGATAGTTTCGGATGAGGGGAGAATAAGCCATTGACAGCGTGCACGTATATATGTTTTGTCTGTCCAAGCTCGTCCGTTAAGTACTGTAGCATTTACATTGTCTCCGGGATTATTGCTCCGAATCTGATTCGTAAGGACCTCCGCAATGTTACCGGTAAGATTCCCTGGGTCTGTCCCGCGCGGAAAAGAACCAATGTCAAATTTCTTCTCCGCGTCGGACAGAGATCCTCAGTGTATACGGTCGTACACTGTAGTGTTGAAAAAGTCGTATAAATAAGACATGAGGCTTGAGTCCGCGGTGGTGGTGACGTGGAATTGTGATCCTATTACAGACTCGGTATACACCTCCCAATCTTCGCTCAGCAGGAGTCCCTGTTCAAGCTTTGCCGACTCGACGGTCCCAGGTCTGATCCCGGCAGGATTAGCAGTAACGTTTCGGAATGTCTTAACACACTAAGACCACTTTATGGTGTATAGTTCTACCTTAGGCAGTTTCCCCATCGTCAATATGGACCTGTCTCCTAATTACCTTTGCAACTACTTGAAATGACTTACTTTGACTAGATTGCCTATTAACAAAATAAACCAACACCAATATCGTATCATCATCATCTACGGGTGATGGCACGTCAATACCTTGTGTCAAGGAAGCCCTGTTGTTTAGAGTCGTTAATGAGTTATGTTCTTCCGCAGATGAATCGTTAGCATTTTTTGATTCTAGTTTAGTTGCCATAGTCTCTTGGGAAAGGGGTATATGTGTAAAGCTTCAAGGCTAACTTCTGCTCGGAGACGGTCGTTATACAGACCCCAACGTTATAAATTCATGATTTCTACATTTACGAAATATTTAGGGGCGATGTCGAGCATACCTGTTATCATAGCAAGGCATTATTCAAGTTACCGTCCTGGCGTCGTGGAACGTGCGATAGAGGCATTGCTAGCTCCTAAAACGAACTTTCAAATAAGCTGATTAGAAGTAAACTAAGAAACATTTCAATGGAATTCTCATTTACTTATCTCTGGTAGGTATCTTAGTAGACGTCATAGACTCATAAGCCCTCTCTACTCTAGATGATATAAAGCAATAAGAAGATCTATCCCACCAATCTTATCTATCAGTCACGCGAGTAGACTTTCTTCCCCCCAACCCACGTCTCCCGTACCCTCAGGTCGCGCAGATCTTCTATATCCAGGCTTTCCAGTGGCGCGTCCAGAACGATCCAATCCGCGTAGGCTCCCGGCTTGATGACACCAGTCTTGCCCTTCGTAAACCCACCATACGCGGGACCCTCGGTGAAGCCCCAGACCGCCTGGTCCAAATCGAGGGCCTCCTCCGTGTACCACCCGTCAGGCGAGTCATCCGTGCCTCTGCCGGTATGCGGACTTCGTCTCGTGACGGCCGCGTAGATGCCTTGGAACGGGTTAGGTGGTTCGACGGGGAAGTCGCTTCCTAACACGGGTTTGGCGTCTAGGAGCGAGCGCATCCTATATGCTTCCTTCGCGGTGCGTTCCTTTCCTAGTCTCTTCTCCGCATACGCCATATCGCTTGTGGCGTGGGTGGGCTGGATAGAAGGGATAATTCCGATTGCGTGTATTCGAGCCTGGTCGTCCGGATGGATGATTTGAGAATGCTCGATGCGGAAGCGATGGTGGGATTGACAGCGAGAGAGAGGCTCGTTGGGACATAGTAGTCTAAGGGCGGCAACCATGGCGTCGATTGCATACCGGTTTGCCAGGTCGCCAATTGCATGTATATTGACTTGGAAGCCTTCATTGGCCCATGCAATCGTGTCGTATACTAATTCCGAAGCATTAACAAGAAGAGAGCCTGACGTGTCTGGACGATCGGTATAAGGGTCGATCAAAGCGCTACCCCAGCTCCCTAGAGCACCATCTATTTGAAGTTAGACCAACTCGATAGATACGGGGAATCTCTGTAAAGCTTACCAGCGAAAAGCTTCACGCTCTGTATACTTAAAAAGCCATCTGGACTTGTGTACCGTTCAACTTCGTTTGGGCAGAACGTATTCCGTTCGTAGCACTCTATCATGGCGTATACTCGTACCGTCCAGTCAGGACCAGCTGCTAGCTCTTTGAAGAGGTTTAGATTGCCGGGCGTGACACCAGCATCATGTATACCCACGAGTCCTACTTCATTTAATTTTCCCATGGCACTCTTTACGAATTGCTGCTTCTTCTTATTGTCCGGCTTCGGCCATAATGCCATGACCATATCCATCGCATTATCACAGAACACGCCCATCCCAGGATCTCTAATGATCTCACCGCCAGGAACATCAGGGATAGACTCCGGGAGTAAGTCCAGCACTGCCTGAGAAACCCAGATACAATGTACATCTACTCTATCCAACATGATGTATAGGTCCTTTAGTTCTTTATCCGCCGCTAGATCACTCTCCGAGAATGTCAGCATTTTAACAAAGATCAGCATACTCTTAGGAAACTTACAGCAGTCGGCATCTGCCCAAGAGCCATCTGATCCCATCCAACGCCTCTTAGCCACTCCTCCTTCGACCCAGCCTCGGGGATTTGGCCAAGATATTTCCGTATACGAGACCGAACGTCATCCATAGAAGTAGATCCGAAAAGATCTACCGAGTTCAAGAACTCACCATACTGTAGAAGGTGTCCATGTCCGTCCCACAGTCCTGGCACTATAGCAATGTGAGTAAGCTACCATTTCCCATAATATATAATACCTAGACTGGATGTTACATACTAGCAAAGCCCGAACTTGCATTCTGAGCAATCTCCGTACCAGTTCCGGCCTTAAAGACCTTAGAAAACTTCCCAGTCGGTGATACTGAGAAGCAATTCGCAGACGGCTCTACAACTGAATTTGTGCGCACAGATTGATAGCAGTAGGTTTCCGTATAAGCGTAGTCTACCACGCCCTGACGGATCTTGATAAGTCCTGCTACTGCAACAATTACGGCTGACGAGTATATCCAGATCGTATCACGACCGAGGCGCGGGAGACGGAACCAGTCCATGACTACTTGTTTGTGGAGTATAGCAGATCAGATATGGCACTGTCTTATTAGAGAAACGGGCGTTTTGACTACATAAACTGGATACGTTAGCAAGGTCCTATGTGCCTAGCTACCTAGGTAGCTATTTACAACACCCCGTACGCATAGTCACTAGTATATCTGAGTGACCCGAAGCATTTTGGTCACAATGGTTCCGATATTGTGCGATTAGATACCGAAGTATCTTCAACCCCATTGAGTATCTTCTCGGGTAGATGCATATTGAATAGGGTTAGGATAATGTAACGTTTTATCAGAGTATTTACTTACCTGCAGACCTGTCAAATGTCAATTATTAGGTACCTTAGGTACCTAAGCAATAAGGTTGTACGCGAAGCGGGGGCGGGGTAAAAAAACCGTCCCTGCAGAATGCAGAATTTACATTATGTACCTAGGTACATACCTCTTAACCTAAGATGCCAGGGTCCCCTCCAGTAAGCTTGCGGCCAAGATGGAAGGTACTATACCAAAGTAACTCTATTAGCTTAGGTGGCCCCCCTTTCTTGGAGATGCACCTAGTGCTCTTATACTTACTACTTAGTGCTTCTAGAAGTTGGTCTTACCGTCTTACTCTTGCTTAGTCGTCCGTACAAAGAACGACTAGAAAACTGGCTAGTTAATACCACTTATCACGAGTTACTACAAACTAAGCTTTATAATCGTAACGCAGTCACAGTCGCAGTCACAGTCACAGTCACAGTCGTACTCATGGCCGACGCTGCCGCCCTCCTCAAGCTCTCCGAGACCGACGTCTCGCAGGAAATCACCAAGGAGCAGTACATCCCGGTTCTCACGAACCCGCCCTTCGTGTTCGTCGACGGCACCTTCAACACGCGGGACATCGGGTTAGTTCCCGGTAGTCCGATCCGCTCCGACTTCGCCTTCCGGTCCGGTGCCCTCGCGCGACTGACTGACAACGGCCGTGCTGTGCTTGAGGGTAAGCTGGGCGTCAAGCGTGTGTTCGACTTGCGGTCTCCTGAGGAGCGCGCGGGCGCCCCGGACCCCGCGCTCCAGGGCGTCGAGAACACCTGGATCGAGAGCACACGGCCCGACTCGACGCCTGAGCTAGACCACTTTGTTGGCGGCGAGGGCGAGGATGGGTACCGTGAGATGTATCTCGAGGTCATAGATGTGTACCAGGAGAGCTGGAAGGCGATTCTGGAACATGTTAGGGATCGACCGAGCGACCCGTTCCTAGTCCACTGCACTGGTTCGTATATTACTATATCCCTACCAACCATCGAACGACAACATTCATATAGTTGAGGGAGATCACGTATATGAAGTCCATACTGACGCATGCCTCCTAGCCGGGCGCGACCGAACCGGCGTACTCTCCGGGCTTCTGCTAGCCCTTGCCGGCGCGTCGCAAGAAACCATAATCCTAGACTACCTGCTATCGCGCATAGGGACCGAGCCAGTTCGGCTGATGCTTTTGGAGTTCGCGGTAGCCGGTTCGCATGCGAAGAGCAAGGAGCAGCCGGGCTTCCACAATCTGATCAATTTGCGGGCCTCGAGCTGGAACGCGTTCGTCGACGGCGTGCAGAAGGAGTACGGCGGCTTCGAGAAATTCGTTACAGATAAACTAGGGTTTTCAAAGGATGATTTAGCGAAGATCAAGGCGAATTTAACAAGATCTTAAGGATACCCGTAGTTTAGCATATCTACCTAGGCAATTTTTAGGATGAGAGTCGAATCTATTAGAGTTATATCGAGTGATACCATCAATGCCAAGTATTTAATTCATGAGCAAAAAAAATCACGCTCCCGTGGGTAACACAATAAGGTGTTGGTGGCACAATTACCTTCGAACGAAGACTTGGCATTCAACGAACTATCCTAATTCTAGTTATTGGTATTAGTTTAGTTGTTCGATCTGGGGGGAATACTTATGATATAGTATTTTTAGAATAAAACCCGCGCAACTAGTCGCTAGTCCGCGCTATTCGTTCAACAGATAGCCTTAAAATGCCTAGGATTTTATTCTTAGTCGACTACGTAGGTAGTTTATGCCGTAAAAGTTCCCGACGCGTCGAAGAAATGTAGGCAATCGTGTATGTAATGCTCACTATTCAGACTTTCTACCAATAACATTAAACTTAACCGAGGGAAATCAATGTCTAATAAATCGTCAAGTGGAAGGGCGCGCCGCTAGGATAAATCTAGGTGATAAGTGAATACTAACTAATAAAAATCGGTCTGGAGTAAGTGCCTCTCCACTTCATACCTCCATTACCGGAGATGTAAGAACTCAAATAGCTCTTATTAGAAGCTGTCTTGGTGGTGCATCTCGCAGTCTGCCTTTAATTTCCTGCTATAGTTAGCTTGCTACTTTCTCATTACGACCACTCATCTATAAGATGGCGAGCCGTGATATAGAGCTTGAGTCCATTTCTCATCCTATTGCCAGGACTGGGGTTTCTACGACCCCAGATGAGAGCGGAACTCAGCAAGCTGATTCGCAGCCCGAGGATGGCAGACAAGAATTCTCGCTGCCACCCGTCGATGGGGGAAAGGATGCTTGGCTTTTCCTAGCAGCGTGCTTCGCGATCGAAGCTTTAGTTTGGGGTATGTTCCAACGATACGAGAAAGCAATAAATTGCTAACCAGTTCCAAGGCTTCCCCTTTGCCTTCGGAGTGTTCCAGGACTATTATAGCACCCACGAGCCTTTTGCGGGCTCGCCGAATGTTGTTGTCATCGGTACTTGTGCAGTGGGTATCATGTACCTGACTGCCCCTCTCATGATGGGACTCTGTCGTATATTCGCTCGCTGGGCCCGGTGGACATCTATAGTTGGGTTATTCACTATGTGCCTTGCACTTGCGATGAGCTCCTTTTCGTCGAAGATCTCACATCTCATCGCCACTCAAGGTGTCCTTTATGCTATTGGTGGTGGCATCGCCTACTGTCCTTGTATCTTGGTAAGTATACACCTGTTTAGAAAAAAAAAAATTAGCCTTGATGGATAAGTGTCGCTGACTGAGATATCTCGTTAGTATATAGATGAGTGGTTTGTACAACGCAAAGGTCTCGCCTACGGTATCATGTGGAGTGGTACGGGCCTCGCGGGAGTAGTACTGCCTCTCCTCATGGAATTCCTCCTTCGCACTGTCGGGTTCCGAACAACGTTGCGCATCTGGTCTGGTGTGCTTTTCGCCTTGACGATTCCGTTAGCGTTCTACATCAAACCACGACTCCCCTATTCAGCAACCAGCCATGTTAAACCCTTCAACTTAAACATGTTCTTGATGCCGACTTTTTGGTTATACCAACTGGCCAATGTGATAGAAGCGATGGGATTCTTCTTGCCGGGCATCTATCTTCCTAATTATGCCCGTAGTGCTCTCGGCGCCGCGTCATATGGTTCAGTCACCACACTCCTTTTAGTAAACGTTGCTTCCGTCTTTGGCTGTGTTGCCATGGGCTTTTTCATCGATCGATTTCACGTTACCACATGCATATTATTATCGACACTTGGTGCAACCATCGGCGCCTTGGTTATATGGGGTTTGTCATCGTCTCTCCCGCTTCTATACTTTTTCTGCGTCGTCTACGGCTTATTCGCAGGCTCTTATACGTCTGCTTGGCCGGGGGTTATGGCGGATATTGTTCGAAAAGGAGAAGCATTAGGTCAAGGCTACATTGACCCAAGTATGGTATTTGGCTGGCTTGCTGCAGGCCGAGGTATTGGTAACGTGGTCTCGGGACCCCTCAGCGAGAATCTAATACAAAGTCTGCCGTGGAAAGGAAACACGGCACCATTTGGCTATAGTAGTGGTTACGGCAGCTTGATAGTGTTTACTGGTGTGACGGCTCTGCTAGGCGGTGCGAGCTTTGTCTGGAGACGACTGGGCATGTTATGAAGTATATTATGTACTAAACATACATGTAATATAAGCACGATATCTTACTGAATATGGGCACTATAGAGAAAACTTTAATTGAACTTTAATTGGAATTTGTGGCGTCTGGCGCCTGACTTCTTTTGCGTGCGCATCATCGTGCAGATTGGCGTCCTGTATCCTGTCATACAAAGAAGAACATTACCAATAAAGCAACGATTGTATAAAGTTTGTCAATAAGGGATCAAAGCCACTGATGCCAGCGAAGCCTAGCGTCCGGTTTAGTGTTGCATTTGGTGTTACACGTACATTAGATAAGAGGTGTTTTCAAATTATGCATGTTTGATTGGCCAATTGCGAGGCGGGGAGTCGGTAAATGTCGGTGTTGGGTGCCGTCTCAAATAGTAATCCGTAGGAGACGCTTTCCGCTGTTGAGATAGTTCCGTTATAGAAGATGGTAAGTACAAGCTTCGGTGGTTTTCTTTACACTGTGAGAGTACCTACTCCATGACTTTGACCATTAAACCCCCAAATTCAGTGACTTTCTCCCTTGCGCAACTTTAAACCATTGACAAGGTACGTGCGAACTACACTGTATCAGGTATTTAACCTTCCGAGGCACCCCACTAGAATCTAGATGACCAGGTCCGAAGGGGCAAAAATTCATTCGCAGCGAATTTCGCAACTGCATCTAGAGCGGCCGTGAACTCCGTCGCAAACTTCCTATTTCCCGAATCACCTTTCTTAAATACCCTTCTTCCACTTAGCCACTTTGGCCACGGCTTACTCAGTTATTCTTCCTCTTTTCCCAAACGGCATTTTCTACATCGTCGGCCTTCGCAGCTGGACTTCGACTCGGACAGACTTCATTCTCTTATTACCTAGTCCAACCAATCCTCTCTGTTTCTCTGTCATACCTTCGAGTCGCATTACTCTCCTACAGTTCATAAGTCAAGTTAGTCGGTCGACGATATTGCCAATCTTTTCTTCCTTCATTGGGATTACATAGTATTGGCAAAATGTCGTTCTCCAATCTCGTTCATGATCTTGCTATTCGCGATGGAATAATGCCACGTCAACCTCGAGCCACCGCTTCAGCCTCTACTGTCGACGACCGAGCTTCCCACATTTCGAGGGCTATGTCCTACGCGAGTACGGCAGCCACCAGCGTGAGCATTGCCGGTGACATTTCTAGTCAACTTCATGGCGGTTACCACCATCCTCTTGCTAGATCATGGCAAGCTGAACGGCAATTGACTAAGGTTAGCCAACATATTCCAGCGAGATGAGAGCTTCAAGGACTAACATCGGGATATAGTCAATGTTGATCTACCCTCTCTTCATTTCAGACATCGAGGACGACGAAACTCTTATCCCTTCTTTACCAGGCCAGTACCGCCGCGGCGTCAACAAATTAATCCCATTTCTAGAACCTTTAGTACGAAAAGGTCTCCGGTCGGTCATCCTTTTCGGGGTCCCACTCAAACCTGGTACCAAAGATGCATTGGCGACTGCTGCCGACGATCCAAAGGGCCCGGTCATCCAAGGTATCCGATTGTTGCGACAACGATTTCCTCACCTATTTATCGTTGTTGACGTCTGCCTCTGCGAGTACACCTCCCATGGTCATTGTGGAATCCTCAGAGATGACGCCACCTTGAACAATCAATTGTCGGTCGATCGAATTTCCGACGTTGCCATGGCCTACGCCCAAGCCGGTGCCCACTGTGTCGCACCATCCGATATGAATGATGGCCGTATTCGGGCTATTAAACTTAAGCTCATCGAGGAGGGAATTGCGCATAAGACTCTATTAATGTCATACGCCGCAAAATTCTCCGGTTGTCTCTACGGTCCCTTCAGGGATGCCGCCGGTTCGGCACCTTCGTTTGGCGACCGAAGATGTTATCAGCTGCCACCTGGAGGACGTGGGCTTGCCCGACGAGCCATAGTCAGAGACATTGGCGAGGGAGCCGACATTATCATGGTGAAGCCGGCCGCCCAGTACCTTGACATTATTAGTGACGCGAAGGAGATAGGCAGGGATCTTCCTATCGCTGCCTACCACGTTAGTGGAGAGTTCGCGATGGTGCACGCCGCTGCAAAGGCTGGAGTATTCGACCTTAAGACGATGGCGTTCGAAGTCACTGAGGGGATACTCCGAGCTGGCGCTACGATTATCATCAGCTACTTCACTCCTGAATTCCTTGACTGGCTAGATAATTAATCAACTTCCTAATGGACGAGAGCATCGTCACTTGCTTGTTATTGGAGTTAAATGGCGTTTACAGAAGCATGGGTCATGCATATCATGAGAGCGAGAATGACATGACGTATATAGATTTGCCTGCGCTGTTTTCAAAGGAGGTAGACAATACCAAAATTCAGTCAAAAATGTATGGATATACTTTTGTTATAGAAATAGCATTCAACCACTCTGAAAAAAACGTTTATACGATTCTACATTGCATGATCAATCTATTGATCGGAACAAACCGACCTATAATTTTATTATAATCTTCTTAGTAAACTCCTAATAATGTGCAGCTATATATATCACTAACACATATATGAATAACGACAGCATTCATCCAGACGCCCTGCTTATTTTCATTACGGCCAGGCACATATGGCATATCATCCGCAATTACGTATTATCGAACTCACATCATATACCCTTACCTTGGTGTAATCGCCAACAACTTGGCATTGGGGCAAACGAGATTGCGGAATCCTACTTTACACTTCTAGCCTAGATGCCGACAACTTGGCCCCATTCTGGACTTTCGGTGTATATACCGCCGCGCCGGAAATGCGCAATGCCATCCCTAGCGTAAATCACACCTTGATAAGTAGATGTTAATAGAACTATTTATATATTTTATAGGCTCTTGAAGTCATTTTGTATGTGTTGGCATCAATAGCGGTATAGACAATATCGCGTCTCAGGGCACAAATATTCGTAGAAAACCGGTCGATTGTATTATTTGCTTCTCTTCGCTACTACCTACAGAAGCATCACGAACTTCTCCAAGAATTATACAGAGTAGAACTCGTAATCTCTTCTAGAACCGAGTTTCTTGTCCCGCATAGTTCTTCTTGGCGACCCTAGATAAGGAAGGTAATGCAATGCCCAATGCTACGCCTTGGCGAAACTGAGGCCATATCGCGTGGGGCGTGTCATACCATGGTCCTGGAAATACTCGAGCCGCTACACTACTACTACTACTGTTCTTATCGTTAGCGGACCACGATCTAGAGTTGGTAACGCGGGTATGGATACGATCTTAGGTTGCATAGCTCAGGTACATGACCAGGAATAAAAATTGTTACCCATCCCTCTTATATATACCTACCTATGCTTCCCTTTGCCATGCCGTACTGCTGGTGGCACGCCTACTTACTTGCGTTACGCTCATAGCTATCGTTTGTTCAGGTATAGCGTCCTTTATCGCTCCCTTGATAATACTTACACTCGTTAAAGGAGCCATGAAGGTCTTAAGCTCTGGAGTAGTCTTCACGGCTGTGAACTTACTCGCCTCCACCAGTAGCGCAGAACCCATCAGAAGGGCGAAATATGGACTCCCATTGGTCCAAGATGTAAGAAAATCTAAACGGTACCGATATCAACCAAACCAATACAATGCTGATAGCCAAATAGAAACCTCTGGTGGACTCCGTTCTCCTAGACGACCTGCTGGGTTGCGCGCAGGACTTGGAAAATATAGCCTTCTCAACCTCGAGACGAAACCGAGTATGTCATACACTTCTCCGCGAGAAAAGAAAATATCCTACTAAGAAATTCGGTCGATCAGGTCCACGGCACGGAAGGCCATCTAAACAGCGTCAACTACTTCGTCGAGCAGCTCAAGTCGTTAGGCGACTATTACAACGTCGAGCTACAGGAGTTCACGACAGAGGTGACTCTCCAGTCCAAGGCGTCCTTGTCGATCAATGGTGAGACGCTCGAAGCTGGGGGTTTCTCATTCGGCAATAACGGGACTTGGACGGATAAGCCATTGGTTTCCGTGGCCAATCTTGGATGCAATGCCGTAAGTCTCTATGTAGCCTTTGTTTGAGAATACCGATCTCTAATTATATAATCAGGAAGACCATCCAGACTCCTTAAATGGAACCGTCGCTCTAATCTCTCGAGGCGACTGTACCTTTGTTCAAAAGATCACTCTCGCCGGGGAGAAAGGTGCTATCGGCGCTATCATTTACAACAACGCGGCCGCTGGTCTCGCAGCCGGCACTCTTGGTGGCGTAAATGATCTAGTAAGGATTTACTTAAGTCTTACGACCCAAATTATACTTATAAGACCATAACAAAACTAAACTCAAAAATACAGATCCCAGTCGGTGGTATCTCACGAGCAGACGGCCTACGCCTCGTCGAACAGATCGAGAGTAACGCAGCACTGGCCTCCTCAGGCGAATTCTGGCAGTACATTGACAACACGACGAGCTACAACGTAGTCGCTAGCTCCAAGCATGGTGACGCCAATAACGTGTTGTTCCTAGGCGCGCACAGCGACTCTGTTGAGGCCGGCCCGGGCATCAACGACAACGGCAGCGGCTCATGCGGACTGTTGACTATCGCTAAGCAGCTCTCACGCTGGCGCACCAATAACCAAGTGCGCTTCGCATGGTGGACGGCCGAGGAGGAGGGTCTGCTGGGGTCAGAGCACTATGTCAACATCACTGCGGCCTCAGAGCTCGACAAGGTCCGGTTATACCTCAACTTTGACATGATTGCCTCGCCAAACTACGTGCTCGGCATCTACGACGGCGACGGCAGTTCCTTCAACCTGTCTGGTCCAGCTGGGTCCGCCCAGGCCGAGAAGCTATTTGAGGACTGGTATAAGTCGGAAGGCCTGCCCTTCGTAGGATCTGAATTCAACGGGCGGAGCGACTACGGGCCTTTCCTAGACCAGGGTGTACCGTGCGGAGGCTTGGATACCGGTGCGGATGGTATTAAGACCGACGAGGAGGTCGCGCTGTTCGGCGGTACGGCGGGTATCTGGTACGACCCGAACTACCACTCGGTCCAAGACAATGTGACGAACCTAAACCTCAAGGCCTTCGAGGCGACGGGCCGGGCCATTGCCCATGCAGTCGCGACGTACGGCACTAGTTGGCAAGGCTTCCCGACACGCAACGTCACGTCGTTGACCAGGAGGTCGTCGGGCTACTCGAAGAAGTTTTCGAAGTCCAAGGGTGGAAAGCGGGCCTATTAAGAGGTTGCAACAGGACCACAGAGGGGCCGTCTTTTGGTAGAAGATATTCCCACTTTAAATACAATGGCTTACCCATTGGCAATTATCAAGGACACTGCTCTAGGACAATAACCGTAGCTGATATTTGGCTAAAATAATTTATGAAGAGTATACACTATACAGTGAAGCTTAATATCAAACGTGCTGGAACAATATGCCATCAATGTAGGTGTTTATTAACATAGCGTATAAATCTCAAACTCGGAAATTCACCCTAAGAGTGAGGTTACAACCGAGAGGTTTTATCACACAGCCGCTAAAAGTTTCCAGAGTCGGTTGTTACCGAAGATATACTGTCTTTCCTATTTTATTTCAGACGTGTAGTATTTGACCTTGGATGTTGATATTGGACGGGGAACAAACAAAGCCTTTGATATCCCCATCCGCCATAAAGTATAAGATAATGTACTGTCCAATCATCTTAGAGAGCTAAAAAATAGTCTTCCAGTAACAAGGACTTGCCCTTTCTCTTTCAAATCTTGCCTCTCTAAGAATATTGAAACGTTTCTTCTGATATCATGGAGTTCATTAATTGGATTCGTGGTGCTTTGACCTCGCTTGGTTTTCTCGACAAGCAAGCAAAGCTGCTGCTTCTCGGACTCGACAACTCCGGTAAGTCAACACTACTGTACAGACTTATAACCGATCGCCTTGGCGCCCTAGAGCCTACTCGGCATCCAAATTCAGAGCAGTTCAGAATCGACAATGCTGTGTGTACCGCGTTCGACCTTGGGGGTCACCAGCAAGCCAGGCGCCTTTGGAGGGATTACCTTCCGGAGGTTGCCGGGATTATATTTGTCGTCGACGCCGCGGATCCCGAGCGCTTCGCGGAGGCTAAGGCCGAGCTGTGGGCTCTTCTTACCGTGGAGGAGTTAACCAACGTTATTTTTCTCGTGCTAGGAAATAAGACTGACCATCCCAACGCTGTATCAGATGTCGAACTTCGTTCCCAGCTGGGTCTTGACAATCTCCTACATGGCAATGTCGGATTTTTCATGTGTTCCATAGCCGAGAAACAGGGATATGGAGAAGGTCTGCGCTGGCTCGCCCAATGCATCTAAAAGCATAGCGTTATCTTACTGTAGTTAAGTGACCTCAAACTAAAGATTCGATTCGATCTACCTTTTTAGCTATAAATTCTTTTTAATTAATAATAAAATATTTTTTTAATTTACACATTGACACCGTATAGGTATATTGACATGGGCCATGCGTTATGGCTAGAGCGGAGAGAGAAGGCTATCGTACCACATAAAGGGGTCGCCTCAAGAAAGGGCCCTTAAAGTTCTTTGATTAATGCCGCCGGAACAGGAACAGTAAAACGGGTATACAAGTTATACGTATAGGTATATAAACCAATGCTTTTCTACTTCCCATTTAACTTACCAAATTTTTAAATCATATACCGCAATTGTTAGCAACCCCATATTATAAATATGGCAAATGTCGGACTGGGTAGCGCGGTACAAAATAAGGCCGCATCACTTAAAAGTATCTTTGCAAAGGACCGACGATTTGAACCCGTGGGGCTAATAGCAACCGGATCATATGGGTTTACAATTCGTGTTCAGATCAAGGACCCGATGCTCCCAGGTTTAAAAAACATTGTAGTTAAGCACGTTAATGGAGTTAGAGGTGCGAGGACCAATTTAGCAGCCGAGAGACGACACCTTGAGGTTTGCACTTTCGAGAATAAAAATTTCAAGTGATACGAAAGCTAATATTATAAAATATACTAGATGTTGCAAGATAACTTGCATATAGTAAGACTTATTAATCTACCAAATAATCCTTTAAGGGGCAGAATAGATCGAAGAGATTGGATCATATTAGAATGGTTGGAACATGGGGAGCTTCGTTCGTTTATTACGAAGGCGAGAATAATGATAGGAAGAGGAACAAGGTTGCCGAACCGTCTTCTTTGGAGGTTTTTCACATGTTGTAAGTCATTTGATACGGTATACCATAATATTACGCTAATCAAACGCATAGTGGTAAGGTGCTGTATAGCTATGGCCGTATGTGACATCTATGATATCTATCTTACTTACCTACCTCCTTAGGTAGGTAGCTAAGCATCTACCAGTCGGTGCTGATTCTTCGGTTTTAGTGGCCCGATTCTGGCGAAGAAGTACAAAGAAACGTAGAATTATCAGGAATAGTACATGGTGACCTCCATCAAGGCAACGGTATATTGATTACCCAGGCTAGATACGATATTAAACTCGCTAACATGAGTATAGTACTTCTTGGAGAGCCTCCTAATGATGACGAGCATGGAATTACACCAATACTAAAGCTTATTGACTTCGGCGGCACAGAACAATACCCCCCATCTGAGGATGCAGACAATCAAAATGTCTATGACATTGGGCAAGTACGTATTTTACACTAAATATGCCAGTTCTTAATTACAGACTAACGATTTAACAGATAATGCTTGGCCTTATTAACCTAAACCGTGGGCGCGACGCGGCGGGCGACAACCCTTTTTATACGTGGGGTGATAGAAGATATAGAACCGAAGCTACCGCGCTCATCCCAACCCCAGATGGCGTTGATCATGCCCTGTGCACTGCAGTCTGCGCCTGTATGGCGGAAATCCCTAGTAACCGCCCTTCTTTAAACACTTTGCTTCGGCTTGGATTAAGAGGCGTGAATGAAACGGCAGAAGCTTATGATAACGCTCTAGGAGAACAAGACGATATTATTTCATTAACGTGGAAGGCCATTGTATATGACGCCCCAACTGCGGATGATGATGAATTGACTGATGATTGGTCAACCTCAGCTCCTTCGACAGCAGCTCCTTCAGTAGGAAGTCCTTCACCAAAACGTCCTCGACCAATGCCGCCCCCAGCAGGAGGCAGCCCCTCAACAAGACCGTCTTCAGTAGGAAGCCCCTCACCAAGACATCCTTCAACAAGACATCCTGATACCCCTGGAAGAGATTCTCCTTTTGGTAGACTACTATTCCCTCCAACAAAAGCTACTCAAACACCAGGACGTACTAAACGTAATCCATCAGAGGATTCCGCGGGGATACGATGGGAATAAAGGATAAAAGGAATGAAAACATGTTTTAATGAACAAAATCCATAATATCATTGATGCGACCATTATCATCCGGTTGACCAACCCAAAACCATGTCTTCGACTTCCACCGCTTCTCAGCCTCCTCACAAGGCCAAAGGGAACCCCTAAACAACACTACCGCCGCTGCTGCAACGGAGTGCGATGAAAAGTCAAGCTACTTCCTCAGGCAGCACAAAGTCCAACAGAGATTTGGATGCACACAACTATGCACTGCCTGTCGAGACGAAACTTTCTCCTATAAAACCTTATGGTAAACCGGCCACTTTCATGGGCTTCCCTAGGACCTTCGATAAAAGCTTAGCCATTATACCAGTTGGCTTAGTCTTTTCTTTCCTAGGACTCGCCATATAAGTGAGCACTAGTGGCCCATTTCTCGCGGTAGAATTATATTTAATATATTTGATATTCCACTTAAGTACTCGGTTTTCGTGCCGTAACAGGGGCGGATTATGACACTTTAATATGTGTTTGAGGCTAAAATGTCTATCAATATAATAACTAATTACTCTTAAAATCCTTGTATTGATGTGGTTACACAATACGTACCTATATAAGTAGGTAGCTTGTGGCTGAAGAGTTAGCGAGAGAGGAGGCAAGGATAGTGGCAGACATGTTTTTTAACTAGTGAGCGCGGCAGCGTGGGCTATCAGAGTAGGTAGGTATTGTGGTATTGTCTCATCTCCGTTTGCTGTTCTCAAGGTAAGTAGTAGCACTGTACTTGACTACATACGAGGCATGTATTCTAAAGGGTATACAAGGTATGCATGAAATAAGCATTCAGCCGCAATCCACCCCGAGATTTGGAACAGATAAATGGCGTGTATCGATCCAGTAGCCAATAAAGGCACCGCTACATCGATTCCACACATCGATTACACGCATAGACAGGCAGCTCCCAAGCTTTCATAAATGACTCAAGTCTACTTGCTAGTCCTCGAGTTTGGGTTCTAAGTGGCCCCCAAACTAAAAGCGAAGACAAGGCAGCAGTCCGCAGGGAGAAGTACATGTTAGTGATAAGCTTCTTTTTAAGTCGCTATACCACCTACCCCCTCAACCATCGTAGCACCGCGTTGATGTCCTACATCCACGAGAACCCCCCAAAACGCGAGCAGGTCCGATAACAGGCTACGAGGCAAGACGTGCCAGACAAGGTAATAATATGGCTACGTGCAGGGCTATAATTCCGCCACGGGGGAATCGTGCGTCGGGTAGTCCCATGCTCGAAGCCGGCTTGCGTCGAAGATGCATGGAAGGATGCTGTAATGCGTGGCTGGTATGTAGCCCGGCCGTGCCTATCTGAGATACCCGTCGAGGGAATAGTCGTCTTATTGTTTCGGAAGACGTGGTGAGATAGTCAGGCGGTGGAAATGATTCGACGTGACACAGTTACTTACACGAGGCCGTTGGTCGTCGGGAGGCTGCAGTTGAGGAGTCGCTGTTGTGATAAGCCCCTTTATGTCGTGGTCTAATCTTGCTGGTAGATATTGTCCTTATACCTAATAATCCAGCCCTAGGTTCCAAGTACCTGGTGCGCTAAATTAGCCTTGTTTAAGCTCAATCAATGTTGATTCGACGGCCGGGTGTGTGTACTAGGCGTTAGAATATATTACCTCACCTAAACATTCCGTCTTAAGCGCTTCCCCGATAGCAACATATGTATTATTCCGAATGGTATGGTATAAGCCACAAGCCAAGAAGATATTTTCTCTATAAAAGTAATAATATACTGGTTAGTAGAGTAATGGTGCTTGAATAGAAACCTTATAAAGTGATCGAGAATATACTAGGTAGGCTTAACATGACCACTATTTAACAGTTAACTTAGGATACATTACTATCGGTATTCTTTATTTCTTAGGTAATCATACGACGCTATTTAAAATGTGTATCTGGTGTAACAGTGACCAGGCAGATACTTGAGAGTTTCTCTGGGTAAGGTGCTTTAGTTACCAGGTTTCTGGGAAAAGAGAACTGTCAGACCACCTATATCGTAAGCCTCGAAAGGATCACAGGCTTTTGGAGGTTGGTATGCACTCATTGGTTGGTATATGCGCATCTCCGAAGCGGATCGGTCGGATCGGTAGGAAGCTTGCGTAAGTGCCCGGCCCGGCTGCTTACGAAGTGTGTCTGTCCGTGTCAGGGTACTAGCCGGACAGCGGGTTACGGCGTTCAACAGCCTTGCTATCATTATTCTTCCAAGGTTGACATTCTTGATATTTATATGGCATCTAACCCCCAACTATGAGATAAAGGAACGTTATGTATCATTGTGTGCGAAACATATAGAATTATCACCATAGTTGGGACCGACACTCGGGATATACGTAGATCAGTCGGGCACAGCGTATCGTAGATCTTACGTGGTTGTGAAGGACAGTCGACATCTTGGAGTTTGCCCCAACTCATAGCAGTCGGCAACACACCTTCAATGCAGTAAGCATCCGTTAGTTTTTGTGGCAAAGTGCAGAACGGTGGCTTGGAAGGATTGAGAATGTTACGCTGCAATAAGCAGCCTCCATCTGAAGATGGATTAATGACCGATTATTAGATAATGGGGATAGTTCATCAAGAAGTGAATATGACTCGGATGGTTCGGTGGCCGTGCGCTTTAAATCTTACCGTACTACCCTATATTTATGGTAACACTTAAGCCTATCGGGAAGATCGTACCGGAAGCCTGCCATTATTCTCGGCTTAAGATGCTTCAATTCTACGAGTGAACATGGATGGCACGCGTTTGTTGTCTGAATAAATAGCACGTACCCATTAAGACGGACCGAAAGTATGCGACTTATCATTTTACTACTATGTATATTGTCCTCGATGGTAGGATGGATAATTCAAATGCAAGTATACCTTGCGGTGAAGGATTCAGCGAATCCTGCTCGCTAGGTATTCTAGATCGGCAAACCTGTAGCACGCGGTGGACATAAATATCACAGCCGATATATGGTCGGCTGCACGTCAGATGGGTTGCAGTCAGCAGGCTCCGGGGTTGCGTCAAGAGACATGTTTTGAAAAACCGGGCCAGCATTAGAATCCTACATCCTACGAAACCTTAGACGGAGCTTGGAGCTTTAAGAGCCTATCCTTCCACATCTTATTTTTGTGGCGTTCTAGATGCCGTGACGCCAATAGACTGTAGAACTAATATAGAAAGGAATAATATCGTTCAAAGGATATTAGTCGAGAAACACAAGGCTATCTCGTTTCTTTAGCCCCCTCAATTTCGTAAAACCATCATTAGATGTCTGACTGTGCCTTCAAGAATACCTCTGTTGCATTCTGTATATGTTTGACGATGGCGCAGCCCCTAATGCAGTTATTATCTCACCCCAGTGCGATATTATAACTCACCACTTCAAAGACCGTGATGTAGGTTTTGATTGATGCCTTTTTTTGATTTACCAACGGCGCAGCCGAGATGTTATGTACCTACGTATTAATTACCTGTTTTGTAAGATATTATTTTGTATGAATAGGCACAGGTACTACATACCTATGTAGGTTCATCCACTTCCCAGACAGGACCCACGAGATCATGGCCTCCGCTGTGGGTTACGCCATTCCTTGAGCAATATCAAATTTCGCGCGTTTCTGTTCGTCTGCCACCCTTAATGCCATCTTCGTTTCGGGCTGCTGGTAGCTAATTCTAAAAACACTATTGATGGACGGCTCTTTTCGATGTTTAGAAACTTTATAACTTGTAAGTTGTGACGTGACACCTTGCTTGATGTACGGAGACTTATAAGTTGGGGGGGAGGCCCCTCCCATCGGAGCGAAGGGGAAACATTTCGTGGACGTGTTACCCGTAGCACGTTTACGTACGCGATAAATCTCCGAGGCTCATCTTTTGAAACATCTGTATACTTGTCATCGCAAACCTTATGGGAGCCTATCCGGATCGAGTTGTTTTGCTCATGTTCATGTTTACCTATCATATATCGAAAATAATAACGAAGAAATCGAATGTGTAACTAGTGTATCTTGAATACCGATAATGATACCTATTGGGAAGGCCTAAAGATAGGTATAGATTTACATCCTGCACGTTCTGATGTGCATTACAGGCCTAGAATGCTTCAATACCTTTTTGAAGATTGGGATCCTAGTTCAGGGGTGCATATATAACCTAAGTTAGGTTTTTCCCCCCCGGAGCGAGCTGCACGCAAACACATTCAAACATCGACAGGGGCCAAGACTAAACTTATCCGAGCTTAGCTCGGCTTAGGGAATTAGGTAGCTGTAAATTAGCTCCATTACGTTCTCGTAGCCCCGGCTTATATGGGGCGATGTGCAGTGATGTGCTACCGAAGGTATGAACTACAGCCCAGATTATACCCAGTCTACATTATGAGGTACCTATGTGGGTAATGAAAGACAGGGGTAGGTGGTATCCGTACTTCGCAAGGTGGGATGTACCCTGCCTTCCATCCATCCATAGTAGCTTGTAATGGAAGTCGCAGTCGCAGTCGCAGTCGCAAAACCGTTCGAAGGTTACTTAAATGTATTTTAATTCCAATTCCTACGCTGGCGCGTTGCCGGCAAGCTAAAAGTAGAACACCATTTTATTCTATCTGTCTGTATTTTCTTCCTCTCCCTCCGTCATCTGCTCATGTTTTCCTTCTCCAACATCCGCCCGACTCTTCTTATCACGTAGCTCGATGATTGCCGATATTAGACACCCGACAAACGTCATTAGTCTTCCCGCCTTCGCAACGAAAAAAAAAAACATGATATCTTAACATATTAGAATATTTCACTTCTACTCGAAAAACCCTAGAAGAAATCTCCAAGCTACCCGGTGGCGCTTTCGCTTCTTTCTAATCAATATTAGGGTACGTTGGCCGATTTTATGTCTGCCAATTACTATGTTTTGCTTCTTTTAATTGTCTTCATCGGAAGCTCTTGCAGATACACGGATCGTAAGATCTGGTATTATTATCTACTTGATCTACTCTTTTCACTTCCACATGTGAACCCCCTTGTCGACAGGGGCTAGCTTTCATCTCTGATGCCTCATTCTACTGTTTTTCACGGAATAGGGGAAGCACCATCAAAGAAAATTGGCTGTGCGGTCTCCGGGGAATTATCACTTCTTAT